ACGAGTGAGAGTATCGGACAGACAGGAAAAAAGTGGAGACGAAGATTCGCGAGAGAGCTAGAGATGAGGATGAGTAAGGTGACCCCGGGACTATACAGCAGTCGTCAGAAGATCGATACTGGAAAGGCGCGCGGCGGCTCCTGTCTCCGTGCTGCCATTGGTCATAGCTGCAGCTAGACGCTCCTTGCCTCACTCCTCAGGAAGTCCTCACTACTCGTCTCGACCATCCGTCCTGAGGATCTAGTTCTTTCCTTCCGCTATCCCTTCAATCCCTCTTTCACCCTCAGTAATAGAATCCAAACCCGCCCATTCACTTTTCGAGCAGTAGAATATCTGGGAAATCATAGGAAACCAAGAAAAGTGATGATTGATGTAAAAAGAATAGGATTTTTTCCCTACGATTTAATGGAAAATAATAATTCTGTAATCATGCTAGATGAAAGATAGGTGTGTACAGGCAGGTCATAGCATGAGCATGTGATTGCATTGTATATTAAATCTTTTTATGGAAAAGGTAAAGGGGACATACCCACGATGACTGTCAACACGATGAGAAAAGAATTAAAAGAAAAGACAGAAGCGTTCTTCTAAAGACTAAGACCGGCTGTCTTTCTCTCACTGGCTTCCTTAAGACTTCGTAGCATGTTTTATACGTTCGGAAGTAGCTTCTGAATATGGATGAACGTCGAGTCAACGGACACACTCTCATGCTTACGGGCGGAGACATAATTGCCTTAATTAACGCTAATATGTTAAATCGCGACGGTTTTCCTTTGTCCAAGACTCCTTTGGAATTCGCGGAGAGACTGTGCGAATTGGATTGAACCATGATGACGGTGATCCTTTGTAACAAAGAATAAAAAGAGAGATTCTTTGACAAGAGACACTTGTATATAATTAAATAAAAAGTGAGTTCTGCAGGAAACGAGTAAATCAAATAGTAACTGGGAGTCTCGATGAATTAATCGAGTGGCCGTCGCGAAGTGTATGGACTGCTAGGACTCTTAGGGTACTTCGAACTGCGTTGGAGAATGCAGATACATAAATTCATGAGCCAAGTAACAACCCAGTGACGCCACGCTAGCTTCCGTGCCGGTGTGGCCGCGCGCCGTGGCAATCGTATTCATGAACCGACACAGTAATTAGGGACACTAGCTCGCCTCGCAACCGGAAGTCGTCTTAAGAATCTTCCCCTCACGACCACCGTCAAGAGAATATTCGCCGGAACCATTTATGCATTCCGTTTCGTCTGTTAGAAATATGCAATTTCATGTATTTGTTAGTGTTAGCTCTACCTTTATTGCTTTTTTATTTGTTATTGATTGTAATCAATCCTATTTACATCATTCAAAAGCAATATAATTTAACCATTAAAATAGAATGTCATGGTCAAATGATCAATAATCTCCGACTCAGCTGAAACCCACACACTTTTTACAATTATTCATTCTTTTCTCATAATTATCACAAGTTAATTAAAATGAATTGATAATATTTGTTTTTAGTAATTACTTGTAAAGAGTAGCATTCGATAATATAATTTATGAAAAATGAATAATTAACACCAATGTATTTTTACAGATTCATTCTGGTGAATCAAAAGAAGAGAGCAAGAAGAGAATAAAGGATATTACACGTGGTTGGAAGCCAATTACTCGTGCGGCTTGACCTGAAGGCAATGATACCTGTGGGCAATGCATAATTTTGTTGGCGCTTGAGTCTCTTGCACAGTACGTAACTCTTCGGTCCAAGCTTTATAATGAAGATATAACCAACGTCGACTGCTGAGACATATTTACGTCCACGAGTGTAAGACTTGTTACTTACATTATGTGCAAAAAAGAAGAAAAATGAAAAAAAGTAAGTTACAAGTGTGAAGTCATTTTTAATCAAAAATATAAATAAAAGTCACACAATAAGTAATATAATAAGGTAGTTTTAATTCATTGCAAAACATTGTCACAATTACTAAGAAATGATGCAAACGATAAAACAAAGGCCTGATTTAATTGTTTGATTGTTAAGTAAGAAATTAAAAAAAAAAAGAGACTCACGGAAGTGAATACCACGCCTGCGATTCTCGACAGAATATGTGCATTATAATCCTATTATGGATTTTACTTCTTTTACAGTGCATTTAAATCTTCCTCACTTAGACACCGATCAGGACTTGGCCGACAACCCGACGTAAAATTACCCGGAACGTATTTTTCCATTAGGCTTTGCGTTGTCCAGGTGAGTTAGTAAATTATAGGTGTTCACTTATCGCACGAAAACCGTCGAAAATGAGGAATCAGCAAGAAAAAAAATTCTTCAACAAAATCCCAGAGGGTATAGGCTAGCAGCATTCATGTAAGCTGAGAATTTTAGACTGTAGTACATCAACCTTTAAAAGAAAGAGTCATCAAAGCAATTTTGTGATAATAAAAATTCTACATTAAGTGAATGTATCCTTAAAAAAAAAAATCTGATGAAAATAGAGGTGCAGGGTTAACGAGACGGTCCCTTAGGACGTATGAAACCTTTTGGTTGGGGAAGAAAAAGCATCGGCTCGAAGATAGACCCATTAAAAGTTGGTGACGTAGGGGAGAGTTAAAGGTCTGGTGTAAGTGAGCTGAGGGAATGTCTACCAAAGTGTAGGGATGGTATAAAAAAGAGATGCCTTCTTTTGGTGATTAGCGTTTTTAATATCACACCAAGAACCTTTTAATTCTGCTTGTGATTTGAGAAGACTTGGATATATTTAAGCATTGTGGCTAAAAGGATTTGGCAATAAACAACAGCAAGTTTTAAAATTAGAAGAGCAACGTAATATTCATAAAAATTTTTCAGTCTCTTAGGTAGATATGTAACTCCTATAAATAAATTCAAGAAAAAAAAAATTGTCGTCGTCTGAAATTTCATAATCATTGTCATAAATTCTTGAAGACTTTTATTAGTATTTTATGATTCTTTAATTATTTCCTTGGCATTTAACATAGTGTACTTTGTAGTAAAAATATAAATAACATAATTCTCTATATGTACAAATTTTTTTTATGTATATTAATGTGTAGTCTCAAAGAAGATATTGAGGACAACATTGCTCACAGTGGAGTATTACAAGAAATGCGGCCCTTTTGCGGTAAATGTATCTAATTAGCTCGACGTTTACGTCAACGTTTACAATGATTTACAACAAAATTATGCCATAGACTTGGGCCACGACGTAAACCTAAGAAGAGAATGCGGTGTGGCGTTCGCTAAAAACTACGAGACCATTTAGTCATTTATCATAACCAGCGTCCCGACGATGCCCCGAGGATGTATAGTAGAAAGGAGGAAAAGAGGAGGAATATTATCCATTGGTCGAACTAATCGTGCTCCAAGACTAGCCTATCTTCTTTGAAGTTAGATTATCCGTAATAACTTTACGTTACTGCGACCCACTGACTGACAATACATATTTTAACATTGTATCCATAATAAATACACATAAATTTATGATCTTTTAAATTATATCGATCGTGATCAACTGTTATTCATAAAAAATTCTTTATGTTCTAGCACTTCATAAAGTTGAGAATAAAAAAGCCTGGATGATGAATTGAAAGTAACAGGTGCAAAATCATCTGGATGTTGAGCAATTGCGTTTACCTAAGAGGATCGTGTGACCAAAGGATGCACCAATTGGCCAAAGAACCGAGTGAACGTCATACAGAATATCCAAAGCAACACCTACATCTTTCGATACACACATAACGCCTTCAAATTACAGAGTACTAGACTCCATCCATCACTGCAGGGTCCAACAGACCCATGAGGTCCTCAGTACCGCCCCGGTGTTTAAGTCGTTAGCAATTTCCTGCGCAGGACTATTTTTTTGGTCCCAAATTCCATATGCTTCGATAATATGCTCAATACTCCCTTCTTCCTTTTTCTCAACCAACAACCACTCTGTTCTCTTGAAGGTAATCAAGCAAATCGATCGTTTCACGGTTGTTTTGATGCATTCATTGACCTATTGATATGTCTGAAAAATATCAGGTTTTAACATATAATATATTAAAGGTAATTAGAATTATTTTAGTTTATTTTTTAAATTGAAATTTAATTGATGGTTTTATTTGTTCTTGCAGACTACGCTAGAGAGCACAAGTTGATGGACTTGACTGTCAGTTATGAATACGATAAGGCAGGCAGCTGTATTCATGTTTTTCTACTGTAGAAATGGTAGGTAAGTTGTGTAGATTGCAGTTGCCAGAGTTTATTATCTTCAGACCTAAGTTAATCTTTTTAATCTCAGATTCCTTTATTTTTTTCAATGATGATCTTGATGAATACATACTTTATCGAGCTTTGAGAGTTGTTATACATAACGAGTTTGAAGATTTCTTCAATTTTTAATTAAATTTCAATACTTACATACTCGTATATTAAACTTTTATCGACATTAATTAATTACAAAACTTCTCAATACGTTCTTTTTATTTTTCAGATAATTACACTTCGTTAACTATTAGCTATAATGACTACAATTACCATAGACTAATGCCAATAATTATTCAATCTCCAATAAAGCTTTAATTAAGATGGTTGAAAAATGATAAACATCCTGTGAGAAAAGGTAAGTTATAAATATGATAATTTTTTCCAACGAAAGGTTTTATTAAGTAAAATGATAAATTTTTTTATTATCCACAATGATATTTATTATTTCAAGGAGATACAGATCCAAATAATTTATTCTTAAAACTCATACAAAAATAAACTAATCTACTCAACATACACACAGTTATTGAATGATCGTAATGGAAATAAAGTATTACGAAATCACAAAAGTATAAGCGAAATAAAGAAAATTGTGAAATTGAAATGATTAAGTGATAAATGAAAATGGAATATATTGAATTCGAAATTAAATAATACTTTTCAATCAGTTCAATGTAGTCTAAAAGTAGAAAGTAGTTAAATACTTATTATCTAATTCATTCCTTCACCATTCGAAAAACCCCATTTAAATATCAATTTAAAACAGCATCTATCAATTTTATTTAATGTCTAAATCAAGTATTTAATTTCTAGCTTCTAGTCCAGGATTATCTGTACTCTCTTTACGTTCTATTCTAGTACTTGGTCTAAATCTATCATAGTCTTGATATTGTCCAAAAATTTTTCTTCCAGAAACCTTCTGATTATCTTTGACATTGATTTCAGTTCCAATTTGGACAGGCCATGGTAATTTTTCTTGTCGTCGTGCTCCTGAAGGATCTGCGAGTAATTTAGCTGCTTCATCAGCACTGCGAACTTCTTTGTAAGTGTCATGATCTAAATTTTGATCCAAATAACGAACCTCGTCAACTCTATCAGTATAATGCACGTAAGGGCGATCTAAGTAAGTGGATCTTTTGATATAAGGATCATAACCACCATAAGGATAGCTTCTGTAGCGATATCTAGTTTCGACATCTCGATCCATCATGTTGGGAATTTTTTTAGGGAAGCCATCACGTGTCATCATAGGAATAGAAGGTCTGATATGATCATGAGGTCTTTGATAGCTTCGAAGATCAACAGGCTTGCGAACAATCTCAGGTAATGTTGCATAATAAATTATTCTTTTAGGCTTTGGTGTTGGTCGATTTCGATATAAATCATAGTCTTCAATACGATAACGGTCTGATGAATAAGCTGTCGGCTCGTTTAATCCTCTAACGTAGTATTCTCGTTCTGTTCTAAAGTGATCTGGATAGTAATAACCTCGGGAGTAAGTTGCATCGAATTCACGATCGCGAAGAGGAGTTCTGAATGATACATCATCATATGTTCTTGATATCGGGAAATCTCTTGACTCCCTAGATTCTCGCACATCATAATTCCTCCTATTTGCTGTGATAAAATCGGTCCTCGGAGCTTCATCTCTCTGTGATGGAGATCGAGATGTTTCATCATCTTCACTAGCAGCTTCTTCAGCATCAGTTCTATGACGGAATTCAACAGAAAGAGGCTGTGTTGACCAAGATTCAGGAGAACCCAAACGAGGTTCTCGAGCACTTTTTGTTCCAGATATTTTCTCCATTTGATTTTCATCTGCCTCTCTACGTATTCTAGAATGATCTTCAATTATTTCCAATGATGTTTCGTCCGGTTTTTCATGACTTTCAGAACAAGACCCATAATGTCTAGCTTTACGACGTGTTTCTTTTTCCCAGGGTTCTGATAATACTTCTACATCGTCGTTTGGATTTCTTATGGCTCCTTTGAAAAGTGGATGATCGTATAATAATTCTGGAGAACGGCTATCCTCCATATCTTCTAGTTCTTTTGCAATACGATTTCCTCTCACTTCACCTGTTTGATCAAATTCTTTTAAATCTACAAGTGTTTCAGGAATTTTTATTGTTGGAGAAGACTCTCGAGATGCCAAACGACCAACTCCACTGATGCTACGCACTTCAAACGCTGATAGGTCAAGACGAGGCCAAGTTGGATGAGTTGTGTGTTCTGCATTGGTGTTTGAAGATATTTCCCATGCTTTTCCAACACCTACAGCAGAGCTGTTTGCTAGGAGGTTGACCAGAATCGCAAAAAATGCAATCATGATGCCTGAAACATAAATATTTAAAAGAATAATAATTCATCAAACTCAAATCTATGGGAATATCACTCCTATCTACATTGTATGATCAGTGTTCACTGGTCCATAAATGTCACGGTAATTTTTCTTTCACTATGACATATAATAGCAAATACGTATTTGTTTGATTCTATAGCATGACCCAAACGTTACCACGACAAAAATAATTTCCCTAAGCACTTCCGTAGCTTTTATAAAACAGAAGATTGACGAGGCTGAGATCCGGCTGACACTATCCGGTTGGTGAGAGTCATGACACGATGTAAAAAGTTAGTTCACCTTGTTAACAAATAGCTTATGATTTTTTGAAATATTTCATAAAATAGTGGTGCAAGATAACAATAGAAATCGGAAGTGTTTGAGTGGTAATAAAGTATAGCGGTATGGTAATATTCGAAGCGACAACTAAGATACTTGTCATGGATAGCGGAACAAATCTTCGAGAGAATCAAGTTACATCCTGCGATTGCCACTGTGTAAACTAACAGTTCCGGGTTTATACAGTTATGCCTAGTTCAATGTACTACACAAATTTGCAATTAACACATTAATTACTTTTACAAATGGATGAGAATCAGTGTATGACATTTTTCATTCATTCTAAGAGATTAAAACGACTTTATTATGACAATTGGTACAATTTAGATTATTAGAGCGTTGACTTATTTCTAGATTTACTCAAAAAGCTATTTTTCATCTCGATAACATCTTTTATAAAATTTATTTTAAAAGTAATGAATGAAAAACGTTTCTTAATTAGCACGAATTGATTGATGTATTAAATATGTCTCGAAATAAGCTTATGAATATCTTTTATCTGAATAATTGTAAATGCTTATTCGATGTAACAAGAAAAGGATAAATTGATAATATGTGTAAATGATATGCAGTAATGATTAAAGAATAAAAATGTTTTACCTTGTAGATAGTGTCAGTAATAATTTCTTCACCACCCCCGCGATACTGTCCGGTTGAAGTTGAAATGATGACTGGAGTTACGAAGCTTAACACTTGTCGACTGTTTATAGTCACATCTATACTGCGTCACCGTTTCCCAACGGTAATGAACATTCACCCCTTCCATGGTGACTGCAATCAGTTTACGAGGGAATTGTTTAAGCTGTATATACGTATCCTTCGTGCTAAAATATGTCTAGAGATGTATCTAATGAACACTGAAAATAAATTGCACACTTAATATTCCATAAGTAAGGTACTCTCATTAGGGCCATTAAATGATCCCGTTGCGTGCCTAGAATGTGACCTCTTGATGCTTTGATCATTATATATTATGTATCCAGAATCTTTGTAACTTATTCTCACGTTTTTATAATTTAGATAAAATTGCAATAACGTTTAAAAATACCGTTACTTTATAATCATTAATGAATTAGAGCTGAATAATTTATAGTAACTGTTCTTATAGCTTTTTAATAAAAATTGTAGTCAAAGCTATTTTAATCAAACAATTAATGTGTCGGTTTAATTTTTTATATTGAAAATTGCGCGATAAGTGTTTGAACTGCAGTTGATAAAACAGTGTGGTTTGAATTCAGGTGATAGATGGCGTCATGAGGAATGTCTCTGGCCAATGAGAAGTTGAGTATCAGCAACATGCCGCGCGTACAGTTCATCGCCATTTCTTTTTCTCGTTCACAAAAGGTATATGTAGCACGCTTTTCACATTGTGTTAAAAATCGTTTTATAACAATGACATCGCTAATTATTTTAGTCGGTGCAAAATCGAATTACAATCTAGAATGTGTGAATAATAACGTGGTTTGTTTATTTCAGCAGCCTGATCCTCCAAAATCATGTCTGACAACGAAGTGTAAGTCTTATTTATAAATTTATGGATTTAATTTATTCGCCTAATTTTTCAATAAATTAAAAAATTTTAATGTAAATAATCGTTGAATATTTATATATATTTGACAGAATCTTTCTTGTTTATATTCTCGTTCTAAAAATCGTAAGAAATTATCTGTTATAACCTATGTTATTAAATTGTTTATTTTAACCTACCAACAATTTATTTACCTAAAATTATTTATATATATTGTTTGATTATAGTGACGATACCTCTGCGGAATTCCCTGCGGGAAATTTTATGGACGTGAATCAAGCTTTACAAGAGGTCTTGAAAAATGCATTAATCCATGATGGTGTTGTACATGGCCTCCATGAAGCTGCCAAAGCTCTTGACAAGTATAATTTTATTGTACCATTGAATATTAAATGATATCGTGATTTACTTTGATCAAGTGAGTATTAACAATTATATTACTTGTAATTTTCAGGAGACAGGCTATGCTCTGCATACTTGCAGAAAATTGTGACGAACCAATGTACAAGAAACTTGTCCAAGCTCTTTGCAATGAACACCAAATTCCATTGATTAAAGTAGACAACAACAAAAAATTAGGAGAATGGGCAGGTTTATGTAAAATAGACAGCGCTGGTAAAGCAAGGAAAGTAGTTGGCTGCTCTTGCGTCGTAATAAAGGTATTCAAAAAAAATTCAATTGGAATTTTAATTATACTTATTTTATTCAATTTATATGATGAGAATCTAGGCTCCCTCTACTGAAATGAACCCAATAAAACCATGCTGAGAAAGCCTTGTCTGACATAGTTTTTGTATTTAAATCTAAAATTTCTAAATAATGTAGCATTTTGTCTAAAAAAAATGAATTTATTCCAGGATTTCGGCGATGAGACTCCTGCTAAAGATATCTTGATGGAATATTTAAAGCAAAATTCTGTACACTAAGATAATTTTAATAAAACAACAAAATTTTATTTAATTGTATAATTATTTTTGTAGAAGTGAAATTTCATTTCTCAGCATCTCCCATTTTCTTTACTAATTGTTCGCAAATTTTTTTATGAGTATTCCAATCTTTAACTTGACATGCTCTGTAACATACCAATTATTTTCAATTCAAACCATAATGCATGTTTAATTGAATATCTTACGTACCTCCCACAATACCAAACACTTTTACATTTTGAACATCGTTTAGAAGCAACTTCTTTGCACAAAGCACATTTATCTTTCTCTTCAAAAATGATTTTATCTACATCATAAGCATCACTTAGAACTTGTGCTGTTTCTTTTACGTAATTCATATCCTTACTATGAAAGAGCTGAAGTTGTGTATCAGCTAATTTTTTCCACTGTTTTTTATACTTTTCTAAGATAGTTGCTTGAATCTATACAAAATTAATATCATGTACGATTAATTGTTATACCTCATATATTTTTTCTTATTCACTATACCTGTGGAATAAGTTCAACACAAATCGTAGGTTTAGTTTCTGAAGGCTGTGAAGAAATATTTAAATAGCTTAACCATCGTCGTAGATCAATTAAAGGAGAAATTTGATCAAGAACTTTTTCATGTAAATATTTTTGCAATTTTGTCAATTCCGATATTCTAAACTGAGTAATTTGATAATAAGGAGCACATTTAGGGTTCAAAAGTAATCCTCTCAAACAAATCCAAATCTGTCCTTCTATTTTACTTATCTTGTCTTCTTCTCCTTTTGTTACTCTATCCCATTTTGATGTATATATCATTCTCTCTCCATTAATAACTTTAATCCAAGGCTTCTTTTCAATTAACTGAGTAAATAAATATGGTACATCATGGGTTGATAGCAATCGCTTCAAAAAAGCTAATGGTAAATTATCAGAACGAGTTGCAAGATACCCTATGATTGCAATACATTTAATACTAATATCAAATTCAATTTCATCTTTTTTAATTAATATCTCTGTAGTCCATGAATTATCAGGCCTTTGTACATTTGTTTTTGTTTTAGGAAAAATAATAGATGTTAGATAGCTAACAGCATAATCAATGAGGTCTAGAGTAGAATCATCCATAGACTCAATGCTATCAGAATGAAATAAAATATTTTCCATAAGAGACACTGCAATGTTTTCATGATACAAGATACTATAAATCATAAAAGTATTGGATAACTCTTTGTTTGATTCGATTAAATATGGGAATATTTTCTGTTTCCAAATTGATATTTGTATTGCTTCATGAATTAAAATAGGAATCTGGTGAGAAGCAAGTAATAATACTTTTTTCTTTTCAATTTGACCATTGAATTTATAAGAAATTATCATACTTACTTTTTGAAAAGTAACAAACCATTCTTTAACAGCTTCATCATGCATGTGACTGATATCTAGGATACTTTGTTGATTCAAATGCATGAGTTTTTTATGGTATTCAAACCATGATGTTTTACCAATATCTTCTAGATCAGATATTTCTAAATTTTCGATATAACTTTCGATCTCCCAAGGTTGCAATATGTATTCATATTCTTCTGACATTTTTCTGCAAATAGAAATTTTATTTCTACAATATAGAAGTGTTCCTATAAACTGTTTCCTTGGATAATTCTGTTTCCTTGGATACTTTGAAGATATTTATTGAATAATCAAGAACCCATTAATAAAAAGTCATACAAACTACGTAAAAAATATTAATGATTAATTTTGTAAATTAGTGCTAGTAAAAAATCTATTCTTTTTAAACAGTTTAATTGCTTGATTAAAAATGTAATTTCAATTTTGGGCTGACGTTCATTTTTTTTTAAATATGAGCGCCTCAGAGCTTTACTACTTGCGCGACATCTGCAGACGTAAAGGTTCATAATTAATTTTGGGTAATTAAGATACGCGTCTTGTTGCAACACAATCCGCCAAATAACTAATCAATTGAAAATCTATTCTTTTTATTAATAAACCATTCAAAACACAATTAAAAAATTGTTTACTTAATATTATCAGCAGTTGTCTGTCATTGATTATAGTGTGAATATTTAATAATCATCAAATGGAAGACGAACACATGTAATTGAAATAAAATCGAAGTTTTACCAGAAATAAAATATTGTGTATTTTTAATATTTTATAAATTTGAAGAAACAAAATCATAAAAAAAAAACGAGTAAAGAAAATATGTGAAATAGTGTTTAATCATGAATAAAGTAATAATGGATACTGCAAGTCAAAATAGTGAACTTAATCCGCAATATTTACTAAATCAATTAAATATTGCTCGTAAAGAAATAAATAATTTGAGGTATTATTATGCAATTTATATTCTTCAATATTATTCATTAAAAATGTATCTTTCAACGTGAATTATTTTCAGACAACAAATTAAAAGTCTACGGTACATTTTTGAGAAAGATGTGAATGGAATAAAACGTCTTATTGAATTGCATTCAGATGGAATCCAAGCATTTTCTAATTCTGTCATTCAGAATCAGCAACCTTCTGCTATAGAATCAGCATCAACTTCTCAATCCAATACTTCAATTAGTTTGGAGCCAATAGGAATTATTAATACTGGCTTTCCTAATAAACGTGGAACTCCACGGCAGCCAGGAGTTTGCAAAGAATCACGTGGGAAAATAACTCTATTCAATTCTGTTTTCACAAATCCAGATCATGCACTTAATGGTTTACATGAATTTTCACACATGTGGTACAGTTTATTTACCTTTTTTAGATGTTATATATTACTGATTATAAAAACATACTAATGCATTCACTGTTTTTAGGATTCTTTTTCATTTTCATAGAAATGATTCAACTCATGTACGAGCAAAGGTTGCTCCTCCAAGATTAAACGGAGCAAGAACTGGAGTATTTTCTACTCGATCTCCGCATCGTCCATGTCCAATTGGACTTAGTTTAGTGAAAATAATAAAAATTAAAGGAAATACAATATTATTTGAAGGTGTTGATACTGTGGATGGTACTCCAGTGTTAGATATAAAGCCATATATCCCTCAATATGACAATCCACTACATGTGGAACAATTAATTAGACGAGAAAATTCAGATTTTAATAATTATAGACTCAGTCCAAATAATATAGAATTTAATAGAGATTTAGAAGATGAAGAATCTCAAGAATTTGATGTTTCAAGAGATGAAGAATTAGCAATGAGACTACAAGCTGAAGAATTTCAACAAGGACCAAATGTCTATGAAGTTAATTCACCATTACGATACTCACAATCTTCAGAAGCATCTCTGTCTGCTAACAATCTTCCTGAAAATGCTGATGTTTTTGTAAATAATGAAGATACAAATCAAGACGCAGCAGCAGTTAATCAAGGAAATTCCCAAGACACAGATGTTTTATCAATAAATGAAGCTAGTAATTTAGTTCAAAATATAAACTTAGAATCTCAAGATTCTAGAAACTCAAGACTTCTGGATGGTGCAGATGGACCAAGGACAATATGTGTCACAGACATGGATTTAATTAATCGACGAGCATTGATTTCACGATTAGACAATTCACCAGTAAGAATGGGTGTTAGAGAAGCTCCTGATGGAGAAGAAGGTTTAGAATCACAATCTTTAAGACCATCTCTAACTATTGGAAACATTCAAAATATTTCTGCTAATGTTAATAATACCCTTCAGAATTATTCGAGCTCATCCAACGTTGACGTAACTGAAAATAGTCAATTCCAGGTACGTGTTCCAGATTGGATTACGCAACCACAAACTAGATCATTGTCTGTTATTTTCAATGAACGAGCTATTAGACAGCTTACTGAAATTGTTAATGATAAAGCTGATGAAGAAAAGCATGCTATTATCAACGTTTTACGAGAGGACCCAAGATCGGTATACCTGAGACAACGATGGGCAAACCAATTTTATACTTTTTTAATTCATGATTTGCATATTAGTTGTAAGTTCGATGATAACAGAGGAATTGTAACTGTTTTCCAAATACGTCATGCAGGACGTACTTGTGAATGTGGTGAACCTGAATGGCAATGCCTCGGTCATTCACCCATTTCATAATTTTGATATTTTTTTATCAATTTTTATATCAAATTTTATAATATTCTTTGATTATAATAATATGCTTGTCCTAAGAAGTTTAACTCATACATTAATGATTTAATTGATTATTATTTATGAACAAGTATATGTGCAATGATAAGACTAATTATTACAGGAATTAATTATTTATCAGAATCACGAATACATTCTTATTGTAGTATCAGCCCCAGCTGAGAAAACCCACGGTTGTATCGGATGAAACATGACGTCTAGTATCCCAAAATCATTTGATTTTTCATGATTGCTAAGCTTCTTAAGAGGAACAATTAATGGATTTTGTAACAAATCGTTATAAACCATTCCATGAGATACAATAAGACTACAATCATCAGCTCCCGATGCAAAGAGTGGATAACGTTTATGAAAAGCTACTCCTCGAACGCCAGTTCCATGCAACCTTAACGTCTGATATGGTTTTGTACTTAAATCCAGATCGAACCATAAAATTTTCCTGTCATATGTTCCTACCAGAAGATTATCACCACCTAGAAATAATAATATTAATTATTCGAATGCTCTTCCATTTGTTATTTAATTATTTAAATAATTATTTTTTCATTACCTGGATGAATTGCCATACTAGAAACCCACTGAGAGTTGGAAAACAATTTTTTTACCATCTCTTGTTTAATTAAATCGTATATACGAACATTTCGTTGAGTCTGAAAAATGAAATGAGAATAAATAGGGTATTGAAATAAAAGTTATAATAATTAATCCATGCTTGGGTTTTGTATGTAGTACTTAAAAAATTTTCTTTAAATTATAATCTGATGATGTATGATTAAAATAGTTATAAACTGTTTCTTCAGTCAAATAAATGTTTTTGTAGACTTTACTAAATTATGAATTTAAATTTATTCATTCTTACCGCAACAAATAAGAAAGGCCTGATTGGATGGAATAAAACACATTGTATAAGTCCTTTAGACCTGGTGAAAGGTAACTGTGATCGTCTTTTGGACAATTGACTTATAATCACCGATCTGTTTTGTCCATCAGGCATCACTGCTGCAAAGTAATCTCCTTTAGGATGCCATGTAACTTGTTTGACAGTCTTAAAATGGTTAATAATAATCCTTATTCCTTTTTGCCAATTTTCTCCTTCCGCCTGTTCCCACTGAACAGCTGAAGCAACTCTCTCAGGCATTACTTTATCGCTTTCAGGAATTATTTCAAGAAGCTTGTCTGTTTTACTCGTTACTAAATGATCTCCAACACCAGGATTTATCAATAAAATTTTTCTATCAGCTGCTACGGCTATCAAAGATACAGATTCACTTGGTGACCAAGCAATGCTTCTAACAATACCTCCACAAGGTATAGATTTAACACATCGGCCTGTTGCAACTTCCCATATTCTTATCGTCATGTCATCACCTCCAGAAGCAATATATTGACCTCTGTTTTGAGCTGTGATTGTTCTCACCATGTCTGTATGTCCTTTGAATACCATAGACATTGTTGTAGGGAATGGCTGTAAGTCCTGTGGACTTGGGAGTTGTGGTACTAATGCTGAAGGTTCAATGTTTAGCTTCATTTTTAAAGCTCTCGGACACAGATAAAGATCCAAACATCGTTGGAACCGCTCTTTAATAAATCGAGGATAAGCGGGAACCTCTCGCAAGGAAGAATATTTTTCAGGAATAAAGTGTAATTTTCTTTTCCAAGGTGTTTCTTTTAATTTATTCCACTCTCGACGTTCTTTCTTGTCAAATAAAAACTCTGGAGGTGGATTATAACTTTCTGCATGGCCAGGTAAATGTCTTTTTGGTGCTGAAATATGTTTATGGATTCTCCTCATTTCTTCTGGTTGATCATCACTTTGCCAGAGCATGTAAAACTGTGGTTCTTTTTGCTTTTGTTCTCGCTCTTTTTCCATTTCTGCTGTTGATTTCATCCAACCCATCTTCAAAGCATGAACTAACTTAGATACCTTTCTAGCTTCAACTTTAGATGGTAAGAATGATCTTTTATGCTCTGGGAACTTCCTCAAGGGCATTTTTTCAACTTGAGATGTGAACCAGTCCACCCATGGAGCATATTCATCAAACTGAGCATCAGGAATTTTTTGTTTTTGAATTCGAGTAATTAATTCAATATCTTCTTCACTCAAGATAACATCTTGGCCAGTTTGAGGATCTTTAACACTTCTCCAGAAATCTGGATCTTCCATTCTCTTCAGAAAATTATCTAATTGATCACCTTTTTCAGGTTTTATTATTTTTCTCCCTTCCCAATCATAACCGATGTGAGGATATTCATCATACCATTTCATTGGAATATTACCTACGGTATTCCTTATGTCCTCTTCGTCAGAACTGTCATACTCATACTCATTATTGATAATCGTTTTAATTATCCTTTCTTTTTGTTCTGACTTCTCTCCACTGTCATTTTCAGCTGGTAATTTCTCTAAATTTTTTTCGTTTTTTCTTATACTATTTTTTGAAGTTAAGAAAGGTTTTTTAACCATTTTTTTTTGTTCTTTAATTTCTTCTTCCTCTTCATCTTCATCATCAAATTCTTCTTCTGCTTCACTTTCTGTTAAATTATCATTCGAATCCTCTTCTTCATCATCTTCATCTTCATCTGCCTCATCCTCATCATCATCTTCGGTATCATCACTTTCATCATCAGAGCCAAATACTACTTGATCGTCTTCCTCACCAGAATCAATAGATGGTTCTTCTGCATTTGATTCTGCATCAGAACTATCAGCGGAATCATTTAATTCAGCACTTAGTAAATCTTCAGCTCCTGAATCCTAATAAAAAAACAATTAATTAAATAACTTGAATAGAGTTAAATGACAGCAATCAAAACGTAAACAATACCTCTTCAGAAGAATTATGTGTATTCTTTGCATCTTCTTGCTCCTCAATTTTTTGTTTTAAAGGTTTTAATTTTCTTTTTGACGTATTTTTTATAGGCGGTGCCATTATAATTTATCTTTTTAATAAAATATTCAAAAAACTGTTTATTTATTTTGATGCTATTTAATGTAACGATAACGAACACGTGTACTCCTTTAAGGTTATGTTTTTGGAGTCAAAGCAAGCCTGCTAATTATCAATAAAAGTTAGGTCGACCACGTGATCAAAATGATCGTCTACTTGGAGAAATGAACACCAGGTGGTGAGTTGTGGAAAATGAATACGAGGAAAAATGGTTAAATAAATTTATTTTTGACTAAAAATGTCAAAAACAATTGATTAAATAATTACAATAAAATAGTATTTGATGATATTGTAATAATTAATAAAAAATTTAATCAAAAAATAATCGTAAATAATTATTATAATGATTTAAAAGTGAAATTAATCATGAATCGAGTTTATCAAAATTACTATTCAGTTATCATCATGATAAGAATGGTGCTATTATAAAAATATATTTTACTGAATGTTAATTAATAGTAATAATAATAAAAAGTGTAGAATGTGATTTGATAGATTACATGTTGATAATATGAGTCATACATAACCTATTTGTCGTAGAAATTAATTAAAATTTGGTTAAGTATCATGGCTCAGTGTAAATTAACTCCGAGGGAGTTTATAGGAAATGTTTTCTCCCCACAAATTGGTGCTGTTTGTTCACCTGCTGCTGAAGCAGCATGTCAGAAAAATAATTTGTCTTTCATTGAATTACTCCAGCCTTTTTGCCACCTTAGTGCCGAAGGTATATGTTCTGATTTTTCTCCTTTTTCAATAGTATACAATTTTTTACAATCATGATTCATACCAGAGACAAAGACACAATTAGAAAAAAAAATGAAGTAGACTTTAATCAATTTTTTTTATTATTCTAATAAATCATAGCTATATATGTACTCAATATAATCACAAAAATTGGCTATCTTTTCAAAGTTCAATGATATAAAGTTGAATGTTTATTTTCAGGACATATTAAAGATCCTCAAGGTGCGACAATTTCTGTACGAAATCTTCGACTCTCTATTAAAGATATTTATGGTCAGCCACCTGAGCCTACGGTCGCAAGAAAAATGCTCAATGATTCTGTTAGCTCTGAACAATGTGAAAGAACAACTTCTATAAAAATAGGTACAACTGATTTAGATATTCCAGCAGCAATTCCTTGGTTTGAAGCTTGGAGAGATATGTTTCTCACTGTTCAATTTCCATCTGACCATGAATTTACCAAGCATTTTTTGGCTTGTTTAATTGTTGTGTCTACAGCAGATGACAACCCATTAGAGAAGATACAACAAATGGCTGCTCAATTGCATCAAAGTATGCCTGGCAAATTGCCAAAATGGTTCAATAACAATGCATTAAGATATTATATTTTAATTTGCGATACTACTCAAGATGATAAAGCAAGGTAAAGTTGAATAAATGCATTCAATGATATATTTATTATATTAGAATCATTTGACATTAGTTAATTTTTTATTTATTTTGATAATATTTTTTTTTAGGGCTGAATCAGTATTTACAGAGATGAAAAATCTTTACGATGTTAATAATTGTTTTTTACTCCAAATGAACTCACGACCCCCAGGTCAAGCAGAAGAGAATATTCATCTCCCCGACCCTTGGAGCCAATTTCTAGTAAAATACACCGACTTGTCAAGTAGCGATCATAGTAGTAGCCCGAGAACTCCAGCAGACACTGGTGGGTTAAGTGCAATGCCAAATGAAGTAAACAGTGGAACTGATAAATCAAGTCAAGCAGGGACTCCAATAGCTCCTCAGAATCCTCCGGTATTATTATCGCCGGATGTGACTGATAAAATAAGTTTGTCGTCGGAGATATCAGAAATTGCAGTTATACCAGTAGAAATAGGTCAAGATGTTACTACTCAATCTGTAATGATTCACCCATTGAGTCCTGAAAATGAAAAGCGATTTACTTCGTCCTATATAGAGAACATAAAGCCACAAGTTCAATCATCAGGATCTCCAATAAATGCAAATGTGTGGGCGGATTCACCCAGTCGTCCTATGGCACAGCATGGTGCACGATTATCAACGCAAGATCTAGATAAAATAAAAACGATGATCACTGATTTCTGTTTAAAAAGTTTGTTGCCTTATGTTGAGAAGCAGATAAGTCTCCTAAATGATGTAATTACCAACAAAAAAGGGGTAAGTCGTTCATTATTTAGTGCAACAAAACGGTGGTTCGGTACAAACAAACCAGGGGCTCCAGGATCAACGACAACTAATGCAGTAATTTATACTGCTGAGTCACCTGAACTCCAACTACGTCGATTAGGTGATCTCTGTTTTATGTTTAATCATTATGCTCTAGCATACCAAGCTTATCACAGCGCAAAAAGAGATTTTGCTGCTGATCAAGCGTGGCTTTATTATGCAGGAGCTTTAGAAATGGCTGCTCTGAGTGCATTTATGCAAGGAGAAATGACCAGAAAGACTATTGAATACATGGATGATGCAATTTTAACATATTTAAATAGTTGCAAAATGCCTCAGTTTGCCACAAGAGCAACTTTACTTAGCTCTGAATGTTTAAAAGGTCGAAATTTATTCGGAGATGCTGCTAAGCAGCTAATTCGTATGACTAGTGAAGATTCTGATTTACGATCTGCTCTTTTACTCGAACAAGCGTCATATTGTTTCATTTCATCCAAAATGATACATAAATATGCGTTTCATGCAGTTTTAGCTGGACATAGATTCTCCAAAGCAGGACAGAGAAAGCATTCTTTACGGTGTTATCAACAAGCCTATCAAGTTTATCGGGATAGAGGATGGTCTTTAGCTGAGGATCACATTCATTTTACTATTGGAAGACAAGCAGCATCCTTGAAGAAAATGGATGAAGCAGTGAAAGCTTTTGAGAAATTACTTAGTCCGTCGAGTAAACAACCAGCGACTCAACAAACAGCATTTCTCCGTGAATTTTTACACATTCATAATTTATTACTACAAGAAGCTCCATCACACTTTCACGGTCTTCCAGTTCTACCTCTACCTTTAATAGATGGTAATGAAATAAAAGTATACTTAGGACCACTAATGCCAATGGAAGATAATAACGTAGTTGATGTTTTCAATCGCCAAGATGAAGATGACACACGATGGATAAAACTTGAGGAAATACTTGTTACAGAAGCTCAGGGTACTGTTCCTATGATTTTTAAACCAACAATTCCACTATATTCAAATAAAACTAATAATACTTCCAAACCTAATGCTGTGGTTGATGAACCAATTCATTTATCTATTGAATTACATAATCCCCTTCGTATTCCAACTCCTTTATCGAAAATTAAACTAATATGGGCTTTCACCAAAGATGGGCAAACTGTTAGTAATGAAACATTTACAGAAAATTCATTATTGGAATCTAGTTCAGTTGAAACTGCCATTGTGGATTCAATTGTAATTCCAGCAATGTCTAAACAGCGCCTGGTATTATCATGTACACCTACACAAACAGGAGATTTAAAAATTCTTGGAATATCTTATAATTTATCAAATCCCACAGTTGGATCTGATCTTCCAGTTATTAATCCATCAATGAATATTCGTGGTAAACGACTGTTCGAGATCCGTGGACCGAAGCTCAAAAATGTTAAAGAGAAGCCAGGTGCAATGATGTACAGTGCTGATTATAGATTGGAAATGAATGTTGTTGACAAAGCACCTTTTATGCAGGTTTCATTTAGCGAAATAACACCACAGATGTTATGTGGAGAAATGAAAAGACTCGAAGTGACATTAAAGAACATAGGAAATGCTCCTTTGATGAATATATTAATTGGATCTACTGATGCAAGATTATTTTGTTTAGAAAATCAGACATGTGGATTGAATAAGGAAGAAAAAGAGAAACTTAATAGTCCAGTAAGTAGGATATGTCTACCGATATCTTCTAAAGGATGTTTAGATATTGGAGAAACATTTAAAATGCCTCTCTGGATACGAGCACCCCATGAAAAAGGAAACCACCGTCTAGACTTGATGTTTTATTATGAAAATCCTGAGCCCAAAAGTATTCCTAAATATCGGGTTTCAAGACATTCTTGGAAATTAGAAGTTATTTATTCATTGCAAATAAAAGCTATTGCAAGGCCTAGTGCGGTTACTAAAGATAAATCTTCAACAATGAATCTCATAGTTCAATTAAAAAATCAAACTATGAATTCTGATGTTTCTGAAATATCTCTAACTAAAATGTTACTAAAAAGTAATAACTGGAAATTGGATTCAAGTGACCAATTATTTAACTATAAAATAAAATCTCAGGAATCCTGTCATTTATTGCTCAAAATAGTAAGAAGAATGAATGAAATTGGTCTAAATTCTTACTCTGATGTTTTACTTGATAATAATGAAAATCAATCCATTGATTTGCCTTATATTGAATTTATTGAAAGGCGGAATATTAACCCCCAATGTTTAAATGAGAATTTTGTAGCTAATTCAACGATTCCTGCAAAAGAATCGTCTCTAGTCGATACTGTGAAAATTGGTGCAACAATAATCTTACGATGGCGAGCTAAAATTCTTGAGAATAATAGTTCTAATACTCGTGATGTTATAGGACAGCATTACCTAGATCTTGACCTAGTTAATAAGATGTATAAACATCCTACAGAGCCACAAGTTGAACAAACGGAGTATTCAAGCCGGTTAAAAATATTTGGACCAGATCGTAACATCCCTGACTCTACAAATACGAAGAAAAAAGACATTATTAATGAATCTGAGCTTCAAAAAAATGTGATAACCTATTCTTTGAGTCATGTTAGGAAATTAATACATAATTTTGATCAACAATTACTCTGTATCATTCCTGTAATGTTACATCTTCAGAATAATACCCAATCAAAGGTTTCAGTCAGAGTTAATACGATTGGTACCAGTAGGTAAGTTTAGAAAAAGTATCTAAAATGTCAAGTCATTGCGAAAATCTTTGCCAAAATAGTGTTATAAATGAATTTAAAATTAGAAATCTACCAAAATTAATTAAATTTATGATAAATAAGTGTTGTTATATAAAAAAGAAACTGTAAAGGCTTTTGTAGTAGACTATTCAGTTGGATGATAGAAGACTAGGCATTTTAATAATAGTATTATACTGTATCATTAACAAGTTGATTTCTTTTTCAGTCAATCATTTTTGCCAAATGTGAAATCGCAACTCTACTCGCCCCAGGCATCTACATTTTTTCGCTACACCTGTCATACGACTATTTGCTGTCAAATAGAACCGTATGGAAGATACACAGTTAATCTTCATGCCGTTACTTCTTCGCCGGGTACTTATGATTTAGCATCAAGATTAGATCTTTTTGCGAAACTCGAAGAATTTGCTAATTTCGTACCGCAAAAGTGGCGAACAGAAAGCGTATGTACCGTTAGTGAAGGAGATGTGTAAATTAAAAAATGTTTTTTAGATAAATACGAATGCAAAATCATTCCTTAGAAAAAAAAACATTCATTGTAAATAATTTATTCTACGAATAAAAACCATTTGAATATTTTATAGGAGAGTTTCGAGAGAAGATAAAACAAGAAATTTACTATTTAAATTAGTATTTTTAATTCACAAATGATTTAATACTCTTATGTGCATTTTAAAACATTTTACTTATTATCAATTAAATATATTTTAAGTTATAAAAATCTGAAGATAATTAACTATGCTTATTTATAAATTCAAATGAATGAATGGCAATAATAGAAACACACACTGCGAGTAGAAAAATTTAATTCCATCCACTTTTTGGTTAATAAACCTATAAAAAACATAACGGAAACATATCGCAAAAAACAGTTATTGCCAAAAATAATGCACTAATTATTTTATCACAATATTTAAAAAATACCTCTGTATAGAAAAATTAATAATAATTTAATGTATAATTAAAATTATGCAAAAGTTTATACATATTATATATTTAATTATTAATATTCATCAACCGAATATGTTGTATAAATTGTGAAATACTTTCATTGTATATATTTTTGAATTAAAAGAATAAATAACAAAATAGAATTTAATTTTCATGACATTGAACATCTGTTGCAATAAAAGTTGAAAAATATTTAATATTCTACTTCTTATCTGAGTCTTTTGTTAAATGATAAGTAAACAATTGTTACTATTTTTTTAGTTATTTATCAATACTATTCATTATGTTGTAATAAACAATTTAACAAACAATCATTCAATTATGTAAAGTAGTACATGACAATACCGACTGATTTGGAGTATGTAGTGGAGGCTTGATTATGACAAGTAATCAAGCCTTGATGTCTTGAACTGTCATATCAATTTTATATTTAGTTATGGAATATATTATAAAATTTTTTATGACGTGTAAACAAATTAGAATAATTAAAATTATAGCATAAATAATTTTTCTAATAATGTCAATGTGTAAAATAAAGCATCAACATTTTACATAATCTTAACCTATCATTTATGATAGCTTCTGTATGCATAAAGTTGTTAAAAGTAATTTATAATTATAAACAATGGGGGGGAATCACATTGGAAGTATTATCATATGGTAATCAACTTAATAAATAATATATTTTGTATATTTTTGTCTTTATAATCTTATTTTTCATTAACAACATTTGTATTTGCAGTGTTCTAGTGTTGTTCACTTTTGGAGTAATCTATGTGACGACGAAAATAGTGAAGTCTTTTGTAGATAATCAAGGAGATATATTAAATTCTCCGGTATCATATAGTTGGACCATGAGGTTAAGTCTTAATTTATTAGGTTATTCCACTATTTTACTACCTGGATACATAGTTTATAAATATGTAAGATACAGCAAGTACCTGCAACGAGCTGGTGAGTATATTTATTTTTAGATCCATTTAATGTTTCTATAAAACCGGTAATTGAATAAATAATATCTTTCATTATTTTAGGAACCGGAATCATCCCAAAAATAGTCCAAAAATGTTTTGTAGGAAGTGGAGAATCGGGAATACTTGATTCTTCTACTTATGTTCTCCAACCAACTAACAGTCATATACAACGTACATTTTCTCATGATGCCATTCTACTTGCTTATTGTTTTATTGGGTTACAAGTTAGCTATTTAACATGGGGATATTTGCAAGAAAAAATTATGACACAGGTAAAAACAATAGATATTTTTTTCTTTTAGAAAATAAATCAGACAAATAAGTGATATAAATATTTACTGATAATGTTTTTAAAAGGAATATGAAAATGACGCTGGTGAGAAAGAACATTTCAAAGACTCACAATTCTTAGTATTTGTAAATAGAATTCTTGCATTCACCATATCAGGACTGTACTTACTTGTAACAAAGCAACCTCAACATACTACTCCAATGTACAAATATGCATTCTGCTCTTTATCAAATATTATGAGCAGCTGGTGTCAATATGAGGCTCTTAAATATGTTAGTTTTCCTACTCAGGTACGTTGATTATTGTTCAATAAATATTTCATCATCTAAAAATAACAAAAACAAAACTATAACTAATAATAAGGAAATTATTTAAATGTTCACTATCAATTGATATTTTATTGACCAGGTTTTAGCCAAGGCCTCGAGAATAATTCCTGTAATGATAATGGGTAAAATTGTGTCACGGAATTCGTATGAGTACTATGAATATATTACAGCCCTATTAATATCAATTGGTATGACATTATTTATGTTAGGCAGTACAGAACGTGAGAATGGTATGCAAATTTTAACATTAAAAGAAAAGTTCTAAATTTCAATTCTTAGACTATATGAACAAAATTAACAATTTTAGACAGTGCTACAACAATTTCTGGAGTATTGATTCTTATCGGATATATGATATCAGACAGTTTTACTAGCAATTGGCAGAATGCTCTCTTCACAGAGTATGGAGTAACTAGTATTCAAATGATGTGTGCAGTTAACATGTTCTCATGTTTATTGACAGCAACATCGTTATCTCAACAATCTGGTTTCACACATTCGCTATACTTTATAATGAAGGTGAATTATTTTGTGATAAATTAACAAAATAACTTCATTTATTATGACTTGATAAATAATTACCTTTGTTCCAATTTCAGTATCCTTCCTTCATAGTAGATTTATTTCTTATTTCTATTTTTTCCGCGAGCGGACAACTATTTATTTTCTACACCATATCTAAGTTTGGTGCTGTTACATTCATTATAATAATGACGATCAGACAGGTAAAATATAAACTACATTTGCTACAATGATAAATCAATTGAATAAATAATAAATAAATCTATTCTAGGGATTGGCCATTCTCTTGTCATGTGTAATATACAAACATAAAATTACCATTTTTGGAGTAATAGGAATATTTGTTGTGTTTGGATCGATATTTTTACGAATTTATTGCAATAATAGACTTCGAGCAATTAGAAGACGACGAGCAGAGAGCGCAGCTATAAAAGATTAGTTAATTAATATTTATATTAATATTATTACAATACAGTAACTATTTTTTTTAACTTCATCTTTTTTTGTAAGAATTCCGCTTTCTATGGTAAGCAACATGAATTTTTTTGTTTCATTAAACTACGTCTAATAATTATTAATATATGCCAAGACAATAATAGTGTCAATAAATTCTTCGAAGGCATCTTTAGATATTTTATTGACTTTAAAGATACGTTTATCGCCATAGTTTATAAAGCAAAACCCCATTGATTCACGTTACAATCAAAATGTACAAAGTTATAACAGTATAATATCCAAAAACTTTTAGTTAAAAATGGCATGATGAAAAATACTGAAAGCTCGTTCAACAATTTGTTGAGCCATTCAATAGACTTATTGATAAATGTTATTTAAATTAAAGAAGTAATCTAAATAAGCATATGTTAAAAAAAAAGAATCGTGCATAATTTGAAAGGGTAATATATATATATAACAAAAGCAGACTTATGTTTATTGGCAATATGACGTCATATTTTTATTTGTATGAGTTGAATAAAAATAATAATTCATGAAACTTTACATGCACGACAATGACATATTTGTACAGAAAATACAATTGTATGATGTTTGTCAAAGTGAGCTATGTTAATGTAGCCATGTGTAATGTAAATGATGTTAATTAAACTAATGAAAAATGAAAGATGTTATTATAATAATAAATATCTTTAGTTGCTCAACAATATAAGTTTCATAAAATTATAGCAAAAGTTACGATACGATTTACTTAAAAAATACTCCTGTATATAATGAAGAGATAGTTTTTCATGACTATTCATTAAGTTAGCAATATCTAACTTAATAAATGTACGATATTTCACATTCATTTAAACGAAAAGATAAAAAGTTTTATTGAGTTGAAGTATTTACAATCAAGGACTTGCTTATACTTTGAAAAGTGTTAAATTCTTCTATCGTATCAGAATTTTTGCAATGATTCAATATCCCGTACATACTCTTACACAATTTAAGTGCAACTTTCACATACAAATCTATAATATCTTATGTGAGTCATTTAATACATTAATTGGACAGTGAATAATAACATAGAATTATTAATTACAGCTATCATTCTTACTATTATAATAGTTCTCTGATTTGCATCTATCGATGTCTGGAATGATTTAATTTGTAAAAAAATTATTTAACAAAGTTGAAAGCTATACTCGTTGATAAATGACTACTATAGAGCTTTTAATGTTTGACAAGGCGATGAATCATCATGATATGATGCATTATTGATCAGGCTGCATGCTTGGGATGAACAAAACAAGGCTTTAATGTCGTAATTTCATTCTTCAAAATGTGGAGGACGATAAATCGCTATAAGGCATAGCACAGAGATGAAGAGTTCAGATGTAAGCAGGACCAATTGTATACTACACAGGATCACCTCTAGCCTAAGGACATAACTTTGCCAGATGAGGAAATAAAGTGTTGCCAGTGCACTAGGTATTGTAAGGACAATTCCAAGTAATATTGGTAGTCCTCTTTCAGTCAAATTTCCCCTTCTACCAAGGTATACTCTTCCACCCTCTGTAACTATCAGAAACATCAGCAAAGAAAATTCTGTGATCGTTGTACCAGAACTTGATGCTGGAAGGCTTGTGGCTTTGTAGAGTCCCATGCCCAATTCGCATACAGCAAACATTCCAAAGTAGAATGAGTTTAAATACATTAAAATTTCGTAAGTAAGCGATGAGTTTGCGACTGATGGCATTTTGTCTTGACTTTAATTGTAAAAATATTTTTATTTTTTATTTAAATCATTCAGTCATTCAAGTCCACAATATATCCATTTCTGATAAAATTTATTGCTTATTCAACTCATCCAAGTTTCTTCATGGGTCAGAAAGTTGTCTACTTTATAATTCAACCCAGTAATTGATAAATTCATTGAATAATAGCTCACTGCACTCATTTTAGATTACTTTATCACACTTATCATTATTTTCTTTTTTATTTATTATCTTACGCTACTCCACGACACTGCAGAGATAATTTTCTATGAACATTGCGCGACAGCTCAACAATTATTTTTGGTATTCAGTAAATATGTATGCTTTTTCCCTTTTTGTTTATTTTTAACCTCCGCAACACAGCAACGCGTTGCCTCCGGACGGCTTCGTCCGTGGATGCATACAACGTAAATAGATATACCTCCAATTTGTCAACATATAAAAATGCAGGGGTGCGTGGGCCATTCTCGTACGCGCACGGTGGCGGGAAACATTACCACTTATTTAAATACATCAATTATACACTCTATAAATTTACTCAAATTCATAAAAATTTTAATAAAATTTCAATCTACTGAAAATTTACTGAAAAATATTCCTTTGTATAAAATAGTTAAATAACTTGTATTCTAATTAATAAACTTCCTATCAATTGAGAAAATACTCTGGAAAAATAAATAAACATTTGCGTCATTTAACAGTAAATACAATCAAGTTAGTGGAAATATTTTTTATTAATTTTTAATTAGTTAGTATGTTTCATGCTTACTTTCTATATCAGATAACTTATTAATCAATAAGATATTATCATTCTAATTATGTGCTTATATCATTTCAAATAATTATTAAAAATGATGATAGAAGAAAAAATAAAAATAATCATTGAGAGAAATTGCGATTTTTGCTTTTATTTTCATTATGTATAGTGATGCAAATGAATAACGTTAATTTAATACAAAAAAAAATCGTTATCACGAATCTCGGTCATCAAGAAAAGAGAAATGAGAAAAAAAGTGAAAATGTTGACGATACTTGAGGTAAATAATAATTAAAATACCATAGAATTATTGTAGAAAAAAAAACAACATTAACAATAATGATATTTCATTCAAACATCATTAAATAAAACGTTTAATTATTTTTAATTACTCCAAAAAAAATATAAAATACTTTTACTACTAATTAATAATTATTATGTATTTTTTTCATCCATAAGTTATCAATAAAATGAATTTTTTTAAACGCAAAATGTTAAAGTTATTCAATAGCTCAATTATTCAATTAATCAATAACGAGACAACCAGTTAATAGCTGTTAAAACAAATAACATAAATGTATGATTAATTTAATTCGCCAATCAACTAATTATTATCATCAGTCTCGATAAAATTAGGTCAGTAGGCATCAACAGGAAATAATTTACTTCCTGAAGAAGAAGAGGAAGAAGAAGCGAAAGAAAAAGAAATTTAATATTCTGAAGTCAACTTCACTACTCGTTTATCTCAGCATATCCAGCATATACTAACTTTCAGTTCACAAAAGGAACATTTTATTTTTTAGTTTAATGAAAGGTGTTTGTGGACCAGGATGTTGTTTTTGAGTGTATTAATTGTGTTGATAGATTTCAAAATACATCATTGGTTTAATACGTTTATAATAGTTTAATGTTGCTGAACTACTTGAAGTGATAACTTTCATACTAAAAGGTATTTATCATATTGAATATTTTTCCAGCAATAATTTAAGTTTATTTTTTATTCTAAAAGTCTAAGTAGAATGGTTACTTTAAAAACGAAAATTAGAGAAAAAGTGAATTGTAAATCAGTAGAAAATAATTCGTTATATCCTGTTGCAGTGAAAGTTCTACATCCTGGTATTAAAAAATAGTTTTTAGACCGTTAACTACATAATTCTTGATTTAATCTGACATATTATATTCTGATTTACAGCAATCACTAACTCTTCAATGAATCATTGATAATTAATAAGAAGATATTTTTTTGGGACAGTTGGTATAGGTGACACATACCTTGATGATGAGAGCCTTATTAGGATAGTCTGACGACTAGTGTCTGGGTTTATTGAACTGTATTAATGTATTCTTTAGAAGGATGAAGAACCAGCAGAACATGAAATTGGAGGCTGATAACCTTTTGAAATTCTCAAATAATTTCTTGGTTCAAACAACCGTTATTTTTCTTCCTGCTCACATGGACTCTTACGTCTCGTAAAATCTACAGAAAACCAGACCGTTCATGAAGGTTCTACATCTAATTATATATTCTTTGGAGTAGGATTTTGAATACTTTTGGTAGAATAGCTGATCAGTTTTTGTTTAGAAATTTTTTCTTCTTATTTTAAAATAAAAATAACTGTATTTGCTTGTTTTATATAACATTGATAAATATTTTTGTGATAAACGATTGCAAAAATTTCATTGTTTATTGATTGTTGGAGATCTTGACAGATGTTAAAGTCTGGTATTTGATGCAAGGACAAGATCAAGTTCTTCCTCTTATTACAAAATGCTTTGGAGCTATAAATGTTACAGACAGATCGTATATAATCATACCATTCACGATTTCGACCGGTCGTTAGTGGCTTTGCTTCCTGGTCGATTGCTGGAGCACCTTCGTCTTGATCCAGTCTAACACGCAGGAAAAAAAACTTGTGTTACAACGCATATATAGACGTCAAGTTTCTCTTAGTACTATATGATGCACGTGTTCAGTATATTTACTTTTATCAACTCATTATCGTAAAAATAATTAACATAATATTGATGAAATTCTTGATAATCACTTAAGTCATGTGTATATATACTTTTTGGATTAATGTATTAATTCAATTGTCTGATATTTTTTTTAAATATTTTATCAAGTTTATTCAAAGTTCTCAGGAAATTTTTATTTTTTAAAATCATTCAGATTCGTATGAAAAATATGCAAACAGTATTTATCACAGAATGGCATCAGGTTAAATAAATAATAAATCGATTAATTGATGTATTTATAATAAAACGTCTTGATACTTGGTGTGTTGTAATAAAATTGTAATGAAATTCGTGCTTGAATATTAATGAAATTTTATTGATAATTAAAAAATAGTTTTGTTGGCTGTTGATTTTATTGGGTCACTGTTAGCATCAATCTGAATCATCAGGCAACATTATACTACACATAACAAAGTGGTTCTAGAGGTAGTCATGCAAATTATCTGGTTGTTCGATAATCCTGCAATGTTTTGACCTTCACTTTTTCTTTATGCTTCCAAAATTAGTTTCTACTCACGTTCTTGGAGATCAATAACCCTCGTGACCTGCGAACGGAAGAATAAAAAATTGGTGAAAAGAAGTGAAAAAAAAAGAAAAAATCTTTTAAAAAAATTACGAACTACTTTAAAGTCCCTCTTGAAGGTTTCTACACATTCACGAGAAATAGAATTTCCCATAATAGTAAGACAATAAAGAAGTGTCTTTCTTAAAAGGCCATTCCCACAGATCTAGACTAAGAGTATACCATAACTTCCGCATGTTTTTATAGTAAGCATCACAATGGTGATATTCTCCAATAAACAATATGGAAGTAAAAAAAGGAATAAATCATAACAACATCAATAAGTTGAACCTTTTGGAGTCCAAGTAATCTTGTCCTGATGAAATATTTTTCTTGATTTCAAACAAGTTCCAATCAACAACTCACTCTGATCTATACATCCTTCTCTCCTTCAATATACTCCAAGCAAGTATATCATTTCCCCTTAGTCCGTTCTATGCGGTTCTATGTATAGAAATTCATTACCTCCCCCTAAACTCGTCCCAGAACGTTTCGATCCGGTCGAACTCCTATCTCTTCTTCTATCGCTGCATAGCATCGACCATCGTTCAAATGCAACCGCTGTCCCTCGTACATCCTTCTAACGCATGATAGAAGCCCAGGTGGTCTCTCGACACACCAAACATCTTCTAATGGTTCCCCTACTCTTGAATATCCAGCTCCAAAACTCATCATACGATCGCCGTTATATGAATACCTGTACCGGCTTCCTCTATCGATCCTTTTTCTCTTGATCACCTTTCTCTTTCTTTTTACCTTTCTCCTCTTCGCTTTCTTCGCTGCTTCTTGCTACTCACTCTTCGTTTTTATTGATGAATCCACGTGATGTCCAAGTTTATCCTTCCTATCGCCTTCTCTTACTTTTCAGGTCTCTCAAGCGTAGGGAGGGAAGGAGAGAAACATGATCGTCTTTACTCGATCGACTACACGTAAGCCTGTGACATAATATCACCTGGATACCTTTTTTCTTTCCTTATTCCAGGGTATTTATAAGATGGCGTGGTTGATTACCTGTTATCCTGCCGAGTAATTGATGCAATTATTGTTGAATGTAAATTCATGCAGTTGTATATATATGTATATATATATATGTTTCTCCTCCTTCTTCCCTCTCCTTCCATATCGTTGGTACCACTCGAGGCACACTGCAGTGATTACATTCCCTATCCCCCCATTACAATACTACGCCAGATCACCGGACATGTAAACAACAGGAACGAAGACAGCGTTTGTCTGTGATGACGATCACATTTCGGCTCTCGTTGAATCTCGGTCGTATCCAAGGCATTCCGGGCCATTTTTGTCCGGAGTTAAATTGTAAAAAAAGTGATAGCACAACACACGAAGGCTTGCAATGTGCGCGAAGATAACGACTGCACACGTGCGTAAAATGCATGCGTGACTAAAAGGAGGAAAAACGAACAAGAGGTAGAAAAACGAAGACGACAGAGAGAAAAAAAGAGGGATTCCGTTCTCTTCCTCGCGCCTTCCTTCTCGCTTTAACTTCTTCCCCTGGTCCTGACTTGATCTTTGCGTCTCTTCGCCCCTCCGTAGCCCTCCCCCTCTCCCATCGTAGCTTTGTCCCTCACTCCCTCTCCTTGCTTCCTCTTTCTCCCCTATCTTTTCGAAAATATACGTGTCCTGAGACTTTTTAGGATCAGTACGGTCACAGACGCTTGGGGAAGCGGTACTACCGCATCACCCGCGTTCGACTCGGACTCTTTACCCTTATTTTTTATTTCTTCTTTTCCCGCTCATTAAACAAGCTGTCATCTGATTACACTGTGGTCTTCGTTTTAAGCCTGATTATCTAAATGAACGTGCCACGAGGAAATTAATATCAATTTCATTTTTCTACTGTCAAGATCAAGGACTTTTATTTGTACACAATTTTTCTTCAGGCCAAATATTAACATATCTTCAGTTGATTTCAATACTTGACCTTCTCAAGTAAGTACTTGCAATTGTCATCATTGTCATTTCGGTTTCCGGCCTGATCCATGACAAAACGTGTTGTGATAATCTACTGATTATAATCGGCCCACGCTGTCTCGAGCTCCAACGCAGTCTGTCTGTTGTAGCCGACCATTTTAAATACTTTTATTCGCGCTTTATTTTCAAGTGTTTATAATCAACCACTCATCATTATTTGTACAGTGGTTAAACATCATTATTTATATTTATCCAATTATTATTTTTTTTTTTCATTTGAGTTTATGTGAGTTTCTTTTTTTTTTTTTTTACTTTTTACTTTTAATCATACATCGACACTTTAATTAATTCATTTTAAATTATTTAATTAATATTCGATTAATGTTGAGTAATATACACACAATTGAGAATATTTAAGAAACGTTTTAATTTAAAAATATTCGCGCAATCGATAAGATTATTAGGTAGACGTCTCATTAATTTAAATAAATTTCATATAATCTATTTTAATATCAAAATTTTTTGTTTATTTAAATTTCAAGTATTCACTATTTATTTTTTATTTTTTTTTAATTATTTTCAATTGTATTAAACATTTTTCACAGTACACAATTTATTCAATGACAAATATAATATCCCCATTTATTGATGATGATAAGTGAGAGAGGATATCAAATGTGATAACAATGAGTACTGGTGTTATAAATAAAGAACGCAATGAAAATCAGTATGGTCGAGGTCAGTGGAGAGAGATGAATTTTTTTTGTTAACCTTCAATTTTACTTAATGATCTAATTTTTTCTTCTCTCCAATATCATAGTAATAAAAGAAAAAAAAATTTCTTATTATTATTTATAATAAATTTATAAATATAAAAAAATTAATTTTTTAAATTTTTTTCTGTCATATATTTTTTGCATAATGTTTAGAATGTTATTATCGGTCATTCACCAATGCAATTAGCCTTATTAGATAACCCAATAATAATTCTATTATAATACAGAAGAATAGACATAAAGGAAGAGCTCGAGGGATTTTTTTTTCTCCTTTTTTATTCGATGACAATGAAATTTTGCAATATTTATCCGCATTCATTAACCCCAACTTAAATACTTTCGCAACTCAAACAAACTGTCATCGATAATAATTCACGTTGATAAAAGTAATTATACGGATAATTGATGCGTATAATATTGCGTGATCTAGTGACTCGTTTTCTAATCATCATATTTCGCATGTGCACAGAGGGGATAAGATAAATAAATTTGCGCTCGACTTTACTGAGATATCAGAGTAGAACCACACTGATTAGAGAGCTAATAGTGAATTCTACCATTTTAGAGGGGAACGCAATTAACTACTGAGAAAAGTAAGATAATAAGAAATCATCAGAAGCCCCTATAAGAATTTATATCAGTTGGGCCGGCAGTAATCGGTACTTTACTACTGCGAATCACTCACTGTTGCTATCATTCAATGAATTTATTTTTCACTTATCGAATTGATAAAAATGTACGTTTTTATCTGAAAAGTAATCTAATAATTATATTCGCTTTTTTTTTGTAGAGAAAAATGCATCGAAAAAAGTTTGGAATGCTCGCCTTAGAGGCTTGGTTTGAAGCTATCACTGCTATGTTTATTGCAGTCATTGTTTTTGCCACGAGGTACAAGCCACTCTGGTGGTTTGGAACCGGAAATCATAAGTCTCACAAGTCTGATAGTAAGTCATTTTTACTTATTTATTCATAAAATTATTTATTGATTTTTAATTCTCATCCTTTGGCTTTGTTTTCTTTTTTTTTCTTACTAATACTTTCCTAAGATTGATATTTTGTTTCATTTTTAATTTAGTATTTTGTTGATTCAAAAAAAAAAAAAAACTTTATAATTATAATCACAATTTATACTAAATACATATTTTAATACCTAGGATTAATAATGTATTTATATAATTAAATTAAATATTTTATTAAATTAAAAAAACTAAATAAAACTAATCTATAATAGTAAATTATATTAAATTTGCAATTAAAATAAATCAAGTTGTAAAAATTAGAATCTTTTTATAATTAGAAATAAATTAGAATAAATAAGTAGAAGAAAGTAGTTTACATTTTTTTATTATATTATTTCTATAAATGATTCATAAAACTATTTATTAGTGGTGATAAAAATTTTATAAAAAAATAATCAAAACTAGCAAAAAAAAAAAAAAACATATTTGGATAAAATCATATCTAACATATTTCAGTCGATCAAAGTACATTCATTACAAATAAGTAGAATTATTTAACTTCTGATATCATTACTATCGATAAGAAAAAAAGTGTAGTTGATTGATGGGAATCAGAGTCGATAGTAAAGTAAACCGGTTAGGTAGTAAAAAGGAAAAGCACGCGACACGTTATGTTGATGATGATAGTCAGTGAATCTGAGTGATAAAATGATTACTGTTGGTGTTATTGCCTAATGAGGGGGTTTATAACGGTATTCACATTGCAATGTCTTAGCATTAACAAAATTCTCATTCCTACAAGTTGTCCCAGCTTATTTATGAGTCAAGGTTTTCAAATTTAAAATACTTTCGAAATATTTCTAAAAAAAGCTTCGAGTCTATTCCATAATCAATTCCACTCTTTATTTTTATTGTATTCAACCAAAATGAAGAAGACTCGTCTGTGTATAAAGACTTGCCATTATTCAATTCATAAGAGATCCATAAAAAACTAAAAACAGAGTTGGAGCTTCCAATGCAACTGCAAGTTTCAACTCACCACTATGGGTAATAAATTAAACCTAATTTGTTTTTTTATTTCTTCTCCAATGTTCACAGCATCTCCAGAAGATAAAATGCAAAGTCGATTTCCATCTGTTGATGATATTCCAGGACCATTTTCATTACCAATTTTGGGAACAAGGTGGATATTCTCGTTATTTGGATATTATCGAATGGATAAAATCCATGATGCTTACAAAGGTAGGTTTCTTTTTAATAAAGTTTTTTAGTTAATTATTTTTTATTATCATTTCATATCACTAATTATTTTTGATTATTCAATGTTAAATTTTCATCACTGATTTCTTTTTTATATCAACCAAAATTATTCATGATAATTTTATCTAACTTAAGAATTCATATTGTAGAAAAGGAAATTAACTAAAACAAGCCAAGTATTCATAATAATCTTTAGCGATGATAAGAATCAGTGATAATAATGGCTTTCATAGAATTCCAAATCATTAAACTTAAAACACTTGGATTGACATTATTATCTTTATTTGCAACATGAAAAATTTCTTTAACTCATTTCTAATTTAGATTTTGATTTCCTTTGATTTCTCTTTTGTTGCCAACACTTCCAAGAATTCTAAATATATTCTTTCCAACTTAATTCCCACTCTTATATTCTTTTCAATCACAATCATAATCTCTAAAAAAAATCACTAACTAAATTACTTGTTAGCATTGGGATTTTATCGAAAAAATATCATTTAATAATCAATGATAATTAGCTTATGTAAATTAAGTAATAAGTTAATAACATAAAATATAATTAACTAATCAAGACTGATATATGATCTGGTTTTTAATCCTTGATTGAAGAATAGACCTGAATCGACGTTACGGTCCATTGTGCAAAGAGGAAGCTTTATGGAATTATCCTGTGATATCAGTATTTTCCCGTAACGACATTGAATTGATCCTAAAAAAAGGATCACGTTATCCACTACGTCCACCCCAGGAGATTATATCGCAATATCGACAATCTCGTCGAGATCGATACACCAATCTTGGTCTTGTAAATGAGTGAGTATCGTCGCATCATTTCCCTAGTCAATTATGCAAACTGCAAGTCTATCCTCCAAGCCTTCCTCTAAGATGAATGTCTCCCATACTAGACTTGTTTCTCATTAATTTCTTGATCTATGAATAAAATAGACGAATAAGAATTATTTTTTTTTTTAATTTCCTTAATTAAATAGACAAGGAGAAACGTGGCATAAATTGAGAGAAGCTCTTACTCCAGAACTTATGGGAGCTAACACCGTCTTAGGATTTTTTCCTGCTTTAAATCAAGTTGCTGATGATTTCATTAATCTGATTCGAGTTCGAAGAACTGGAAATAATATTATTGGCTTTGAAGATCTTGCTTATAAAATGGGATTAGAGAGTAATTGATTATTTTATTATATTTTTTTTTTTTTTTTTATGTCACATATTGATTCAGTTTTATTAAATAATATTGAAAATTATTCTATAATTTTAGGCACATGTACTTTAATTCTTGGAAGACATTTAGGATTTTTAAAACCATCATCTAGTACTTTAACATCAAAACTAGCTGAAGCTGTGAGAATTCATTTCACTGCTTCTCGTGATGCTTTTTATGGTCTACCACTCTGGAAGATAATTCCTACAGCTGCTTATAGACAGCTTATTGAAAGTGAAGATGCAATTTACAAGTAAGTTATTTCATATATAACGTATCAACTGTGTTAATAAAATTAGTCTGCTACAGTGGATATCATTTTAAAAAAAAATCCACATCATCTGTTTCAGCATTATTTCAGAACTTTTAGAAACAACTATTTGGGAACAAAAAGAAAATGCAAGAGATGAACCTGTTGAAGCGGTATTCCAGTCAATTTTAAGAGATAAAAGTTTAGATATGAGAGATAAAAAAGCAGCAATTATTGATTTCATAGCTGCCGGAATTCACACGGTAAGTATTTTTATATCAAGATAGTAAATTTTTTACATATTTCTTCATATTTAAGTAATTTCAAATGATTGTTAAATTTAGAAAACATCATATCAGTTGCTATATAATTAAAATATGTCGTGGTTAAATATTTTTTATAAACGGTTGATATACGTTATCAAAGATATATCTTGAGTAACCAAAAAGAGGCTTAATTGCTTTTTGAAGTTGAACAAGTGTATAACTTGACTGATACCAATCATTATAAAGACGTTTGATTAGATTTCATACATTGTTAAAAAAGCTTTTAATTGGCCATTAAGACTGTAAATAAGAAATAAGTAATTCTTTATTCTAAAAATATACCCAGTTAACTAATCAAGATTTGGTTTATAAATAATAATTATTTTGCAGTTGGGTAATACTTTAGTATTCCTTTTCTATTTGATTGGCCGTAATTCCAAGGTTCAAGAGGTGCTATTTGAAGAAGTTCGTAATCTAGCTCCATCAGGTTGTGATATCACAGCAGATGATCTTCGTAATGCTAAATATTTGCGTGCGTGTATTACAGAGGCATTCCGTGTCATTCCAACAACACCTTGTATCGCAAGAATCCTAGATGAATCAATAGAATTGTCTGGTTATCATCTAAATCCTGGTGTAAGTATTAGATGTTAAGATTAATAACACAAATAGCTGCAACAGACCGATGTTTCATAGAAATGATTGGAAAAATTATTTCTTTTTACTGCAGACTGTTGTTCTCTTGCATACGTGGATAGCAGGTTTGGAAGATTGTAATTTCAAGAATGCCTCAGAATGGATGCCTGAACGGTGGCTGAAACCCACCACACCGCACTCTCCACTTCTGGTTGCGCCTTTTGGTACTGGTCGAAGAATATGCCCTGGCAAACGGTTCGTTGAGAAAGCACTGCAACTCATCGTCGCAAAGGTCGTCCGAGAATTTGAAATTATTGCACACGATGAGCTCAGTTTACAGTTTGAATATATTCTCGCTCCTAAGGGACCGGTTTCTCTTACTTTTCAAGACCGTACAGATATTTAAAAATGTTTCGTGGAAGAAATCTTTCATTTAATTGATCGTAAATCATGTGATTATCAAGTACAGACTGCCTATTTAAGAGTCTAATTTTTACACACTCATAAATCATTGCAGTGGTTTACACGTTTTCTTCCCATTTTATTTTTAAGTGCAATTGACCTTTTCTTAATTTTGGAAATCTAATTGATCTATGAAAGTCTCGAATTAATTCTATTAGCTATTAATATTATTATTATAATTATTATTATTATTACTATTATTACGATAATTATATTACTACAATTAGGTATTTAAAAATAATTATAAGGTTTTCTTTTAATTAGATTGTTGCAATAATCTACCTCGTAATATATCATTTAGGCATCAAGTAATTAATTAAAAATATTTATAACATCATTAATTGTATTTAAGAGAAATATTAAATCATCATTATCGTGTTAATTATTCATTTGATAAAATTATTATAGATTTTTGCAACGATTTAATCCATGAAATGGTAAATGAAAGTGTAGAGATGGTAGCGTTGATTTAGATTTAAAAAAAAAGTGTAAAAATCACACGCTTAAGTATGTGTAAAAATGTCTGTATAATGAATATCATGAACTGATTAAGGTCCCTCCATTTTTTCATCGATTTATCTTTCTGATTGCGATTTTAATATTAGTCGTGTATTATTTATAATCGTTTTTACTCGTTGAAAGGTACTCAGAAGTCCATTGAAGGTATTTATTGTTATACTTTCCCATTGTTATTGTATTTATATATTACATCCGCCAATGAACACACTCAAATTGACTGATTACGGAATCATTTTATGTAGATAGTTCATATAAGATTTATAGAAAAATTCATATTCATCTATTAATACTTAATGAATCGTAGTTAGTCAATTTTGATAAGAAAAATCATTAATATTCAATTCAGTCATTTAAACAATGACACCGAACTGTAATTTTATGTTGTATTAATTATTATATTAAATATAATTATAATTATTATTATTACACATTGGCGAATGTTTATAAATATAAATCCGAGATATTCAAATAAATTGACTGATATAATATTATTATTTTTGCTCAAATGTTTAAAGACTGAAATTATTTTTTGTAAATGCATTTTGTCACATAAATTATTAGTTATGCATCAAGAACGTCCGACAAATCGGTATTCCAAAATAAGAGAAATTGATTTGTTTTTGCGTGTTTCTTAGTGTTAAAAGATTTATTTTCTCAAAATAGTAAATCGATTTATACTTATACCGTCTATTATATACATGTTATCTTCCTTATATGAAATGAATGATATAAAAAAAAAAATTGTAAATACTAAATTTCTGTACATACATTAATTTGTACAACATAAAGGGTATATTGAAATGTTGAAGGATTTCATTAATTAATATATTATCAGTGAAACCTTTACATTAATTAATTTATAAAAAATTTTTGTTTTGATTAATTCTTTTTATTTTTTTTTTATCAATCAACAATCGTCACAACCAGTGCGATCTATAAAATATAATTTATTATAAATTCCATTAATATTCATTTTCCCTAACGAATGCCTTTTAGATAAAAGTTGTGATAAAAAATTGATAAAGTTAGTTTGAGCGGCAATTAAAGTGATATATCAATCGCTATTAACGATCAGTGTACCTAAAAAAGAAAGCCGGCTCAGTTGCAAGTCACATGGCACTTAAATATCATCATTAAACCTTTAAGTTACATTAATGATTTTTCAAACTATCTAAAATTTTTTTATGATCTTGAACTCATGACTATATGAACTGATTCGTTGGCTATCGTACGTTTATTATTGGTTTCGATAAACTTTGGTAATCGTTATTGATGAATTTCAATGTCAGAATAAAAAATATCCAAATACCAAACTGTCAATCTTCTCTTTTAGACATTAATTATTTAAGATATAACTTATAAATAACATCTTTAATATGGACTATTTACGTTTGGTGTTAAGATAAATTTAAATATACAATTATAAAATTCATTACATCGATGGTTAATAAAATTTGTTAACGAGTTTGATAAACTTTACATAAGACTATAATCGGTTACGCTTTAAAAGCGCCAATAAAACTATAAAATATTTTTTTTTTCAGTAATTCAGGAGTATTAAACTCTCTTTGCCATCCTGCAAATTAATCTAAAGCATTTTATCAGTCCGATATTTAATATTGGATGTAATTAAATATCCTATTAAAAAGTTGGTATTTTTATTACCTTTTATCATCCCTAATTACTTTACCATACTCTTTATGCTTTTAGGAAGATTAGGAATTGATCCTTTGTTTACACTAGAAGTTGTTGGCCTCATAAAACTGTGATTTCGAGGTTGGACAAGTTTACTTCTACTCGGAGTCGATGTTAAAGTCCTTGAACTTACTGTTCTGTTTTGTAACATTGGATGAGTAGAAACACTGCTGCTACTTCTGGTAACTACTGGTCGAGGTCTTACAGCCACATTGTTTGATAAATCGCTCAAGCCCTAAATAAAAGTATTTTTTAATTAGATAATCTCATAATTAACTTTAAGGATACAATAAAAAAAAAATAATACTTACGTTAGGAACTTTTTTAATATTTCGAGCAACAGGGCCAACACTACTACCACTGCTACTACTTCTACTGGCTGGAATTCTCGTAACACTGGTCCGAGATGCAGTCTGTCGTTTATCGTTTTCTTTCGTACTAGAAGAAAGTCCTTTAGTATTACCGGTATTTTTACGGAGATCACTTGTCATGGCACATTCAGCAATAGCTGTATTATATCCTCTGAGTCGGGTGTGAGAAGGAGCTAACTTACGAACAGTGTTAACAGAGGTTGCACTATTTAATGAACTTCTCGAGCTTTTTAAACTACTTCTTGATCCTGATTTCTCCACTTCGTTACGCAATGAAGAGCTTTTCTTAATTAAAGGAACAATTTTCTTGTTAGAATCAGTTTTCTTCAATACTTCACGCTTTGGGCTTTCAGATTTCTTCGGTAGGAAACTGGACTTTTCATTATTTATTTGGTTTGAAGACCCTGTTCGAGGTCTAAACGCTTTTAAACGAGCAATCTCATCTTTTCCTATAACTCTTTTCTTATTTTCTCCAGAATCTTTTTCAACAAAATGCATCTCAGCTGGAGAACAACGTGGAGTATCATGAATATCTGTTTCATAATTTCCCGAAGATGTTTCCTGACTCAGCGATTCAGAAACAAGACTTTGAGTTTCTTCAAACCCTTCATCATTTAATTCTTGCTCTTTTCCTTTTACAACCAGCGGAGAAGAAGATGATATATTGATATCAGTAATAATTTTTCTCTTAAACAATGTAGATTCTTTTGGTGGACTTGTTGACATTTTATCTTCATCAATATCCATTGTAGAATCAACTTGATTGTTCTGAATTTCGTTTAACCTGTTAACATCAACAACACTCTGATCTACCTGATCATTCTGTGGCTCTGGGGAAGGAACTCGATGCACTGGAAGTAATTCATGATCACTAGTAAGACCAATAATCATTGTGTTTGATTCATTGTTCACCTGACTTGGTGGATTATTTGTCAGACTCAAAGCTTCTTTAACTTGACTAGGATCTATCATACTTCTATGTCTTTCTCTACAAGAAATAGCTCTCTCAGGCCACACTGGAATCATTTCTCGTGGTCTGGACTCTTGCATAACTGGGCTAAGTACTGTATTAGTCACTGCTAACACTGGTGCTGGCTGACTAATAGGTAATCTTGAATGCCTTGGACGACCTGCTTTTTGAAGCTCTTCTCCGGACTTTGCAATCTCTGCCAGAACTGAATCCATATCATTAGATGCGTGACGACGTTTCAACTTATCCTGCCATACTTTTAGCATCTGGTCTTCATCTAGATTACTATCTTCAGTCAGAGCAAGAGTACTTGGCCTTTGAGGCTTTTCTTCAGTATTTTCTGAATCCTGTTTGCCAATTTGATCCTTGTCTAACGGATTTTCTTGGTTCTTTTTATATCTTCTTGTCTTCCGGGCTGCTGCATACCGATCGAAATTGCCACTTCCTAAATCAGAGCTTGTTGTTACTGGTTTTGTAGTGTTTACTTTCACTTCTTTTCCTTGTAAAGAACTATTACATCGTTCTCGTTTACACGGCTCTTTTTCCACTGGCTTTACCTCCCTTGGAGGACTAAATACCCTTCTTGTAACTGGCGGTGTTTCAATATTATCTGAATCAATTTCAATTTTATCACTGACTTTGTCTTCTTCATTAATTTTTTTATTTGATTTCGAAAATCGACGAACAGCAGAGCTTGGTGCTGTGATACATGGAGCACGAAGATATATTGTGAGCTCATCTTGGCCATCAGAAAGAAGATCAGTCGGTTTATTTTTCTTACGTTCTTCTTCTCTTATAGCATGCAGAGTGCTTGATCCTAACACATTATCTGAGACTAAACGTGATCGATGTCTTCGAGAATGTCTTGGATCTATTTCCTCGGGACTACTTGGAACATTTAAGCTGGATTTTCTCCAAGGTGATTTGTCAGTTTGTGGTTGAGGTTGCACTTCTACATCAACATTAAAATAATACAGATGAATGTATTTGTAAGATAAATTTAAAATTTAACTATTAACAATAATTTTATACCTTCAATTGCTTCCATCGTTCTCATTACATCAGTTTTCTCAACAGATGGACGCCAATCATAAACATTCGAATATCCTGCGCGAACTGAATTCTCTTCTGCCTGTGTGTTTGTCTTGCCTTCGTTTTCTGTGAATAATTAGAATTATTTTAAATAAAGCAGTAAATTAAAAAACGAATTTTCGTATTAAGAAAGAATATATACCCGAATCCTCGAAGGACTTTCGGTTAGCCTGCAATTGTCGCGCTTTTCTCTGCAATTCCACTCCTGCACGTTCCTCTTTCTCATTTTCTGATAACCATGCTTCTATTTTTTGTCGCCAAGCTCGTCTGTAATTAATAAATTTAATGTTTAGTCTATCCGTTTATTTTATAACATCTTTATAAAAATGAAACATTCTTCCTAAAATAACTTGAAAAATTTTCAATAAATCTTTAAAAAGCATACCCAGTTGGTTTTGTCTCCTCTTCCTGCAAGAATGGTTTATTTTCAGCAAGTGGCGATGGAGAATTTGGCCTTTCTCTGTCTCCAGAAAAATCTGCGTTCAATAAATCACTTCGGCGTGGTTGTCCTCTTGCTCTTCTTGCCCATGATCGATCTAAAAACAATATATTCATATTTATTTAAGTAATTAAAAAATTATTTTTATTCTCTAAAAATGTAATAGTCTTACCTAAACTTCCCCATGATTTTCTTTCTCGTGTATTTTCTTGTCCAGACGTCCTCAAAAAGTCCATTAAATTATTATCATCGTCTTCAACAGGTATACGACTACGTCGACGACGAAGGGTACCATTGGGTGTTATATCAGGTGAGTATGTGTCTTCTTTGGTAACTTGTTGATCAGGACCGCCTGAACATGATCCAAGACGACGTCGAATGCTCGGAGATCCAGTAATTGAAATATCTTCATCAGAAGTAACACCACCATTTTGTAATCTTTTTAATTTGGCTTCACTTCGATTGTATGACTGCCTTGCAAAGCTTTGAATATCTAGCAACCCATAATCCATCAAGTTAGATTCTGATTCTGATCCAGGAACTTCTGCTTGATTATTAACTGTAGAAAATATATAACATCAAAATTATTGTTCAGTGTTTTATTTTTAGAAAATTAACTCTAAAAATAACTTACGAAGTCGTTTCTTAGCCATCAGTTGTTCTTCTCGCTGTCTACGTCTAGCATTAACTTGCTCTTCCTGTATTCTACGTCTCTCATTTTCAGCAATAGCTTGATTAAATTTCTGGCAAAATTGATGAAATATTTTGAAACACTCTTCAATTTTAAAAGTATTTATATCTTCACAGAAAAATTCAGCAAGAGAGCGTCTAACACCTTCTAACTCTCCCATATCACGTTTCAATTGAGCCATTTCTTGCTCAGCCATCTAGATATAATTTCAAAAGTAAATAAACAATTCATAGAAAGATTTTTGATTCAATAACTTACCTGTAAAAATTGTGCCATTTGTTCCTGAATATCACTTTCTGTAGATGGCAATTGAATTTGAGTCTTTATTTTTTTTATTTTCGTATCTAATGTATTAAATTCGTTATTCAATTGTTCGATAGTAGTCCTGTTAAATAAATATATCAATCAATGAGCATTGGAATTTTAATATATGATTGGATTATGTGTAAAATAAGCGATATAATTATAATTACTTTGTCGCTGCTTCTAGAGCATTCATATTTCGTGAAAAATTCAATAAATCTTTCCTCTTCCTCTCTGCTTGCAATGCAACATAATGGATAAGATTCATGCCTGGTTTATTTGCTCGAATTTCAGTTAATTTTTGGAGTGATGACAATTTTACACCAGCAGCATTGCCAGCATATCCTCCCTACAAAAGATAAAAATTTATCAAGTTTAATTTCTTGATTATCATTCATTTTATTACTTAAAACAAAAAGTAAATAAAAGAATTACCGAATTTAAAAAGTTTCCTGCAACTACTACCATATAAAGCACCTCTTGAAGTGGCTTATTAGTCATCAAATCTTCTCCAGCAAGAATCATTGAACTAATACTGGGTTCCAAGTAACTCATATTAGCAGCAAATTCTTCTTTTAATAGCATGCACTCAATGCGCAACTTGTAGCTAAATAAAAAATTTTAATCAATTAAAAATTTAATTTAATCAACCAACACTTATGACGAATAGTTTTAATTGGTTTCAATTTAAAAATAATTAAGAATGACGGTGTATAAAAATTTAATTAATATTAAATTAATTACTTGGGCACTTGAATTAGTTGAAGGAAAAATTTTTCAGCATTTCCAAGCTTCGATTTATCCCCATCGAAACTCTTAAGCATTTCGAGTTCATCAACTTCTGGCAAAATTTTCAATAAACCTCTTAATTTTTCAGCACCAATATCATCATGTCCTCCATCACGAATTAATTGAATTATATCTTCATTTGAGCTACGGAATTGTTTGAGGAAGATATTCACATTTAAGCTTCTCTTTCCATCAAGCAATGCAATCTAAAATTATATTCAAAGAGTTTATTATTATTACTGTACTTAAAATAAATATTAATAATTGTAACAAATTGTTTCTTTGAATTTGTATGTTTATTACTTCAGTTGGTTCTCGTCGACGACGTTCAGCATCAACACCAGGTCCATTACTTGAAACACAAGTGGCTGGAGGACCTACTGGTGGTATTTGCTGACAGAATAATCCTTCCATTTCAGCCCAGTCTAAATCAGCCATCGGTGAATTCTGATGTTCATTGGCAACTAAGGACCAAATGTTTCTCTTGCCAATGACCTAAGAGCAAAAGAATACCACTTGATGAAGCTATTCCTAATTCGTCTCGAGTCTAAATAACTGTTAAAAATATCATCTGTCCTTGAATCAAGTGCTATATACAATAGTAATCTAAGCTAAATGCGTACAAAAAATGTGAAAGTGATTATTTTTTGGTAATAAAAGCAATAAGAATATGTTGCGTCGGATTTTTTCTGCAGAATTTATTACCATTCAAAATAATCTGAACATTTTTTTTGAATTATTAATTTTCTTTTGTAGTCATCAAAGAATATTTTTTAGATATTATCACGAGAACACGTTTATTTTTTTTTTACTCCAAAAAAAGCTATCAATCTTATATTTACTTTTTTTAACTTTATTATTATTCTTTGAATATTAAATTCAATCTTACCTTATGATTTGGGATTTTATTCCAATTAATAGTCTTCATTTTAGTCTTCGGAGTAGGTGTTTCCTGTTGTGGCAACAGCTTAGCATTATTATTGGGAGGTTCAGGGGTTGGAACCCGGTGAACAGCTGGAACATGAAGTGGAGGAGGTAGAGGTGGTTCCATTGCTACATCAGGGGTAGAAACGTTGACAAGAAGAGGAGGAGGTGGTGGTGGCACCAGAGTAATCGTAGGTGGATCAGGAGGTGCTAAAGGAGGAGGTGGAGGAATGACTGAAGATGAATCTGGAACGACTTCAGTAGCTGGTAGCGGAGGAGGCGGAGGAGCTGGACTACTGGCTGGAAGCGAAGCTTTTCGAGATGATCCACAAGTTTGATCGCCCACTCGACAGTGACAGCATAAATTTGTCTGTAGAATAATGTCATTTACATATTGAAAAGAAAAATTACATGACTATTAATCTTTTTAAATTCTTTACCTGGCTTGGTGATCTTAGAAGCTTCGCAACATCTTCACGACTCTCTAGCAATGTTGCTCTGTGAACTAGTGTTTCAGCTGTATCCCAAGCAAGATCACTGGCAGGTTCTTTGGGATCTAATCGCAAAAGATGTTGCAAAATACTTAGAAATGGAATTTCTTGTGGAGTATCGGCAATCTAGAGTAAAAAGGTAATTAATAAGACATTTTAAATTGATGTAATTGACTATTAATTGCAAGATTGAATTAAAAAATAGTTTTTTACCTGTCCTAGAATAGCATAGAATACATCGACATGTGATGATAAATCTATGCCAGGTGGTCCTTGATTAGTTAACTCTTCATCAGTCTCTCTTTGATCATCAAACACCTCTAACTGGACTCTCAAATCAGAGTATTGACTCTTCTGCTTCCTGAAATTACAACGACCCGGTTTTACTTTTTCTAACATAGAAATCCATTGAGTATCCATATTTCTTTTCTCATAACATTTGTTGTTCATTCTTCAATCGTCATTCACATGTTTTAATAGAACATTTTTTTTCAAATGAAATATTTTTAGCTGCAGAGACTAATTTGAGACTTAAATATATTCATTTCCGTTGACTTGGTGGAACTAACTGTCACTTAGTGTTAGAACTTTTAAAGAGAACAGGATGAAGGTGCCAGCACCCCTCCTTCTATATCACTTGACCCGTTAGGTGATTGTATTGTCCCAGCGATTAATAGATGAGTAAATGGCGAGAAAAAAATTAATGATAATGATGTCTCAGTTAATTTCTTTAATAGCTGATTTATTCGTGTTATAGTTTTCACAGTATTATTAACATTGTATTTTTTTTGTTCTTGAAAGAAAGTCTTTTTATTTACCATGAATCAGCTTTCATCAGTTCTTATCTCACCATTTTCTTTGATTTAATCTATGTGCATCAAGTCGAGAAAATTTTTAAGAAAGTAAATAATGAATTCTTTCCAACAATATTTCAATTTTTATACTAACAAGCAATTTGTTAATTAAAGCTAATTGTTAACAATTTATTTATTTAACAAACAAGTTAATTTAAAATAGAAATAAAGAATAAATAATAGATTTAACAAAGATTTTTCTTACCAAAACAATTTTTTAAAAATAATTTTCCACTTTTTTTTTTAATTCTCACAAACTGATTAAAAAAAAAAATAGCAAAATAGCACAAGCGAATGATACAATAATTGAATAACCTGGTGGAGGAGTTAAAAAACAACGAATGACACGTGCGACCGTCGCGCGTTTGACTGAGAAAAAAGTTTTGAAATGTTAGGAAGTGAGAACCGAAAGACGAGGGTCCAAAGATAAATTGAAAATAAACGCGAGTTGGTTCACTAATGTAGCTTCTCGTTCCAGCGGAAGAGTATGCAGATACAGAGGTGCAGGTGCACCATTGCTAGAGTATTAAGCTACAGCCACAAGTTAATTCGGTCTTTTCTCTTTCCCTCTCTCCTCAAAAGTCATCCCTCTTCTTCTATTTGTTACACAGTTTTCCTTTTACCCTCGTCTATCTCTTTCCCTTTAACACTAACTCCTAGACGTTCCTAAGAATGTGGAGAAAGAGAAAGAGAAAGTGTGATGCCTAAGTCGTATATATTCGGTTCTATTTTTCGCCCCTAAGGCGCCTTAAGATTTTTATTCTTTATTTCATCTCTTTGCCATGACAAATTTCCTTGCTCCAAATTTTACCCTTTCATTTATTCTCTCTTAAATCGTTCAAATGCTTTTACTTGTTGATAAAAACTCACCGTAGGTCATTTAAGATTGGGAGCAGCTTCAATCCTACAAAAACATTGTTATGATTAATTTTTTATTGACATTTTTTTTTCTTCTTCATCATTTCAATTAGTTAAAATAAACATATGATGAAATTGTGCAATTATTTACCAATGAATTCATTGCGTATGCGAACACGATCCTTGAGAACTGGTGTTGAGATAACCAAGCAGTTGATGAATGCCAGCAATGCTGCTTGATAATCTTCAGCTGTAGCTTTTTGCAGTTCATCTACAATAGCTCGCAACCGATAACGTTCACCTTTTCGTTCCTACATCATGAAATAATACATTGAATTCCCGTTAGTTTACCTCCAAAGCTTGCACATGGGTGCAATAAATAATACTATTTTTGAAAAATAAATGAACGGGAGCCATTCAAGTCATCTAAGTCCACACAAGAGTATATCCGTTTACAGTAAACAAACCGTTCTTTCCTTCGATTAAAAAGTCAATGAATAATTCAAAGCTTTTCGAATTGAGATGTACTCGAGTGTCCCTCGTTCTCGATCAATGTGTCTTCCTTTGTATGTTATACATGTCTTCCCAGCAAACAAACGAACATATTCATGCGTCCATTCATGACTATTCTCTGAGCGTCAGAAATAAATTCTCCAGATGTTATTCCTGGATATATTAGCTCGATGGGAAATGTCTTATGGTAATAAACTCAGTTTTCTTCTACTCCTTACCTTTCTACCACCTTACACTTGAGCTCCACAAAAAGCTGAATAAATATCAATATTATCAACTTACCTGGTAGATATGAAGAGTATCGATAGCACGTTGTCTACCATCCTGACTATAAACACAGAGAGCCGACAATAGCTCTACGACTTGTTTCTTCACGGAAGTGCATGCTGTGTCGAGAGCTGAAATAGATAAATTTTACGGAATTACCAGCTTAGTAAATGGAGTAAAATTAGAGCCAGTGTTTTACAAGACATTAATACTTGACAGATAGGAAAATTTCAATAATGTGTTTCTCTGGGTTAAATATTAATTTTATTTATCTAAATTAAAATAGGGTATTATATTTTTATAACAAGTATTGATTAACAAGTCATATGTCTTTAAGATGTTCAACTTTTAGAATATAAATAAACACAAATCTGTTGATATTTCTTATTTATTTGTTTATTTATTTTGTTCTACTGGATTTAGGAATTTGTTGTGAAAAATAAATGACTTGGATAATTCTTAGATTTTTAAATTAGTCATTCAAGTATAATATTTATTTATTCAATAGAAATTATCATTTACATAGAATCTACAGCAAAAAAGTTACTTCTTCTACTATGTCATTTGTCAATGCAGTAGTTATACTTCAATTAGATATTATATAGTAGTGTTATTTAAATTCAATTGACCTGAGGCATATTTTTTTATAACAATTCATTTATATGAGGAATTTATTGCTGTTAAAAAATAATGAAAACAATATTTTTTAATCATCAACATCTAGATTGATCCTTAAGTATGTAGAAGAGTTAAATGTTTTTTTAATTCTTCATGATATAACAGCTCATCAGGCAAAAAGAAAATTAGCAATTATAATTCAAAAACAGAAGCTGCAATTCTTATTGTATTTAAGCTAATAGATTGTTGATAAAAACTGGTAAATACCTGAAGCAAGTTTATTGCAATAATCTGGGTTATCAACAATGTAGTCAAGACCGACGTTGGAATCCATGTTGACTGCATTTGTGATAACTTTTGATGCAATCTAAAACAAATTAATATTGTGTTAATGCAACAGAAGTTCTTGGTATGAGACGAGGTCGCGCATGTGTGATTAGTTAATTGCTAGGTATATAAACTGCTTGAATAAATTTTCTTCAAGATAATAGTAATCATTGGGCTGGTAGATGATTCATTAGTGAAGCTAGTGAATAAGTTGAGTAGGATAGTCGATGTAGGCTTGTTAGTAAATTCAAATCAATCAACGAAACAAATTGATGACCGACCCTGACCTCATCTGTCAGAAGAGACCATTTGTATCACTTTGGAGTGGCATGTTTTTCGCCTGGGTGACGTTAATCAAAATCTTATGACTCTGTTAGATTTACATGAAATTTATCAGTAATGATGATGAGAAGTGGAAAATAAAAAATATCAAACAGCAAATTCAGTCATGGACACCCGGCAATGAGTCGCAATAACTTGTAGGGTCCGTAAAAGCACCAGTCGAGGATTTGCGTTCGAGGTGAACGAGAGCCTTTCATGGTGTCCGTAACACCAAGTTCCTTAAATTACTAATAACTTATTAACGCTAAAGAATTTAAATTTAGAACGTCTAATTCCGCTAATGCAATCGTGCATTTCCGGTATTTGATTGTATACTTTTTAGCTTCATTCTCCATTCATCATGGTAAATGTCAACTATGCAAATTTTGAATTCTTAGATGTTTTGAACTTGTTGATGTTGTTATAAAGAAATTTGCAGTCAATGAAATATTTCTGGAGGTTGCTTTGTGTCGATGATGCACCATTCCTGAAACGAATGTGTCTCAAGGATAAACATGTTCGGAATCCAACTTAATGTCTCTCAACTTTGCTGCACTGGCAAATAAAAACAAAGAGCCGAGCCTATTGATTCAGCAATTGATGAAGACAAAAAACTACATTACACTTTTTGTTCTTGCAATAAAGACATTTATCCGAAAGATGATTAATGAAGTAAAAAATATCTCATAAATGTTATGAAAGTCTGATACTCTTTCAGATTTTAAATAACACAAGTAACTGATGAATTTTTATTTATTATTTCTAAAATTTAGTTCTCATTTTCATTTTTAAAATTCAAAAATGGTTACATTCTTTCTAAAAAAAAAAATATATATATATATATTTCTAACGTCAGAATATTTTTAATTTTTGTAAACAAGATACTTAACAGATTCTAAAACCAATCTTCAATTAAAATTCCAAAATTTATGATCCCAATAAACTCAAGCTTCAAAAAAATGTTCTCTTCATTGTAGCCTTTCCTATTCTCGTCGATGCTTTTTAATAGCTCAGACTTTACTTATCCAATTGGTAGATTTAATATATTGTTATAAATAAGTAAACACTAATAATAATCCTTATTATCTAATTAATCATAATCACGTAAAACTAGAGTGAGGTCGAATGTACAAGAGAGATGCGAAGTTTTTTTTTCAGGCACGTATAAATGTGCTTGAATGATTAGCTCGCGCCAACTTTTGTCCGATATAGAGCGCAACAAGTAAAAGGAAAAACATGAATGTGTCATACGATTAGAGTGAACAAGGATTCTTGCAATAATAACTCCATGTATGGTCCAAATAATCAGAAGAAAAATGATATTTCAGAGAATATTGTCACCAAGTAAGTGAGGAAGAGAGCAAAGAAGAAGTCTGATTAGAGAGATATGGTGATAGACTAGTGTGTCAGAATAGATATGGTATGAGTAAGATTGCATGAAATCTGGTAAAATCACAAATCGTTAAAGGAAGTGAGAAACGAAAAGAAAATAAAGAGAAAGACCATAGGATTACGTCATAAGTTAAGACACATAACTTGGAGTCATGTTTAAAAATAGAATCATTCAGTTATTAAAGAAATCCATACAGGCCCTCTTCACCAGACCTATGTACTTCTTGTTCAACTTCTTATTTGTTCATAAAATATAACATCTGCTTTGGACAAGTTGATTAGGCTTTTACTTAATGACTCATGCTCTGCTCTAGTAAATAGAGTTAAAGACGTGAAAAATCAATTTACCTTGAGTTTCATGGTTTGATTTAATTATGGAAACAATTGAATTAATTACCCAAGAATGGATAGTTTTAAAATGGTTTCTTTTCGTGATAGCCATTTTTTTACTTTGAAAAATCCCGTTATGGAAGAGGTGTAAAAATTTATCAAATCAGATTTATTAACAGCCCACATGCTCCTACGTTTGCATGCTAATTATTGGATGTTTTTAACAAACTCCTTGAAGATAGAAAAATATTTAATCTTCCTGATGTGTCTAGCAGCTATCTGTCTAAAAATATTTTCTCATATAACATGGAATTTAATGGATTGATAAATTCCTATTTGAAATGTTGGAGAAGGAAATTTCAAGAAAATTGAAATGTAAATGAATTATCATCAGATAAACAATCAGAAAAGGTAATACTAAGTCAACTTTGATATGTCTCTGTCCAAAATGACGACGATTAAGATTTGTAAGTTGGAATTGCATTGACAGCATTCAGGTGTAGGGTCTAGGCTGTTATACTAATCGTAGGCAGCAGGTAAATATATATACATATAAAATAGTAGTCACAGCGAACGATGGATACCATATCGGGCACCTCGCTGACCTCGCCTGTCGTCTCTCAGTCTTTACGCATTCTCTCATTCTCTCTCACGTGTGAACACATTCTCTATCCCTTTTCATCTCCACCTTACTCTCATCGATTTACAGCCAAATTAATTTTGTTTTGGTCCCCAGCTTATTTTTTACTTTATCAAGACCATAAAAATGTATTTTTTGAAATATAGGAAAACGTTGGAATAAAAAAATTTAAAAAAAAAACAAGACAATTTTAATGATAATGACTTTATGATAAAATTTACTTAAGAATTTACGTAATAGTTAAATGCACTGTCGATATAATTTTTATATACGCATAATCAAAACCGGTTATTGCATTGTCATCCTCATTTTCTTTTTTCTCTTAACATAAATTAATTAGCAAAATTATTCAACATCAAAATAAACACAGTAAACTTTCCAGGCTGCTCCGAAAATTAGAGAGATAATTTTACCAAAGATGCAGAAATAAAGAACCAGACGAGAGAGAGCCTAAAAATTCACCCGTCTTATTAAAATTCCTTGGGTCGAAAATTTGTGGATAATTTCTTTCTTCCTTGGATGCTGCTATAATAAACCTGAGTCGAAAGGACGAAGGAAAAAAAATTGCGGTAGATCAGGATCCCAGGAGGCATCAGAACAAGGGAATAAAAGAGAGGAAAGAAAAATAAGATAGAAAGGTTTGTGGTGTAGTCTCCTCAACATCACATATACACGTGCTCTCATGCTTATATATGCACTACAGACCGTCCCACGTGTTCATCACAACAATGAGGACAGCAACAAGAAGCGCGCAACTTTCGAAGATCCTTAACGGCTGTGCTAAAGAGTATCCAAATGAAAAGTGAAAGTAAAACAGAGTTTGAAAATTATTTGCTTGTTAAATACTGATTTAGCCATCAGCAACATTGACGAAAAAGTGAACAAAAACAACAAAAAATATGACTGCACATTAAAATGACAAGTGTGGGTATTACTTGACCCTGATGATTGTTATTTAATGTATGAGGTCGTGGCCGGAACCTCGTGAAAACTCTCGAGAGTTCTTGGTTACGTTGGATTGACTTCAACGTCGGCGTTGGTGCGGGTTACCTTGTCGCAACGTGGTCATGGCCCCGCCAATAAGCCGATGGTGGTCAGAATGATCCCCGCCCCTTCACTTTTACTCTTTTCCCTAACGATTAACTACAACCGGCAATCATCTGCCACCTTCGCATCAATTATAATGCAATACATAACGTTGTCATTAAGATTCTAATGGTAACAAGATTTTTTAGCATAATTTTTTAATAATCCGTTTCTTTGATGTTTATAAGCATGATATTGTTGTAGGTGTAGAGTCTGGGAAAGTTGGTGAACAAGGCAAAGCCTCGCAAGGTCGCCGGTGACGAACCCAAATGAGGTACTTTCTATAAAAGACACGAGGTAACATCGCGAGACGCTTCATGGACGAATTTCTATGAGATTGTCGAGTCTTTCATCTATTACATTAGTTGGAAGTATTGCAAAACTCCTGACAATCTTGTCTATAAAATCAAATTTGAATCACCTATTTTTTTCCTTCATTTTATGGCGCTTAAAACTCGTTTTATAACTGCAAGCAAGGAGATAAAATATTAATCAATGAAATCAGAATGATTAAAATGAAAAATAAAAAATCCTTGTAATTGACACGCAAACAACCCTCCTATTCCCGGGTAACATTTAAAGAGAAAGGAACCGCGTGAATGAATGGAATTTTCGTATCAAACTAGACAATCAGGTTTGAAAGGTAGTAATCCAGTTCATGAAGAATCGCAAGATTAATTTCCCTCGTGTAATTGCACTTGGTGCACACTTTTCGCGGTTAACGATTCATAAACTTAAGAGTTAATGAAAGCTAAGAAACTTTGCATAATCGTTCAGACTTTTATTTCAATAATCCGATAATTCATCCGATTTATTCCACTTTTTTTATACCAAGAAACTAATCTTTTACTGTTGATGCATTAAATGATGAAAAATAAATTAAAAAAGTATATAAAATATCACCTGTTACTGATCTTTTCATCCGTCTATCTTGACACACGGCAATCTGACATCCAACATCACAGCGCACTTATCTCGTCTAGCACGGATTCGCGGAAACTGCGTTTTAGAAGCGCGAAGACAACGGAGAGTAGAACGCGAAGAACTGAAGGAACGCGCTCTGTCTCGTGCGCACGCGCGATATCTCCCACTTCCTCTTTTCCTACAGTCCCCATGTATGTCCCCTTCCTACTTTTTTCGCTGTAGAACTGGGACTTACACGGTGGGCCTCATCCGCTCATAATGCTGAGGAAGGAATAGCAGTGATGCTATTCAATATACGGATGAATGAAGAGCCATTCGATACAAATTAATATGTGTGATCACGTTTAACTTATGCACCGGACATTGGCTGCACAGGATGTTTATAAATATGAGTACTTAGAATAAGTCGATACCAAACGATAAATGGCAAGTTGATAGCTTTTGGTGACGCTTCTGTTGATGTGATAGGAATTAATAAGACTAGAAAAGTCTACTGGATAGTTGGCTGTGGATAGAAATGAATAAATAATATCATTAATGTATAAATAGCATTGCATTATCATAATTGAAGGAATATACAAGGCTAACATGTTGAATTTGGTCGGTAATTAATAAATTTCATACTGATGAAAAAAATTATTAGAACGACCGGCAGGCTAGAGGGGTCGACTAGTAGCGTTGATGAAAGTTAGCAGGCTGAGTTGGCTGGGCAGTTGAGTACACCATTCCAGGTGGCTGTTGATGAGTCATAGCATGACTTTGATGTTGGTGGAACTCAGGAGCGCCATGAGGGCCATTCAGTCTCACTCGTTTTGGATTTGGTCCATGATTATGCTCGCTGTTTCCCTGCTGTTGTTGATTGGGCTGCTGTAAATGTCATTAAAAAATGTTAATATTTTCATAAGAATACAATTGCAATGAACCTCTTAAAATGTAAGAAAAAAAACCCAGTGAATTTATATTTTTATTACCGTTTGCTGCTGATTCTGACGAGCTTTATTTTCAGTCTTTTCCTCAGTATCATCATCTGTTAAGAATTCTCTTTTTGGATATGGGATTGGACATCCAGCGAAAATACTGTAAAAATAAGAATTTCATTTCTTTTATTCTGTTTAATTTTTTCTGTAAAATTTCTTTGGCTCTATTCATATAAAAAAACATTCACGTACTCTTGTGTTGGCAGTGGTTCTTCTTGGAAGTAGGCGTCTTGCATAGAATGTTCTGATGTTATCCGTTTATTTGGATCCATCATGAGTAATTTTTGTAACTAGAATATTAATAAAATTAGCCAAATTAAATCATATTTAAAATGCTAATAGTTACATTAATATGTTAAAAACTTACTAAACTGAACGCTTTACTATCAGGTTTAATTTTATGTCGATCCATATATTTTGTTAATGAACAATTTGCATAACTGAAAATATTTTTAAAATAATATTAAGCTCTGTATGGTTTTAAATTTAATTAAATAATATTAATAATCTTACTTCGAGCGTTTAAAATCCTTTAGTAACGTTGGATGTTCCGGCATTTTTTTAATATCTTCCCAATCTTTTTCTAATGGGAATCCCATTACATTAAAAATACTAAAAAAAAAATCATTTACTGCATTTCAGATTTTACAACAAATATTTTTCTAAAATTCTAATAAATAAATGATAACCATACCGGTCTAATTGATCATGATGATAAGGATTACTAGTTTTAATGTCTTCTTGTCTACAATGAAAGATTGGTTCGGAAGTTAGCAACTCAGCAAATATACATCCAATAGCCCAAATATCTTAAATAACAGTTTTAATTATTTTTATGCTTTCACTTTGATCGTTAAAATTGTAAAAATCAGTAATTACCAATAGCCTTTGTATAATGCCTCGCTCCCAACAATAACTCTGGTGCTCGATACCAAAAAGTAACTACAACTGGATCGAGGTCAGCTAGTGGTTTTAAAGGTGCATTGAATAACCGTGCAAAACCCATATCCGCTATTTTTACACGACCTCTCTCATTTCCTTCACCCATAACTAAAATATTAGCTGGTTTCTAGGAATGTTGAACCAATTAATTTATTTTTAAGGTATTTATATTAAATCATTATGATTTTGATCATTAATACTGATGATTATAAAAATAAACATTTAAATTAAGGCTTACCAAGTCTCTATGAAGAACCCAGTTGGAATGTAAATAATGAATACCATTTAATATTTGATATAATAAAGATTTAACCATGCCTTTTGGCACCATTACTGGCTTCTTGTTAGCTTTTGCAGCTCTATGAAATTTAATTATATGCTAGAAAAAATTTAAATATCATGAAACTTTTTTATATTAAATTATAAAAGAAAGTTTACAGATAAAATATAGATCTCTGTACTAAAGTTATATATACAGATTTGATGATCTTTGTTACTTATCTGAGTAAAACAGTTAAACTTAATTAAGCAATTCATACCCATAAATCATGTTCAGCAAAGTCAAATAATAGAGAAACTTTTCGGTCATTGTGAGAAAGAAATACCCTGATGAGTGTAATAACATTGATATGCTTAAGTTCCCTGAGTAACTGCAATAGAATAAAGTGTCAAATTTTGGTTGTAATTATTCCTTTTAATTTTTATTAAAACATATGATGGGTGTAACTTACTGCTATTTCTCTACATGCTGACATAGACAAACCAGTGCCTTCTATTTGTTTAAGACCAAAATCCTTAGTGTCTGGCCTCGATTTGAATTCACTATCTGAAACTCTATTAAAATTAACGATAGAAAAATAACAACTATAAAGTAAAAAAACTTTGACAGAAGTAGAACAAAACTAACCCCTCTTTTCGCCGAGCTTTATAGACGTGACCATAAGTTCCTCGTCCAACTTTACAGCCTTCAAATTCAAACAAATCTTCCACTTTAGTTCTATCTTTTTGTGTTTTCATCTTAAATTCGTAATCCATCATAATTTGATTTAATTTTAATAATAAATATATCAACTTTTCTTCGAATTCTTCATGAACATTATTAATTGACAAGAACTAGAGTCTTCAGCTGCCACCTAGTGTTGTGGACTGTTGAAAGGACGCGATCTTACTTGAAATTTGACAGTGTTTAAACTTGTAGGAATCAGCATAGATATGCAATAAAAGTTATTTATTAAAGCCTTTTCAATTAACTGTTTGCTACTCAATATAATTACATTGCCATTTTTCTAATATAATAAAGTAAAACAAAACAATTATAGTATCGATTATTTGAAATTTATATATCCCGGGGTTCAAAAATAGACAACAGCGCCGCGTATAGGATAAGTGACCGATCGAATTTCATTGTTGTTTATTACATGCATACAAAAGACACCATCTAATCATGTTGCAAAACTAAAACAATCAAATTTAAATTCTGCAATACCGTCATTAAGATCAATGTTTAGAAGTGAGAGCATTTGAATTTTTTTATTCAAAAACAATGAGTAAGACGAAGACAAGAATTTGTTGTATGTATAAATCTCGGTAGGTAACATTAAAGTTATTAAAATCCAGCATATACATATACATATTTACATGTATTTGGATGTGTATAATAAAAGTAACGGGTTAAACGTATTGCAACAAGACAACGGGGTATGAATAAAACGGTAGTGTATAATACATTTTAGCACGGACACAAATTATTTATATATCTGTTATCGTAATTACGATAAGTTGAGTTGTAATAAATAATTAGGCAGCTTAATCTCCAGCAAATAATAAACCTCTTAAAAATTAAATTATTGAATAATTTATTCAAAGTGTCTATTATCTTCTCATATATCATTTATCAAAGACAGATGGTACATGAAATCACATATGTATGTTAAAATATATATAATTCAACAACGAATGGCGAAAGTGGGGGATAAATTGTTCCGCCATATTTAGCAACTTGTGACTTTTCCCAGAGAACCTCTAGAGAACAAGTTCGAACCAACAATTGTACAATAAACAAACTACTCCAGTTTTAATATTTATTTATTCATATTATTTTGTATACATTTATATACATCCAATGGTGCAGCGATGCCCTGATCTACGTTACATTACACGTTAGCTGATGTACAAGATTTACAGTGTGCCATTGGATCTCTTTACTCATTGCAGCATCACCTTACACTTTGACATTAATCAAAAATGGTTAGTAGACATTTTATCTTTAACAACACTAATAAAAATAGTATTTTATTCAATATTATCATTTTTATTCTTTTACATTTCGCACATATTACTTATCCTTCTTATCAATTAACCTTATCAATTCACTGAACAGAGTTTCTTCGGATTTGGCCAGTCTGCTGGACTGGAAATAATTTTGAATGGAGCAGATACTAGAAAAACAGCTGAAATTAAGTCAGAAGATGGCAAAAAAGAACGTCATTTACTTTATTACGATGGGGAAACAGTATCAGGAAAGGTAAGGTTTCTTTTCTCTAGTGTATTAGTTTTGAAATTTTTTTACGTAAACTTTTCTAATTATTGTTTTAAATCCAATTTAGGTCATAGTTAGTCTTAGAAAAGCAGGCAAATTGGAGCATCAGGGTGTTAAAGTAGAATTTATTGGACAAATTGAGCTTTACTATGATAGAGGAAATCATCATGAATTTACAAGTTTAGTTAAAGAATTAGCAAGACCAGGAGAATTAACTCATAACACAGAATATACATTTGAATTTGCTAATGTGGAGAAACCCTTTGAAAGTTATACTGGTTCTAATGTACGTCTAAGATATTTTCTTCGAGTAACAATTGTGAGAAGATTGAGTGATTTGGTTAAAGAATTGGAGCTTGTGGTTCATACACTTAGCTCTTATCCAGATATGAATAATCCTATAAAAATGGAAGTAGGAATTGAAGATTGTTTACACATTGAATTTGAATATAATAAGAGCAAGTGAGTATAAATATTGGTATCAATTGTTTCATAACAATCTTTTGATTGAATGATTTAATAATAATAATGAATTATAACTTGTGATGATGTTACAGATATCATTTAAAAGATGTTATTGTTGGAAAAATTTACTTTTTACTAGTCAGAATAAAAATAAAACATATGGAAATTGCAATAATAAAAAGAGAAACTACAGGTTCTGGTAATACATAATCTAATTCATCTTTCATATTCAAATTTATTTAGAAATTCTTTATATTTCCTCTCATAAAATCATCATAACGTATTTTGCTTCCTTTTTTTATACAACGCTAATAAATCTATAGAATATTTTTTTCCCTATCAAAAATATTAATATGAACAATAATTTTTGTAGGTCCTCATACGTTTACGGAGAACGAAACAATAGCGAAGTATGAAATAATGGATGGGGCGCCTGTCAAAGGAGAATCAATCCCTATTAGGGTTTTCTTAGCTGGCTACGATCTTACTCCAACCATGCGGGACATTAACAAAAAATTTAGTGTTAGGTATTACTTGAATCTCGTTCTAATGGATGAGGAAGATCGTCGTTACTTCAAACAACAGGTAAAAATACAAAGAATATTCCGAGATAAAGTTAAATAGCATGAAATTAAATGCTCATGTAACTTTTTTTAGGAAATTACCCTGTGGAGAAAGGGTGATAAAAGTAGAAAATCACAAACAGCTTCACCCCACCTGCCGTCTCACCTTGTATCATCTGAAACAGGATTTCCGCAGGGTGCGGCGGTCAATGGACCACCATTGATGCCACCAACCAATTCAGAAGAGCAAACTGGCAATAAAGATATCTCGGCACCAATCGAAGGCATGACCCGAGAAGAAGGTGACGGTGAAGGAGATAAAGAAGTAAATCCTGAAAATCAATGAACATATTCTAGGCTTTTGACAATTATCTATCTCTCTTTTTATATAAAAAATATATACATATTATATATTTTTTTTGATTGAATCAACGGCAACTGCTACAATGGAAATATTGAAGATATCAACGTTACGAGAGATTACAACATAATATTATTGAAGATGAATTTTGTAAATATAGTGGACATGATGGACAGTAACTCATAATCATCGATACAATAGTTATTAAAGTGTGCACTTTACTCAATCATAAATCTATAAGCGAATATTCAGAAAAATAGAAATGATAATGAAAAATATTATTAAAAAAAAATCATGAAATGCACTTTTACAATTTTTCAATGTACATAGATGTATATATGCAGTAATTACCCGGATTCAAAGTGTCCTTGGTGATGAATTAGTATTTAAGATTACTCAAGAGTCTAATCAAGTCTATGTATTTTAAATTTACTATAAGTATGGAAAGGGTCACTTTGTAATTCGGATGATTACAGTGTACATGGTGTCTATTTTTTACAGTTGTGAATAACTTGTGCTCTTGGTATAAAAAGGTAGCACTTTTTTTTAGTCATTTGGATGCAACATTTATCATTAAATTACAAAATCATTTAGTCAAATTAAAAATGAATTTTATTATTTTTTCAACTATCATTACTTTTTTTATTCATGAATTTTAATTTAATCATGACAATAATTGAAATTTATTATTTCAAAGAAATATGTAGTGTTTTCATGTCAATGAACGTGAGGCAAATAAGTCAAAATAATCAATTTTGTAGAAAAAATAAAGATAAGTGGTTCTATCAAATGTAAGACAGAGTAAAAACGTATATAAATTATTCATATAATTATTGAGAATATGCAAATAATTATAAATTCATTATACTTGTTAAAAATATAATTTTTATTTTCAATTTTTGAAGTTAGTATGTGTAAAATATACTGAATCCAAATTTTTAACTTTTTCTATTCATTACTTTTGATACGCTTTTATCAAATCAAAGTCTTTGCATGTTCACCTTTAGACTTCGCTACCATTTCTCTTGCGCAGCAATCTTGACTGTTCACGCGCCACAGTTTTGGTTTAGTTTCGTTTCGGTTGTTTTTGTAACCAATTCGTTAATAAATATTGCACGATATCTTAACTAATTTAGTATTATAATTATAATGGCGTGGGTTTTAGATTGATTTCTGTTTAAAATTTTACGTCAGAAAAATAAAAATAATTAGAAAATTGTACTTTATTCTTTAAAGAAAGTTTTAATAATGAGTCCACCAGAAAATAAGGTTAGTTTTAAATGTCAACCATTGTAAAACTGTTATTTTACATAAAATGTTCAAATGAAATTTTTTTTTCAGCCTCAAGGCACAGTCCAAGAATACAGTATTCGTGTTCCTAAGTATGATCATACTTTCAATATATATAACTGTTTTATATTTAATATTGTATTCTTAACTAATAAGCAAGTCCTTTGTCGTTGGCGAAAAACATTAATTGTAATGAGAACTGTGTGGTGGTCTTTTATCAAAAATGAAATTTTAGCATTCAATTATACATAAATTAAGAATATTTAGTTCTCCAGAAGGTTAACATCCGAGCAAATATTCGTTCATTCAAATGCCTTAGTATGCTTCACATTTAGTATATTTAATTTTAAAATAACTTGATACTTATTTTTTCCTATGTAGAAATTCGAAGAAAAGACATAATGTTATGCGATTTAATGCAACTTTACAAGTTGATTTCGCAAAATGGACCCAAGTTAAAATGGAGCGTGAAAATAATGCTAGAGATTTTAGAGGAATGGATGAAGAAATGCCCAAATTTGGAGCTGGATCAGAGTTTGGTCGAGATGCTCGAGAAGAGGCAAGAAGGAAGAAGTATGGAATAACAAGTCGAAAGTATAAACCAGACGATCAACCATGGATATTGAAAGCTGGTGGAAGGAATGGAAAAAAATTTAAAGGAATCAGAGAAGGAGGAGTTGGTGCAAATGCATCATACTATGTGTTTACTCATGCTACTGATGGAGCTATTGATGCATTTCCACTCCACGAATGGTATAATTTTCAACCTATTCAAAGATATAAACCATTAAGTGCTGAAGAAGCTGAGCAAGAATTCAGTCGTCGAAATAGAGTTATGAATTATTTTTCTCTGATGGTAAGAAAACGTTTGAAAAATGATGAAGAAGGTGGTGAAGATGAAGCTGAGTTGAGTGAAGGTGCTAAAGGAAAGAAATCTACAAAAGACAAGGATTTCAAAATATCAGAAATGGATGAATGGATGGATAGCGCAGATGATGATAATGATTCTGAATCTGGTAGCGATAAAGAGAAAAAGAAGAGTAAAGAAAACTCTGATGATGAGGCAGATTCAGCTAAAAACAAAAAGAAAGGTAAGCTTACAGTATTTTTATACTTTTCCACACCTATTCGCTGGAATTAGTTATCAAAATAATTATTGTGTTTTTAATGGCAGGCGAAGCAGGAAAAAAGAAAAAGAAGCGTGCATCTGATGATGAAGCTTTCGAAGAAAGTGATGATGGTGATGAGGAAGGTAGAGAATGTGAATATATATCAGACTCGTCAGAATCAGAGTCTGAATTTGATCAATACAAACAAGTGAAATCAGTAGCAGAAGAAGATGGTTTGAGAAAGTTATTAACTTCTGACGAAGAAGATGAAGACGAACAAAATGAAAAGAAAGAAGGTGAAGATGATGATGATGACGATGATGAAAATAAAGATAAAGATGACAAAGAGAAAGGAGGCAAGGATCAAGATAAAAAGAAAGATAAAAAGAAAAAGAAAAAACAACCAAAGAAAAAAGAAGTCAAAAAGTCTAATGGCAAAGAATCATCTAGTGATTTATCAAGTGATTCAGATTCTGACTCTGATGCACCAAAGGATAAAGATACTAAAGAAATGAAAAAATCTAATAGTGCACACAATTCAAGATCACCAACTCCAAATACCGGAGAGTCTGCAAAGAGAAAACAAACTAGTTCACCAGATATTTCACAAGCAAAGAAACTTAAACTGGACAACTTTAATTTAGCACCATCTACCTCTTATATACCAGGATCTAGGTAATTATATGAAGATTTTTATTTTCGTTGTTTAGTTTATATAAATAAACAATTCAATTAAATATAAATATTTAATTTCAGTGAATCGGGCATAACTGAAGAAGCAGTTCGGCGATATTTGATGCGCAAACCAATGACAACCACCGAGTTATTGCAGAAATTCAAATCTAAAAAGACTGGCCTCACTTCTGAGCAATTAGTGAATGTGATGACTCAAATTCTCAAAAAAATTAATCCTACTAAACAAACAATTAAAAATAAAATGTATCTTTCTATTAAAGCTCAACCTCATTAATGAGCCACTATATTCATAATCATGTTAAAAGTTAAGCTGATACTAATTGTATTATTTAAATAAACATACTATTTAAATATAAAAATAATTATTGTGTTCAATATTACCTTACTATGATAAATCACTCTGCTTGTAAGTTTTATAAAAATAGTGAAGGGGGCAAAGATAAATTCTTATTGGAATCAGCTGTATTCAATATTCTTTAAATAAGACGGATATTTATCAGCTGATTGGAATTTAAATAGTTTTATGTACCGTCTTTATATATTATTTTATTACTGTGATTTTGTGTTACTTTTATTTCTAACCAAAAAATTTAATTCAAACTATAATTATGTTAGATAGTTTAGAAATTATTTTATGTAAAAGCGTGAGTGATAATAATGAAAGTCAAGAAGAATATATTCAATATTTACAATCTGCTGGATATAGTTGTTATGTTCTACCAACCTTATGTTTTGAATTTGTCAATCTAGAAGATTTACAGAACCGCTTATCAAAGCCTTATTTATATTCGGGTAAAGAAATTATCACCTGCCAATACTTTTCCATAGTTATTCTGAAATTGAATTTTCATCATACTGATTTTCAATTTGTTTTAGGTCTTATTTTAACTAGTGCAAGATCTGTCGAAGCTATTAAAAATGCTACTAAACAAAATATCCCTGACACATGGAAAAAATTACCTGCTTACTGTGTTGGACCAACAACGGAATCTTTAGCAAGAAGCAATTTAAAATTAGAAGCTTGTGAAGGTTCACATTGCGGCAACTCAAAAAATCTTGCAGAATATATTATTAAACAACCAGATGAAAAAACTGATAAGCCTTTATTATATCCTTGCAGTGTTATTGCAAGAGATACTTTAGATAAAATTTTAATTAGTAATAATATAAAACTAGAAAAAATTATTGTATATAAAACTCTACCATCACAAACTCTGAGAAGTGATTTAAAACGACTCATTAAGCCTATGAATCAAATATTTGTGTTTTTTAGTCCATCGACTGTGGAATATTTATTAAATGCAGCTAAAGAAAGTTCTATTTCATTAACAAGTATAAAATCGGTAGCTATTGGACCAGTAACAGGAGAAGCATTGACTGAAGCAGGACTTACAGTTTTTGCTATTGCTGAAAAACCAGAACCTTGTGCGTTACTAGAAGCTGTAAAAAAAGTTGAAATAAAAATGAATGACTGAAATCTTTTATTTAAAAATTTTATTTTTCAAGTTTCACTTAAAAATATTATGATAATTAAAAGTCTTTAATATTAATATCTTTCACGCATATAATCTCCACGTTTGTTCTCTCGACAATTTTAATTGCCCAAGAGCTTTGACTTAACTTTCTAACACACTCGAAAATATCTTTATTAATGCATAAAAAAATAACAAGCCTTTTTTATATTGAAAAGTTTTTCAAAAAATTATAGAATTAAAAAAATTTATCCACCTTAGTATCTATTTCTATTTACTACATTTCCAAGTGTACAAGATAATTCTGCTCCAAAAATCGTTGATTGGTTTGCATAGTAAGGCTGTGGTGGATTTCCACCATTGTATTTCATTTGAACAGCTGTCTCATAGTCAGGTGCTGGTCTATAAGACGGTAGTAATGCTCGTAAATTATTTAAATCAGTTGTGGAAACTGAAACAGGTGGATAAGGTGTTGTTGAGAGATCGTTATAACTAGTCCATCGCATATGGTCATCAGCAGTACGATTATCAATGTTGACTGACGTTGTTTGCTCACTAGAGTCATTTGTATCACTATCAAAATACCCTGTTACTCGATCAGGTGGTCTTGATTCTTGATGTTGCATGTAAAATGTATGTTGAGCTATACATAATCGCCACATATATTTAGCACTCCGAGATTCACGGAATATGAACTGTTTTGCGTCGTCATGCTCCGATTGACATTCAATTCTAAAAGTCTTCTTATGGTTTATCACATTGCTAATATCTTTCCAACGATAAAATTGTGTTGTTTGAGTTGATGGATATCCTACCATAATACCATTTATTGAAATTCCGAGAACAACTTGATTATTTGCGTCATCCTAAAATACTCAACTATGTTAGTAAGCTTATTTTAATTTGGTATATATGTTTCTTGTTCATAAAATCGTTTAGTTACCTTAGCAGTAAATGATTCATGACCGTATCCTTCTAACTGAACAACAATTGATATATACAGCTCTTCTGCCACAGCCTGAGTTACTCCAGAAAGACTCTTATATTGACGAATTGCAGAGTGTAAAAGATTATCTTTGCTACATTCTTCTGAATCTATTAAATCCTAAAAAATAAACATATTAAATTAATTACAATTTTAAATAATAGTTTAAGAACGAAAAAAAAAACTTAAGGAATAATTACTTTAGGAAAAAAGGCATATTGTTGAAGGCACTCGGGAGTATGCCGAATTGGATCATAATTTCCAAGTTCTGCTTGCATGGAATAACTAGTTAACAATGCAGCTTGTCGAGAATTACACTGTATTCTTCCTTCAAGAAGATCATTCTTTAATTGAAGATAATAATGATATCGTGTCATCTCATCTTGTATTAATTGAAAATCAGTAATATAATACATTATTCTCAAATAAATATTGAAACTTTTAGCCTCTTTTTCCAATTGTTTTTTGAGTGGTTTATCCATATCCACCCATCTTGCTGTTGGTTCTCCATGCCTGCAGATATATTTAAGACCAAAAAACTCTGGTTGCCCTAAACCCAATCTTTGTGTAATATTTTCTAAACATTCTTGACCAAGACTGTCAACTCCTAGTGTACACTCTATTGAAGTTTGATCAAGCAATTCTACACAAATGACATATTGATTCTTGGAAACAACATTATATTGGCGACTTTTTTTCAAATAAAATTTAAAGGGCATCCTGAAATATTATCAATCTGTTATTAAAATATAAAATGTCGGAAAATATTTTTAATTTATCAAGTTAATTTGTATATTATACTTACTTTCTATTCTATTAATAAAATTAATTTTAATAAATAAAATTAATACATGTTTGTTTTCAGTATCAATTTGAATCAATAACTACTAAAAAAAGTATCACATATTTTAGAGTAATGATTCAATCACGTGTAAATAAATAATTAAATGTCAAATTATTGAGTAATTTGTCTATAAAATTCTTGACGCGTTTTAACTGTTTACAACAGACGTCAACAAAATCATATTATTTTGATATAGTTCAACGTCAATCTTTGAGACTTCATGTAAACTGAGTTTTAGAGAAGTAGTTGAACTATAGTAAATTTAGTTAAAACCCAAACAAACATGAAATAACACAAAAAACACAACAGTCTTGTTGGAAAACACTTTAAATAAATTGATAATCATTTTAAACATATGTAAAAGAAAATAAAAATATTTATCTTAACGTCATATGTTAACAAAGGTCGATTTTCTGACTGTAATAATGAATACAACACCATTCAGTTATATAAATTGTTCAAATTTAGAAAGTTTATGGTTAGTTAAAATTTACAATTTTATCACTATTTTTTCATTAATAACTAATTATAATTAAAAAAGATTATTATAATTGATGAATTATTAATCAAAAGTGTTATTGAAAAAATGAATAAAAGAAATTTTTCAATTGTTTTTACAAAAACGTAAGTGTGTAAAATCCGGTTGTAGTCTTTCTTGTTGAAGATTTACCCTGAATAATAAATTGACAAGTTAAATGACAGACGAAACTGAGAATGATTTAAATAATATACAAAAAGACGAAACACTTCCAAACGAATTAGCTGATGACCAAACCAATGAAAAGGAATCATTAGTACTTTCAGAATCATCTAGTATTAAAGAACTAAAATCAACTAAAAAGAAAAGTGTTAAGAAATTCCATCACGAAAAATTAACGACTCCAAAAGTTATCCCACGACACTGTTTAGAAAAGAAAGATTGGATTAATTTATTGGCTACTCCATCGTAAGTTTCATAGTGATATAAAAATTTTAATGTAATACAAATTTTGATTTGCAGTCAAAAATATTCACCATGGTTAAATAAAAATTTGGCAATCAATACTATTTATTACTACAAACTTTCTCAACCTACAAGATACAAAATTATTGCTAAATTGCAAGATCGAACAGCCGTAGTACCAGTACCATTTGTAGACGAATTAATTCATATTCTGGCAGATGATCATCTTTCTTTAGAGTATTGTCAATTAATCTATTTACTCATCATAAGAAGTAAATAAATTCTTAATTATAATTTATATTTTATTGACCAATCATTATTTATACAGAGAAGTCGAAGAATTATTTCAAAACATTTCGAAGAAGAACAACCAAAAAGTCAAAAAAACTAAATGTCAAAACGTTATGAAACCAGTTCAATATAATGAAAGTTTAAAAATGTCTAAGGACACAATGTTGTGCCAATATAATATAGCAGAGGCATTTGTAAAAAGTATACTCCAAAATAAAAATGTAGCCCTGAGAAAAGATTTAGAAGATTTAGTTAAAATAATACAAAAAAGGCTTACTAAAACTGTTGACAATAATGATCATCTAGATAAAGATGGAAAAGTTTATCAACAAATATTATTTTTATCAAAACTCATTGCTAATTGGATAGCTGGAGTACTAGAGGAAGTCGCTGAACAAAATGAAGAAGAACTAAAAAAAGAGTGTGAGGAAAGACGCAAAAGAATGGAAGCGGATGTTTTTGATGAGAGCGAGGATGTTTCTGACGATGATCATGAAGACATTCTTATTGATGCTGAAAAAGTTGTTGATAATGGTCAAGAAAAAAATGAAAGTAACAATAAAAGGGAAGAATTTAGTAGTAATGAAACGAACAACGAACAAAGTGCAGATGAATTAATTATTCAAAACGAGACGGAAACCAACGTCCATGATTATGACAACAATGTCACCAATAATATAACTGAAAATAAAAATGAAGAAGACTATGAAAGAAATAATGAACAAGACAACAATGATGACAACACTTAAAATAAATTTTACATTTCTTATAAAAAGGTATTTATATTATCAGTAAATTAATTATGCATGTCATTATTTGAGGCTAATAATAATTCAAAATGAATATGCTAATGAAGAGAAATTTTTCAATATCATAATGTTATATGAGAATTTTAGTTTTCATTTTATATTAAGATTTCATACTTTTATTAATTATTTTTCAATCGGATCAGAGTCACTTTCTCATCTGGTTATATCCTTGTGAAGATTGTACATTGTACTTCCGTCTACCATGGGTATATAGTATCACATAACGGAATACCTGATTTCATGGTCTGAGAGAAAGCGCCAATTGCTTGTATATTCTCAGGAGAAATTTGATACGCCTGCCTAAATAGTAAAGCAATATGTACATAAACATATCTTTAACGTAAAAACATATTTTACACTTTATTAATGACTTTATTATATTCTATTTTAGTACAAAAATTCATTGATCTTTATGGGATTATAATTTTATTACTTAATTAATGATCTAATCATTTGATGAATTTTTTGCTCAAAAAATTTTTAATCTTGACTTCAATTCTTTATTCTTGTTGGAAGTTTAAAGAGTAACTTTGTTAATAATTTATGAAGCACTTGAACAATTAAAGTTGATAAATAATTGCTACATATTAGAGTAATTTACTTCATTATCTTATCAATTGGTTCTTCGGTCAGTAGGCGATGTCGATAGCTGAGAACCTAGATTTCAATCCTCACGAATCTTTACGATCCTTATAAGTATGCCAAAGAAAAAGTTCATCCAAGAACATTCAGAAGACAGGTAGAACAGATACTGATTATAAGAGTAAGAAAGAAAGTACGAGGTAGAATGTAGAGAAATTGTATTGACATGATAGGAGGGGAATTATGGCCGTGACATTGCGCGCGCGCACTTCAACATTTAGGTTTCATCGAGACTGGAGAAAATCGAAAACGTGTATCACCGCTTATTTTCAATCAGAAACACCATTTATTCTTATTCTTCATCAATACGGTGTTTATTTCATATAAACTAATATGCTTTGCATAAAGAGCAAGTGTATTTAACTGTGTTTTGTGCAGTAACTGTGATTTTTATTATAGAAAAACAAAGTTTAATCTATAACTTGCTTTTATTCTAAATAGGTAAGAACAGTGTTTAGAAAAAAACAATGTATTGAATAGTATATAGAATTTATTGTAACTTACACAAAACCAGTTAGATACGCATTAACAATCATAAAATTAATAAAAATTCTTAGTTAAATTTGAATAAAAAATTGAAAATAAACATATTAAGTTATTTTATTTGGTACTTAAAATATTGTAAACAACCTTCAAAAATATTACTTCCTTAGAATATTTAATTCGTTAATTTTAACATAAATTTATTTAAAAGTTAACTGAACGATCATAGTTAGACTAGTCATGATGCTTTTATTACTTAACACTTTGTAAATTGAATAATGAAAACACATCGTTCACTGAAAGCTGGTGGGGTGAATAAATCATAATTGAAACTTCATCGTTTAACAATCGAACTATCGTCTCTTTCCGCGGCAGTTCAATTACTTCCTTTAGTCGATCATCAATACCTGATTAATTTTTTATTCATCTGTTCTACTATTTTTTACAGAATGGCTTTGACTTGTTGGGAAAAACTAGTCATTATAATTATTGCTATTATTGGCATACGTTTTGCAATAAGATTATCCGTATTTTTATGGAAGAAGTTCATTGGTCCAGGTCTAGGATGTGGTGTTGATGTGAGAACTCAAGGAAAATGGGCAGTAATAACTGGTGCAACTGATGGACTTGGTAAAGCATTTGCTCAAATTTTAGCATCTAAAGGACTCGATATTGTTTTGGTATCAAGATCTTTGCCTAAACTTGAAACCGTTGCAAAGGAAATAAGGGATACTTATGGTGTTGATACACGAATTGTTGAAGCTGATCTTACAGAAGGCCAGCCAGTGTATGCTAAAATTGCTAAAACCATTGAAGAACTTGAGGTATTAATGCATATTATTAATCTATTTTTTATTTAATATTTGATAAATTAAGTTATTTTCATCTTGTATTCTTCTAGATTGGAGTACTCGTTAATAATGCTGGTGCAAGTTACGACCATCCAGAAATATTTACAAATGTAACAGAAGAAACGATAGCAAGGATATTACAGCTAAATGTTGCTGCTACAACTGGAGTAGCACGAGCGATATTACCAGGAATGATGGAACGTCGTAAAGGTGTAATAATTAACATTAGTTCCACTGCTGGAGCTATCCCAAGTCCTTACTTATCTGTTTACGCTGCCAGTAAAGCGTACATTGACAAGCTAAGTGCAGATCTCGCAGCGGAAGCTGCCCCAAGGGGTGTTACAATTCAATGTGTTCTTCCAGGACCAGTAGCAACCAAAATGTCAAAAATAAAGTTAGTATCATTTCAGAATTATTGCATACAATGTTTTTAAATCAATTCTGTTAATTTTTAAATAATGATTGAATATTCATTTTGTTTTATTCATTAGGAGAGCAACATGGATGGCTCCGACTCCTGAAAAATTTGTCGAGTCAACCCTCAAGACTGTAGGAATTGAATCACGAACAACCGGATATCCGCCGCATTGTTTAATTATTGGAATTGTTAATGGATTACGTTGCATTTGTGAAAAAGGTGCCGTTTGGCTCGTGGCAAGAACTATGTTAAATATACGTGGTCGTGCACTTAGAAAAAAGAATGAAAAACAATCGACCGAAGAACCAATGATGACAGAAATACCTACAAGGCAAGAAATTCCCGTTGAATGATCATTCCAATATATTAAATACAATTAATAACAATGATTTATCAAACCATTGTATATTGATTTTTTTTAAATATAATAAGCCATATTTTATTTATTATTGTTATTTATTATTATTTAAATATATATATAGTCAGTAAGGTTTAATAAATATAATTGATTTAAAATGTTGGACAGTGAATATTTAATATGGAATATTCATAATAATGTTAAAGGTCAGCAACTACTTCTGTTTACATTATTCATTTTTTTATGTATAATTCATAAGTCCAAAGAATACGTCACTGATTCACTTAGACTTAATGATCCATTAATAGGTTTTTGTAAGTACTAACATTGTATAATGCTCACTGATCAACAAAAAATATTATATTTATTCCATTTTTTGATCAAGCAATACATTTTTCATTTAATGTAATTCAATATCGTCTATTGCACAATGGAAAAAATATTATTTTATATATTTTTATGAAATATTAGAGGCAATAAAATATTATTTTATTATTTAAGAGATGTTAGTTACATGAATAATCAATTGGAGCTGTGATGAATACGATTTTTTTTTACTTATAACTGTTGTAATATTTTTATAATGATACTTCAGAGAATAGTAAGACTTTTATTAAATTCGAATAAAAAAAAATGATTATGAATATTTGACTAGTTAACTTAGATATTATTTTGTGTAATGATATTGTTAATTGAAAACATTACAAAAGAACGTAAAAAATTTAATTTGAAACTGTTTAAATTTTTGAAACATGTTACTTTATCATCTATCAATACAAAACCGATGTTCTGAAATATCAATTGAGTGAAATAACATGGAAGTCTAACCTACAAGCATTTTCCGGATACACGCACGTTTTCATTCAGTTTTGTAATATTTCGCAACATTGTTCCAAAGTATTATTGCACTTCACAGTTAATCAGTGAAATTCCATATTTCTGGTTATATCAATAATAACTAGAAATATTTTATTCAGTTCGGAATGGTGTGTCAACCGATACAAATGTCTTTCTCTACTGTAACTGAAAAGAGAATTGTGCTTAGGAATAGCGAACATTTTGCATTGTGGAAACAGAATAAAGTAAAATAGTACTTGATTTTTCAATTAGAAACAAGTAATTTAAAGTGTTCAATCATTTCATTCTTTTATTCACATTTAAGTATTTATGCATGTCAACTAAATTTAGAAGTATACAAAAATGAGGATAGTAGATTTAGAAAAACTAAAAAATCTTCAAAAAGATCCAAAATCTATTAGAAATATTTGTATATTAGCCCATGTTGATCATGGAAAAACAACTTTAGCAGATTGTCTAGTAGCAAGCAATGGAATTATATCAACCAAGCTTGCCGGCAAGCTTCGATACATGGATAGTCGTAATGATGAACAGCAACGAGGAATAACCATGAAGTCAAGCTCTATATCTCTCTTTTTTAATAACAATGATGAAGAATATTTATTGAATGTCATCGATTCACCAGGTCACATTGATTTTGCATCAGAAGTATCAACAGCGGTCAGATTATGTGATGGAGCTATTATTATTGTCGATGTAGTCGAAGGAGTATGCCCTCAAACTCGAAGTGCCTTATCTATGACTTATATTGAAGGTTTAAAGCCAATATTAGTAATGAATAAGATTGACAGATTAATTACAGAAATAAAATTAACACCTCTTGATGCTTATATTCATTTAACTCAAATTCTGGAGCAAGTTAATGCCGTAATGGGAGGATTATTTGCCAGTGATGTTATGCAACGTGATGAAATTATTGAAACAGCTAAAAATAATAAAGATTCAAATTCAACTGAAAGATCACTTACAGATTGGCAGTCAACTCTAGAAGAGGCTGATGATTCAAATTTATATTTTTCTCCAGAAAGAGGCAACGTTTTATTTACCAGTGCAATAGATGGATGGGGTTTTGGGATTAAAGAGTTTGCAAAAATGTTATCAGAAAAACTAGGATTTAGTGAAAAAGTATTAGCAAAGACACTTTGGGGTGATTATTATCTAAATATGAAAAATAAAAGAATTATGAAAGGTGCTCAAGAGAAAGCTAAAAAGCCACTTTTTGTATCATTAATTCTTGAGAATCTGTGGACTTTGTATGATATAGTTTTAGTTAAAAAAGACAAAGAGAAAATGATGAGTATGATGGAGAAAATGAATATAAAATTGACAAATAGAGATTTAAGAGTAACTGATACAAAAGTTCAATTAAATGCAATCGCATCGCAGTGGCTTCCACTAGCAAAAGCTTGTTTATCCATGGTCTGTGATAATGTACCTGCTCCTCATGAATTATCTGGTGATAAAATCGAACGTTTAATGAGCGGAAACAATGACTTTTCATCTCTTCCCTCCGAAACACAACAATTAAAGTCTGCATTTTTAGCTTGTAGTTCTTCTCAAGATGCACCAATTATCGCATTTGTATCAAAAATGTTTTCTGCTGATAAAAAATCATTTTCAGAAAATAAAACTCGAATGCTAACCCAAGAAGAATTAGTACAGCGAAGAGAAATTGTAAGACAAAGGCATGCAATGAAATTAGAACAGCTTGAAAGTGAAAAAAATGAATCTAATGACCATGGAACGACAAGTAATGATAAGGTTGAAGAAGAAAATCAAGAAAACATAGTAAATGAAGAAGAAGCAAAAATGTTGATTGGATTTGCAAGAGTTTATTCTGGATTACTAAAACCCGGTGCTGAATTGTTTGTTCTTGGACCGAAGCACAATCCTGAAACTGTTCTGGAAAGAATGAAAAATAATGAACCCGTAAAAGCGGCAGCTTCCTTGAAAGATTTAAAATCTGGTTGGTATGTTACTAAAGTCGTCATTACAAAATTATATCTCATGATGGGACGAGAATTGGAAACTGTAGAGCAAGTTCCTGCCGGTAATGTTATAGGTATTGGTGGATTAGAGGAACATGTTTTGAAAACCGCTACATTATCATCGACTATGTTTTGTCCTTCATTTACTGAACTAACTTCACTTACTGTACCGATACTTAGAGTTGCATTAGAACCGAAGCATCCTAATGACTTGCAGAAACTTGTCAACGGTCTCAAGTTATTAAATCAGGCTGATTGCTGTGCTCGAATGCATATTCAAGAAACTGGGGAAATTGTGTTAAGTACCGCTGGAGAAGTTCATCTCGAACGTTGTCTAGACGATCTTAAGCAGCGGTATGCTAAAGTAGAGATAAATGTATCAGAGCCAATTATTCCATTCCGAGAGACTGTAGTACCTCCACCAATTACTGATATGGTAAATGAAGCTATTGAGAAAAAGACACATGATGAACCTTTGGAATTTTGGACAACCAATCATCAATGCTTCTTTGAAATTGATGCTAAACCATTACCAGAACAAGTTATTAAGATTCTAGACGATAACTCTGATCTTCTTAAACAGTTAGATATGCATTGGGAACAACTTGGAAAACAGGAATGTGAGTCACTGCCATCCTCTATCGCTAATCTGTCAATCGATGAGACTTCGATTACAAATAAAAAATTAAAATCCATTGAAACATTTAAAAATGATTTATCGACTGCCTTTCACTCGGCTAACTGGGGAAATGTTTTAAATGAAATATGGTCGTTTGGGCCGAAAAAATGTGGACCTAATATTTTACTTAATGAAAGTGATTATAAACGATTACCCTTTTGGATGAAACAACTAAAACAATCAACAGATCCTCGAGCCACGTAAGTTAATTTGCTTTTTATTAAATACACTTAAAGTTTTTAACATTACGGAATACTTGAAAATCATGTTATTTTATCATTTATAAATTGCTGTAGTTAGTGTTAAGATACAATCTAGAATGACGAATAAATTATTTCAGATATGATAATAGTATTATCAATGGATTCCAGTTGGCAACTATTGCAGGACCTTTATGTGAAGAGCCAATGCGAGGAGTATGCTTTATTGTAAAAAAATGGCAAATTTATGAGGATGCACAGAGGTATAAAAAACTGATTAAAGTTTCCATAAAAATAGTAAATCCATTAAATTATATTACAGTGAATGTAGTGGACAAAGTAATCTCAGTGGACAGTTAATATCAGCCTTCAAGGAAGCTTGTCGTCGTGCTCTTAATATGCGGAGACCTCGTTTAGTGGCACCTATGTATTCATGCAGCGTTCTCGTCAATTCTGATGTACTTGGTAAGTCAATTGCTACTCTATATTATGTATTAATAATCATTTACTAAAAATATAACATATATTTTTCATTTTTTTCTGATATAACGAGAGTTGAAAACTCTTTCATCTTGTTACAACTTATCATTTCTCATGATATCAATCTTTGAATCAATGCTGGCTTGGAATTTTATCCATCTTAAATCAATTTGTTACAAATAAATTATGGAATTACGTTGATATTAAATAGTTAGTTATTTTGAAAAAGTATTTTATTTTTAAATAAAAATTATTTTGTCTTGACAGTATTTGTTCATAAGAGACATTTTGATAATTATATGCAACTTTATCTATAAGATATCATCTTATGATAAACGATTTTTGTTCGTTTCTTAAAGATAATTTTTCACATATAGTGTAATCGTAAAACGTCTAAAAGTAATAATTAATAGATTATGAAGCAATAAAAAAGTAAAGGATGACACTGAATACGATGATAACTTGATAATAAATAACTATTAATTTATGAATTTTATAATTTGTTAGTGTGATGTACGTATCAATTATCACAATAGTCAATCCCAATTAGCGGTTTTCATAAGTTCTGGAACCATATGCCATGGGAATGTTGATTTCATATCATTGTAATTCTCATTTGTTTCTAAGCCTAAAAAAAGTGTCATAAAATTAAATTTCAGTTTAATTTAATATTTATCTTAGTTTGTAATATATTTAACAGTTATACCAAGTAAGTTACGAGTTTGTCGTAACGGACGTCCTTTTCTGCTTCCTTGAACACACATCATCCCATAGACTCGAATACCTGGGACACTGGCATATGTAGGTTGATCATGACTCATAGGTCCTTCTGAAAAATAGGTCAATTGTTATTGCTAGTATGATTATTGCTATGCTTTCACTGAGACGAATAAAATTGGAATAACATACCTAGGATGTTGGTGTCAGGACACCTGCATATTACAAGATAATGTGATTTTCCCGTACGAACATTTTGTAAAGCTAACAATGACCAATCTCTTGGAGTTCGACATTCTCGCATTTCTGCTACTGGCTCACAAGTTTTAACTAATGTTAATGCCTGAAAATATTATTTTTAAAAGTTATACAATGATTTTATGGTTTTAATTAAAATGATTTGTATAATTAGCATTAAAAGAGTTGAAAAAAAAAATTATCATCTTTTTTTTGCTCGGAACAAAGTGCTGTAGCATAGCAATTAACATAGTTAAAAATCAAGTTGACAAATATAATTCTTGTCGGGAAGCAGCAAAGCATATTAATAATATGTAATTAAAAGTAATTTACCCTTGTGTTTGAATCTGTAACAAGTTCAGTAGTGTGAAGGTCATCAGAATCAAGAGATGCACTGCAAGGATCTCTGTATCTACTTGGACAGGCGCACAAGGGTTGAGTGAAATTTAATCTAACATAGACTGCATTGCATACTTGTTGAACAGCACATTCTGGTAGTAGATAAATGTGCTGATTATGTGGATAGTAATGATACTTAGTTGGCTTTGATAAAGCTGCACTAGCTCCTTCTGGCAACCGAACTCCAGTCTGTGGAAAAATAAATTTTGTATGACTTTTTAATTAATTGCCCATATAATCACAAAAATAGTAAAATATCATTATCTACTAAAACATCATCAATGCCTTCAGCTTAGATGTGTCATAAATTTGCAAATTTTTTTACTGTTAGATTATGATTATCATAAACATTATTCTCTAACCGCGTGTTTTATTATCGAGCTGTTGGTGTGAATCATTAGTGTTGTAAATGGTCGGTGCACTTGAAAAAAAATTTCCTTTCCTTGTAATCAACAGGTAATAATTTTTTTCTGCTCGAAAAAATTTCAAATCGAGTATTTAGAATATTAAAGTATTGAAATAACTTGTTATTGTAGCAATTGCTTTCCACGAAAAATGTTTTCTGTATATAATTTATGTTCACTTTTCATATTCAGGATATAAGAAAAGTAAAATAATAAATTATACAATATAAAATTTGTTATGTTAAATATGAAGGTTTAAACACGCTGTCAGTATGAATTCTTCGTGCAGTAATAACCTTGATAATGATGTTTGTGAAACAACTCGGTGAACGGCAGCGAATAACCACAGTAACTCTTCCTACCACAATCATTAAGCGTAACACACAAAATCGTGACCGCTTCAAGAAATTCCAATTGCTAAAACTATAGCCTTAAAACTTTTATAAATGATATAGGTTGTTCAAGAGTCGGTTTATTTAATTCACAATTTACAAAGCATCTTTCTACACTTCAATATTTATGGAGTAATAATTTTAATTCTTCATTTCAATTTGTTACAAACACGCGATGAATTGCCAGAGGAATAAAATCAACTGGTGTTCATGATCAGTTTATTGAACAAAAAGAAATGAGTTTTATTGGCTAAAAGGTAGAATTAATTCAGCGCATAGTGTTTTATAATTTAATGGTATTTTTTTTTCTTTTAAGATGCTCTAGAAAATATGGGAAACGCTCTAGGGTAAATCAAGAATCTCGTAGTTCGATAAAAATTAAATGGGTGGATGCTGAGGAATCAGTTGACCGTAACCGTTTCGGTCCCACAAACTCGGTGACACAGAAATACTTGATTTACACTATGTATATCATCAAAGTAGTCGCAGAACGAAAACTAACTGCCTTGTCATCACTACAATTTTATATTCCTATTCCTGTACCGATATTTTAATAGCAGCATTCTATGAAACATGGAATATTTTAAAACAATTTGTAATCATATTCCAACATCTAGAATATCATTAAACATAATTCGGCAATGACTATGTAGTTAATTATTAATTATCCGGGATTGTCTATAATCATGGGTCTAGGGGAGAAGAAATCACGTGCTATGAAAGACGGAAGTTGAGAAAAGATAGAACAAAGAGTAAAGGCATGCTAGGGTCATTAAGGCCACCACAAAGCGTTAATGATTCTTTGCCAAGTACATTCACCTATAGAAGCTCAAGTTATGTTCCTTTTCGTTCTTTTAAATCAATCAATTTATCATTTTTATTATTAAAATCCATCTAAATTCAAAAAAATGAAAATAATGCTTTCATATTATCACATAATATTACACACTTTTTCTGATTATAAAATATTTATAAATTATTTCCGATTACTTAACAAGTTTTGCTTTCTTCATTCATGGATCATCAAATATGAATAAAATATTATTGATAATAGCCATTGAATGATGAATAAATAATAAATCTGATGGGAGTACTGGTTAAAGATGTAAATTCTTGCTCCAGTGTAGATATATAATCTTACATGTTATACACAAAGTGGTGCAAAATGATCATTCTTACTTTCGAGGTCAACTTGAACTCATGGAATTTGTTTTTAACGACTTATGGAGCAGTTGTATGGATTCTCGTAAAGCCTCATGAAACTGGAATTCTACTCTTTATATAATCACGATGTATTCTATGCAATATTCTTTGAATCAATGTATGATTCAATATAATTATACCTCGTATAGCAGCTTTGTTTTTATTTTCTTCCATAAAACCATCATATAATATTCAGGTAAAGCTAAGCTTGTTAATATACAAAAGCATACAATACCTGTAGCGTTTGATTGAATGTATACATTCTGTTATGGAAGTACAAAATTAATTTAAATGTTATTTTACAGGTTGTATTTGCATACTTAATGTGGAAAAATTGATGCTTATTTGATATTAACAACATGCTTGAGTGTTCAACAATGATAGAAGAAAGATAAAACGATTAATCTCACAGGCTGTCGTGTAATTAATTATGACGAGTGCAAATGTCATGGTCCGAAAAAGAAAGAAAGTATGTGATGGGTACTGTAGACAAAGTTTTATTATAAAGTAGGATTCGGCTCAACTCTCGTGAGAGTCATGAGTAATAAATATAAGATTGTATTGATGGAAAAAATTCCGAGTGAAGAGAAAACTTTCTCCATACATGTATATATTGCAGCATTGATTCAAAGACACAACATGACCTCCTTTGTACACGTACTTTACAAGCCATCAGTGCACTCTCACGTGTGATACTATTTCGCAGCATGCTAGAGAAAAACAAAGAGGATGAGAATGAGATTTATTTTATGCGAGATCTTCTTCTATTATTTTATCCCAATACATTTAGGATAAAAAAACGGTTGTAACGAGAATCATTTTCTTTTATTTATGATCATTATACGGATTTACTAAATTGTATATATTAGTCTAGAATCTTGACAATATAAATATTGTTTTCAATTTTAATGAAAATACTGACTTCAATTGGGTGGGAAGTAATTTTTATTATTTCTATGACTAATTAATGGTTATTATGTGATTAAGGCTGTTAAATACATGAGTTTAAATTATTTATAAGCCTTTAGTTGTCAAGATTTTGAAATAATTGTTAATAACATGTTTGAATAGTTTAGCTTACACCAATCTCAGCACGAATACAGGACATAAGCCATTATCCTGTGATTTGCTACACGGAAAATTGCAGTCTATCTAGCGAAAGAGTCTTCCTGTACCCAACCATGTTTAGTTCTATTCAAGATGACTCTCTCGTCAGATTGACTATATAGAGAATCTAACAGTGAAAGTTTAATTACAAATAGTCAAGTAGTTTTTTTATTTTATGGCTATTTTTTGAATTAAGCAAAATTTACATCTTGAGAAAATCATTGGGTCAAGGTAATTTTGCTTTAATTATTCATCATGTTCATTTTAAATCAAAAAATTAACGAGTTTGATGGATCCAATTTCAATGCTAAAATTAACATCACAAGATTTTAAATAATCTTTTTTTATCCAACACCAGACTTAACACTCAAGTCTGGATACATAATATATAATTAAAAATCCCCAAAATATTAAATGGCAGAAACAGTTAGGTTTTGAGAGACAATAGGTATATAAGGTATTTACAGTACGAAAAAAAAATCTCTCCAAGATAGAAAGATAATAATAAATAGCTACTCACCTCGCCGACACTGGTGTAATTTATGTGAAGCTTGATCTGCGGTCGAATTTTGCTTAGTGATTCACGGGTCTCTTTTGATAACGGGCTAGGTGTCGTAACTTCGTTTAGTTGAATTTTCTTGATGGCAAGGTTGCTTGTGTTGCTGATGTTGGAGTCTGAGGTAATGGTAGTCTCCGGGGCTTTGGCACGCGTTGCTAACGGAGAGGCTGTGATATTTACAACGGCGGTCGTTTTCTTGTTCAAGTTTAAGGAATTCAAAGTTGTTGTCGGAATCGTTGAAGGTAGTGACAGACAACTGCCAGTGCATACCATAATCATTACCAGAAATAACAATTTCATTGCGAATAGAATTGTTTTCTTTTTCTTCTCAATAAATCCACTCTGCTAAATGCTTTCAATTCTCTTCTAGATAATTGGTGATAATTAAACACCATTCAATTTCTCAATAATGCTATAAAAATAATGAAATAATAACATTTATTTATTATGTCAGAAATTAAACAATGTTATGTCAATAAAACTTGTAGCTTACTTGAGAAAATATTAAAAGTAATTGTTTGATTTAATAGTTGAACAGTTGAATTCTTCTGACGATTTACAATGATTACTTATATTATACGATTTTTCTGCTTTTCCATTCATAATGCATTGTCTATAAAAATTATACATTATTTATTGGTGTTATTTATTTCAATAGAATGCAATGCTTTTAATTATGTATCGTTAAAGTTAATGTAATTGATCAAATGCTAGAGTATGTGAGATGAAAAATGATGTAGAAGGGTAACCTGTAGAATTAAATGAAAAGACATATTGATAGCACTTATGAAGAGAAATATGTTGGCGTACTCTGTTAACGGGATAGTCTATCATTTTTTAAACTCAAATGACAGATCAGCTTTTAGATAATCTTAAAATCTACAGTGATTATTTACGTGTAAAGCTTATTCATTTAAGAATTATTTAAACAACCAAGAAAATCGTTAAAAAAAAATTTATGGTGAATGATTACATCTGATGTTTTAATTCATAAAACTTGTAATTTAACCGCGACATAGCTTTTAAGGTGAATTACTTGGACAAGGGTCTTGCAATATCGTTTTTTTTCGGAAATGAGAATAGAGATCAGATTTGCACTGGATAAAGAGACGTTTTTTTTCACGGGAATAAATTTTAATCATATCATTCTCTCTGTGGGACGGGACAAGTTGTTCATGCACTTTCGTTACGCTCGAGAGGAATGAGAGCGCGCGACTTGAAGGTGAACGTTGCAAACACTCCGGGACTACTCGGCTGACTGGAGTAAACGCGCTTGGCTTTGGCCACGGTCAAGGTTCGTCGGAGCTGCATTTGATTGCGTGCGATGAACTCACTGTAACGGAAGTCAAACAATTCAACATTTCACGGGCCAAATTGATGTTAAATGTTTCGAAATAAACAAAAAATGACACAGTACAATTTAGGTAAAACAATGAAAAAGCGCTGAGCTTCACAGTCTAAATAACACCTGTAGATTTTAGGATCAACAAATTGGACTATTTTAACTTATTACTATCATCAATGTCAAATAAAAATAGGTAACAAAAAGTACCTATTAAACTTATAATCATAGTGTTAATAATCATAATATGGCTTGTTGCTTACCAATTCCAGTTTGATTAATAACTTTATTGGATTAATAATAAAAATGATGAATAAGATTAATTTTTAAAAATAATTTATATAATGTTGCAAAGGAAATAAATTAGTATAAAACGAGGGAATTATGAAAACTTTTATCAAATAATAATCACAATTATACATGCAAACACCAAAGTTAATGATTATGAGATGCACAAAAAGACTACACTGATGGTTGAATAATTTGCAAATATTGATGAAAGGTATTTATAGTTTTACAAATCAAAATGATATTAATATTACTATCAACTCTTTTCAATATTGGTCCTCAACAATAATCGTGGTTGTAAAACACGCTATTGTGACCATGGAAGTTGGAATACGACTGTGATCTCTCCTAGGAGGAGTCCTACCTATGAATCCCCGCTAGTCCTACTTACCGACCAACCAGGAATCGCGTGCAACTGCCCGTAGAACTTTATTCAGTATCTCCGCCAATCCTCAGCTACACAGCTCGCTCAACGCGGGTTTATTTATTCCTCTTGGTCCTTAAAAATTGCCCTCAACCTACGCGGCAACCACTTTACTTCAGCAAGTGATAAGAAATAAATTCCAAAAAAGTTGATGAAAGTCAGCCGCTGATGATGCTGCTTCTTGATAATTATTTTCTCGTGAACACTTGATTATATGAATTTAGTTCATTTTGAAAATTCTTTTAATACTGTTGAGCTAGAAAGAGAATTATAATTTATTCAATCAGTTATTGATTTAATATGACAAGTAGCTGATGCTAAAAATGAAGTGGACTCAATTTTAGAAAAGACTTTTCTATTTCTATGGTAATTCAAAAATCACTTAGTTCTAGACAATAGCTTACAAGTTGATAGTAGTAAAGGTTACGAGTATCATGGAAATCAATGTGATTCAGCATGAATATTAAAATAGTATGCCAATAAAAATTTTTTTATAACTAAAAAAAATATTATAAATGATAGTTTTTGCTATAGCTGATGATTAAGAATGATTTTGAAGCAATTTCTTGAATATTACTATAAATATTGATCAGTGAAAAAAAAATTACTTTCATTAAAAAGAAATAAAAATGATTATCCATATTTTATTAATATTTTCCTCAACAGAAATGATGTATCAGCAGATTAGGATTTTCTTTGTCTTTGTGAAAATATAATTTCTTTTCCTTCTGAAATTGAAGTTAATGATGATAGATGCATGTAAATGCATTTCAAATCACAAAATAATTAGAAAAATAAATGATCAACTATTTATATGTATGCTAGATAGTAAAAATATCATGAATGACAAATAGAATGACTGCACAGCAACGAATGAGCGCATCATTTGAAGGATGATACTTTCTTTGGCATAGAAAATATGGGACGGTATAGGCCTCGTTATAAAACCGCCTGATAATAATTATCCCATAGTATACACGAGGTAAGGTGTAGCAAACTGGCCCAGATGCAGACTAGCTTTTCTTAGATGTAGAATATCTTATAGATACACAAACTATACTTGGCAATTGCTACTTGCCAAATAGGAAGTATCAATTGAACAAGTCGATAACGCCCGTCCATCTACAATCTATTGCATGTAAAGTGTAACGTGCGACTGGTTGATTGAAATTTTATTCACCTTTATATTTTACCATCTTATCTGATCTCATTTCATAGTAAAGTATATCAATGCTTGAAACATACATTTCAATCTTCTTCAAGAGAAAACAAAGGGAGCTAAGCAAAATACTTGGAATATTATTTCTCTTCTATATTGTACTCTCCCTGTCACTCTTTGACCCTTTCTTGAACATAAGTATAGTCCATTGAACTACGATGATGCATCAGTGCACTGTACTTTGCAGAATATCTCAACAAATTACTCTTTGAATGAAAATAAACTTCTAAAGACTTACATTATTTTTTAAGGAAAAAACCGGAAATTTGAGAATTGAGAGAAAGTTTTTTCTTAGACGTTTTTTGTATCTTTCAAAGAATTCCCCCCTTTTTTTTATTTCAATAAAGGAATAGAAAAAAATACTGAAGAAAACTGAGATGAGCCCTCAAGGGGGTTACGAGACAACGTGCATGACTTGACTTTCTACCATCATCACACCAGATACACAGGGAGCTAATATCTTAGGCAAAGGTTTCACTGTACATCAATTTAAAAATAAAATAAGACAAAAAAAATAAGAAGGCCAGGAGAGAAATTACATGAGAGAATCCCAAGCTCCCCCGCACTAACTGTCTTTGTCTATTAAATTCTTTTAGCTCTTCTTAGTTGCTTTTTACTGATGTATTTCTCTCTTTATTTGTTCGTAATTGCGGTTCTCACAAAAGAGATTGCTTTTCTATATTCATATTTATACATCGTTATTGACTTTTTAATACTAATGAATATTTCATATTATTTGAAAATCGTAAGGTCGAATTCAAATAAAATTATAATCAATTTGTTTATAGCTATAAATTGTAGACTATAAGTGCTATTTAGTACACATAATTGTTATGTAATCATAGTCGAATATAATCAACCTCTGTGATGTTAATTGGTTTAAGTAATTTTGCATTCACCTTTACAGAAGTTCTTTAGAAATAAGGATTTCCTTAATTTCTTTGTTAACACCTTGCTAACAGAAACTTGGTATGGAATAAAGTCTCTATTAGCTTTGGAGTGTTGTTAATACAGTTTTACAATTCATGACAATTTTAAAGTATAATAACATAGAATATTTTTTTTTTTATCGAATATTCTAATGATAGGTAATATTTTGAAAAATAATAAAAGGTGAAGGAAAATATTGATAGGTACAGTTATCAGATACGGTTGACAGAACATACTGATTACACTGAAGAATTCAAAGAGGGTTGATGAACCGCAACATTCCCATAGACAACTAACATCAGTAATATTTGATATTTTCTTTTATTTTTCTTTTACAACTCTGCACTTGTACATATGAATATATTTATTATGGAAATGATCTGATCTCATGTTCACACTTACGGATATATAGATTCGCACGTACCGGTTTCTACTGAGAAAATATTTTTTTCTGCAAAATATATCTCTACTAGTTGTTTCTTACAATGTAGTTACCATTTAAAATAAATATAGATAATTTAAAAACTTCTTTCAATTATACGATTATTAACAAAAAAGACTTAAATTTTAATTTAATTATATATAATGTTGATTACAATAGATAAGAATAAATAATCATTTTTATCGAAAAATTTTATAAATTTATTTAATTAATTTAAGAAACATTATACAAACATGTTTGGCGTCGATTTAAAATCAATGCTGGCTTCAAGTGCAGCGTGATTTTTTATCATGTTTAGGCAAGATATAATATTTACAACTATTTAATTAATTAATTAAAATGGCATGAAAACTATATAGATCAATAACGCATCATTATTAACAATAGTCATTATTCAAATAATAATAATAATAATTATAATAAAAATAATGATAATCATAATAATAATAATACGATAATAAAACGTACATATTAACTTTTCATATTACAAATTAATAAAATCTATATAAAATAATAATTATCATTTAATTTTTCTTTTAATTTTATCATATGATATTGATAGAAAATCAATTATCTAGATTTTTTTTATTTTTCTAAATATTTTCTCCTTTTTTTTTAAATTCGGTTTACTTTTTTAAAATTATTTTTTAATTTTTTTGTTTTTTTTTTCAACCTTCTAACTCCAACGGTTGATAAAATAGGTTGTATGATTTTCTTTCAAACACAATTTCTATGGTAACTCAGAACCTGTGTAGACATCTGATGCGTTTGAACAAATTGAAGATAATATAAAAAATGATTTTGTAAATTTACAATAATTAATTGATACAAGTTCTCTGCCATCGAACGTAGTTATTATAATTTAAAAAATTTATATTGCATACTTTTCTCATAGAATATAAACTGGTTCATTGTGGTGTGCTGGTACGCAGTAACCACTATAGGTTTTTATTTCAAGCACTCCAGAATAAGATCTTGCTGGTAGTGAACCAGGGTCTGTATGTCTTCTGGGACACCTGTGGCCTTTTGGACATTGACAAAGTGGTGATGCATTTACTTCCTCTAGCTGAGAACTACGTCTTTTCCGAACTGTAAAAAGCCTGCATGGTTCTTTCAGTTGACATCTTAGGCGCTATAAAAAAAATCATTTATCTTGTGATTTTGACATTTATTATGTTATTTTGTTATAAGAAAACATTCAGAATATTTACACTTTGTGGAGAACATGCAAAAGCGTAGATAAAGCCAGAGTTTCCCTCGGATGATCTATACGGTTGTCTTTTCACAAGATAGGGTACACTTCCGGGACGACAACGACAATGAATTTTTTGCACAGTTGTATTTCCGGGTCCACCACCTGGTGCAAGTGTCCACGTTACATCTCTATAGAGAAAAAATCATAAATCAATGTTTTTATATCCCAACCATCTCCAAACATCTCAGAATGATCCTACATTTTCTCTTTCATTGATGCTGTAGCTATTGTATGTTTCAACCTATAAAAAATACATTGTTTGACTTACTTGAAGTAACGGCATATAGGTAATCGTTTGACAGGTTCACAGAGCTTATACTGCCGTGTTTTGTCAACTATCGTATGACCATCATCGGCATGTAGACTTTTGGGGCAAGTATGTCCCTCTGGACATCGGCATTGCCTTTCAACCCATGGTGCTCCATAAAGATCAACTTTGCTGCATACTTCACTGTGTGAGCATTCTGGTAGTTCTTCTTCACTTTCCTAAAAAAACAAAAATAAGAATGTTTATTATCAATATCATCAAAGAACTTCATAAGACAGGAATACTTCTTGATGGTTCCATCAAAGTTATCAATGATAGAATTTGATTAGCAGCTCAAGTTATTGATTTCTTATAAGCTAATTATGAACTTATAAAAATATTGTCTTATATACTTTCTCTCTCTTTTTATTTAGAGATAGAAAAAAAGAGAAAGAGGGGCAAATTAGTGTTAGCCGTTAGTGAAATAATGGCTGAATAGGCTTCCTTCGAGAAATAGCGGAAGTCTGCTCGAGAATAAACCGGACGAGCCCACTCCCCACGTCACAATAGCGACATCACCACTACCACGTGCTTCCTCCTTTACTTAGGAGAGATTACGAATCAAAATATCGCCTTTTGCCTCAGGTTAAAATCTTTTTCTTCTCACTCTAGCTCATCCATTCACTTGTTATACTCAACACTTATATCCATTCGAATGCCTTTTTACGTTTTTACCTGTAAAATCTCTTGGACCTTGACGGAAGCCAGTCAACAGTTTCCTCTTAGACGATCCTCCAGAGATAAATATCCCTTTTTCTAATGTTTTTCTTCATTATTTCTATTATTTTTATTTTCTTCAATGAAAAATCTATTTTTTATCTACTTGCCTCCGAGGTGAATCCAATAATTTCTCAATATCTTCCAATAACTAACTGTGTATGTAAGAAAACATAATTGAAGATAAACAGGATAAATGAAACATTCTGTATAAAAAGCATTTAAAATTGGAAAACTTTCCTACCGGAAATGGATAGTTTTTTTAAACGATGCCCCTAATCCTCAAATCCTGCAATAAATATTATGGTCCCCCAAAGATTTTTAAAGTAAAAGCTGGTAAATCTCTTTTTTTTTTTTTATTTATTTAAATCCAAAGCTTATTGCATTAGCCTCATTTTATTATAAATAATCACGTTAAGCCAATAGATGCTGATGTAGGTTTAGAATTATAATGAATTTAAATGCTGAATGGGGAAGAATTATGCAATCAATTTTATATAATAATATTACGAAATTAATTCCCAATGTTTCTGTAAAGAACTTTAAAATTTAATTAATACGACACATCATAACAATGAATTTATGAAGTGATAAGATTCTTGAAGCACACGTGTAATTGATCATGCCATCACTTAAAGTTTATTGTAATGTTGTTATAACAAAAATAGTGAGAAAAGAGTGGGAGACCGCAAGATACAAGTACACCTCAATAAGACTTTCCAATTGCTTTCACTGCAGTGTGCAATTGACGTGCTTGAAAAAAACGTCATTTATAAGTGTGTACTTAAAGTACATTGTGCACACGCATGTTTTTCTTTAAAGGGGGTACCATTAATCCTGTCAATGCACCCAGTCAATGAAGCAATTGCGTAGGTTCTACGTGTATAAACTAATCTCATCATTTTCGTTATTATATATGCATTGACTTCCATTTTTTATCTGCTTATTTAATTATCGATGATGGATATTAACATATTTTTAATTAGTTTTATTTTTAAAAGATAATAACTTGAAAAAAGTTAATGAAGATTTAAATTGATCTTTCATTCAGATTTTAAATAAGATTCATTCTGAATATTAATTGGAATCAATATCCAAATTGGATGTAGTTTAATACGTCATCAGCAAGATGTTGAATGGTTTAATAGTATTATATTAATCCAGTATAAGCATCAATGAATGAATAATGTTCAAGTATTAGAATTGAGAAGAAAAAATTAAAATGACAACAATAAAGCGAAGAAAATGGAATAATAGGTAACCGGAAAAAATCCATGAGTGATCCGGAAGTTCTCACGCATCTCTCACTTTTCTCACAACCGCATAACTGAATGAACATGACACCTGGCACTCGGAATACCATACCGACCAGAATAGCAGTATAGTATAGCTGCAACAGCAGCAGCAGTAGCAATAATCGAGTTAGATGACCAAGTGTGCATTGTCATGGATAGTTTTTTTTTTCAAATATATTAAATTTCCTAACCCAGGAAGGTCTACAGATCAATCATTTTCCCTATTAATAAAAAAAAGTGTCAGATTAAATTTAGGAGTCAGGTAGTTACGTCTAGATGATTATGATAATAAATTTACCTTCAAGAAGCATTAGGACAAGAAAATACAAGTAAATAAAAAGTTGAAAACGTAATGCAGATCTAGTAGATAGAGAAAGACTGTTACATTTATAATCCCGTTCAAGTTCTGGATGTGTATACATATCTATATGTATTTCTTGAACCCGATCATACAACTTGAGAAAAATTCTAGTTACTTTACTAAATAGACGATGTATCTGTAGATACTTATACACTGATAGAATAAACAATCATTATTTCTTGGTTGTTACTCTCATCTTTCTTCACTCATTGCACGACAGGTTTAAGATTGTCGCAAGTGGGCGCCACTCGTGGCTCAAGGCTATATAATACACAATTTTTACTCTTTCGCGTATGTATACGCGTTTTGCGTCCGCGAGATCTTTCTCTCTCTCTCAGTTGTGCTTTTTATTAGAAAAATTTATTTATCTTTTAGTCTATTAATCTATCTCGTTTTGCAACATTGCTGTACTATTTTTAAAGAGTTACGAAGAAGAAACTTCTGGTCGTCAATAAAAATAAAACTAAAGGAAATTTTTTTAATATCACAAGCGGTAAAGACTTTTAAGTATAATACTTAATACTGTCAATAATACTATTGATTTTTGTTTGAGGTTATTGTTAATGTTAAATTGCAGGTGATATATATAATTTACAGATATTGTATACATGTATATGTATGATTTAAAAATAGTAGGCGGAAAAATAAGTGGTTTTTAATGGCTGAATCAAGCAGTTTAAGACTAAAAAAGGCTCGTGCAGTGCGCTATACTACTCGCCCAGTCAACTCAGCCGGAAATTGGTCAACAGCATACTTGGCGATCATGCAGCGCCTGCATTTTTCCAAGTCACTGCAGTTATTATTCCATATGAGATTTAATTGATCAAAATGATTAGGGGTCATTTTTGATAAGATTTACTTTATTAATAATTAAAAAGAGAAGATGTAAAAATTCTCACCCCAATTTGATAAAGAACTCGTGGCTTTTGATGGGGATGTCGTCGATGTTTCTTCGTGTCAATTAAATCAATCTCGATGGCCGCATCCTGAAAGTCTTGAAGCTCCGCCAAATATCTATCTTCATCAAAGGATAGATACTCATTGAGAAACTCTTCTCCAGCGTCATCAAACTCAAGTCCCAGAAGATTACCCAAACAGGTTGTAAAATATGTAGCAATTAACAACGATAATATTATCCTTAGATTTTTCATTTTGAGCATCATTTTTTTGTTTAACTTTATGTTTTATATTGACACGTTACTTCTCTTGTTTTTTAGAATTAACTGGTGAATTCAATGTTTATCTCAGATGTTTATTGTTTATGTGATAAAAGTGTACCACAATCACATTGCAAAATTTCAAATAGTCTGTCACATCACACATGTATTTATAATAACAAAGATAACAGTAAACAAACTAACTGATAGAAAGCCAAAATACCGCGTAATTTAAAATTCAAGCACATATTAGAGTATGGTGAAAGAAGATAAAACGTAAATTCAATGAAACACGTTTAAAAACAGAAGTTTTAAGAATTCTTCAAGTGTATGGTGATTAACGATCGATTATTGATTCACGTTTTCAAATAAAAATGAAAAACAGTTTGACACTTAACCCTAGGATTATATCTCTTTTCATTGGACTCCTGTTGTATCACGTCGTCGTGGTCAGATGAGAGAGTAAAATTGAACAGGTCGAATAGTAGGTGAGTGTCGGCGTAGAATGGCGCCCACGGGATACACGAAGGTATGCCGTGGTGAACTGGAGTCGTAGACTAGAGGCAAAGTATGAATGGGTGCCCCCACCCTTACCTCTCGCTTGCTATGTCCCTCAAACTTCAGCCTCCTCTCTATCTCCCCTTACCCTGCTCTCATACTCGCTCCTGCTCCCAATCTCGCCCTTCTCCGTCTTCTCTCATCATTTTACTTGTTCCTTTTCCTTTTGTCGACGTCCTGACCAGGCAAGCTTTCAACCAAGCAGTCTCTCTTCTGCTATGCTCTCTCGCTCCCACCACTCATGCAACCCTGATGGTACATCGACGCTATATAACACTGCTTCGACGCAGCCTCGCTTGTCGTTTCTCGCAGTTTCTCGGCTACTGCTGCACCAGGTGGGGACCCCATTAGCCATCGTCTTTCACACCCGCGGCTATTTTTCTCTCGTTTATAACATTCACATTACAACACAATCAATAAATACCTTCATTATTACCAATACTCTTCTGATGTTTATCAAACAATTATCTATATTTTCAGGAAAAATTTCATTTTCCAGAATTACTATCACTTAGATATCAAGAAATCGTCTTTTATTAAATGTTTTCAATGAAAATATTACAATATTTATTGTTCATTTAGCTTTCTAATTATAATTACTTTTTCCAAGTATTGCAATAGAGACAGCCTTTTATGCAATCATATTAAAAAAATAAAAAGAAATGATGTAATTTTGAAGTCAAGTTCCAAGTACGATTAAAAACGTAGTTTCATTCATAAAAATTTTTGTCCATTCATGGTTTTTCCCCCCTACTCTTAGTTCCCTTTCTCACTTTCCACTACACAGAGGCTTTTTTTCTTTATAAACAGTTTCTTCAGCATCTCAACTTCCACTGGTTCACCTTCCTCACACATAATAATTTTTATTAAGCTGAGACATAAGCAGCAATAAGACTCATTCATTGAACAAGTCACGACACTATTATGTAAATCATGGATGTATTTTATATGCACCGAAGAGCAAACTTCTCTCGTTATAATTAGCATAAACGTTATAAAATGCAGATGCATCAAATATAATTTTAATATTATCTGAATACTGTGACACGTAGGCATCTGAAGAAATAAATAAATAAAAAATAAGAAAAATGGAGGGAGAAAAAGAAGGGAGAGTGAGAGAATATCATATAACTAGAGAGAAGAACAGAGATAAGGGTAAGGGCAGGTGGACGCAGGTGTTTCAGCAATGCCCGACCGGAAGCTCAAGAAACTGCATTCGGACCAGGCCAAACACGGAAACGAGACCCATTAATATCCTTATAAGTGATCTTCTTTGATCCAGTACATGTACACAACATCTATCGTAATAAGAATTATTCTTCTCAATACATTTTTATTCACATTTTATTACTTTATAGATACATTATAATTATATTTTCTTTACCACATCTGTGTATTTTTATTATATTAAATAAATATTTTCATAAACGTTTTAGTCAGCATTGTATTTTTGTTTTTTTTGTTACAGGAAAGCTGTATGCAGTTTTTGGACGTAGACACGGACGTGTTATTGCAGCTGACAATGCTCTAGGATTTGGTGGTCAATTTCAAGTTCATGCGGTTCTTCCTGTTCCTGAAAGTTTTAATCTAGCTAGCGAATTGCGTACTTCGACTTCTGGATTGGCAACTCCACAACTTGTCTTTAGTCACTGGGAGGTATAATAAATTATACGATGTAGTGATTTATTATTTGATTAGTATCATTAATGATATCTATTAAAAGATGATGATGCTAAAAGAAAAATACTCATACTTGTTTTCTAGGTAATAGAACAAGATCCTTTTTGGGTTCCTTCAACTGAAGAAGAGTACTTACATTTTGGTGAAAAGGGAGATACTGTGAATCGTGCGAAAAAGTATATTGATGCTGTTCGTCGACGGAAAGGCTTGCCTGTCGACTCACAATTAGTAACTCATGCTGAGAAACAGAGAACACTCTCGAAAAATAAATAAAATATTCTTATAAGTCAAACTTTTTATGATTTAAATAATAATTTATTTCATATGTTTATAAAATATTTAAAATAATTTTAAATAAGATATGAATGTTTCATTTTAATCATCACTGAAAATTATTTTTTTCCCTTGGAATGCTACCTTCATGATGTCTTGTTGTTTTTTTCTTGCAGCCCAGGATGGATGTAATTCAGCTTTATCAGTAGAAACACTTTTTATTTGTTGTTTATCACGTCTATTTCGTCGATTTGTATTCTCATTAATATTGAAACGATTATTTCTTTTATCTTGCTCTCGTATATTTGTTATAAAATGTTTTTTCTTATGATTAAATTTATCGGTATTATCATTCCATCTTCTCTCATCGTTAGAAGTCTGTGATTCAGGTACAGCAATTGACATATAATTTTCATTATTATTGCCCGTCAAGAAAAACGAGTCAATTTCTCGATTTACTTGTATTTTATTGCTATTTACTTCATTTCCTTCATCTTGATTACTGTTACTATTAAGGATAAAATTTTGTTTTACAACTTCCTCCGGTTTTATAGAATTATCAGTTATATGTAGTTTTTTCACTTCTGCTAATTCACTAATAATTTTAACAGTTTTATCTTTACATAGTTTATCGGATGTATCATCTTTAAAGCTATCTATTATACATTTTGGGCTTTTCTTGTCTTTATTTTTTGTGCTACTTTTCTTTCTTATTACTGTGTCGGATTTGTTAATTGATTCACTGGCCTCTTCTGTAATACTTTCATTTGTATCCATTGATTCGTTAGATATTTTTTCTGTACTATCATTAGTTTTTTCTACTTCGGTTGTAACATCAGAAACATCTTGTACTTCCCACTCATTATTTATCGTCGGCTCTAACTTTGTTTTATCTTTTACATTTGATGAAACCGATAAATTAGAATTTTTTGATTGTAAATAAATCTGATAATCTGGATAAGTTTTTCTCAATTCTTCTATTTTGCTCTTTAAAGCTTTGTGAGAAGCCAATCTTCGTATTGCTTCTGTTTTTAAATCAATCTTCTTATCGGATGAAGTATCTTGTAGTATTTCAAAATTCATGATAGCAAATCTCGTTACTTCATCATCTTTAATTTTTTTTAATAGATGAACTTCTTTGATAAATTTTTCAGCTTTTCGATGACACTTCTTAATTATTTTCTCATCTCCATGTTGTCTTGATTTTAGATGTTTTATTTCTTTGCTGAGTTTCCAAATCACTCCAACACGTGCTTTACGAACTGCATGTCTGAGTGAAACAATCTAAATAAGAAAATAATTAATTTTATATTGAATTGTATCATTTGTTTATAATATAAAATAATATTCATAACCTACAATACACTTTTTATATTGAAAAGTTAAATGAATTTCAAAACGTACTTAAGAAAATGTTAATACACTTACATGATTGTTTATAGCAATTTTTTTGGTATTGTCGTACTCCATTGTTCAATAAAATATTAAGATTATATCTTAAAAGTTTATTTAGAAAACATAAATGAGAATTATGTGCACGTGAGAACATGTGCTTGTTCAAACTTTTTTATCATAAGAGGAAGGAAGAATAAGTTTCTTTTAGTTCAAATACAAATAAAGGCGCTAGTATACATTTCTCGGATATTTTGAGTACAATTTATGAGACCTATTTCTAAAAAGTTCTCAAAAATATTGAAATAATATGGAAAATTATTATAAAAGAAATTTTATTGTAATAAATAAATGTTTTGTAACAAAAATGTATCTACATGTAACTTATTACATATTGAAAAGTATGAAAAAATAAATATTTATTATATAAAAAAGTGTAGTCTTTTTTTATAAATATCCCTTACAAAAATACGTAACAAACGAATAATTTTATTATTTATAGTACTTATATAATTAAAATAGAAATGATCGTCGTCGATAGAAAGCCTCTTCATGAATAATTGGTTTACCAGTAATAGTATTAATTTTACTATCAATAATAGCTCCAACAAATGTGTAACAATACAGACAACCGACTAAAATTCCTCCTAGATGTCCGACGAATGAAGCGTTGGGAACTAGCATATGAATAAGTACTAGTTCTGCCCATACTGCGAATTTACTTGGAACTCTAAATCCTCCTACATCGTGCAGTCTATCTCGTTCTTCGCACACAACAATTACTTTCAGAGCAAACAACACAGCAGAGAATCCAATAGCGCATGTTGTATAATAAGAGTAGTCAGTTGTTAACTGCATCAAAGCCCAAGATAAAAATACGTACATTGCGCTACACCCTAATGATAGTACTCCAATCAGAATTCCAAAGTTCACTGTTCCATACATAGGTTCTAAATAAGCTCCTTTCAACAAGAATGATACCATGTTGTAGTACAAATGCATATCAGATCCATGTTCGAAGTTTGATACAATGAATGATCTCCAGTCTTTATATTTAAGTACTTTGACAGCTGATATACATACATCTTCAGAGTTCCAAGGTACCTGAATAATTCCAGTGTACAAGAGAGCCTAAAACAATTAAGTTTAATGATAAAAACATTTTATTATTTAAATAATCTTATTAAAGAAGATCAATACTATTTAATCATTTTTTATTAAATTAAATTTAAAGAAGAGAAATTTACCTGAGACACAATTCCAAATAGAGTTACAGGTGGTATTTTATCAACTCCATAATTCATTGCTTGCATTCCCAGCAAATAAATTCCGTATTCTAACCCTGGTTGTCTTCTCCGGACAGATCTACTCATTTTGTAATTTTTATAGCAAATATACTATAACACTCAAATTCGTTTACTTTCTTCAAAATGATCTTGCGATTGAATTCAAAATTTTCAACTGTTTGTTTGCAGCTTTGAATAAAATGCTCTATGAACTGTTGATACTGGACTTCGGCACAGAAACTGCTTAAATATAAAAAATAATTCAAGCTGAATAATGCTCGAAATTTCGAGTAATTTCATTCTTGTTCGGATATATTACGTCAGAAAACGTTTGAGAACTCAAAACATACACGTCAGGAGGAGGTTAAGAAACCAATCCTATTGACGGTATTTTAGTTTTTTATATAACCGACGGCATCATTTTTATCTTGTAAATTAAACCGGGAATTTAATTCAAAATGTCACCTAAAGAATAAATAAATGTACGAAAATTTATCATTTAATACTTTATTTAGTTTTACATTAAATACAAAACCTAAGTTATATTTGTGGGAAAACGACCTATTCGATGGAATAGAGCTTTCATAATAGGATTAATTTTCGCTAGCTCATAACTTTGATGATAAGGAATATCAAAAAATGTACAGTAGGTGGTAAATTTCTTCAATAATTCAGGATTAGCATCGATTGTCCCTGTTGTTAAATAATTATTTAACAAAGGTTTTAACTCTGGAACAAATGATTTATTTCATTATGATTTATATTTTAAAAATTTTATGTTATAAAATGATTCGTTCTTACCTTCATCCCATGAGTTGATAATCAAAGCCACTTTCTGTTCAATGGCAAGGACACTTTCACTACTAAGTAGTGCATTTGATTTTTCTAATTGATTTTTTAATAACATATACGAAGATACCAACTTAATTTGCCAAATAAGATGACTACTTGGATACTTTTCAATTATATCAGTACTTTTGTACAAGTTCACCCAAAGTGGTAATAAATTAACTTTATCCTTAATTATACATTCATATACAATGAGAGCCATGGTTTGTAAAAAATATTGTTCTGACTCTGAAACATCTTGATTTTCATTTTTCACATTATTACAAATTACTGTTTTCATTGAAGATGAAGCTCCTTCACTAATATCCATTTTTTCAGAATAATCATAAGATTTATCTAGTCCAAAAGTATCACTTAAAGTTTTGTTCGAACGTTCACTTCTTCTACTTCGATTTTTAGAGATCTTTGATTTATTAATTTCACTAATAGGCTCTGTTAATTTTTTTAAAAAATATTGAACAATATTTAACACAGTTTTATCACTAGTAAATGAAGTAACGTATTCATGTCTTGCTGCCCAAGGAATCACATCTTCTGTAGTTAGAGTTTGAGCAACAAGACTACGAAAACCATGAGGATCTTCCATGTAAGATAAGCATCCAGCTCTCTGTTTAACATCTAACGAATCACATTTAGACAGCATACCTTCCAATAACTTCCAATTGTGCCCTCGTTCAAAAACAATCTCCCAATATCTTTCATCTTTGAGCTCAACCTTTTCAAGGCTTTCTAGCTGTGGAAGCAAGCAAGGTGCTTTGAGAATAACCTTTTGACCTCTTGCTAATTTATCTGACTTAAAAGTCAGCCGTACAGTAGCATAACAATACTGTTTACTATCAATATCTTTCGGTAGAATTAATCTTGGCTGAGCAGCAAGCACATAAAGATGTCTAAGAGCTTGAAGATGATACCTATTATCATTACTATGCGTTGGAAATTTAGGAAACAGTGAAATAATTAATGCTGCAACTGCACTAGGACTATTCGACAAAGTATATCTTCCACCACCAAGAAAAGTCAATCCTAAAGCCATATGAGTTGCTAAATGAGATCCATAAGTTACTACACTACTAGCTGGCCCCACTCTTGTTCGTATTTGCCGACAAATTCTCATAATCTCTAAGTTTCCTGTACCTGCCATCACAACAGCACATGATAACAGAGTGACGTTCAAGCAAGTTTCAATTGTGGATTTTCCTGCTAATTCTCCAATAGACTTATGCAATAGAGCTGTGAACATTTGTGTGTAACTAAAGAGAGTTTTAAATGCATTTTCATTCGCGCTTCCAGCATATTTTAATCCTAAAGCCATACAAGCACCTGCGATGATGTTACAATAGGCTTGATTCATTGTCTCTAAATCAACATGTTGAGTAATTTCAGGAGTTGGCTTTTGCAATCTATACTCATAAACAATATCAGGTACATGACTTGAAACCCATGCTTTAGTAGGTTCAATTTCATTCCAAAGGATCAACGATCTGGCGAGAATTCTCAAAAGCAATAGATCTGGTCTAACAAAATCTAAAAGAAATTGTGTACCTGGAGCGCGCATCCATTCAGCAACTGCACGATTTCCAGAATTAAAATACATTAAACCTAAAGCAACTGTAGCTCCAGGACTAGTAACATCGATATTAATAGAATCGCCTTCACGAATTTGATAGCTAGGAGACTTATATTTTTCTTTCTGAGCACCAGTAAAAGGTCGAACGTTTCCGCCAACCATATAATAATGAAGAGTATCAGGAATATTTCCTAAATCTGGTTCACTTTCTCTTCCTAAAACTACTAGTCCTAAAGCTAATCCAGCAGCTAAGGAATAAGACTCACGATCAACACAGTTCTTCATTTCTGGACCTGGTGGTCTACCAATTTCCGATAAAAGTGCATGAGCTATGTGTCTATGAGCTGTTCCTTCATAGACCAACCCTACTCCCATCAGTGCGGCAACTTGAACGTTTTGTTGGACGTTTAATTCAATACTTGTCGGAGGAAGAAGAGTTTCAACATGTAGTGAAAGTAATTTGGTCATTGAAACATCCATGGTTCCTCTGTGAGTTGCAGAAAGTCCTAGTAAAAGTCCAACATTGGTAGTTTCATGACATTCAACAAGGTATTCATATAAACTAAATGGTGCGAGTTTCTTTAAGTGGCCATTCAAACCCAAAGCCATTAAAAACCCTGAATGTTCGATTCCACATTCACTTTGTTGTTGTTTATTATATACAATCCAAGTTGAATCAATATCTGATGCATCAGGATGAATACGAAGACCTGCTGCTACTCCATTATGAAACAGAGGCCACAGATTCATGTTTGGAGGAACATCAATGTGTCCAAGCTCAATTGTAGTCCCTCTTAAAGCCGTTTTACCCGTTAAACATAATCGCGGAATTGGTAGTTGCTCAGTGATGATTGGTGTTGATGTCCTGAGAGTAAACATACCTCTAGCTACTGGTAGAGCCATTGTTCTAGCACACACTGCACATAAATGACGTTCTTGTTCTTCAATAAAATCATGGTCACTCACTTCAGGTCTCTGAGTAATTGCTATTCTAACTGGTTTAGAAGAATTTAACATTCTTCTCAATTCAGCTACTCTATGATCTTTATTAAATCTCAATTTCAAAATAGTATCATCAAAATTCATACCATCATCTTGTTCTGGATCTTTTATCGTTGAATTTTTTCCAGGTTCAATATCTGATTTTGTTGCGTTCAAATGTTTTTCTAAAGCAGCTAAATCTTGACGATCGACCAATTCATAAGCTTCTGTAGGCCAATTAGGTGGTGGTCTTTCTCGACATCGGTGCATCACATCTTTAATCATTAAAGCGATTCCTGTTGGTAATAAATTTAAATCTTCTTTTTTCATTCCTAACTCATAATACATAAAAACAATTTGATCAGTAACTGGTTTTTCTATCTTTTTACAAACATCTTTTTCTTTTAAGCCAGTATCTTGATAATCAACTCTACTTCCCGCTGGTATAATTAATTTCACAAATTTATCAAGCTCCACTGCATTACTCCGAAATTCATGAGCTAAAAGTGCTACGAGTTGAATTATGTTTTTTGTCCTAGAATTCACTCGCATTAAATAAGGGAAGGGAGGCACTTCAGAACCTTTTACAAGATTATTTATCATCTCAAAAATACTTGGTGGTTTTGATGGTATAAAATTTGGAAATGTTATCTTCTGAAGATCTTTAGAACTAATTTGAGAAAAATTTATTGATGGAGAACAATGAGTTGGAAAGTCTATAAAATAGTAATAAGAATACCAAGTAAGATTCAAATCACTACTAAGTTGATAAAGAAGTTGAGCTAAAAATGGCAAACTTTCTTCCATCACACTGTTAAGTTTTAATTCTTCATATAAAAGATGTAACGAAAAAAGAACTAAAGGTAAATGTGGGAATAAAATTGCTTGAGTGTTGATTTTTCCAATGTTTTCAGGTTCACTAACTTTTTTCACATCTTCTTGTTTTTCAGTTACAAACTTTGTCAAATGTAAAACATTTACAAGATGATCTTTAGTTTTTTGATGCTCTTCAGATTGCAAAAGATATGACCAATCGTTATTAGATCCTGAATTAGTTGTTTTAGCTTTTTTCGGAACCACAATTGGGCTACTTTTTTCTTTTTGATAATCATTATCATTTTTTCTTACAAGTTGAAGCCTGTCAACATCATATCCAAGTAACGTAAAAAGAACAACAATAAAAAGATGCCACTCTTGATTTGAAGAATAATCTTGAGGTCCAGGTGCATTTCGAGCACTGTACCATTTAACCAATAATTGCATAGCTAAATCCCTTTGAAGCACACTCTTTAATGCCTGAAGACAATTGGTAACCAGTGGAGAAGTGCTGGCAGTAGGCAACGCTACTCTGTAAAGAGCTTTATTTCCATATTCTAACGTTATTTTATTACCAACTGCTTCTTTGAAGCCAACAAGACTAGAATCAATTAATGAATTATCTAAAAATGTTGAAGGTCTTCCACAATTTCCACCAACTGGACTAAGAGTATGCAGAGCTTCTTCGAATTTTGGATCATAAGGAGAAGAATTATGTCCAATTAAAGAACTTCTTTTAGGAAAAGGTGAACTTAATTTTAAAGTACGTTTGTTAGTGAAATAATTACAGCCACTGATTGATGGAAGGGTATTGCTGATGTGAACCTTTCCAACAGGTGTTACTCCTGAATAAAGAGTAACGGTACTAGATGCGTCAATAGTGGCAATCATATTCAATGAAGAAAGACTCACAGCATCTTTAGCAACAATATGTGTTGACATTCCGAATATTATTTGTTGTTGTTTATTAGTCTTTTCAATTCTTACTAGAAATAATTGTGATTTACAAGGCACCAGATAGCCAAGATATCCTTGACCAACGAGATCTGTTGTAAGAAATACTCTTGAAGCCTTATCAGGTATGGAATCTTTCTGTGATCCAGAAGCTTCTGTCCAAACATGATCAAGACATATTTCTGGATACAAAGGTTTGCTGGAAGGCATTTGGGCATCTTGAAAAAGCATGCTGTTGCAACTGCTTGGATTGTGTTGAGACTGACACATCATATTTGTTACTGCTGTTTGATGAAGTCGAGTTTGATGAAGCATTGGTCCTATAGAGCCAGAAATTAAAGAAGAAAATGTTGGATGAGTTGGCGATTGACATCGAGATATAGTAGCCATGGGACTCTGAGATCTTGAGTGAGCAGTTTGATGTGGAGATGGTGAAGGAGCTCCTCCAGAGCAAGAAGTCGTGTAAGATGTTCCACGCGAACCAAATGGACTACCTGATACACCTAAGCCTAAACTACTCATATGATGATTTGGAATTCCAAAGAGACTCATTTGAGCTTTGGCATTTGAACTTTTATTTGCAGATGTACTTGTTGCTACATGAAGTGGAGAGGCGTTTATAGAAGTGTTCCAAATACTTGAAGTAGTATCACAAACTACTTGACGTTCTTCTGAAGATGCTTTTCTGATTTTATAAACAGAATGAAGTCCAGTTTTTGTATCATAAATAACGGCTAAAGACGGTTCAGTGCTTGTAAAAACAATTTTTAGATTACTATCACGCATATAATTAACACCACCATGTTTAATTAAAACTGGACAAATTTCATCAAGTGGATGAGTTAGCGAAAAAGCAACAGGTAAAGAATTTTCGTTTTGTCCAGCCCATCTGCTAATTTCCAAAGAAGTATGTCGAGACAATGGGACTTCAGACTTTTCCATTAAAATTCCATATTTCGTAGCCCAAACAGCAGATATTTGAAATTGCAAGCTTGACATGTAATCTTCACCTTCTGCAGTAAATACTCGTAATGTATAGTTATCAAATAAACAAATACTTTCAATAGTTTTATCAACTTTCTCATAATCATCTTCCTTATCTTTGCCTTTTTCTCTATCCACTAATGTTGGAGTATCTGTACAGAAATTACACCAAAGAGCATGCTTGATTTCAGATTCAAGACAATATGATGTTTGAAGAACCTGGGTTTGTGGAGAGCCTTTTGTATGTACTGCCACTTTTCCTGAGCAGTACAGCTCTTCTTCACCACAATCTACATTTTCTCTAATAATCCAAAATTCTCTTGGAGTCCTTTCAGATATATTAAATTGACTGAGCCTTTGTAGTAATATACTGTCATTTTGAATAGGTTGATTTGCCGAATTTTTTCGTTGGATTACAGTTCCTGGATGGCGTTGATAAATACGTCGTCCACCAGGTATGAACTCCTGTAATTATGTTTATATATGAATTTTTTTCTAAGTTAAAAATAAATAAAAGTAAACATAAACAATGGATTTCAAAAACAGGTTATTTTTACCAGTGGATCTGATGCAGCGATCATTTTTTCCACGATTTCATCCAGATTTGCAGAATTTTTTTAAAAAGATAAGCTGATAAACGTATTTAACGTTGAACACCAGATAACTAATCCTGTATTATATTGTAAATTTATTTATTAAAATATAAATAATGACACTTTTAGGTTAGAAACAGTTTCACTATGTACTGTAGCCGCGGCCATATTTAAATGACGCCTGCTAAACACGACAACAAATAATCACGCTATTTAATAAAAGTATATTATTTCAAAATATCACATCAAAAATAAAGTTGATTTAGTTTTTTAAATTTTATTTTACCAAAGCATACATATTTACAAATACTTTGCAAAACAGCAACTGCCAGGGATCAATTTGAATAATTTTGAGTTAAATTTTATAGAGCGCTATTATTTAGACATCTTTAATTTCTATGTAATGTTTAATTTATTATAATAAATATCAATGAGATGATACACGGTATAAAAAACTCAGATAAATCGATATTTTGACAAAAAACTAACTTAACTATAAAAATTCTGTGTATTTTTTCTTGATAGATAATTATTTCATTGCCATTTAACTTTTTTTCGAGAGAGAGATCGAAACAAGACTAGTTAAATATCACGATTTTTACGCCAGTATAAAAGTCATATTCAAAAAATGATAATATTAAAAAAATAAACCAACCATATTAGTGTAGCATTAAACTTAAATATTAAATTCGCGTCGAATTTCGATCTCTAATTATCACTTCCTTCATTCCAAGAAGATAAGTGATAAGAAAAATGTTACAAGTGTTACGTTTAAAAAACGTGAGAGATGTTGTGCCGAGCATTTTTTTGTGTTTTCATTTAAAAAATTAATATAGTTTTATCAATCACATGATTGATGATTATAATCTATAGTCTATAGTTTATAGTAGTAGCTCAGAACGTTTTACGGTGTATCGCTCTGCTTCCATCTTCATCATATTCACGTTTGCTCACCCACATTTTTTTGAATGTATCCAGTGATGCTAAAATGGAACCTCCAATCCACGTACTATATAAGCGTTCTTGAGGTGCAGAAATCTAATAAAGAATTAAAAAATTAATCAACATATTATCAATCAGACTAATATTATATCAAACATTATACATACCCTTATTTTTATATCTTTCGGTGCCAATTTACGAATCTCTAGGAGTAATCTATCACCAAACCCCTAAAAGTTATACATGATTGATTTATCAGTGTTGGTTTGATTAAAATAATAAATGGTACTAATAAAAATAATTAATTACTCTGAATAATGTAGAGCCTCCAGATAGTACGATGTTTTGGAAGAGCACCTTTCGCAAATCTAGATCTGACTTGAGTATTGAGTAAATTAATACTTCATGTAATCCATCACATTCCTCTCCTATGAGATCTGGTCTAAACAATACCTCAGGCGCCCTGAATCTAGCAGGACCAATCTTGAACCACAATAAATTATTAATTCATCGCAACTGTTGTGTTTACTTTACATTGAAACTTATAAATACCTCTAAGGAGCTACCGTCAGGTAAAATATATTGGAATTTCTCTGTTTCTACAGTCTCTTCTTTCTGGGGATTGCTCGAAAGATAGCAAGAGCGTTCTTTAATCGTTCGAACAATTTCAAATTCAGCTGTCGTCTTGAAGTTTACACCTTCTTTACGCAAAAGCAACCTAAGATATCGGGAGACATCTCTTCCAGCAATATCTATCCTCATTATGCTGTGAGGCATTGCAAATCCTTCATAGATAGGTACAGCATGTGTAACACCGTCTCCAGAATCAAGCACAACTCCAGTCGTTCGACCAGTTGCATACAAACTGAGTACAGCCTGCATTGATACAAATAATGCAGGAACATTGAAAGATTCAAAAAAAATTTCTGCTGCTCTTTCTCGATTTTTTCTTGGATTTAATGGAGCTTCCGTTAGGAGTACTGGATGCTCTTCGCTAAAAGTTGATAATTGGTCTTTACTATAAACGTAAGACCAAATTCTTTCCATGTCATTCCAATCTGTGACAATTCCATGCTCCATAGGATAACGAAGAGATAGAAGACCTCGATGCTCTTCAGCTACAGGACCAACAAAAAGGTCACCTTCTAAAGCACCTGCCATTACTCGTACATGCTTTGGTCTTCCAATGCTAAAAATGATTTTAAATAATTAGAGTTTATTTATATAAAAATTTTTACAGTAATAACCGGCATGGAGTCGCCATCTAGTAATAACCTCCAAGCCTTCATTAGTCATTTAATAAATTTCTATCACGTATTTTAAACTTACTAATTTGGAAATCGACATTTTGGAATCTGATCACCAGCAAAGCCCGCTTTTATTACTCCAGAACCCTAGAAGAATATTTTCATTAATGTAGAATTATCTATTGATTTTACTCGGAGCATGAATCATTTGTCATATATAAGATCTTTGATTGGAGAATTTTTTTACAACAAAAATAAGTATCTGATGTATATGAGTTTATAGCAATATGAAACAATTGAAAAGTTGAATAGATATTCGCATGTTTCTCAATAATAAGCCTGTACATTTTTTTAAAACTTGATACAACAATATGGCCTGTCTTGTTTGACATGAAAAAACAGCTCCAAAAAAAATAAGATCTATTCAAAACTTTTCAAAGACAATCTTACGTTATCGATGACGACGGGCTGATTAACAATAACGTCATACGGTTCCATGTTTTTTACACTTAATTACCACGTTTTTAACGATAATTTGATAAATTTTTAAACTGCTATCGAATTGTCATACAGACATACACCTAAAATTTTAGGTGAGACGTGAAGGTTGTTGGAAATAAATATCCAGGTTAACCACACGTGTTAAAATGATCATGATAACCAACCTCTAGGATTTTTTTTGCACAATTGAGCGCGTAAATTTGACTCTTACGTAATAATTCATCAATTTCAACAAATGAAATTAAAATATATTTCTCGTCGACATTGGAAAAAAAAAATTAACTCGAGTTAGTTTTATTAAAAATGTGTTTTTTATTGTTTACATTATATAAAATAACTATAAAATAAAAAAATGCAAATTCAATTTTTATTCTTCTACTAACGTCCAAGTAGAAGTATTCTTGTGGTCCTAAAAAAAGTTCATCAAAGAGAGTCTAAATTAATTTTAAGAAATTTGTAAATTTAACTTACTAGATATTAATGATAAATTCGTACCTTTAATTGGATACCATTGGCAGCTAAGCTTTTTCGAGAATCATCACATGCCTTTAATAATTCACCTTTCGTGATTTCTCGACCACTCAAAGCTATCTGTCTTACAGTTCCTCGAAAAGCCACAAAGTCATCAACTAATCCTGAAAATTTTTGTTCATTTCCGGCCTTTTGTGTCAACTTGGTAATACCAAGAGCTGACAAAATTTTAGAGACATAAATTGCAACGGCATTTATACAGACAATATTATTAGCAAATAATTTTTTTCCACTGCTCTGTGAATCATTCACAGTTTTATTCACAGCGTCAATTAAATCTGAAAGTTGAGCGATAACTTTTGGAGTAGCAAAATCATCACACAATGCAGAATAAATTCTTTCTTTTGCTTTGTTTAATTCCTAGGTATTTATAAAATTTTCAATTAATCACGATCAGATATATTAATATAGTTATGAAAAGTTACCTCATAAATGATGTTTTCATCAATTACTCCAACAGGTAGTTTTCCAGTAGCATAGTTCTTACAATTACTATAAAAATGATTGATTTTGTTCATAAGGGTGACAGATTTTTGCATAATTTCATGACAAAAGTCGATATCTTGAAAAGAATATCAAAAATAATGAGTAAAATGGTGATAAACGTTAATAATAATTAATGCAAAAGATTTTAAAAAAATGAAGTACCATTTCTATAATTAGTTGTTAAACACATTAATCTAAATTCATTGGCTGTATATTTTTCAAGTAGTTCGGGAATACTAATTGTATTTTGCAGACTTTTTGACATTTTAACATCTTCTAAATGTAAAAGACCACTATGTATCCAGTAATTAACCCATTGATCTGTTTGATGATAGCAACATGATTGGGCTTCTTCATTTTCATGATGAGGAAATATTAAATCAAATCCCCCGCTGTGAATATCAATATTGTCACCTAAAGTAAAACTGAAAATATTGAAAAAAATAAATTATAGTATCTAATTATTATTTCAATATAATTGCTTTTGCTTAAACCTGCCCATAGTGCTGCATTCTATGTGCCAACCTGGCCTACCGGGTCCCCAAGGACTGTCCCAAGATGGTTCACCTTTTTTAGATGCCTTCCATAAAGCAAAATCAAGACTAGACTTTTTAATAGCATGACGTTCTTCAGCTTCACTTCTACTGAATTTTCCATATTTACCGTATTTTTGTGTATCAAAATATACAGATCCTGAGAGATATAAAATAAAAATATAATAATGTGTGAGTATGTCATTTTGTTGCTACGTACCATCACTTGCAAGGTATGCTGAATTATTTGACATTATTTTATCGATAAATTGAATAATTTGAGGAATATAATCTGACACTTTACAATACAAATACGGTGGCATTATGTTTAATGAAGATATATGTTCATAAAATTGTTGTTCATAGAATTTAGCTAATTGTTTCCAGTCTGAAAATTGTGTTGACCCTTGAGATCTTCTAATTATTTTATCATCAATATCAGTGATTCCCATCACAGCTATCACATTTATATCAAAAAATTCCATTAAAATTCGTCTAATAATGTCAAATCGAATGTAAGCACTGCAATAAATATTATCTAATGAAAATTTAAGTATAATTATTGTTCAAAATGTATTTTTACAATTTTTTATTGTTACCAAGCGTGTCCAATGTGAGAAGTATTATATACTGTTGGGCCACACATGTACCAAGTGGCGATATTTTTATTTTTAAGAATTAATGGTACTTTCTTCTTTGCTAATGGATTATAAATAAGAATATTTGTAGGAAATCCTTCTGGTTGTTTCCAACGTTGTGCCTGTGGGTTATTTATTTGTTGATGGCATAATCTCTTCCACACACAAATAGGTTTAAAATAAGCAAATTTCATAGTTTATGATTTACTTAATAACTTGTATTAAATAATTAATGATTCTTTATATTTTTTACTATTATTCGTTACTTTTTAAAGCTTGCCGAAATAGCAACTATACTGGGACGATTGTTGACATGTTTGTCATGCCGGTCAGCTGTGCTCAATTAAATGGCGTTGAGTGAGTGTGATGGGAAAAGAAGAATGATATAAATCTAGCAATAAAGATTATAAAAGTTTTGACGAATATAAATTTGGCTGTTTTTATTAAATAGGTTGGGATTCTTTGAATGTAAGCAAAAAAGTATATGTATTAATTAAAGATGTAGAAAATAACATCAAATTATCAAATGTAACCTCTATTTTGTAATAATCACAATTAATTATGTTGTTTATTTTTTATAATTAAATTTATTACAGAAATAAAAATGAAGTTTACAAGAGCATTAAATGCACAAAATTTGTATCGAATGACAAAATTTAATTGGTTTGCTCATACAAAACGAAGATTAGTTATCTCCCCAGCAGAAGCTAATGTTGCTTCTAGAGGGTTTCCAATTGTTGAAGCAACAGACATCATAAAACCACCACCACCTCCCGAATGGTATGCGTGATAATATTATTTATTCTTCAATTACAACTGCTTCTTTTAACTATGTTTCATTTTGTAGTGATCCCAGCCTTCTTGAGGGTATAATACCACCAGAACCCATTAAATATAATCCGACACATCCAGATTGGAAAGAAATACCTTGCTTAAAATATGATTCTAATGACTTATTAGTATTGGGTTTGAGTCAAGCTCAAGTTGTGACTAAAACATTATTTATTAAAAATGCATTGCCTGATAAAATTGAGGCTTTAGCTGAAAATCCAAGTGAAAATATCCAGAACTTACTTGAAAGGTAATTTTTAAAATTCCTTCAATTTTATCAGTATAGACTTTATTAAATAATTATATTGAAATTTTATAGAATTGTCTATACTTCTAATATTTTTGATGCGATTCAAGTGAAATTACCGAAAAGAAAGGATCCTAAGAGACCAGCTTGGGTTTTTCCTAGAGATTATGGAATACCCGATGTGCGGAAATCGTAAGGATTGACATTTTATTCATATTAGAATTTCATTCTGGGATGTTTATAATTTATTTATAATTCTATCATATTTTTTAGACGTAACATGGTGGTAAGCATGCTTCATCTTTGTGAGTTATTAAGTGGACCTTCAATATCACAACAAAGGCAAATAATCCAAAACGGATTAATAAAAGCATTTATTGGTAATAACTATTTAATGCATAATTTTAATCGAATAATTTTGATTTAACAAGTAAACTAACAGTTAAAATAATCTACTGTTAATAAATGATATTATTTACAGAAAAAGATGATGAAGTAGTGATGTTCAATTCAACAATTGATTTCATGATTATGGCTAAAAATAGTTTGACACCAATAGATAATCCAGAGAATTTTTCTGAAATCGCATTACCAGATCTATATCCATTGAATAGTCTTGCTGGTTTACAAAAAGAGCATATTTACCAAATAAATGATTTATATCGTAAGTAACAATTATTAATATTTATAAAAACTTCCCAAATCAATGATTTAATATTCCTTTGATTGTTTAGCGGTTGCAGCTGAATCTCCATTTCGAAACATCCATACAATATTTGTTTATCACGATGTAGAAAAAGTAAAAAATTTAAGTGAACTACCAGTTACTCAGCATCAAATTGAGGGAAGATTGTTGATGAAATCATTTCTCGCAGCTGTTGCAAATGCCAAACAAAAATATGGAGGCAGAGTTAAAGATCTTTCAGAACCGATAACGATTCAATGTATTCATATAAATCGAGGATCATTCAGTTTCTCAGTATTCCAATTGAACACTATGGATATTCATGGCACCAATGATAAATGTAATTATTGGTGGTCTACACCACAAATCAATTTGTTTGAAAAAGCTTTGTACGAGAACGGTATTCCAATTATGACAGGTTTTAATCCTGATGTGTTTAAATACTTTTTAGCATTTTATAAAAATATGTAGGTCTTAATTTTATAAATAAAACGTTATATCAAATTTGAAAAAGCCTTTTTATTAACTATAACTTGTATGTTTATTCATTTTATTGATTCAGATTTTTATCATTCAAATTCCGGATGTTAACATTTATATCGAATCGAAAATAATCGCTCTCAGTTAACTTCACTGTGAAGAATTCTAGATGTCGCGATGATCACTAATGGCGAAAAATTCAATGTGAATCGAGCCATTGTTATTATTGTTTAATTAAAATTTCTACAAAAATTAGTTTTCTTTTCATGTATATTCACATATAAGTTTAATTCAGAATTATTTTCTGTACTAGTGGAATCTGCTTAGGATATAAGTACTAACTTATCCTATACATGTATATCAATGTCGACTCGGTATTCTGAGTTCGACTATCGAAAATGTACCATTGTTTAATTAATTTTTCAACTTATTATGATTTATAGTGGCTTTTTTTTATACTCAGCGATTCGGTAACATTAATTTCAATTCATTTTCAACTCCCTTATCTTTCGTAACGGTTTAAATAGATATTCTATTTTGATCCATATGCGTTTACATATATGACTTAATAATCGAAAACTACTCAATTATAAAAAATTTATTAAAGATGTTCGAGCTAAAAGTGTCATTGATTTCAACACTGAGTTTTCATTTCCACGTGTGACGAGCTATACTGATATTATTGGTTTAACATATTTCCAATATAGTTTAGAAGAAATGAGCTAGTGCAATAATAGTGACAAACGCAGTGATAAAACGTTGAGTGAAATAAACTTTGTACCTATCACTTATCATTTTTGATGTTACAATTTACGAGTAATCTACTGAGCAGGATATATTACGAAATTTGTTGATTTTATTCTTTCATCATATTCATATACTTCAAATAATGAAAAGCTAAGTTACTTAGCTAAATCTAATTTATACATATATTGAGTACATCACTATTTAGAAGATACACACTTTTATTGGTAGTTGTACATGGCAAGCACTTCAGTGATCATAAATAAGTTTTATCATAAGAAGTCTACTCCAATACAATTTTTTTGTTATTACATCAACTTTGATTGTTAAACTAAATATAATTCTAATTTAATTGTTAAAACTGTTAATTTTAATCGGCAAGGTTTTTTTTTTGTTTCCAATGAAATCAAGAAAAATTTGTAATTATATGAATTAAATTAATTATAATTATTAATACCTGTAAAACTTAATTGAGAAATACAGAACTTTATGCAAGACCCTAAGAAGATAACGAGAACAGAGACAAACGTAAAAAAAAAGAATTATCAGTGAACAATTGTTTGTAGGGAGCAATTTATAATGCTTTGTTTCGTGCAGGGAATTCATACACGTGAAGACTCTAAATCACGACGATTAAAAAGGTAATTTAAAATTATTTTTTTCATAAATTTTTCTTTTTTTAAACAAACAAGCATTTCAACATTTATATTATGAATTATGTTGATCTATAAATTATCATTTTTTCATATTCACCGACAAATTTAATATTTTTTATCTAATCATTTAAATTTAATATAAAAATTATATAATAGGATTGATTTCATTTTGATTGAAATTCTGACTTTCATTCAATTTGAAAAATTTAATATATCATGTGACAAGGAAGCTTTCTGCATAAGAAATTAAATACTTTATTTTTGTTTGCAAGTTACAGGCGATTGAAATCTAAAATGATTGAGTTCATAGCTTCCTAGATAATTGAATTAAGGATATTGAAATTTGTTGAAGCTGACCTGAAAGAGTACTATGAGGTATAAATAAGTAACAAAATCAAAAGTGTCGCGTTCGAAACTATATGATTTTGCATGGAATATCCCCTATATAGGTCATCTGGATCTATAAGAAATCGTTCAGCTTCTAATACTCCCATTCAAAAAACTGTAGGATATGATCAACAGTCACAACAAACCAGGCCGTCACCGATTAACGAACAACCACCGAACATTCGATCGACAGTAAATAATTTTTCATCACTAAAAAGTCCGAGTCATGAGGGTTTAAATAAATGTTCTGACAGGTAAAAAATAAAAAAAAAAACCTTTTTATAAATCTTCTTTCATTCAATATTTGAAATTCTACAGACATCAATTTCTGACAAATAGTCTTATTTTGGATGTAGTTTCATCTTCAAGGCTCCATTTATGCTTTCAATTAAACCAACTTACCTAGTGACAATATTTTTTCTCTTCAATATAAAAATGTGTTTAGAAAAACATTTCAAAGTTATCAAAAATATTTACCCCTCCGACTGGACTACGTATCAATTATTAAAAGTTAATTGGAGCCATATGAAGTTACTATTTCAGATAATGTTATTTTAATTGTTCTTCATTTTTTCGAGTGTATCCCCTTGGTAGTTAAAAAGTAGAAAACTATACTCAATAAAACCATAAGTAGGTATCTTGAGTTTCTGATCACTTTTGACATTGCTTTATCTCATAGTTTATTATTATATTTGTTAGATAATTTCATGCTCTATTTATATGATATTGATAATCTAGTGTAAAAGTATAAAAAAATAGTTCGAAAATATTTTCACTAGGTTAGTCGGTGAATTTGAAAAAAATATAAAATTTCTGTGATATCTGACAAAACTCAATAAATTCCCCTTATCTGTGATAACAGATATTTATTATAATGTTTGAACAAAACAACATTTTCATTCGCAGCCAATTACTGAAGCCTTTAAGCAGGAGTACACCGTCTATGACTGGTGGCAGTATTCAGTCACCAACAGTTATTCGTAGATCATCTACAAGATCATCTCCATCTACAAGTAGTGCAAGGCAGAAAAAGTTCAATCGGCATTTTACTCAAGTAATATTTAAAAATAATATTCTCTACTTTAAAAACTTGTGAACTTATTGATAAACTTTAATTTAATTAAATTTTTTTACTGTTTCAACTAGGTTGCTCCTGATGAACGTGTTCTCAATTATTATAGTTGTGCTTTAGTAGGTGATATCTTATTGCAAGGTCATCTGTATATTACTTCAAATTATTTTGCTTTTTATAGTAATGTATTTGGATACGTTACTAAACTTCTTATACCTATTATTTCGGTCCATAAAATTAGTAAAGAGAAGACTGCCCGAATAATTCCTAATGCAATAGCTGTAGTAACAGAAGAAGAAAGACATGTATTTTGCTCCCTTTTGTCGAGAGATTCCACATTCAAATTAATGATACAAGTTTGGGATTCTGCTTTGGAAGGTAAACAAGCAGTAAGCAATGTATCTTTACCTGTTGAAGTAAAGCTTTTACCGGATACATTGTTGATCGATGATTCTGAGGCTAATATAGAAGAGGATGATTCAAGTATGTCGGAAAGCGGCACAGATCTCACCTCAAGACCTCCGACTATTTGTACTGATACTGATAGTGTAACTCCTATTTCTTTAAGACCAATGCCAGCATCTCTGAGGTTGGATTTTTACTTAGATATTATATCGCTTATTTGATAACAATAAATAATATGAATTTTTTTTTAGGTTCGACCATAATATAAGTCCCAAAAATTTTTCTAATAAAAAATTAGAGAAAATCAGATCATTTTGGTGGTTTCGATTAAGATCTAGTACTATAATGATACTTTTAGTGGGATTGTTAGCAGCACTTTATATATCTGCAGCTTTTATGATGATACGTATTGATAAATTACACACCACTTACCTCAATCATCCTCTTACTTCGCCAGAAAGATTTACACATGATCAATTTTTGCAATACATCAACAGAAATCTTGAACAAATTATCAGAGTAAGTATTTATTAGAAATTATTTTTTTCAACTTAATAACAGTTGAAAAATTGTTTATTAAATCGAATTTAAATTACAGATTCGTCAAAGCTTACAAATTTTGTCACAACAATTTGTTCAAACGAAGCAAGATGATGTCGCTTATCATGGTGTTGAAAAGAGTAAATTAAAATCTACGGACGTATTCAATTGACATACGGAAACATTGAAGATTACCTTCAAAATCAAGAAGTTTCCATATATTGTTTTAGTACATCCAATGGTTCAGAATATGCATCACCTATTATATTTTTTATTTTAATGCATTTCTGTAATTTAATTATGTAATTTTACCCATTTTCTATGGACTATTATGTGAAATATCGCTTAGAAACTTTTCAATTTAAATATTGAATGTTAATGAGCTTCTAATAAGCTTTTGCAGTGAATAAGTAAGCAATTTGACTAAAACAATAATATCTTAAACAAATATTAAAATTTAAATTTTCAACTAGTCATTTTTTTATACTAGAAAAAGATAAACGAAAATTATAGCTTCGAAAGAAATTGTAAAAATGTATATTAAGAATATTCTTATTTGAAATTTTATTTTCTGTTATTGTTATATTCCAGTATACGAAAGTTCTTGTAGGTATATTTATATACTCGAATCATTTCAACTACAATACACATGAAAATTTCAAAGGGACATTTCTATAATTAAATTATTTTCAAACTAGTGGCATGTCAATGATTCCAATGATAAATGGATTTAACAGAAAAATTTTTTCAATCAAAAAAATTTTTTTAGCCAGCTTAATTTGTTATAAATAGATATTAATGAAGCTAATAAAAAGTTTGACTGTGATAGTAAGTGGTTGAACATATTGAGAACGTTTTTTGTATTTATAGTTCAGCCGTCTGTACAAAGAGAGCAGACTAAGTATAATTTATTAATTAAATTATATATATACATATTACAAGATAGATAAATATTATAATCAGTTAAATTAGTTCAATCAAATATGTATATTAAACAACCTAAATTATATTTTTAAAAAATGTGTCATGAACGTTCTTTGTTATGTAACAAAATTTATATTCCGGTGTTCACAATTTAGTTGAGGAATATTATTATTTATTTATTATCGTTCATCAAATTATAAAGATTGGAATGTTACAGAAATATATTTTAATATCATAATAAGTTAATTGCTGTATAATTCAAATTCAATAAATAAGTTATTATAGCTTATAGAGTTATATTCTTCACATATATGGCTTAAACTATTTTATTTTATTATGAATGTTGGCGGTTTTTTATTGAATAATGTATGTAGCTTGTAATGTATGAAGCTAATTAGTTTTAAATTTGTTTGATGTTTTGCATTTATAGTGTACATACAAGCTCATTAAATATTATACATAGAAAAATTAAAGTAGATATATAATAACTATTACAGATACACCGAAAGTAAATTATCATTTCATAAAATATCACTCCAACGTATGATATAAATATATGGCATTATCGAGTATGTGAATATTCCAATTGGATGGCAAAGTTAAAAAATTGATCATTTTTATTTATTTGCTCAGAAGAAGAAAACTTTAGTATTTATTCATTTAGCGTGATTTTTTAACCGAGGATAACAAATTCAATATCATTATCTTCTAATTGTTTTTATTGTAACATTATTACTATATAATGTATCTAGTTGATCATATAAAGTGGAGAGTGTTTATCTTCAATCATAGATCATAGAATACATTTATAATTATATGCTGTTTTGTTATTTAATATCATGAAAAAATTGTAATAAAAAACATTTTTTTATGTCACGATATAATAATAAATCAGTTTATTAATTTATACTGCATCAAATATACAAATCAGTCATTGATAGTTTATAAATAAAATACTTTACGTCCTTGGTTTGTAGTATATTTTTTTTATTACATAATTATAATTTGTACTGTGTAAGACGTCGTTAGAATTTTTTAAATTCAAAGTTTTTGCCCACGATTGAATTGTCCAATCAGGTATTCGATATTTTCAACACAACTGACCAAATCGACTTTTCGTTATTATCGACATTCTCTCGTACACATATTCATTGTCCACAAACGCCACCAAGAGCAAGAACGTAACATCAAATTGACGAAAATAAAAAGTAAAATCTAACCAAAAGATTTTTTTAGGAACAAAATTGCACAAATTATAAATTAATTATAATTTATTATCACTGATAGTGTGATATGTAACATACGAATGTAGTTACTATAACGTAGATTTTATTATTTTTCTTGGTAATGACTGTATATACGATAATAAATGAACAATTTTATATATCAATATCACGATATAATATTCCAATATGTCAATGAAGCATTTAAATTAACTAGTGAGCCATTCTACAACACAGTTATGGCAATAGATAAAGTATGCCAGAATGACAGACGATGCTTATAAGTAATTTTTAATTATGAATAAACCTCAGCGCCTGATTTTGGGACTCTCCGTTTTGTTATTAGTTGATATTATTCGAGTTTCTAGCTCTGAATTAACTAAGGTAATCATTATAAAAATAATTATTTATAGAAATAGATAAATTTTAAAAGCTGTTCATTAATTTTACGGTTAAAATAACTGGAATTGATAATTATATTTTTTTTCAGTATGTTTATAGGGAAGCCAATTTTAAAAAGCCTTTTTTCAGTACTTACGTGAATACTTCGTTATTAACTCTTTATTTATTGGGCTTATGTTTTTGGCCACCATGGAGAGATCAGTGTCTTAAACCACCTACTTACATGGTAAAAAAATTTTATTAATAAATAATTAATTACTTTATATAAATTAAAATTTATAAATAATAATTTATAGTTCATAGATTCAGCTATAGAAGATGATACTTACTATTTGGAAGGCAATAATAGTTTGGTATAGAAAAAATTATTATGTTTATCTTTACCTAAAGACAATTAATCGTGCTAAGACAATAATTTTTTTAGAGTGATCCTACATTTGTACCTATAAAAAAAGCAGACCAATGTGATCGATCGTCAGGTACAGAAAGTGATGATTCCTCGATACGAGCTGTGAGATTTAGTAAATTAGCAGAAGTAAGACACATGTCTGAAAGTGATGCTACAGAAGCTTTATTAGCTAGATTAAGTTATCAAGCAAGTATTCGAGCTGGTGAACATGCCAGACGACAAGCGTATAAATTTTCTATTCGAAAAATTGCCAAAATAGCTTTGATGTTTTTTTTCCTCGTAAGTGTATAAATATTTTTTTATTTTTGTTAATGAATTTCAAAATAACATATATTTTTCATTTAGTTATTTGCTGCAAATTATTGTTATCAAATGTCACTGGCTCAAGCGCAAACAGGAATTGTAACAGTATTATCCTCTACATCTAGTTTATTTACGCTAATCCTTGTTACATTGTTTCCCAGTATGAATTCTGATAAATTTACACTATCAAAACTTATAGCTGTATCAGTTAATATTTTTGGATTGGTAAATTTCATTTAATACTTTATTCTGTTATTATATTACTCATTCAATACTTAACGTAACTCTTATTCTTGAAATATAATTTAAGAATAAAATTATTATTATTTGCTAGGTCTTAATAAGCCTGTCTAATGTGAAAATGGAAATGAATGAAGTTATGACTAAAAGCATAATTTTGAGTACAGCAAGTGCATTTTTATACGCTCTTTACATCGTTTTTTTAAACAGATCAGTTGATCATGAAGATCGAATGGATTTACCAATGTTTTTTGGATTCATAGGTTTGTTTAATCTTACTTTTTTATGGCCATTATTTTTTATATTTCACTACGGACATTGGGAAGAATTTGAGTGGCCCAATAGTCGTCAATGGACTTTTTTGATTGTTAATGGGTTAATTGGTACAGTACTCAGTGAAGTTTTATGGCTGTGGTAAGTAGATTGTTTAATTTTTAATTTCATTTAAATGAAATTCGTTCTACAATTTTTAATTAATTCCAGGGGTTGTTTTTTAACTTCATCGCTTATAGCAACATTAGCTATTAGCTTGTCATTACCAATGTCAGTAATAGCAGATGTATTAATTGGAAGAATTGAGTATTCGTATACATTATATCTTGGTATTGTACCAGTGATACTTGCATTTACAACAGCATGTCTTCTTTCTTACTATGACAATTGGGATCCGGTGATAGATTTATTCAGATACCTCTATTCATGGCTGTCAAGAAAAAATAGAAATATAAGGTAAAATTTCGATATAGTTTTTTTTTAAACTTTAATGAAGTATAATAATATAGGATTAAATATTTGACACTTATTATTATGTTTGCAATTTAGGATACCTGATTTAGAAATCGAACAAACCGAATTCCTCATCAGTGTAAACGGTGATGATCATGAAGCTTAATGATTTAATACGATTTTTTATTCTTCAAGTATCTAAAAATATTATCTGAGAACAAATAGAATGGACAAATCTATTCAATTTGACATAATTCTAAAAAAATTTTTGTCAATATTCGTACAATATTTTCAATTGTATTATTAAAAGTTTGTACACTTCAGATATAAGAATGTTTTGAACAAAATTTTAAAACTATTTATTGATGTTATTTAAAATATGAAAATAATTATCAATTATATTTGATGTTTGACATATATGTATGAATGTGATTGTAAAAAATAATGTTAAAATAAGTTCAATATAGATTTTGAATTAATATTTTAGTACAAATTAATTTTAATTCATGCATCACTCATTTCTTTTACTAATTGTTATATAACACACGGCTGTCTAATACCTATTTTCAACTGATTATGAAGTAGCAAAAACAAATAAAATAAAAGAATGTTTATACCATATTTCTCATATATTGCCGAATAAATAGAAAAAGAATCTTTTTTACTTTTAATCAAGTATTATGTACGAGAAAATGTGAATTGCAATTAACATATTTCTGAGTTTATGCGCCAAATTTTTTGAAATTTAGAGTGCCATAGGATCAAAAAATTTTCTGCTAGACCTGATAAAAATTCCTCTAATCCTAGGGATACTCATTTGGAATCATTATTTTGATCCTGATAATTTCACTTCTACATAAACGCTACATCACAGTTGTTATCTTAGCGCAAAAATTTAAATGCCAAGAGTTTTAACATTATAATAACAAAGACCGAGTATTTTAGTTACAATATTAACTAATAATGAAAAAAAAGTGATAGAAAAAATCTGTATAATTAAATAAGATAATAATAACAATTCGTTACCCAGAGTTCAGCAGTGAGTTGAACTTACAATACATTATTATATGTAGCGATAAGAATTGTTACGTAAATTTCGAATTCGTTGAATATATTTGATTTGATAAATATAATATGAGATATATAATAAGAAATACGATTTAACGATAGAAATACTTAAATCTATAATCAAAATGACGCTGTTTAAATTCTCTAGATTATTAAGTTTTGTATCAAAACCAATTGTGGTAAATGATTATTTTTATAATATTTATATAATAATAATTTGTTAATATAATTAAAATTCATTCAATTATTATTCATGTTTTAGCAACAAAAATTGAATTTATCATCAGAACCTCAGTTTCTAGGCATCAAATCAAAGTATACAGATCAGTTAAAATTTGTTAATAGTGACAATTATGAATCAATACCAATTTATAGAATATTATCAACATCAAATGAGAAAGATCTTCCAGTTAAGGCAAGTAAATTGAAATAATTTCTCTCTATACTTTATCATGTTGAAAGGTGATTTTTTATAGCTGGAAGAAGAAACTCTAATAAAAATGTACAAGAACATGATAAGGATCACAGTAATGGACAAAATACTTTATGAATCTCAAAGACAAGGACGTATTTCATTCTACATGACTAATAGTGGAGAGGAAGCCGTGCAAATTGGTTCAGCATCAGCTTTAACATCAAATGATGTTATTTATGCACAATATAGAGAAGCTGGTAAATTGTCAATTCTTTACAATTCTAATTATAATGATGAATTTAAACTAAATCCCAATGATATGATATATACGAATGTTTTTCAGGTGTTTTAATGTGGCGAGGATTTAAATATTCACAATTTCTTAATCAATGTTTTAGTAATTTCGAAGATCCTGGAAAAGGAAGACAAATGCCTGTCCATTATGGCTCTAAAGAATTAAACTTTATGACGGTTTCATCACCACTCACCACCCAAATGCCACAAGGTATGCATTAAAACAATCTGAAAACAATAACACTATTTACAAAATTGCAAAAATTTATTATTTATAGCTAGTGGAGCTGCATATGCTTTAAAGTTAAAAAAACAAAAGGCTTGTGTAGTATGTTACTTTGGAGATGGAGGAGCCAGTGAAGGAGATTTCCATCCTGCTTTAAACTTTGCTGCAACCCTTGACTGTCCAGTTATATTTATATGGTAAATATGGTATGTTAGTAAAAAATTTCTTTAAGTAATAAATCATGTTTGTTTTAAACAATAAAAGTCGAAACAATGGGTATGCAATTTCTACACCAGTTACTGAACAATACAGAGGAGATGGAATTGCTGCTAGAGGTCCAGCTTATGGCATTTCTACTACTCGAGTAGATGGTAATGATATCCTTGCTGTTCATCATGTCACACAAGCTGCTCGAGATTATTGTATAAATAATATGAAGCCTGTTCTGATAGAAGCTATGACATATCGGTAAGTAATTCTAATAATTTTACTTGAAATTTTTAAAGGTTTGTGAATAAATTCTATATAATCAATATTTAAAGAAATAATTATAATGATAAAAAATTTCTACTTTTATGTTACAGAATAGGTCATCACAGTACTTCAGATGACAGTACAGCTTATCGACCATCAGAAGAAATAAATATATGGACTCAACATTCACCTATTTCGAGATTTCGACAATATCTCGAGAAATTAGGACTCTGGAGCGAAGCCCAAGAGACTGAGTTCCAAAAATTAACATTGCAAGAATTTATGAAAGAATTTTCAATCGCTGAAAAAAAACTTAAACTTGATTGGAGAGAAATGTTTACTGACGTTTATAAAGAAATGCCATCACATATCGAGTAATGTTAAATTATTTATTATTATGATTTTTATGTAAAGTTTTTTAATTTATCTTGGTTAATTGATTTTTTTTATTCAATAGGGAACAAATGAAAAATCTAGAAGATCACTTGAAAAAGTACGGAGAACATTATCCTCTAAAGGATTATAAATCAACATAATTTCTTCAGAGATAAAATTTTATAAATTTGAATATTTTTTTCATGATACTTGTTATTTTTTATAATAAAAATACTACTTAACTTAATCATAAAATTATTTTCAATTATCATAACATACTTAAATTATTGGTCTTGTTTAAGACTCATTGATAATTCTTTATACTTTTGTAACCTGTATTCTTTTCGAGCCGCATCCAACAAAACATTGTGAATTAATTGATTTTCATATTTCCTGGGGTATTCGAGAGATGGATATGGATTACCTGAAAGAAAATAATTTGTTCAACATGATATATTTCTTATAAATTAAGTAATCATAGATAGTTGAAATATTTTTCTATATACCTTTGAGTTCTAGCACAGCTTTTGGTATTTGTGAACCTGGGTAATCCGTTTGAATGTGATGGATTTTGGTAAATGATGAAGAAGTGTAATCTTTAAAACGAGGTACAAGAACCTTAAATAATTTGTGAACGTATTGTTTTTCGATTATCCAATAATCTGCCATTGCCATCGTTTCTGCATGAGTTGGTCCATGTCGAATTGCTTCTGATATTAACTGCAAAGTTAATTTGATTTGACTTATGAATGATTTTTAGTAAAAAAGTATTTCATAAACTTCATAAATATATATTGAATATATTGTAAATAAAGAGATATTTTGTTTAAAGAAATGGACTTACTCGTTCAACATAGCCTCTTGTTTCGTCTGCCCGGGCCCAGGCCAATTCGATTCTTTCATATTTAAGAAGAGCAGTTAATGTTCTTGAAATTTTTCGTGCTCTACCTTGAAGTCCTTCAGGTGTACTTAAGTTTCTTCGTTTGGATCGTATTTTAAAATGTAATTGGGAAACTAAATTATTTATTTTAGCTTGATTCATTTTACGGTTATGTTTGTAATAGCACTTGAGAGCAAAATTCGGCGTTATTCTTGGTTTCTTTATGGAGCCTTTTAAAATGGAGTGATTAAAATGATGTTACGGCACTGGATCACATGCCTCTGTTGTCCATCTATTTCATTTTGTTCATTACTTGAATGCAAAAAAAATATGAATAAGCCAATTGCAAGGAATGTTCAGTGACAAACAACGCCATTCGCGCAGTAATTTTGATATCCAGTGATCTATTGGAGATAACATTTATATTTTATACTTCATTTCCATACTTCCTTATGTATGTAATCTACAGTACGTAATCCATAATGTATGTAATCTGTTACTTTCTTCAAGTCTATTCTTGTTTACGAATTTAATCGGAAGGTGAGATTCCAAGTAAATTCACTGGTTTGAAAATTCTTTTGATCAAAAATAAAGTCTATTCATAAAATTATCTTGTTTTTGATTCAAGAATATCCTCGATTAATCTAAAACAATTGGTGAAATAATAAGGATTCAATTATTATTTCATTTTTAAACAGGTGTGTATCAAAAGTTTTAGATATTCTGTATTTGGTTAGTTTTAATATCACACTATTTTTTCTGTTTTTATAGACTTAATCATGCAAAAAACACCTGTTTCAATTCTACAAGAATTGATGGTTAAGAAAAAATGTGTTCCAAATTATGAATTAATTCATGACGGTGGTGGAACACATGAAAATACCTTTACCTATCAAGTGACTTGTTCAGGTTTAACCTCATCTGGGGCAATATTGTCAGCAACTGGAACCGGTCGTTGTAAAAAAGATGCTAAACATTTAGCAGCAAAAAATATGCTTGCTGAAATTGCTAAAAAAAATGCGTTTTTACCATTGCCGGCATCACCAGCTGAATCTCCTGTAAGAACACCAATACCTAAGCCTCAACCAGAGCCTCTTATTCATCCTCCTAACGAGCCTTTTATCAATGCAATTGGTGAATTGAAGGTACAGATACATATATTATTTAAAATTTTTTAAGTTATAATATATAATTATAAGTATTGTTTATTTATTACAGGACTTATGTGCTGAACATGAATTACCTGAACCGGAATACATAACTGTAAGTGATATTGGTCCACCTCATGCACGAATTTTTACAATTCATTGTATTTTGTCGAGCTTTACAGAAGAAGGTATAGGTACTACAAAGAAACATGCAAAACATTTAGCGGCACGAAAAATGTATGAGCGACTTAAAGAGATAATTACTGAGTCAAAAAGTACATTTTCTATAGTTAGTGAAGTCGAAGACAAATATAATTCATTAAAAATTTCTGCTCCTCCAGAAGATATAGATCAGGTTAATAAGTCTATCGACATGAACAGTGTACTTGGAAAATTAACATCTTATCCTAGAAAAGATTTAGGAGTAAAAGTATCTGATTATTGGAGGAACATAAGTGATAGTTATTCTGTTGAATTACGTGAAGAAGTGGCCCAGAATTTAATGCAATTTAAAGCAGATTTAACTTCATGGGAGATAGATGATGTTGATCAGCTGGAAGAAAATGCATTACAAAGATTTAGAGAAATTTTAGAAATGTTAAACTTATCTATTAAGAAATTAGTATTTAATGTAGATGGTAAAACAATGATTGCTTTGTATGTGAATACAGTTCCTGAAATCGTAGAAGTTGCAGTAGATGAAAATAAGACTGAGCTAATAAGACGTGCATTTTCTCAATTAGCTTGTAATTTAAGGTTCCTTCTTTTATAGAAATTTAATCAAATAAAATAATATTTAAATCACATTAAGTGATGAGGCGTCTCAAGTGATAATTCATAGAAGTGAAAAAGTGCATAATAATGAAAGGCAAATGAATAAATAAAAGTAGAAAAATTTGCAAAACAATATTTTTGCTACAATTTTTAGTTGAATTATGTATTTTGGGTTTTAATTTTAGATTTAAAATTAATAGAATTAAATTAATTATTTTTTTTTTTTATTTGTTTTGGAATATTTGGATTTCCTAATTTTACATGATATAAATCATTACAGCATAGACATAATTGCTGTAAATGCCCAATTAAAAACTCAAACATTATGAGCTTGTTAATTTTTTTAAAATTTCAATTTATTTAGATTGATAATCAGTGTACAGTTTGTTTTTTCAATTTTTAGAAATGTACTTTATCACTTGAGTTGCCTTTCGCCAGTTCCATTGTACACGATAATATGTTAATGAGTGCAAAAATGAATAATAATTAAAAAATTTGATGAAGTTATGGAAATTGCATAACTATATTATTATATTCAGTAGAGAACATAAAATTTAAAAGCTATTTACTGCATTATTTCTGAAAAACTATTGATTCAAAATTGCTTGAATATGAAGGTAAATCTATACTTTTATGATATAGATCAATAGTAATTTTCAAGAAATAAAGCAATAGAATGTTTTGAAATTATGTGAAGAGTCAATTACAGACGTTAATTTCCATAATTACACAAAGTTTTTTGATTATTATTAATTATTAATTATTTATCTTTCATTAACGTATTAATGTTTACAAAATAACTATTAAAAAAAAGAATTTATTTTTTCTAAATTTTTTAGTTATAGATTATTGTAAGATGAATATATTTTGGTATCTGGAAGCTACATAAGAAAGTTATTCTTTTATTTCATATTACATGTGTTGAAAATAAAGAAGCAATAATTTTTTTTGTTGATATGAAAAATTTTTCGATTTAAAGGTCTGCGACCAAATGATTTTCGATTAAAATTTAGATATACCATTTATCTGTCATTACAAACTGAATAAATTATAAAATTTATGGTATCAAAATCATTGAAAATAAGTATAGCTCAAAGTTATCAACTTAAAATGTGATCAAGAGCAAACACATTTATAAAGTAAACTACTAAATGTGTATTTCAGATATGCTCAATAAAGACCTGTGATTTTATACCACTTAAAAGGTATTACAGCCTTCAAATGCGTAATTTATTTTTATTTAACAATTGTCCAAGTCGTAGATTTGTTAAAATATTTATTTTATAAAATTTTATTTATTTAATATCACATAAAAGTGCTACTCCTCTTAAAGTCCAATGCCGAGGATTATGGTCAGTTTCAAAATCAATTGATCCAACATATTTTTGATCAGTTCTTTGAGGTTTCCTGTATATTGGACATTCATATAGTTTTGGATCCTTTCCTGCAGTGGTATTTATTGCAAAAATATAAATAACTGGCATTTGTTCATAAAGAACTTTAGGCTTGCTTTCTACTAATTTTGTTGTTTTCCTATCTAAAGATGCTCCCTCTAAAAAGAGACCATGCACATAGACACCTTCTTGTACTTGTTCTTTAATATCTTCTTTATTATATCGAGTTATCAAATTTTGAAGAACTACTGAATCCAAAGCCCACCCTTTATGCGCTCTAGTTACTTCCTAAAAATGAATTCAATAATTTATTATTCCATTCATGAATATATTTATTTACATTCGAGCTTTTTTATTTCACCTGTCTCATAGCAGTCAAGAATCCTTGACAATTAAAAAAACCTGTCATCCAAAAAACAAATGGTCTTCCGTGATTACACCATTGTCTGAATTGAGCATCACGTTCTAAAAGTTCTGTATACCAAAATCCAAGTGTTGCAGATTCCCAGGATATTTTTTGCCATTTATCCGGTATTCTCGCATCATACATAGAATCTAAAGCTTTTTTTAAACCTTGACTCATCACAATAGTTCCATCAATGGCGAGCTTTAGATCAGTGAGTGTTGACTGGACTTCTTTGATTACTCGAGCCATTCTATCTATTTCTTGACGCAAAAAAATATTCATAGGCAATAAAGCTCCCATTCGTTGAAGTGCTTCTTTAGTCTCAAATGAATTGTATTGTTTTGGTAGCTTGCTAAGCATATCATCAGCTAATCTATAGACAATATTTTCTCTAGTTTCACCACCCTGCGATCCACCTTCTTTTGGTTGAACATTCAAGATAGTATCAAGAATTCCCTTTGCTGTATTAATTTGATAGGTAATATCGGCATTAGAATGCAGACCAAAGACTTCAGGAGTATCAGTAGCTGGCAAATTGTTAATATAATCCATACATCCTTGGATAATTCGTGTTTGAGGAACTTTGTAGCCTTTATAAAATTCAAAACCAGGTCGTAGAAGAACATCACAAAACCAGACGTGAGTAAAAGTTGTTAAAAGGCGTTTATCAAAGTCATCAGTGACTCTTCCACCATATTGAACCTTAGAAAGAAATATATCTTACTTGGTTGATTAACAAGTATTATTTAACTACCTAAAAATATTTATAATCATACTTCGCCTAGCATATAACAGATTGTTGGCCAAGAGACGCCTTTCTTAGGATCCATATCATCTAAATGATTTTGAATAAATTGAACTGATGCAGCAAAATCAGCTTGATTGAATTCGTAGGGTATATTCCACCCAAGAGGACCAAATTTTCGTCTCTCTTGGACAACAGTGTGCAAAAAAGCTACAGCATAGAGTAATGGTGGCCATTGAGGTTGTGTACTGTAATCCAAAGTATCTTGAGTTACTCCTTGATAAGTTCTTTTCAAACTTGCTTTAATCCCTTGAGGAGGTTCGTTGGTGAATTTGATTCCCATCTGAAATTACATTTAAAAGATCAATGGTTATTGCATGCACAAACTTTTTGCAGATAAATTGAATAAAATTTAGCAAATAATTACTTGTAATAATCCTATTGGGAATTGAGAATGCACTTCTGTTGTTATCCATAGTCTAAAAGATTCATGAATAGTTTCAGTATCTACCAGAGTGTCCATGACTTCGCTGCAGTAGGGCAAAGAAAGATGAACATTTTGTAAAAGTACCCATCCCCCAACACTCATGGCATCACTTATTAATTTTCGAGCATGAAATTCTTGACCTTGACCCATAGAAATTGCTCTTAATGCTATCAAAAATAAATAAATTAAATTATTTAAAGGAACATTTGATTTACAAAACGATTTTTTAGTGAAATAGTTTTATAAATTAATGCATACGTGTTGCTTTTTGTTTAGCTAAGCTAGTAATCTGTGGACTAGGGTCTGAACCAATGGATAAGATACAAATTAATGGAGATCTTGGCTCAGATTCTAGCCACGTTGCTTCAAGATCTAAAATTTTAGCTTCTCCGTATTCCTGTCCAAGAGATTCAACAATATATTTTTTTGCTTGTGATAAAGTTCTATCTGGGCTCCAAGATCTGATTAATAAGAGTTTCCTAAAAACATCTAAATTTTTTTGGTATCCACAGGGTAATTCTTCTTCTTCAGGTCTTTCCTTTTCATACCATACTCTCCATTCTCGTTCACTATATTCAATCTTGGTTAAAATATCAGAAAAAACTTCCAGCTTACTTATTTCTACTAAATTTAACCAAGTAATATCAAGAATCCATCTAAAAGGTTTTGGCGCTACAGCATTAAGATCCAAAGATGCTCCCCCTTTGATGAAAGCCATAAATTCTGTGTGAGATATTGTTCCTCTATGACAGTCAATTTTCATAGCTAACATTAAAGTGAACAAAGATTTATGTCTCTCATATAAGCTTCTTAAAGTAAAAGCCCAAACCTCGTAAGTCAAATGATTCAAAATTATCTCAATTCTTTCCAAAGTATTGGGACTTTTTGTTGATTTTGTGATGGAATTATCGAAAATAGTCAAAAACTGCTTCAAAGAATTCTGATACATTACATTAACATTACTCATTTCTACAATAAGAAAATATAAAATTGATCCTCGAGCAGCGACAGCTCTAAATTCCTCTCTTGCAATGGTAATTTTTTTTTCTGTTAACCCAGCTACTTTCAATTTTTCATTCACTGATTCAGCTGTTGATTTAGTTTCTCTAAGAACACTAATTAAAGCTTCATCATCAACAAGAGAACCTTCTGATGACGTTAGTCGATGCAATAATGTCCTCTCCAATTCTTTCATCGTCCTCTGATTTGTCATTACTGATTCAAACAATGCTACTCTTTCAGCTTCAAGCTCAGATTTCTCCATAAGAATAACTCTACCCAGTAATTGATCCTCCAGACCTTGCATCGTAACAGTGAAATCAATAATTGAAGTCTTTGCTGAAATTTCTGGGCTATAAGCTGGATTAGGGAGCTTTGTTGTAATATAAAGCATAAATCCAGGCATCACATCACATTCTTTATCACCTACAATAACTTTCTCAATCGATCCTGATTTGATAAAATTCTTTTCCAAGACGTTATCAATAACTGGATCTAATTCTTCTGCTACGTCTTCAATTAATAAAGGTCGTCCTAGAGATAAAGAATCTTCTAGATGAGTTCTAAAATATTTATGATTCAAGGAAGTAATTACTAAATCATTATTTTGTTCTTTATTTTTAATCCACATTCTTCCTTGATTTTGAGGATCAACTAAAAGAGGATATGATGATGATTTTGTAACTATTAAAGCATTTTGGACAGATAACTCATCATTGGGTAGTCCTTGAAGAGTCCATTCTGATACTGTAGCTGAATCTACAAGCATATTTATAATATTTAAATCTTTTGTAAAAGGAATACGTCGACTTGTTAAAATTTCCATCCATGAAGTAACTAATCTTGCTCTGTATTGTTGATTATATGGTCCACAATAGGATAAAAATCCAGTTGCCAATAAAACATCTCCAACAAGTTTGCCGAGTTGAATTTTAAATTCTCCACTTTGCTCAGTCCATCTTATCTTCTCACCTCCCAACCCATTAATCAAAGCAGTTGCTGCAGTCATTTTTCTTAAACACACATTTGCTGCTTCAGTCAACCTCTGTTTTTCATATACTGCTGAGTCATATTGCTCTTTAACAGCTTGCAAGGCCATTTCTCGTTCAGAAAGTTCTCTTTCCGCATTAGCGAGATCTTCCATTGCAACTTTAAGTCTTGCTTCTTGAAGAGCAAGATTAGCTTTCAACGGAAGAACTTCTTTGTTGACTGAGTGAAAAAAAGCCATAGCTTTAGTCCAAGATAATAGACCAGCTACATCACCACAAACACGTCTTGCTGTTTCCATATTATAATCTTCCATTTTAAAATATGGTTGAAGAAGCTCAACCATTTCATTATTAATTATGTCTTTTGGATAATTTTGCAATTGAAGCAAAAATGTAGTACTGGCCATCATTTTTAAAGACTCACCCCAAGAAGGTTTGGGACATAGATTAGGTACGTCAGGAATTACTGGACTAATTTTTCTCTGAAATAAAATTAGAACACAATCCATTATTCTCATAATGAGATGCGGAGGTCGCCCCAGTTTTCTCACAGTTGCAATATGAGCTGGTTTGATGGTATTCAAAGCAGCTTCAGCTTCTTCTAAAGCTGGTTTTGCAGCTTCTAATTTTTGCTCAGCTAAAGCTTTTTCTTCAGCAATACAAGCAACAAGAGCTTCAGCTTTTTCTTTTACTTTTTGAACCTGATTTTTAAAGGTCTCTGCTTGCATTGCTCGTTCTGTTACTTCAAGTAAAACAGTCTCTGCTTTTTGTGATGCTTGAACTAATTCTTGTTCCATCACAGCTAAATCTTTTTTCAACAATTCAACAGAAATTGAAGCCTCTTCTAGTTTAGCTAAACCAGTATCCATTCTTTTTGCTCCTTCACCAAGTTCATGCTGTTTCGAGCGATAAATATTTTTATATCCACCAATAAAATTAAGATAAGATTTAGGTGTGACATGTGTTGCTCTTCGAAACCTCTGAAAGTACTCTGTTGATGTTTCTGAGACAACGTCTTGAATCGATCCTAAAGCATTAACTAATTGGCTTTTTACTTCAGTACTACAAGCTATTTCAAAGTCATGAAGAAAGTGATCAGCTACGAGAACTAAAGCGTCTCGAGGCCAAGGTTGAAACCAATCAATTGTACACCCTGATATCAAAGCAGGGAATCTTTGAGCTCGATTACGGAACTTTTCTCCAACTGGAGAAAAACAAAAGACAACGTGTAAGTTTTGACATGTTCTTTGAAGGAAAAAATCCATTACTAATTCATTATTAATTGTTTTTTTTGGATTTTCTCGTTTTAATATCGGAGTAAGTTCAGAAATAATTTCTGCTTGTTCGTCACGAGTAAATAAATTACTGATTACTCCACTGCTTAAAATATTATTAAGATATTCTAAAAATCCTTCTTCTTTGATATCTAAGTCAGTGAAAATAAATGTAGTTCCTTTTCCCTGACTTCCACATGATCGATAGAGAAATTTTAAATCTTCCAAAAAATTTGCTGCATTATAGGATCGTGTCAGAGTGATTTGGAATGTTTTATAGCCTGCAATAAATGACGAAAGTTTTGTCAAACTTTGTTTCCCAGATCCTCCAACTCCAACAAGCATGACATTCCCTTTAGGATGCCTGATTACCCTTGATATTTTGACCAAATGTAGCATAGCATCGGGGAAAAATACCAAATCCATACCAGCACCTCTTTGCATTTCATTAAACTGTGCCAAAAACATTTCTAAGCGATCTCTCAATGTTTGATCATCAAATACTGGTTCATAAACCTTGGGTAACTCCATGTCAGCATCTTCTCCTTCTTCTCCAGTTGGTTCAGGAGCATCTCGCATGAAATCTACGAAAGCTGGGCTAGGTTTCATCATCTCTACATAAGATTCTCCTAAATGTTCTTTAACAACACTGATTATTTCTTCGTCAAACCATTTTTTATCAGATAACATTGTTAATCGATCGCTAAAAACTCTAGTACATTCGTGTTTCCATAATAACATTAAAACACTTTCTTTTTCAATAACTGTGGATAAAGTACCAATCATTCCTTGCCAAATTCGTGAAAGATCTCTTAAACTGAAAACATAATGGAATTTAGCTGGAGTTGGTAATAATTTAGCTCGAGTTCTTTGCCATAAAATTCTTGTTAATGGTACCATTTTCTTCACTAGCATTCTAACTTCACTTGAAAATCCTCTCTTTGTATTATAATGTCCTTCTCCAAGAACACTAAATATTTTATCAATTGCTGCATGATTTGGTAAAGTACAATTAAAAATACAAAATTGTCTTTTTAATCTTGAAGGAATATCATTTCTTCCTCCTCCAGGTTGACACATTGCTCCAAGGAATGTTACATCAGTAATTACTGTAAATTCTCCCGGTTTTTCCAATGAATAAAATCCTTTCATATCCATTGTTTGCCTTACTATTTCATTAGTTATTTGATCACCCCATTCATTGATTTGAGGTAAATTTATATCATCTACAAAAACTAACATTTTTTTACCACCTGGAGGACCAAAAGTATTACCCATCCGTTTTTCAACATAGCTCTCAATTGTTTTTTGAAATTGATAAGGTGTAGTAGCTGAAGAAAAATTGAATGATCTAGATAAGGTCGTGTCTGGATTTGTACCTTTCATGTACGCTTTCATCATGACAGTTTTTGCCGATCCTTGCTCTCCAATTAGCAAGACTGGTCGATCTTGACGACCAATTAAATCAATTAAAAATTGAATTCTTACATTATCAGGTATAGGAACCAAAATACTATTATAATCAGGTGTAGCATAATCTGGATAAGCATAATTAGTTACCATACTCGTCCAGGTGTCCCACTTGCCTTTATTATTTACAAAAAAGTCAAATACTGTTGCTTTGGGATATTTTTCAGATGTCGGCAAATCTAAATTAGTAAAATTCGTTCTTAAATGTTCATCAAATTTAAGTCGATCTGCTGTTTCGAGTAAAGCGCCAATACCCCAAATTAAAGCGAAGACGTATAATCTTTTCAAGTGATCTTCTGTCATGGGTTGAGGTTTATCTTTCTCAAACTCATCTTCTTCTTCAACTTCTTCAGGGGGAACTTCTGGTGGTACTAATCCTTCGAGTAGACATAGCATCTGTCGGATTATGTTGCATTGGAGAACTTTTATTGCTACGTTGAGAGTTTGAGTACCCCAGGCGTAAATTGTAGGAAATGATTCATCGAAAATTTTTTCAAGAACTTCTTGCTCGAGTGGAGTTCGAAATTTCAGCCAAGCTGTCACGACAGGTTTCCAATCAAGTCCTGAAGAGCTCATGTAAACCATTCCATTTCGTGATACTGTAGCAGGACTTGCATTATCAATATTGTGAGGTTCAAAAATTATTTTACATGTAGGAGCCATTCCTAAACGATCTCCATTAGCTAACGTCAAAGTCTTATTATCATCAAGTACTGAATTTAAGTTTTCAATCCAAATACTGTCAACTGGACCATCTAATACCAACCAAACATGTTCATCTTTCTTCAACTTTAAAGTCTTTCTCCAAAGTGCTGAAAATATTCCATCAGTCCAATCATTAGTGGCGACATCCAATCTTCCAAACATCTGAGCTGCTGTAATACTCTTTGGATTCATTCTCATTTCTTTATGGTTTTCACCTAATTGAGTTAAAGCTTTCATCAAAGTTTGAATACAAGTAGTTTTCCCAGCTCCTGCTGGTCCCAAAGTCATAATTCCATGTCTCACTCGTTGAGTTTCATATAATTGAATTAATTTTAATACCCAAGGCGGATGATAAACAAGTCCTGCTTCTTGAACTTGTTGATCTATTGCTGCTTCCAGTTCTGGGTATGATGTTTTCTCAAGTACTTGATTTGGAAACAAGTCTGCTACGAGAGAAATAAAAAGTGGTTCGTCTTCATCAATCAACTTTGAAAGATTCATATCTCGTAATACACGCATTACTATCGTGCTCTCCGAGTCTTTCGAATTAATTCTTTTAGCAGCACCCAGAGTTCTCAAAACTGATAGAATATTTCTTAAACCAAAATCATAATGCACTTGCTTTGTTAATTGTTCTTCACATAATTTATAAAGAGTATAGAATTTTCTTGCCAATGTAATGTTCTCCAAGAAACCACAGCTGGCTAATTTAACTCTAATGATTATTTGACGATCTGGTACCATCATAGCAACAGTTCTGAATTGAATTTTCAAATTTTCTGGAAGTTCTTTTCTTCCGGCATATCCTGGATTCATTGTAATAAAAATACCAAACTCCGGACACATTTCAGTCTGATCTCCATCAGTAAAAATGAATTCTTTCTTCTTTTCTTTCTTAGCAGCTAAAACGACAGCAATTTGCTGTGCGGCTACAGATAAAACCGGTAATTCTATACGATTGAACTCATCAAAGCATCCCCAACTTCCACTTTGTGCTAGACCTTTATAGATACGACCAAGTCCACGATAATCCATTTGATCTGAGCAATTAAATACAACGACGTATTTTGCTAATGTTTTCCCCATATCTTTTACTGTTTCTGTTTTCCCAGTTCCTGCGGGACCACATGGAGCTCCACCCATCGACATTGACATAGCTTGAGCTAATGTGATGTAGCATCTGAAGTAGAATTAAATTTGTTCAGAAAATTACTTCATATTTTTCAACAAAATATTAAATTATAGAAAAAATTTAATTGCACCTGTCAGTTAAAGGTGTAATTACAAGACGTTCAGTACATCCAAGATATTCATTTTGATATATAAACTGAACGTCTGTAATGAATATATTTGTCTTATCAAGATCTTCTTTGAAGTAAAAACGACATTGCTTCAGCCATTCAAAGTCTGTAACAGTTCTTACATTCAGTCGACACTGAAAAAAATGTAATAATTAGTTCTACGTCTAATAAAGAAATTTGTTAGAAATAATTAAATTTAAACATATAATTTGATTAATAATATATTTACCATCATGTCAAAAATATCTCGTTGATGAACATGAATTGTAATTAAAGTTTCAAATTTAATTCTATCAATTTTCGTAAGATCCCTTGTAGTCTGATCGATTAAAGTATTTAAGAGCTCTAAAAATCTATTATTGGTTTCTCCCATAATTTTTTTATCAGCCCGTGCTTGCATCAAAGCTATTTCTGCATCTCTTGTCCAAATCATTTGAATGCCGAGTAATCCAACTTGTGCTGGCATTTTTTCTAAGAATGATAATAAATTAAAATTCTGATCATTCATCATTGTATATGACTGTCGAATTATTGAATGTAAAGATTGTTGAGAAGTTTGAAGTAATTGAGTGAGCCACGTTTCAACAGATCCTTCAGCTCTGACAGCTCTTTCAAGCACAATGGTCTCTCCTTCTGACGAAATAATTGCAGTCATCTTATTGTATTCGATATCATGGAATTTAACATATCGAGTGTTGTCAAAAATGGACAATAAGTGGTTTTGAATAGTATGAGAATCAGAGGCTTGGCCGAGAATCTCTAAAAGTGCAGGATCTGATACGAAGAAAAATCTTGGGAACATCATTCGTTTTTTCTCAAGATAGCCACTTAAAGACTTTTGGCAAAGTTCTAATTGCTCATGAAGATGTGGTAATAACTGTTTCAGTAAATCATCTCCCACACAACAAGGAACTACTCCTGGAGTTTCATGAGCTCTTTGCATAATTTTCTGCCAACTTTTATCTATTTTACTAAATCTTTTGGCCTCCTTAGGTAACTGTTTGGCAATATCTCCACCCACAAATACAGCTTCTAAATACACCCACATATTCTGTACTAGCAACCAACGTTCAAGAATTTCATTAGTGTTTGACAAATCATTGAGCCACTGTTGTATTTGTTTTTTAAAAGGTGCATTGTATCGATTTGACATCAATGATCCTAAAATCATCAAACTGTCCTCAAGTTGTCCAATAGTTTCTGCTGTAGTATCACCACGAAGTAATAATTCACCTCTATTATTAAATGTCATGAACGTCAATTCATGTGATGACCATTCATTCACCACCTGACGCAATTTAGCTTCAATATCTTTTTCTTTCATTGCAGAAATGCAAATATCTTCAATGTCTTCTTTATATTTTAACAATGGTGCTTCTAAAATATTTTTCAAACAAAATCCTTCACTTTCAAGGTCAAATGTATGACTAGTTACTTCAACAATTCGTTGCCAATGACGAGGTTTCATGGCTTTATTAGCCATCAACTCAAGAAGAGGACACATGTCATTAAAATCATCAATTGTTTTTTTCAATGCATAAAATGCTGGCCACTCTTTAAGACCTTTTGGAAGTTTCCTACATCGATTTTGAAACTCCATTAATTCATTATTGATATCTTCGATATTCACCTCACCCCATGGTATGTCGTAATAGCTGCTAACTCGATCAATAACATCATTATAAAGCTTATACAATTTCTGCAGAAGATTAAGCTCTTTTCTGATTTGTGAAAGCTCCGGATAGTCAGTAATAGGCAGTCCAAATAATTCCTCTCCGCTTTGATATGTTTGCAATTTCCGCCACATTCCATCGAAGCGATTCTGAAAGAGAATTTGACGATCCGATGCTTCTCGAGGTGTAAGACCAGGCTGCATTGGTCCTGATACCTTATATTCTTCACAATAAGCTTCGTTATCAATTCGGAATTTCTCTAAATTATTTCGTAACTCTTCTTCGAACTGCGGCTGGAGAGTCAGCAGTAAAACGTGACTTTCTTGAGCTCTTGCCAACAGCTGCAGCCAAGTATATCTTAAGTTATCAACTTGTTCAAGACACTCTTGATCTACTGGAACTTCATAACGAGTTACGATGTTGAATGCTTCTTCTATTGGATCAATTCTCAACTCCATGTCCACCTCTTGCTCTCTTATCTTTTTTAAAGTATCCATTACTTGTCTTACGTCATCCAAATCACGAACTTGACGATCTAATTTCCGATCCATTTCGTGCATCACTGCGTACACATACTCCATTTCTCTTCGATATTTTTTCTTCATTGCCTGTCCTATTTTATGAGTTGAATCTAAAAATAAATAAATTATTAAATTCTGAAAAAAATATTCCAAGTTTTTTTGACAGAATAAGTTTGATGTATTATATTTACTTTTAATTTCTGTTGAAAGAGCATATTTGAGTTTCTCAGTACACAATGCTATAGATGATCCTAAGTAACACATATCTGATTCAGTAGCAAGTTTGTCCTCTAGTTCACTATGTTTTCTGAGAGTACTTTCAAACTCAGATAAAGTTGATGCTAACAGCTCACGCATACTTTTTTCATGTTTCCATAAATATTGATATGATTTCCATTGATCCAAAAAACTTGTAAGATCCTAGAAGTAATTTTAAAATTAGTATAAATAAAATTCAATTGAACTTTAATTGATTCACCTGACGAAGTTCTTGAGTACACGCACTTAATAATGATAAAACTTTTACAATTTCTTTATTTTCTATGACTAGGGAATGAAAGTTTCTTTGTTGAATCGGAAACGTTGGACGTTCATCAGAAGAACTTCTGTATAATCTTCTTCTTCGAATTTTAGGATCTTCTATTTCATCATCACGACGTTTGTCTGCATGAACTTGAGCTTTCATCACAACATCCATTAAATTTTTTTTTGGTGCCAAAGCAGTACCTTTCCAGTTGCTCTACTCAAAACAATTTATTTATCAAATGAATAAAAATTAACAGTAATAATACTTTCTTTCAATAAATATTTTTTTCTTACTTTATGAGCACCAGCATTCCACTGAGCTACTCCTTTAGCTACTCCAGCGATGGCTTTACCAACAGTAGTCAGAGCTTCTTGAACATCTTCAAGACTTGGTTTGACGACAACTGATGGTATCATTAAAGTAGCTTGTACTAAAAAAACTGGTCTTGGTAATACTTCAGGATCTATTTCTCTTACAAATCGTTTCCTTATCGCATCCAACGAACTCCGGGTGACTTTAATCAAAACATCTACAACCTTCCGAGAATAATAACGTCTCATTTCTGAGACAGCATTTCGGACCATCTCTTGCATATTTTTAGATAAACCACATCCAGTTGTCGTCAGAAGTTGATGGGGATCATCAAAACAAGCCCAAACAACTGACCAATCTTGTTGTTGTTGACCTGTATCACCTGTGGTACTTTGTGATGAAGATCCATTCCCGCCTCCTAAATCATATTCAGCCTCTCCGGTATTTTTAAAATTATCTGCAGCATTTTTTACAAGTTGAAGAACTTCCTCGACAGCTTCTTCCACCATCAGACTTCGTCTATGAAGATCAACAGCCGCGATTCTACAAGCTTCTTCATTTTTCTCTATAAATTCTTCGATACACCATGGCTCATCTTCTGGTAGTACATGAAGGGTAATTTTTTGCATTATAGCAAGTACTTGAAGAATTCTATTTGAGTATACATCATGTACTCTAGTTATTAGAATATCAAATGACTTTATTTCTTCACGAGTATTCTGACAAAACTCCTTCCATCCTGACTTAGTCCAAGTTAAAGTTTTTAATCCAGGGATTAAAAGTGATGCCACACGTACCAGATGTGGCAATAAAAGTGGTCGAACTTCTAATTTAACCCGTCTTGCAGTGGATAAAAATTCTTGAAGTACTAATTGTAAGGAATCATGCACTAGAGTAAAATGATCACGTTTTACGAGAATTGTGAGAGCTACGATTGGGATTTCTAACTTAAGTTTTGATAGGCAATCGGCTTCACGTAAGAGTAGAGTAATACGACCTTCAAGATTTACTTTGACTTTATTGGTTTCTGAATCAATAACCAAGAGAGGCCTGGAAACAAAAAGTTTTTAAATTATGTGGATTAAATAGATAAGATGATTCCAAGTTTCTACCTTTTTAAACAATCTTCAATAACCCATGAATTTTGATGGGTCCACACTTCAGCAATATCTGTTTGATATTGAAGTAATATAGTTACAACATGATTATACCTTTTGACTAAATCTGCAGTAAGTGGAAGAGTTCTTAACACTGGATGATTGGATACAGAGGTTGTCAGTTCATCTAAATGTACTCTGGAATTGAATTTTCATGACATTCATATTCAATTAAATTCAATAGCTACAAACAGATCATTAATATTCATAGAAATAACTTGTGCTTGTTAAGTAAAGACAAAAAATAAAAGACTAATAAAAAAATGAAATAATAAATTTAAATGCAAATATACTTGAGAGCATTCGCCCAAGTTAATCGACCGGCAATTGGAGGCATATGTCTTGGTAATGGAGGATCATCTCTTTGCTTTTTGAATAGCTTTAAAGTTCGCTCAACTTCCTTGTCACAGTATCTTACTACCATGTTATATTTTTCATCCAATTTAGTAAGTGGTATTTTTTCACTGACTTTTTCAAATCTAGTTAAAAAACGTATGCCTTGTGGAGTTTCCCAAACATCAGCATAATTTTTTTCTATTATTTCTCCAATATTTTCCTTTAATGCAATTGTTTTTGATATAAACACATCATAATCTTTATCAAATTCTGAATTTCGTGGATCCAAATAATCATATGATTTATTTATAGCAATTTTTTTTGCCTCTTCAAATGTTTTTGTTGCTTCTTCTAATGCTGCATAATTAAAATTATTTTGAAACAATGTTTTTTCTTAGTAATTATTAATAATTATTACCTTCTCCTAACAGTAATCCTTCCATTCTTCTTTCGAACAGCTTTTGATAATCATCAATCAAATCAAACATGGTCAAAATTTTTCTAATTCGCGCGCAAAAAGAATCGAATCTTCCAAAAACGTGAGTTTCAGAAAATGAAAATTCTTGTTCTGTCACTGCTGGTGAACATCGAACAAGTCTGTATGTTTCCCTATATGCTCTAAACAAGGAAAAAAATAATTATCTAAAAATTTTTAATCAATAATGAGTAAACTTGCTTATTTAGCCTCAAGCAGTGTTTCAATCTTGATCGTGCTGTAGGTCTGTCTAGACTCCAGACTGTTTCGCGACCTCTTTGAGTTACATAATCTCTACAAGCTACAATCATTTGATTGGTAATTTTAACCATCAGTGATGAAGTTCTTTCAGACGTGTTGTAATATCTTGATACGCTGTAAATCAATCGAACTGTTTGAAGAAGTGATACAAGAGATTCTCTCATCCTCACCTGTAAGAACATTGAATTAAGATTCGATACAAATAAAGAGATTAAATTAATTGAAAAACTAGTTACAGGATCATCTAGATAAAGACAGTGACAACACTTTTCCAATGCTTGAATAAATTTAGCATTATCTTTCGCTTCACTGTAACAATAGGTTACTTCATCTTCAACATCAACCCACTCTTTAATTAATTTTGAACGGGCAACTTGAAGACACAGCAATGACATTCGTACTTCGTGCTCCTAATAAGTAATTAATAGATAAATTAGATGTAAGATGAAACTTGTTAATGAATAAGTAACTCGATATACCTCAATCTTTGTTGCTAATTGACTGAATTGTGCTCCTCTTCTCTTCCAATATTCCAATTCTTGTTGAGGTCCTGATGAATCATTTTCTCTTCTAACTTGTTTACTCTCCAAAATAAAATCTTTGAGTTTTTTAATCCATAATTTAACTCGTTCTTCAATTTTATCAACCACTCCATCCTGTGACACTAGAGCTTTAGCTGTTTCGAAATTATTGACACTTTCCATCATCGTTTCACCATCATTAAAAATATTTCCTTCCAAAGCTACTTGCTCACAAACTAATAGAACAATTAATTTATATTAAAGTAAGAGGGAAAATTGTTTTTCATGGTTAAACAAAAGAATCTCACACCTTTTAAAGCACTACAAAATGATCTAAGACCAGGTAATAATAAACTCTTGATCATCGGGCAATCATCATCATCATCTCCAGCTGGATGTGCTAGAGCATCCATGAAAACTTGTTCTACAACTCTTTGAATCGAAGCAATTATACTCACTTTAGCAGTATCTATAACACCAGTGAATAAATCCTTTTGAAAACCTTCTTCAGGAAGTTGTTTGGACGTATTAATTCTACACAATATAAATGAACTAATTTTTCAAGAAATGTATTTATTCAATAAGTATTTCAATCAACTAATTATATACCGAAACATGTAAATGCAGACTCCAGAACATGGCACTTGCCATCCATCAGTTAGAAAGAGTTTTTTCTTAGGTTCTTCTTTGATTTCTTTTTGCTCTTTAACTTTATTTTGACTAGTATTTGCTCCAGCACCTCTTGATCCGCCTCCCTTTCCTATCTGTTAATAAAAAAGTCATTTATCATATTTAATCAACACCAACAGTTTTGTTGAAGTATATTAATTATTCATTTATTAAATATATCAAATGCTAATTTTTATTGTAATGATGAGAGGAAAGCAAAAAAAACAATACTATCTCAGTGGAACGATGGAGTTCTGGTTCTTCAACTGCTTGATAATACCAAACAAGAGTTGGTTTCATGTGTGGTAGGAAGAATTGATTAATGTCGTCAAGCATGTCTCCTTCAAAGACGTGGTCCATTACTTCATGACGTAGCAAACCGGTTCCATCCATCAGAAGCTGAAGAGCAAACTCCAATCTGGGGTCCATCTCCCCTCTTCTTGCTTTTCTTTCGCATTCTTCTCGTCGTTTCTAAATATAATTCAAGATTTTTTCATTAATCAATAAGTCATTGACGGATTAATATTACACAACAAAATAAAAATATATGCCTGTAGTGTTTCATCACTCAATTCATCATCACTAGCATCATCTGATAAATCTGACTTATCTTGAAACACTCGAGGACCCTGAACGAACATTCTGATATCTTTCACCGTAACTAAAGTCTCACTAGGGTGAAAATGGAAAGGTGCTTTTGAAGGTTCGAGTTCACAAACACCTTGGGGGTGAAAGGGTGGCTTCGAGAGACTTCGTGTCTGGTACCAACTTTAATATTACATCTTCTATCGCACTATGCCTTGTTTTCACACTCACATCAATAACTCAGTCAATGTAAGTCAAACAGTCAACAAAAGCAATATGTCATTACTTCAAAGTGCAAATCTCAATACTTATACCAACCAATAATTTTTTAATTTAAACAATCAAACTTTATTATTTAACTTTAAATAATTATGATAATAAAAAAGAGGCTGGAGGTGATTGGTTTATTTATATCACCAACTTCTTATTTGATACCCTTGAGAACTAAAGATCTCTGTACCTATCTCATATTCGAATTATTCAAGTTTTTTTATAATTAAAAAAAAACCAGCTGAATTTAATTTTCTAGTATTTTTTTTTCTATAAAAAAAAATCAGCTACTTGATGTAATTATTTATTGCATGAAATTGGTCCAGAGTTGATATCATTTTTTGTTTTCGAGTTGGACCCATTACAGTACTTTCAAATTGGAAAGTCAATAATTATTATAATAACAATGATAGTAAGTGTGCTATTTTCCTTTAATGTAAATAATTATCAAACTGTTTATAACGATAATCGTTAATGTTATTAAAAACTAAATTATTATTGCGATAAGACCTGTTGCATAGTCGAGACCATTAACTGTTAGCTATGGACAACATTCGTGATGATTTTATCGTGCTCTTACAAGTCTTTCTTCCAACAAACCACGCACATATAAATATAGTTTTATTACTCAATACTTATAATTTATTGTACCCTATAAAAATATTCAATTCATGAGAGAATATAATTTAGTTTACCGTCATTCATTTAAATACCTCATTTATTATACAGAAATGAAAACAATAAATTACTGTTATTATAAAAAAATTAATTATTTATTCATTCCTACTTAATAATTTATATGAAAAAATAATAGTATTTTAGATTTGAAAAAAAATCAATAAAACATTTTTAGCGTTATTTTAAACTGAAATCAACTACGTGATACATAGATAATATGATAAATGCAAATTATCGACAATACAGCTGTATACAATAAACAAAAAAAAATGTGACAGACCAATTGGTCAGATAATCAAAGTTATGAATTAATGATTGCATTTATTATTTATTGTATTAAAGAATTGCACGATATGCAAATCCAATAGCTTCGACATATGATTAATTCAACCCAAACACAACTTGGTGGAAAAGATTGATAAGATCATTGGGGGGCTTTCAACTTTTACTTAGCGCTGCATACATTCAATGGCTCAATAGCTAATCGGATTTCATAATTGCTAAACTACATGATCCAAGACAGCAAATGATTTACAAGACCACATTAGTCACGCACAAACAAGTTTGATTTTATCATAATTTTTCAAAATATCATTACAATAATCATAATGGGATATTGCGTTAATTCGGTTAATGGTGGTACCACTTATTAGAATTGATTTTATCTGACTATTCGTGTGGGAAGATCCTTTTTCCATTTGTTTCAATTCTATCTAATGTTTATTTATTTTTTTAAATCTAAGACTAGATATTTTTTGCTTACTCTAGCTTCATCCTCGGATGTGGAGTCTGCCATAATTTTTGGATTATGATTTCATCAAGGTCCACAGTTTTCATGAAGGTTGATGGATACCAGGATATTTGGAGCACTCAATATCAACTTGGCCATCCAATAAGCTTTATAATGCGACAATAACTGATTTCAATTTCTTCTTAAAGGCATACTTCTACCCTTGATTCCCCGCCACTCGTTTTCTTAGACATGCTCATTCTACATGAAGTCGTATGCTAATAGTCTGAAAATATTTCCATGATGGTTCCCAACTCTCGATATAAAACATTGATCGAATCCTTGAAGCTTAAATCATATGATGATACATAAAAAATGAAAGATCCTATAAAAGATAGTAGTATCCAATTTTCTTTATGTACTTATTTTTAGTGAAATTGTAAATAATATAAGATATTCAAATCAAGTATGCTGTATTAGACATAAAATAATTCAAGTATTATAGTCCAACATTATCAAAAAAAAATGAGAACAGTTATAAAAGAACCAATAAAAAAGTTTGTTGAAAAAATATAGCAAAAGTGGGGATAATTCTCTGGAGTAATTATCGGTATTCGTGCAGCAATATTTGAAGATTATTCAGGTTTGTAATATCGACTCATGACTGCTCTTCTTATAAAGTAGTACCAGTCCGTAACAGGTCAGACACTATACTACACTGTCTCATATACATTGGATGGTTATAAAACCTACTTAGAATATTTTTTTGTTGCATTAAAAATGATGGCATGATATTAAATAGGTAAGCTGATTAGAAAGTTGACAGAAAAATAATTTAGGTACAAAAATAAAGTTAAATACATAATGAGATAAATAAAAATAAGGGTATAGAAATGCATGGAATGCACGACAAATGAGAATAAAGTTGCGAATCTACGCTTTTATTATTTATTATTTATATAGAATTCGTGCTAAATCTAATTAGTCTAAGACAAATTTTTTAATACCGTATTATTCTTTTAAATTTTTATTGTTATCAGTATAATTAAATAATTGTTATTAATTAATTAAATTATCCCTGTAGCTTCTGAACAGCCTCAAAATTTTGTTTTAAAATAATTCCTAATATTTTCTATAATTTACATATTTCTATCATTATCTAGTTGAAATCATATAAACAATGAAGTATCTTACAAAACTAGTATAAAATTAGTGGCTAGGTACAAAAATTTAAGGGAGTTTTCCAATCCGGAGGCTGAGAAACTGCCAGGAATTATTTCTCTCTCGATTTTATTATAATTTTAACATTATTATAATCTCAAATCTTTTTAAATTTTTCTTTTTTTTTCTTTTTTTTAATGTATTTATATAAGTTTTTATTATTTTTTACACCCTCCGGCTCTCAGCAGAATTTTTTTTAGAAATTTTGCTATTTAATACACACATCACTGAGAAATTTAATACTGCTATGTTTGGCAACATGACAGAGACTTTAATAAAATCGATAATCGTTGTTTTATCTATACTTTAGTCTGTTGAAATTATTTCAGTAAAATATGTTCAATGAAAGAATCCAAACAATTTTTAAAAAATAAACAATTGGTTGAGCGAAAACATTGATTTCTATTCTACTGAATATTTTGAAATACTTTCTTCTTCGTTTCTTAAATTTATTATCATATCTAATAAAAATTAATTTTATTCTTTTATCAATTAATTTCTAAGTTTTTTTCATTTAAAACTTGAAAGATTAATTTTTTCTTTTTATAATTAACTTCATTCAATAAATAAAATTGAACATAACATGTGATGAATTTCTAAAAAATTATTTTCAAAAACTTATTTACTTATTTATACACCTATATATTTTTGTTTATAATTATTATAACATTATTTACACGATTGATTTTATTATTAATATCTACCAATACACTTATAATATTTTTTCTATTTTTTTTTTTTACATTTTCTATAATTGCATCGACAATAAAATCACGAACCTTGATGACAAGTGGCAGTCCTGCTGCTTCCACTTCTAGTATTTATAACTAAAAAACTTAGATTTTTTATACTGCTTTTGAATTTTTGTTATATTTTTGAACCGATTATGAGTAACTCCGGCAAATTTTAATGAATATTCATGCTTAAAAAGTTTTATGAAGGATTTAAAGTGGCATCAAAATAATCGAGGCCTGCTTTAGAAAATCAATATTGTCTTTCCTCCTGAATAAATTCGGTCCAGTGGAAAAAAAATTGAAAGCCGGAGAGTGTTATTAAGGTCATTTGTTCTCTTCTCAATTTTCATACTCCCATCAATTAGTTATTTTATGAATTTTTTATTATTAAAATAATATTAATACTTTATTGTTTAGAATAACGAACAAAAATTACTAGAGTCTTACAACTCTTGATTGCGCTACGCTTTAGCTGCCAGTTATACCATTAAATATTTTCATTTATTACGTCATATTAGATAATCAAAAATGACTGCGACGTAGTAAAATATCGTCTGTTGCTCGGCTTCTTTCTTATACAATCTCTTACATGGAAGTTTTTATATGTATTCCGATTAACATTTGCGTCATGTAATCACTTAAAATCCTCTGTGAATACATGAAACATTTCTTCATATTTCTAATAGAATTTATTTATTTTTACAAAACTTAACAGCTTAGATTTAAAATTAATATTAAACATTTTTTATGAATTTAACAAAATTTATAATTATCAACAGATTCTTATTATTGCATTGTATTGATAATTTATCACAAAAGTCGAGCAACAGATGACGGTAAATGCAACATAATGAGCTAAACATGCTCTCAATAAATGTATGTTTAACTATCGTTTAAATGATTTTAGATGTAAAGATTGAAATTTTATTGATATTTCATTTCATGAAGCAATTTTTTTCCACGAGAATAAAGTACTCTCAAATATAGTTGATCGTGTTATTATTAGAATAAAAGTTAAAAGCGTATTAGAAAAAGCATTCTAGAATTATTATAAACACGATCAATAGAGCGAAACTGGTGTTTTGTAATTAATTAACTCGCATTTGTTTTTAATTTTAATGCCACATCTGCATTACGTGACATTCGCACTGGCAATTCACATTAATAAACTATTATTTTAATTATCAATTAAATTTTTTTTTGAGTTGTTTTTAGCCTTCTACGACATTTATTGAGCGTGTTCCTATGATGTAAATAGACAACGATTATTGAACATTTGCTTTCAATTTTTGTTTCTTTATTATCTTTTGTTCTTGAATTTTGTTTTTTTTTTTTTATTTATTCACACTGTTACCTATTCGCACGCGCACTTTTCGGTCATCACGCTGATCAAATTCAATTAATAGATCCTAATTTGAGCGAAGCGAGATTATCTTAAGATTAATTTACAGTTAAATGACAAAATCGGTCTAGACCTCGCGCAAACTAATTCCATCTACTTATTATTCTTTTTCAAAAATGGAATATTTTTTTTTTTTTTTTTTTTTTTTAAAAACAATTTAACATTGAAATATATATTTTTTGATTTAAGATATCTTAATTGAAAAATCTATGCAAAAATAACTAAATTTGCTTTCTAATTTATAGAGTAGTTTTTATTGAATTAAGTTTAGTCGTTTGAATGAGCGTGAAGTCGACCGATGATTAAAGAAAGCAGCGATGCACTAGGAATGCGCGCACGAGGATACGGTGATAGATTTAATCATCATCATCAAGGCCTAGAAGCTCTGGTGGTAGTCTCCTGTGACGACAACACAATGTGAGACATAATACTCGAGCAGCCAGACGAAATTGTGGACTCAAAGTCCCAAGGACAACTGCTTTCCAGAATGAATTTGTTACACCAAACCATACAACAGCAAACTGAAGAAATGGAACCTTTGGAGATGCAAAAAATCATTCATATTATTATCTTAAAATTCAATTAATTTTAATTTGATAGTAGAGAAATAAAAAATAAACCAATATTGATTTATGTATAAAAAATTACCTGAGGTGGTCCATTGAAACTGGCATAAATCCTGAGGCCAGCATAAGGAGCCCATGACATCCAGAATGCCATTACCAGCACAAAGGACATGATGTGACTGGGATTAGAGAGATTCTCTGATAAAGCAGTCGCATACTCCTTGTCATGAATAGGTACACCCGACCTTAGTCTTCTCATCATCGAAAATATGTAACAGTAGGTGTAAACGATGGTGATTACCGAAGGACCAAGTACAAGAATTGACAGGGTTATGGTATAGGCTGCCATGTTGCCCCAATCTAGCATACAAATAAAAGCCTCACGATCGAAAATTGGCTTGTTGAAGCCAAGCAGTGGTGGACAACACATCATGGCTACACTTATCCATGTGAAAGCCATCCAACATTGACAACGAGTCTTTGTTTGTACAGTTTCGTAACGCAGAGGTTTTCTGAGAAACAAAAAGATGTATGATAATAAGTTTAATTATCAATTGGTAATTTGATAAATTAGTGAATAAAGGAATGTTAATAAGGTTGATTAATATTACCTGATAGCTAAATAGCGATCGACGGAGATCCACATGAAAGTGTAAACAGATACAGCCAAAAGAGTGACCTCCAAATAGCCGACGAGCCGGCAGACAATATCTCCGTAGACCCATCTTCTTACTAAAGCTGGATACACAGAGAGTGGGACGACTAGCAGACCACAGAGTAAGTCTGCTGTCGCTAATGACAGCAAGTAGTAATTTATCACCTCGGAGGGACCTTAACAGAAAACCAATCATTAATAAAAATTTTTTTTCCTAAATATTAGATATAACATCAGAGAAATGTAATTAACTCTAAATTGAAAATGAATCATCCTTTAGAGTTATATGAGTAATTTGAATTTTATTCATTTCTTCAGTAATTGATTTATCTTTACTTAGAAAATTATAAAAATAAGTTCAAAGGAATTTTTCTTTTTTTTTCAATCTTTCTATAAAGAAAAAAATAATAATTATCATCAAATTTTTTATCTTAAGACTTCTGCTTTGATAAGGATTCGTATCAAAGAGTATAAAAAAAGAATGAAATAATGAAATTGTTGTAACATTTACCACGGAAGTTGAGATAAGTGGCAATGATAAGAAGATTCGAGAGGATAATGGCGACGCCGACGACGAAGATGAGGCCCGCCTGCATAAGAGCCTCCACCGAGGGCTCGTCCATGCCGCCACCCCTTCTCGCTGCATCCCCCCTCGCAACCTTAGATTACTTAGCCCTTCACCCTGACTCTTTTTAACCTCCACTCACACTTCAGGACCACCACTTCTTCTTAAATCTTCTCAGAATTCTTTTGTTCTGTTCTCCAGCTAAATCAGGATCCACTACTTCTTGATGTCCAAAATTCCCCGTCGTTCCTACACCACTATAGCAGTCCAATATTGCCTTCTTCTTAATTCCTCTAGTGTCATCCACCTTAATAATTCACTGCAATAAACATTTGAATAATTAGAGATTTTTTCTTCTGATATGTGACATGTACTCATTTATTTCAAGAAGTCATTCATAAAAAAAAAGTACACATGTAATTTTCATTCATCTCTTTAATATACGTGACATTTTTATCTTGATGAAAGTAACGCGAAAGCTATTTTACATTAGTATTAGAATGAGGTGAGCAAAATTATAATAATGGTAATGTAAACTTTCTAAAAATACTATTTTTTAAAATAATACATTATTATTAATTAATTTTAAATGTTAAAAAAAAATAATAATAATAATAATAATTTATAAAAAAAAAATATTCGTGTAACAAAATGCAATTTGTAAAAGATAAATTGATTGAACAACAATTTTAATTGCATTTTACACTATTTCTATCATGAGAATAAAAACTTTAATTGCATGAGTAAAATTGCTCAATTACCCAATCAGAAACCACTGACACATGATTTATTAATCGTTGATCGAAATCAGAAAGCTTCCGTGTAAAAATACATATGAAATAAAATATGCATTATTACAATAAATATCACTAAGAGAAATGAAATAGTTGAATTTACTATTATATTTTAATTTTCTATTCAATATTGCATAAATTTCTTCATAGTAAAAAAAAAAGTGGAATTAACTATAAGCTGTCAAATAAAAAATAGATATATAATAATAAATCAAATAATTTCAATTTTTTTTCAATTTAATAAATGTTATTATCAACAATAAAATAAAGAAAAAATGTTTAATGATAATTAAATGATACCATGTCGATGCACAATAGTAAAGCAGCATGGTAGCTATGTTCGAAAGTAATTGTGGAGTCGTTAAGTAAATCTTGCCGCATGGACATGCGATACTATGGAGTCAGTTACATGAAAAGCGGATTACGGAAGCCCCTTGTAAACCAGAAGATTATAGAGTTATATTTCTTTACCACCTAACACCCTTCTATTGATATATTATACTATGGATAATTATACATGATAACAAATACCTTATCATGTATTGTTTTTTCTTGAAAAATTGCCTTGAAAGTTGTTGGTGAAATATCGATCAAATTTTATTTATTTATGTCTAACTAAGAATGTGTTGACCTACACTCTGGCGTGGGAATCTGTCAAGGAAATCGAAAGTTTTACAACTAGAATACACTCCTATATTTCCTTCGTTTTCTTTAATTATTTTAAGATTCCTCGAATGAGATTGCGTTGTTCAACCAATTTATTACACTGTTTTTTTTTCAAATTAAAATAATAAACAAAATAGTAAAATTGTTTCAAGAAATTGCTAATAATCTCTAATATTATTTAAGCTCGTGACCCTGCACTCTCACCACTTACAATTGCCTGTTCTAAATAAATTATATAGTTTAGAAGAGAAAATAAATAATTGTTTATTCATTTTCAAGAAAGACTCAAGTGATTAAAAATAATTGACCAATTTTAAAGTTTATTTAATCAAGAGCTGATAAAAAAAATTAAGTTGAATAAAAATGTAAAGAAAAATTAATTTTAATTATCAACAAATGAATGAAAATATTTTTTAATTAACTCTAAACAATATTTTAATATTAATAGACAAAAAAAAAAGACTGAAATTAAATTTTTCAGTTTACAGCATCCCTAAAAGCTCCATATCTCCCTACTACAAACCACTGCCATCTTTGATGCCCGCGTTTTGTCTCACGTACCTTTTAACCCTCATACTGAGCTTGCACGTTGCCAATTTGCAAAAAATTTCGCAAATATTAAATTAATTTAATCACCAAAATGATAACAACATCACTTGTATAATAAGTTCAGTAATGATTTAAGCGTATATTTAAATGGTATTAGATGGGGAAAAAAATCAAGTCTAACAAGATGAAAATAATTGGAAATATTTTCCCGCGAAGAACGCGGCTGACTAGCTTTGGTTTTACTACTGACTCAGGCACTCTCGCTCACTGCCGTGGCCCGGGCGCCTAGGTATCGATACACCACCAACAACGCTTGCGCGAAATCAACCCCCGTCGACATTCTGACCACCTTCTATTCTCTTGGGGTGGCGCATTCGCCGTGACCGTGCACGAGTAATATATCCCCTCTCACATCTCGCTACCAAAGTACGATACCAACTGACGGCGATTTTCCTATCGAATTTATAACCCACTATTGTTTTTTATATTTTTTTATTTGTTAGATATACTGGAGTTGCTTACATAAACAACATTCATAATAAAGATAAAGAAAAAGATGTTACCAAAAAAAAAAAATATTTATTGATAATTAATGTTTTCAATATCATAACTATTGACTCTATTGAAAAAATAATTTTGTTCAGAAAGATTTAATTAAATTATCAATTTAACTTCCACTGGAAGTATTTAATTAAAATTCCAGTTTAATTTTTTTGATAATCAAAAAATAATGATATAACAATCAACATGTATTTTATTTATCATTTATCAAATCAGATATTTTATTTCTTTAGCTCTTTTTAAATGGTATTATTATAAACCCACCCCATTTATTAATTTAAGACCACTTTTTTTTTATCAAAGGGAAATAGAATGAGTTTTGATAATAAACTGAATGACTTTGTTTTATATTTATAGTATTGACCAAAAATTAATCGAAAAAGTTAAGTGTGTTGGATATAATGTAATTGTTATAAAATATTATCAAGTTTTCCACTACTTTATTCAACTATAACATTTATGTAGAAAATTACAGAGCGTGACATCATTCAATCAAGCTTAAAAGGCTGAAAAATAATCTCTTCCTTGTTGTACATTCAAGACCTCCTGTTTCTTTTCATGAACTTTGATGACTTAATTAAAGTTTCTTAAGGAAAATCACCCATGGTGTTAGTGCTGATAGACATTTAATGAATTGTGTTAAACAAAATTACCAGGTTTTTTTTTGTCTGATTATAATCAAAGTTTGATAATAAACATCTAAAGTTCACACTTACAAGGTGAACAAGGCTTTCTATTTGGCAAAGATTGATCGTTATTGAAACATGAATCAATGCTCACTCACCTGAATCAAATTTGGCACAGTTACGTTTCATTCAACTTCTATGACGATACTACATTTCCACACATATATACTCATAATGTTCTGATTATGTTCATTCTCAAACCTTCCTGCAGCATTATATTCCCTTAAATTGGTACATCATTGATAAGAAACTTCTAGGACACCATTGTTTGACTAATAATAGTAATATAATAGCATCTCCAAGAAAGCTTTGAAATCATTATTTTTAATATGACAAAAAAAAACTTTTAAATTTGTCTGTATAAAAGTGAATGTGTACTTTGTTTAAAGACAACAACCTAGAATAAAGGATATAAATAAATCCAAGTGTTTACTGATCATTTTTCTTCTAGAAAAAAAGTCAGGTGCTAATGACACTGATCAATAGGAGATTTATTGAATTCTGCTGAATAATCATAAGTAAGCAGGAAGAGAAGGTGTTTTTAGAGTAAGAAAAAACAACTTAAAAAATGAAAATTAAATTTATCATAGTCATTCTTTTAGTTATCATTCACTCAATTTGTTTTTTGTCAGACAAATAATTCATTCATTAAACTAATAGACTACTGATAGACTGAAAAACAAGATTCATTCTATAGTATATCATATAAATAAATTTTAAATATTTAAAAACTTTTTTTCAATATAAATATTTTTTATTAACAATCATCAAATCTCCATCAAATAAATATAAAACAATATTGATAGATGACATGACATATCATACATTCTTGTAATATAATTTTATCAAAGTTTATTAAGTCATTTTGTTCAATTTAATTACTCATTAATTCTTTAAACTCATTTAATCTGTGTTGATTGGTTCTAAACTACTATATTTTATAATATTTTTATATACAGCCAAGTTTTATTTAATATTTCTTACCTTTTTTATGAATTAAATTTTGACATTTGATGCTTGATAAAATTTATTAACAACTATTAACAAATCTTCATTTAGCTTAAGAAATGATCTTTAAATGAATCATTTAATTGAACATAAAACATCCCAACAGATATCTTTTTTTTATTAAGCCAGTGGAAACCTCAACTGTCATTTATTGTAGCTCCAAAAAAATCTTACAATAATTGTTCTAAAAACCATTTACCATCTATTAAACAGATATTTACTATCAACTATTGATGGATTTTATTTGAAAGGAACTAAATCCTAAAATCAGTGTAAACAAATTTGTTTGCTATCAAGAAGAAAAATGGTTCATTGGTTTCTCAACAAACAGAGTAAAGAAAAGAAGTGAACTCTTCAGCAACAACACACATTCAAGTGCAATTACTGAAGAATATTCCAGTCGCGTAGAAAACTTAAGAAAAGTTAGAAAACGTTTACAATAGTGTAAAGCATTCAAGAAAAGAATAGGAGAAGCAACGACGAAGAAGGGGTTGTCCTAGACCCTTCGAACGCACGCGATGCTTATTGATCTAGCTAGACGGGGCAAGAGAGGACAGTTGTGTGAGGAGTGCACATAAGAGGGTCGAAAATGGCGCCAGGCTTCCTCAGTGTTATCCTCAACGTCTGTTTGATCTACGATACCAACGGAATCATAAAAGAGGTATGAGTTGAGACTACGAAGGTCTTTATCAATCGGCTTTGCGAGTCAGATTGAAAGTAGGTTGAGGACGCGATGTTCAGTCAGTAGATAATCGCAATTCACAACTCGATGTCTTCTTCAATCTATCTTACTTCTTACTCATTCAATTTTCTTGAAAAAACTCATCTTGAAACTCGATGACAACTGTGATATACGCATGGAATTGAAAAATAGAAAATTATTCAGAGATATAAATGTAACTGGATTTTCATCAGAACTTGATACTCAACGTATTAGAATATTATGTCATTTTTTCATTTTATTTTTAATGAAATTTTTTACTGAAATGAGATGTTGTTAAAATAAAGTCAATTTAAAGAAGGAATAAAAATAAATGAGAAAAAAATAAGTTTAATCATAAATTTACTGGAATAATAATAAAATAATACGATTTTTTTGAATAATTAAAATAAAGGATCATTATTTTCAGCTTCATTAAGTGAAAAATGATAATATGTAATTAAATAGAATCCAAAGAATAATTAATTACTCTTGAGGAGAAAGGAAATTTACTAGGCCCACACAACTTTAGCTCTAACGATTTTAGGATAGCTATATTTAACGTGATATTATTCTACATGAAGAGAAAGAGAAATATATATATATATATTCTATAGAAAGCAAATTCTAAAAGCTTTTATATGATACGACTATATCTTCTAAATTATACCAAGGCTTAAGTTTGGTGAAAAAAGGGAATTGTCTTTTGAAGCAGAACCCTATTGTTATGGAAATAGCTAAATGATTGATTTGTCAGTAGACAGAAAACTATTTGTAAAAGCTTGAAAGCATTAAAACAAGTTTTATTTCAAGTTGATATAATATTATGTAATGATAATACGTAATTATGAAAAGTTTTTTCATGTTTTTAATCCTCAGCTACTTAAAATGCATCAAAGCTTTGATGAGTTTTTAAATGGACTACTTAACCAAATGATTTAATTTTTTTAATCTTCTTTTGAAACTGTAAATATATAAAATTAAATTGTAGATATAAAATAAAATGAATAATCGAAAGATAAAATTTACATTGAGAGAGGGACTTTATTTGGGTATTGTCCATAAACTCGACCACTTCTAGTTACTCTGTAATAAATTTCCTCAATTGTTTCAATCATATCATCATGATTGGACACATGAGGTCCATCACCAGAACATAATTGAGGTGTATACAATGGTTTCTTCTGACGTTTGACATCTAGACCGTACTTAGGATGTAAGATAAGGCTAACGTGTTTATCAGTCTTTGGAGAAGTCATTGGAGTTTCCATTAGTTTTGGTAATGATTGGACTGGGGCATGTAATCTTTTGAGAAATCGCAAAGGTGACATCACACGAATGGTCTTGAGTAATCGACGGCGGAAACCCCAAAGTAAAACAACTGTTGTCAGCCAGGCAAACCAAGAAGTGGCTTTAGGACGTGGGGTTGGCTCTCGTGACCAGAGAAATAACATCTATTTTATTTAATTGATTATCCAATTAATTCATTAAATCATTTATAGAAATACTATAAGTTAATTAGCTTAAGATATTTTGAGATAATAAATAAAAACCTATTAACTATGATCTAATAATAAAACTTTTTCAGCAAATTCAATTTATTCTGACCTTATGGATCCACTTTCTAAGATACTTTTGGAAACCAAATCGTTGGTAATTGGGTAGAAACGCAGAATAGACGTAAATAAGAAGGATTAATTATTGATTGAGATTAGAGGTATGCTCTGAAGAATGAATTAAATTTTTGTTACTTTCAACGTCATCAGTTGGTGGTGATCCTGTTATAGTTCAATTGTAGAGAGCACACGTTTTATTGATAAATGATTTAACTACTTATGTTCTGCGATTAACTCTTGATATTTTTCATTCAATATAAACAAGAATTTATGTATTATTTTTCACAAACATGCTTCATAAAAAATTAATTAAAAAACAGTAAAAATAAAATACAAAACTAAATAATTTTGACAACTGTCTGACGTTAGTCAAATGTTGAATTGCTTTGTTCTCTTGACCATTCTATTAAGCAAAAATAATATCACTTTTAAATATTTTTTTTACCAATAAATTGTTTTTATTTTTGAAATTGGAAGGAAAATAATTGTTTTATATTATATAACAGAGAAAAAAATGTATAAGAGATGGATGTATGAGGTTGTTCGAAGTAAATTAAATTGTTTGCAGGTGTTCAAACACGCTTAAGCTCTTTTCTACTTTAGATTTACCATCAAGTAAACCCCCAATCCCTAAACGTCACAGGTTCGTCGTGTAAGTAGGTCAGAACCTGGATATATACATGGTCTGTAAGAGCTTCATTTCTATCTATCTTGCTCTCACTCTGTTCACTTTCTTCATCTCACCCCTAGACCATTTCCATCAGCCCTCCCGAGGTCATCTAGTTGCAAGAAAAAGCTAGCTTTTTGCTCTACTTTTTCCCCCCTTTTATTCCATTGAATTCAAAGAAATTGCGCTTTTTTGTCATTAATTCAAAATGAATAATTTATATCAATCTACTTCTTTTCATTGCATCTATCACTCAACAATTCATGAATTAACATTTAAAATGTTCAATTCATTTACTGATACCAGTAGTTTGCCAAGATCGCGTGTACCAACATTGATCTTTCGAGTTGGCAAACTTAACAGTGCATCCCTGACCTTGACATTCAAGGATAATACAGAGTAGTTGTCTAAAGTTCATTCTTTTCGACAAAACAAGTATGTACATTTTTCACTCTCTAGTGGATATACTAAGAGAAAAATTTACTTTACGACATTCAGAGAAAGTTTAATAATAGCATTAATCAAATAAAAATAAATCTAATAAACATTTTTAATTGACTTGATGAGGTTATTAAAACTCATAATAAAAATTTTAATTAATTTCTCTAACCAAAGAAAACTTTGATAATTGGAAAAATTGTAAAAAATAATTTCAAACATTTTTTTGTTGGAGATAGTTCACAAACTAATTTCCTTATGAAGCAATTTATATCTACTCAATAAATGAGGAAGTAAGGGGGTGAATAATATCCCTAGTATTTTCCGTTCATCGAAGAGATTTATGGCTTTCAATCCAGTAGCACAGATAGAAGTGTTCTATAAAAAATCTCTATCTACAATTTTTTTTCCTCTTTTAGATTTCCACCTAAATCTATTGTAATCTGAATATTAATTCTATTTTATTGCTTTTATTTTGAACAAAAAATCCTACGGTTTGATGATTCATATCAAGGTGATGGATTGAACAAAAAAACAGAATTATTTGTAGGTAAAATTGTCGGAAAGCAATTTACTAAGAACGTGATTGACCTGTGACCCATTGTAACACTCGATAAATCCAGTCACCACTTGGAGATAATATCTAGACAGTTCGTGGTACGGAATAATGAGAATCGATTCTTATACAACCTTAGGAACATCATTGAAAAAGCACCGAGACTGCTGGCGACGTGACCCCGAGAGTACATTGAAGATCTCTTTGTTGAGGAAATTGTCTTTCTCTCTCTCTTATTTGATGATAAGTATCTATTGCCTATCTTGAGAATTCGAAGGAACTCTCCAATGTGTCTATAGGCGATCACAAAATCTTGCTTCTAGCACATGGAATTAAATTCTTCGACCTACACGTTGTTGCTGAAAGAAGCATTTTACACTTGGTTAGACATTTATCAAGATACATGACACGATATAGCGGATTATTGAATTCATTTAAATAAAATTCCTAACCGAGACATGTTTTTCCAATCGATTGAGTTCACTGTTCTTAATTAATTTGTTGACGTTTGCAAAATTTACTAAATTATATTTTATATCGATCCCCGCAATTAATTGAATAAACATTTGAAATTTAATGAAGTCATTGAATACATAGATTTATATTTTTAGCTTTCATAAATGAGAGAATCATCAATATGTTATTTAGCAGGAAAAAAGGTATAAACATGCTACATAAGTACTTCAATTGATAAATAATCTTGGGTAGATAATTTTGGCTTTTCTTAATTTATTGATACTTCGGAGTAACCATTAATATCCATGTTTATGATTCGTTAAATTTGCAATGAAGGAAGAAAGCAAAAGAATCAAAAGCTTTATCTTTGACGTGGTCGTGGGCATTATATGAGTATGATACTGGTTTTACAGCTATTTTATTTTCAAACATGCGTGCAAAACTTTCATGACTCACAGTATATAATACCATATACATCAGTACCTAAAGCATGACACCTTTATCATACTCAAAGATACAAAACAGTTACTGTCAGTAGACTGGAGAAACGCTTGGGTGCATTGTCCTGTCGACTCAACAGCAAATAAACTCATTCAAGGATATATGAACATATAGTTGCATGACAAGTATCTATCGAAGTGTAAAATAGAAGCCATCAGATTATTTTCAGTTTCTTTATCCTATATACACTTTGACGCCAGAAAGTCATAACAACAAATCAGAAATCAATTGTCACTGACAACATATATATATAAAAATATCAGGTAAAAGCGTAAAGATATATATTTTTCTCTTAAGCGATTCTTGAATGTTCAAGGATGAAGATAGTCAAAGCCCAGAGTCGGTTCCTACAACCGCCACTGAACCCCAACCACAATAAGAAAACTATAGAGAATCGTGAAGCAGGAGATCAGGAAAGAAAGAGATAAAAAAAGGTCCAGAGCAGGAGAATGAATGCAAGAGAGAAAAGTAGAAGTAAAGAACTGCCAGAGTTCCAAGATTACATTGGTGGGGAGTAGAACCAACAACTCAAGCACGTGGAGACTCAACTCTTTCGTGTCTTTCGTTTCAGTAGTGTTTCTACTGCCTTCGGACAATTTTCTCTCCTCTATTTATCACATCCAATCTCGTTTATTTAACATCAATTATTCAAATGATCTTTAAGGATTAAGGATTAATATGACCATGTGACTTTGAACATCAGTTATAATTATTAAACTATCAACATGTACATCACTATCAGAAGCTACATAGCAGTCTTAACAAGTTTAATATACATTATCTCAGTGACTTTGAACTTCAGTGTAAGTGCTACTGGTTTACAACAATCCAACAATCAGGATTCTGATCCACAGAACAATCATCGTACTAATTGGCCCCTTTGGCATCGGCATCAAGGCAGAAGATCATTCCATCATTCTCGAGTGCATGAATCACCTCTAAGAGTTGCAAAAAGCCATGAGTCTGAAAGTAACATTCACCATTCTCATGATAAACGATCGTTTGAGCGAATAGAAAGTGAAACTCTGAAGCCTGTGCATCATCAGGTTGAAGATCAGACGAAGAAGTCATCTGAAAAATTAACTGCTGTTGCAGTTGCTGAATATTCTGGTACCAGGGCCGTAGCTTATGCTGGTTACCACGGAGATCGTGCAACTGTAGGACCGAGAGATGCTTTTAATGTGGGATTTACAACTACAACAGCTCCATATAGTAGACACCACACTGGGTGAGTTTGCATGGTCATCAGGAGGTAGTAATCTGGATGAAACATCATCAGATGTTGAGTATCGATTGCGGAAACTTGAAGCTTAGTCTCACTAACTAGCTACTAAGCTAAGTAAATCAGCTAACTACCATCAAAGTATATATCTAGTCATAGAAGAGATTAATAGATTGATCGATTGGCTTTCTATCCAGGAAGTAATTCTTTGATACTTCTTGATCATAACATCCATAATACTATGCTGCTCTATTTAATATTATGCTTCATAATTTTATCACTTTAGATAAATTTTATTTGCATATATATACACTTTCTAGGTATTGCAATTAGCAGTTAAATAGAATTCTGTCGACTGCCTAGAAATTGTTCATAATTTATGTCTCTAGTACAGTTGATTCCAGTAAGAATAAACGAAAGAGAAGTCAAGTCATATAAATAAATACAAACTCATATTCTCTTCGATAAAATAAATTATTTGCTTATTTTAGTTTTCAAAAAGAGATCAATTTTATCATTATCTTCATACTTTAAGTCTAGTATCACTACTTATCTTTTTGAACAACATAAATGAAATGTGTTAAAAAATATTTCATTCTTTTTTCTGTCAAAAAAACATGAGAATGTTGTTTTTATGAAAATAATGAACTGTTAATGATAGAGTGCTATTATTAAATGGATGTGATGTAGAATGTATTATTGATGATTATGGTTTTATTGCTTCCATTGGCTGAACATGATGTTTTAATAAGATGTTAGCGTAAAACTTTAGTATCGTGATTTCCGGAAAGCATAAATTGATTAACTCAACTACACAGAGTTTCCCGTGACGAGAATGGGAAGCAAAATGAATAGGTCGTGGGTCAAAGAGGTAGTTTGCTGCCAGAGAATATCACGTTGAACTATCTAGTACAGTTACTCCGATGATGCATTATAAGTATTAACTAGTTACATTATAAGCATTAAAACAAATATTTTATTGTAAAAGATTAAATCAAATTTGCCTATAAATTATATTTGAATAGATTAAAGATAGATTAGATGAGAATAATAGTGAAAATGGAAAGAGTATTCAATAGGATTATTTGAATAAAAATTGTTTGATATGTGATGAAAGAATCCTTGAAATACTCCATGAATTTAGTTCATTGACAGAAAAGTAATTGAAGCGAGTATGAGAGAAACGATTAAACAAGTATGGAATGGCAGAAGGTTACAATTCTTTTCACCAGCTTTGTCGGTAAACCCGATGCAGTAAAACGAGTTCTTTCCTTCCACATATTAGCTAGAAACAATGTGGCACTAAACACGAAGACCAAACTCAAGGTTCTTCAGATTATCAAGGATTCTTTCATTTCCCGTAAATTTACATATTTTCTGGGGAAAATGTTTTCTATGATATTCAATAAAAGCATCATTCAAAATAGTTGTATTTATTATAATCAGACATGGTCTTATGAATATCAAATACCCTGTTTTCAGAAGATCATTTGTAAAGTTGAAGCAAGCTTTGAAGTGCTAATTTATTACTTTGAAAATATAGTAATTTTATGTTGGTAGAAATAAATAAATTAAAAAAAGATCAGCTTTAAATCAATAATTTACTTTTCTTAAAATAAAAAACTTCAAAAACCAAGAATTTTATTACTAGCAAATAGACTAAATAGTTTAGTCTTGCTATCGACTGTAATGACTATGATAATAATAGAAAAACTCATAAATGTATTTTTATGGATTCATGATAAATTATTTCCAGTAAAATTTTGCATATAAAATCGTTTATGCGATGAGAAATAAGATGATAGAAGTATAATGACATATGTCAAGCACCTTATTGGCACCAAGTTGGCAAGCAATTACTTAGATTGTCCAACAAACCAGTCATCAAGCAATTTTGTAATTTGGGAATTCTCGCACGATGCTACTGATAGCACAGGAAGAGCCTGGAGGGCTCCTGTTGAGCTTTCAGAGTTGAAGAGTAGCTGGAGAATTATCTGTAAGTCTTGGTAAACCAGAGAATCAACCACGAAGCCTAACATAAACTAAATGACTCTCACATGTGAATAAACTATCATGTATACATGTAAAATAAAAATTCTGAAATTAGCACTGTGTTTGCATGCAGTCTACTGAGTAAACGATCTTTAAATCTGCGTCAGATTTGATGCATTCAGTTAAAGTGTTTATAAGATTAATGCGTTAAAAGGAAAAGTAAAAGATCATGGATATGCAAATGTAAGAATACAGAACATGAGGCGTATAAACACGTCTTCCTGGAAATTTTTAAAGAATATTTATTCTTTCACAGGCTCTTATTTCTTTTTTATGTAAGAGATCAGAAATTTAAATACCAGTAAATAATAGCTTTTATCATTTAATTTTATAAGATTAATGTGAAACATTGATAAAATTATTAATTATTAATATAATGACAGTTCTTATCGATGGATAAAGAAATATTGCTTGTACTAAATTTATGTTTCATGAAGAATAATTAATTCAACTGCTTACTAATATTCATATTAATCAACAGTGTAAAAAGGTTGATGAGAATAATCAGATTTAATTTTCAAGTAGCACTTCAGCAGCTTTTTTTTTTATTTGCATATTTATCACTGTGTAGCTGCAGCTTAGTCAATTGAAAATGACGGATGTAAAGACTACTTGTTTCACTTTTTTCTTCTTTATTTCTTTACTTAAGTTTATATCTTTGACTCACATTTTCCAAAGTCAACTATTCAGTGACTAAATTTTATCACTAATATACCATGTATGATAGATATAATAGATTGAGAGCTTTGAAAGTGATCCGAAAATTTGTTCACGTTATCTTTAAATTATTTATCTTGATTCTTTCAACACTCATAAAAAAATAAAAAAAAAAAACCAAGGTCGTGTGAAGAGTAAAGAATAATAAAAAAAAAAAGTCTCATAGGATTACTAAGATTGAGGAGACATTTTTTGCGAATAAATTGTTCTCAGAGGTTACTGAAGTCATTCAGAAGGACGTTTATTGCTTTTCAGGTCTATTAGATCATCAATAAATATCTAAAAAACATAGACTATAAGCCATTTTCTCAAGTTAAAAAGAACATTTTCTTTCTCATTTTTTTTTCAATTTAATTTTTCTGCATTCAATAATTAAACTTTTGTTTTATCTTTATAAAATATTTAGATAAAAATGAATCATTTTATAACTTTGGCAAAAAATTTTAGTATACTTAATTTTGATTAGATGATTGATTTATATGCAGTCTCATGAGTCCAAAACTCATGATCATAATTTATTAATCAATATCACGAAAAGAGAAATTTAAAATTGCAACAAGGTCATTAATTATAAATAGTAGAGAATATCAATATTTATTGTCATTAAATAAGATCTCGACCTAAAAAAAAAATATTACTCTCCATAATTATTGATTTTTTTATTAGTACTCGAAGACTACGAATTGTTCTATAACAAAAAAGACCAGGATACTTAACACAATTGTAGAAGAGTAATATTAATATAAGTCAATAAAAATATATCTAGTAGAAATATTAGTTAAAAAAAAATATGAGATAACAATTGCAAATGATATTTTAATAAGTTAAATATGCAAAAAATAATAAGCAAAAGTGGCTATCGAGATCAGAAATAACTCGATTGGACAGTCTAGAATATACTTGCTCAACTGCTTGTTAAAGTCTTTCAAACCTGCCGGGGATAATCTTCGTTTAAACACACATTATTTGCGGCTAGAGTTAAGTGACATTTTCATCAAAATTATATCTTTTTTTCTAGACGACGTGTATGCACGAGACAAATTCCAACTGTGAATCACCACTATTCAGATCGACAAATAAGGTAATATAAACAATAGATTAAATATAAGTAGACATTTGAAACATTAAGTGATGTTGAATAATTGTAATAATTTTGAATTGTAAAAGATTTGTTCAAAAAATATTGATATTTTTGGATATTTTAAATTTTCCTGATTAGTCAAAACCAAGTTTACTTGCGAAATAAGTTTTTTTTTGTCTTTCAAGATTTTATTACGCTGAAGTAGCGACATCAAGCTTTATTTGTTGTCCGGGTTGGTCACAAGTTACTCGAACAAGCTATGGCTGTAATAGACGTGAGTAGACATTGCGGTTACGAATAATTACAATGTGGTTATTTGTTTTCTGTCATTTGCAATGAGTATGGTATTGTTTTAGCCACCTGCGTTGCTCCATGTCACAATGGTGGAGTTTGTGGTCCTCATGGGAAATGCAATTGTCCCAAAGGTTTCACTGGTAGCCAATGCCAAATAGGTACAATAATAAATTTACTGTTGATTCTGTACAACATACTTAAAATAATTATACTATCATTAACATGAATTAGCAAATGCTTATTTCTAGCACTTTTCGAAATTAGAATAGTTTAATGAGCACTCAATAATGAGCAAGTTATTATTGAAAAGCTTTTGATGGTATATTCTAACGATCTCATGATGTTCACAAAGCTTAATTAATATTGCTATAATACAGATTAAATCACAATCAACTCTCTAATACTATCATGTTATAAATATATCCATAATAAGTTAAGTAGTACTTTAAAAATAATTGAATTGTATTCATGTATATTTAAATGATAGAAAATAACCTTTATAGTTTCGTGTAATAAATAATACTATAGTGTAATTTATTTTAATATTATAGATGTAGATGAATGCATAACAGAAAAACCTTGTGCACAAATTTGTAGAAATTTACCTGGAAGCTATGAATGTCATTGCAGATATGGATTTCAATTACAGCCAGATGGTCAATCTTGTAGGAAAAATGGTAAATATATTTATTATAAAGTTCTTTAAAACACTTGAAATTTTTTTGATATTATTTACTTTAATAAAAACCAATTTAGTTAATTTTTAATGTTTATTACAGACAGTGATGGTACAGCATTTGAAGCAACAGACTTAGAAAGTGATTACGACTTAAGTAGCACCACGAAGAGGCCACTTTCAATGATTCCACATGGTATGAGTACATTTTAATATATAAAGTATCGTACTACATTAATGGGGCCCAGGGAATTCTCGCGAATGCTATCTTTACCTTCTTGACTAACAGACTAAGTTTCCACGAGATGAGTCAGTTTGATACAATGCAAAAAAAGAAGAAAAGGTAAATGATTATTTTTGTCTTACAGATACAGAGAATGAAGTAAATGATGGAGACGTCAATAAAGACTACGAAATAATAATGAAAAGACTTACAAAGTTAGAAAAAGTAAGTTAAAAAATTCTTTTAAAATGTATGGCAAATAAATGAAAATAAAAAATTTCAGCAATTTGCCAGAGGGAAAAGAAAAGAAACTGAAGCAACAGAGTTGAGTAGCAAAGTTAATCAAGCAGTTGAAGAAGTTGCTGAACTAAGATTAGCTGCTAAGAACGTTCTACACTTTTTACGAGAAACATTCGGGCCAGTTCGACAAGAAGTATATGATATGAAAAATAAATTTGAGTTGGAACAAAGAAGAATTGATCATCTAGCTCAACGATTTGCCGAATTCGATCATAGACTAAATCTACAACGAAGTCGAGTGATCGATGGATAATTATAAAAAGTTTTCCAAATCAGTAAATCGACTTATTATGAAATTAAATAGTTAAGTATATATAATATTAAATTTAAATGTTTTATCGTTGATCAAAACAATGTATTAATGAATTTTTAATAATACACATATTTAAATATAAGCAATAATTATATATTCCAGCAATGATGACATCACTGCCATGCTTGTTACAAGTTTATATTCAAAATAAAAACATTTGATATATTTAGTCAATATTTAAATATGAATACCTTAGTCGGCTTTTTTCAACTTTTTTCGCTGTTTTCTGGTTAATCTTTTGTCTGGCTTAGTAGTAGATTTCATCGTCTTTCCCCGGCCTTTTTTATGCTTAGCTAATCTTCTTTTATTCATCCAGACTGGATAATTTCCATATTGATCTTTCATTGTTTTATTGTTATAAATTCTCTTGTTATCAACATCCATTTCTTCTGTGTTATTGCTTGATTCTTTATTTTTAATAGCAGAATTCAATTGGTTTTTGATTGTTTGGACATTAGTAACTGAAAAAAAATTTTTATATCATTAATATATTTTTTATGACATCAAATAACAAAAAAATTGATTAATTATAGCATAGGGAAGATGCCTTGTAGTAAGAATAGTTAATTACCAGTAGCAATTTCAGATATTTCAGACATATTCACATCTTGATGACCACTTTCATCAAGTCCTAATGTTTTTTTCAATCTCTCTAACTCTTTTGCACCATATCGTTCACGTTTTACGGCACGACACTTACGGCGCCATTTACTTCTTAAAGATTTAGCCATAGCTAATGAATATCTGAAAAAATTTTGAATAATTAGTACTTGATTTTAAAGAGAAATTTTATTAATATTATAAACAAAAAATTAAAAAATCAATTGTAAATAAGGAGCAGCGAGACTAACCTCAAAAGTGAAACTCGAACAACTTTTTCAAATACTTATCTATGTTATAGATAATAAAAGAATCGAAAAAATTATTAACATAAATTAGTTATTTAAAAAAAAATTAATTCATGTTTGTATTAAATAATCAATTACTCGTGGGAAAATGTTCCTGAACAAAGCCTGTTGTCAGAATTAACAGCACTTGCAGAAAGGACCGTACACATGCGTGTTGTTTCAAACATTCCATTGTAACCTCACTTTGTGATGTCCTGAAAAATGTTTAATTCTACAACAAAAATCAATTATGTAAATTTCTATGGATCGAAAAATCAACAATATTAATTATTCATCAATTTGTGAACATGTAGTTATAACAGATAAATATTTTAATTTATAAAATTGTACAATATTTAAAAATTAATTTAAATTTAGCGCAATGTTTTATTGATTAAAGATGGCCTTAGTGTCGCCCTCCGAAGCGGCCCTCATGTGTGGCGACTCCAAAGCAGAGAATTGTTTATAAAAAAACAATATACTGAAACTGTATCGTAACAAATGACGAAAATTTTGCGGAAATTATCTGTTGCAGTAAAGGCTTGCTCAGCTTTCATTGTAACGGTGTTTGAATACTCGAGTGAAATAGGTTAGTTACAATGACAACTATGAAAGAATGCATACCTAAAAACAAAAGCAGCAAAAATTGGAAACAAGAAAAAGAACTTGAAGAAGCAGGAACAGCTCTTGTTGTTGTAAACAAAAATGGCAAAGAGATGAATCCTTATATTCCACATTACATTAGAAATGCATTGTGGTATGTTGAAGCTACTGAAAATTAGCGCTAAGTACACGAACAGTATCATCGTTTTTGATGAACTTGTTCAATTGAATTTTTTAATAAATTATGACGCTTGAAGAGATAGATAGGTCAATTATGACCCTTCGGAATACTGAAGGACTGTTAAAGAATATCAAAAAACTGAAGCTGTCAAAAGCGAAATGCTATCAGAAAAACTCAATGCTAAAGGAGACAAAAATGAATATACTGATGATATCGAAATACCTGGACCCAAAGTAGGCTCTAAACAATGAATTGTTGTTAAAAATCTATGAATACGCGAAGATACAGCTAAGTATCTCAGAAATTTGGATGTTAACAGTTATGATCCTAAAGCACGATCAATGCAAAAAAAATCAAATACTGGGAAAGATGTAGAGTAAGTTAGTATCATTAATTTTAATGACGAACGTTATATAATAAACATGTTTTACTTCAAATATTCTATTTACAGAGTTGATTATATAGGAGAGAATCTCGTTCGAATCACAGGAGACTTTCAAAATATGATAAAAAAAAAGGTGAAGTGAACGAGAAATTTAAAAGAAGATTATTTGCTAAGTATTGAGGAGAAGAATATCTTCCAATTTCAAGCACAGACTAAAAATTTATTGATGTATTTATGAATTTTAATAAAGAAATATGATAGTGATAATTGAAAAAATTTTATTCATTTAAGTCAATTCTTAAAGTAGGGGACTGTGATCCTATCTTTTTCAAGTGTCAGACAATCAATGAGATCTATCTTTAGAGCAATTTATATACTGTTTGTTGTGAATTTAACGACTTACTCAGATTGATATTTATGTTTTTGGAGTACTGATAGTTTTAATGCTCCGAAAAGTTTGGGAAGGTCTTCAAAACATAACATCAGCTCATACAACAACCAAAAAGACTAAATTATTTTTGTATTTATTTTAGAATGAACATGAATAAATTTTAAAATTATTTAAAATACAATGTGAATCATGATTTAGATTAAGAATGATCTCAAAGTTACCTATGCAAACTATTGCAGTCGAATACTGAATTTTATTACTAAATGAAAAGTTATTTTGCATAAAATTTTTAATTAAAATGTGACATTAATATTATTTTAATGAAGTACTTCAAGGCAAATGTAAATAAACAAAATCTTTAGTTTATTTCGACTGAATAATTGTCGACTATACAAAAAAGCAATAATTTATATGAAAAAATCTTTATAATAAGACAATTCCAGAGAAAATAGACCTGCATAGAAGTTCAATGCTGTGTTCTGTTTAGGGATCACCCCAGGCCACCCCAACCGTGTTAAACTCCTACCTGGCTCCATAAGAACCCATACTAAATTTTTGGAACACATCGGCCCGTTTGAAATAAACTTCTATTCACGTTTCTCTTCTCTGACAATTCTTCAATAAAATTTATACTTAAAGTTAATAATTTAATCTTACTTTTTGTTTAGATAGACCCTTTATTTCTTCGAAATGAATTATTGAAATTTATGTAAATGCAATGGTTGACTACAGATAATTTTTAGCGCCAAAAATTTATAAAATAAACAAATTTTAGATGATCTACAGCATCTTATGCGGTGAAAATGAGAACTAAAATCTGTCCAATCACAAAAAAGATTGGCCATGCGCGTGCGTTTTCCATTGCTGCTAGACTCTAAAGCAATATCGTAAATGCCACCATGGCATTGTTTCTCATCGGCTCAAGGGTAGTGCGGTTCGGTAATTCACAGTTAAGATTTTACTCCAGCTGCCTAAACATGAAGGTAATTATTAACCTAAAATAGCGTTACTAAAACATTTAAACAAATTAAAATAATAAAACATCAAGTTGTGACCACGTGTTGGCTCCTATAATATATTTGCTTGGAAAACATTAGTGATACAGCAAAATTCGTCTTACTTAGTTTATTAGTAGTACATTGAAATTTATCAATATTTAGAACAATTAATTTTCTTTGAAAACATGAATGGAGTACTCATATTACAGCTTGTGAAACAAATTTAAATTTAATAATGAATTCATTATACATTTTTGGGACAAATTAAGTCGAATTATGGAGTTTCTACATACGAGAGTATTGGAGCAGCCCGTTCTTACACATTTTCAGAAGGGGGGATTTATAGTTATCATCTCACGCAATTATTCAATTAAACGTTTAATTACTAAGATACTCGAAAGATAATGTTGTTATGAAACAAAAAACGGATGTTTTCTATTTTATAAAAAAAAATTTCTAATAAAAATAAAAATAATGTTGCCATCAACAAGAAGTGCAGTCCTAGTTATTGAACTAATTAATAAATAACTCATACAATTAAACAGAATCTTAATGATTTTTTTTATCTCAATCGACTACAGAAAGGATTGGTACTTGGCGTTTATGAGGGGGAAAACAAAGATGAAGTTATCTTGACTCCTACAGCTGCCAAGTATAATGAAATCGTCAATGGAAAATTACTAACAAATATTAATCTGTAAGTATAAAAAGGTTATTTTATAAAAGTGAATAATAACATCTTAAATGATTCATTTTACAAAATATTATCTTCAAATACACAAAATAATTTATGTATTCAAGTATATATTATCACAAGTCTATATCTCTCACTTTTCAATACTTTTCTAAGTTTCTCCATGTGTTCAAGGACGATTATGTTTACGTTTAGTTTTCACGTTCCCATTGCTGATACCACTCAACCAACAAGTCACGTATGAAAGTGAAAACTATTTAAATACTCAATAATCTCTAAGATAAAAAATACTGGATTATAAAATTATCTATGTGGTTATATCACTTATTAAAAACCACGAATATCCAATATTCAAGTATATATAAGTTCATGAATATTTCAATCGTAGAATTCCTTTGTCAGTATTTAATTCTGACTGTATTGAAAAATACACACTACACATTTTACATTAGTAATACCAAAGGAATTCTAATCTGAGAATAATTTACTACGTAATATATATGATATTGCTCCTATCTTGATTTAAGTTTGAGGGCAAAATCATAAATGTTTCCAGCCTGAAACAATTTTTATAATGCTGCCTGAGCTTTTCATCCAACATGATTTAAAAATAGATTTTTATTTTGAAACTTCATTTTATCATTATAACTATTTTATATTGTCAATGTTTTTATTTTTACAAAATTAATTTTCTCAATACTTTTGAGACTTTTTTTTTTAAGTCTAAAACTCTTTTCTCTCTATCACACTTTCTATCATTTTCTTATCGAGATTATCTGCCATCCAGAATGATTAAGAGCTCACTGGCATTATTTTGATTGTTTCAGGAGAGGCTAGGTTGTGGTATCACGAAGTATAGGAAGTCATAAACCTGCGGCGAGGGATTAGCTCTAAGTTATTCATCAGCAAGATCATTAAATATAAAAACAAAACCCAAGAAAAGTTAAATAATGAATTAAGAAGCTTCAATTAAATTCATTAAATCAATGCAAAACGTCCAAACAATCAGATACGTTTTAATCAGTAAATTCATCTGTAAATATTCCGATAAGAATTTCCGATAAAAAACAATTGATTGTATAAAAAAAAAGAGCAATGTCCACTGGTGCTAATACTCCAGGAAGTGGTGGTGCTGGAGGGAGTGGATCAACGCCCATAATGAGTAGTGGTAAACGTCATCCAACGTCAGCTAATGTTCTTCATGGTATTGGTGGTTCCATTGAAGATAAAAACAACGATTATCTCTGTCCAATATGTTTTGAAGTGATTGAAGAAGCTCATATCACACGTTGCGGTCATACTTTCTGCTACAGATGTATTATCAAAACTCTAGAAAATATCGAAAGATGTCCAAAGTGCAGCCTTCCCTTAAGTCAACAAGATATTTTTCCAAACTTCTTACTCAACGAACTTGTATCGAAATACAAAACGAAAATCAAAGGTATTGGAGAACTTGGATGTATTCGTGGTGAAATGAGGAGTGGAGGATCAAACTCAGATATCATTCCCCCTTGTGATGGTCTTAGAGACTTTGTGGCAGCTGAGAGTGCTAATTTAACTCTTCCAGATGTTAATGTAATGTTAGAAGTTTTAACACAGAGGAAACATCTTTTAGAAGCAGAATCTTGTGCAGCACAAAATAAACTTCTTCATGAATTCCTCAAGCATTTGCTACAGCAAAAAGAAGAACAGATGAATCAGCTTCAAAAAGAGGTGGCATTGATAAAACACGATATGGAAGTTGTTGAGAGTATTTTAAGAGAAGTCCAAAGTAAATGTCCTCGTATCGAAGACATAAAGAATTCAGGAGAAAATGAAAATGCTGAAATGACTGCAATAAGAAAAGAAATGATTGATCTGATTGATATTATCGATTCGAATATGGTAAAACCTGAATCCTCTAGCAATGAAACAGCAGCTAATCCAGGTCAAAAACAACCAGAATATGCTACGATATCGACACTTGCAGTGCGAAGAAAACGAATGCATGCTCATTTTGATGACTTTGTTCAATGTTATTTTAGCGCGAGAGCTAAAGATTTACTATTGGGGAATCAAAAAAGTACTCCAATAGACACAATCCATGGAATGAGTACAGGACTGGATGTTTTTCGAGAAAATCTCGTAAAATTTTCTCGTTATAGTTCTTTACGTCCTCTAGCGACATTAAATTACTCTTCAGATATTTTTAATAATTCAACAATTGTCTCTAGCATCGAGTTTGATAAAGACAACGAATTTTTTGCTATCGCGGGTGTTACAAAACGTATAAAAGTATTTGATTATGGAGCCGTAATTCGAGACACTGTAGACATTCATTACCCGTGTGTAGAAATGGTTTCAAGCTCTAAAATATCATGTGTGTCTTGGAACTCTTACCACAAAGGAATGTTGGCTTCTTCAGATTACGAGGGTACTGTTACCGTCTGGGATGCTTCAACAGGACAAAGGACAAAGGCTTTTCAAGAGCACGAAAAACGATGCTGGTCTGTAGATTTTAACGACGTCGACACAAGACTTATAGCCTCGGGCTCTGATGATGCAAGAGTCAAGCTATGGTCTCTGAATATGGACCATTCTGTAGCTTCTCTTGAAGCTAAAGCTAATGTTTGTTGTGTTAAATTCAACCCCAGAAGCTCGTGTCATTTAGCATTTGGATCGGCTGATCATTGTGTACATTATTATGATCTTAGAAATATGAGAGAAGCTCTATGTATTTTTAAAGGCCATCGAAAAGCTGTATCTTATGTTAAGTTTATAAACAAAGAAGAAATTGTTTCTGCTAGTACTGATTCGCAATTAAAAGTATGGAATATTAATCATCCTCATTGTTTACGGTCATTTGTTGGCCATATTAATGAGAAAAACTTCGTTGGACTCGCTACTGATGGAGACTACGTCGCTTGTGGTTCAGAAAATAATGCATTATATGTTTATTACAAAGGTTTAACTAAGCAATTGTTTTCATATAAGTTTGATCCAGTGAGGAGTGTTCTAGAATTACAAGAACGACGTGAAGAAGATCCTAATGAATTTGTATCAGCTGTTTGTTGGAGACAAATGTCAAATGTTGTCGTGGCAGCTAATTCTCAGGGCATCATTAAAATTCTAGAACTCGTTTGAAGAATTGTCGATTTAGTTTAGAAAAAATATTTAATTTTTTGTTAATACAACGATTATAAGTATTTTTAGTATATATTATTATAATATAAATAAAATTTAAGAGCTTTTGCTCTTTATAGAAATGTTCATTTTCTTGATATAAGATAATGATCATTGTTAGGCTCTAATTGATCCTAGGGAGGTAATAAATTATTTTATCATGTACAGTACAAATTTTCACAGAAAATGTTAATTTTTATACACATATTATAATTATTAGCTCAAATAATTTTGTTTACGCTCAATCTAATTATTTTGTAATTAGTTATGGTATTTTACTTTATTAAAAAAAAAATGTAAAGTAGAGGAAGATAAGGTAAAGTGAAACACCAAGAAAAAAAGCAAATAAACAATTTAACCATTATAATAACAAATGTTAATAATTTTTAGTACATTAATAAATTAAAATATTGATGTAGAAAAAGTGCAATAAGCGTTTGTTCGTCTATTTTAATAAATTAGTCAATTTTCTCGAGCGTTTCACTTTGCCCCCGCGTTCCACTTTACCCTCCTTTTCCCAAGTTATTTTTAATGAAAATCATCAATATTGGTATTTTATTGATAATATTAATAAATTTATAAAATAATTACCTGTCTAGGATTGGATGTAATGAAAGAATCAAATTTCATTAAGAATACTCAATACTCATTCATTCATTAATTATGAATGAGCAATAGTCTTGAGTCATAATGACATGACGCTTAAATAATTAATAGTAATTGTAAAATAATAGAAAAAAATTTCAATTAAATTTTATTGATGTTAAGAGCAATAATATTTAAGAATTATTCAAAGTCGATAAGAATTTGTGCCAATACGTAGGTAAATACTAAACACTTACAATGGCTTCAATTAGTTGATGGAAGAATTCCAAAGTAAATCATTTCTTTTTTAACATTTTATTATGTTATTTAATTAATTATTGAAATGATATAAATTTAGAATTTTGATCAACTTTTTTTACTCAATACATATAATACTTTCCTATGTATTTAAATTTCAACTGAATTAATCGAAATTCATCTTCTGATGTTATTGATGTAAACTCTATTACAGTAGTTATTATGAAGGAGAGAGGAGACTAGTTGTCTATACGTATTGATATGAAAAATTCAATACGTTAACGTTGTGACCTAGTGTTGTGAAAATAAAAATAGTAAATAACGTAATTTTAAAATACATTATTAATTTGACACATCAGTGAGAATTTGAATTTTAAATTTTAATTGTATTAATAATAAAAAAGGAATAAAAGAAATGAAAAGAGAAAATAAAAATAAATAAAATAATACTGAAAAAGTATGAAAATGAAGAAGAGAAATATTAAGAGATGAATTTTAAATATAGTATATTTTTAGATTACATATTTTAAAACACATAAAAAATCTAAAGCATATGTTGAATCAATGTTTAAAACTTATACGTAATGTAATTAATAAAAATTTACCGTTTGATGTCCAACATAGTATTTGTTTCAAGTATTGGGTCATTTATTCAAGCATTTCCACCTTAACCTTTACCTTCACCTTTTCTTTTTACTCTTATATAAAATCGATTATTTATTCAATATACGACTAAAATATACGGCATGTCACTTTTTGTACATTAATTCTTAATGAATTTATGAAATATTTTACGATAGGGCTGGTCCGAAGATTAAAAAATCCAAGACGAGAGTTTTCTGGGGTATTGAAAATGCACAGCATGCCTGTATTGCAGTGGTGGGATTGGGGAAACAAAATCTTGGAGTAGATCCTCTTGAAGAAATTGATGAGGGAAAAGAAAACATTCGTTCTGCAGTTGCAGGTATTTTTTTATTCATTAATTATCTATCTTCTAGTAAATTATTTGAAAATGAAAAAAATGGTTCTTTATTATTCTCATTAGCCGGCTGTAGTGCACTTGATTCTGTGGATGTGAAAGACATTGATGTAGAAGCAATGGGAAATGCTGAAGCTGCCGCTGAAGGTGCAGTTCTCGGTACTTGGTTTTTCCAGGAATTCAAGAATCCATCCAAACAAAAAGTCTTACCAAAAGTTCAATTATATGGTGAAGAACAGTAAGTTCACATCGTGTACATAATTAAAAAAGAAGTATCTTTTAAAAAACTCTTGAATTAATAACCATACTGAATTTAATTTTTTTTTTAATAGGAGTGCTTGGCAAGTAGGAAAAATCAAAGCAGAAGCTCAAAACTGGGCTCGCAGACTAGGAGATACACCAGCAAATTTAATGACTCCAACGATCTTTAGTGAAACAGTATCCAATGTACTTGGTGGTCTTGGTGTAAAAGTTATTGTTCATGATAAAGCGTGGGCCGAAGAAAAAAAAATGGGCTCATTTTTAAGCGTCTCACGAGGGAGTGTGGAAGAACCTAAATTTGTAGAGATTCATTATCAAGGTGGAAATCCTCAAGATGCACCGATTGCTTTCGTTGGAAAAGGAGTTACTTTTGATGCTGGTGGAATTAGTCTTAAAGTAAGTGGCATTGTAAATTACTATAATTATAAAACACAAGATTTTTAATCTGTTCATAATTATTATCTATAGCCAGCAACTCATATGGATGAAATGCGAGCAGATATGAATGGAGCAGCTTGTGTTGTAGCAAGTATCAAAGCTGCAGCAGAGTTAAAATTGAAAGTAAACATCGTGGGATTGATTCCTTTAACAGAAAATCTTCCATCTGGTTCTGCTACTAAACCAGGAGACCTAGTAACTGCCATGAATGGAAAGACAATTATTGTGGATAATACTGATGCAGAAGGACGCCTTATTCTCGCTGATGCCTTATGCTACGCTGCTGAATTCAAGCCTAAATTTACTCTTGATATTGCTACATTGACTGGAGCTATGGGTATTGCTCTTGGAGCTGCAGCAACTGGAGTATTCTCAAGCAGCACTGAATTGTGGGAAGTATTGAGAGCTGCAGGTACTGCTACTGGAGATCGTGTTTGGAGAATGCCTTTATGGCAACATTACAATGGAAAAATGACCAGTAAGGAAAAATAGTTCATTTTTTTCCCCTTTTATAGTAATTATACTGTGTATTAAATTTCTATTTCCTATTACAGAACCAACTAAAAGTGCTGATGTAAATAATGTGTCAAAAGTAAAAGGTGGAGGTGCATGTGTAGCCGCAGGTTTTCTCCGTGAATTTGCTAGCACTGAAGCTCCATGGCTTCATCTCGATATTGCTGGTGTAATGAGTTCAAATAATGATGATCTCAATTATCTACAACCAGGAATGAGCGGTCGACCTACAAGAACACTCATTGAATTTTTACAAAAAATGTCTTCTTAAAAATGTGGATTAAAATGATAACGTGTTAAAAAAAACCCGTACACGAAATATACACCTTTACTAGTGTAAATTTTGTATTGAAATTGAAAAAATCGTGAAAGAGACTGAGTAAAAGTCAGAAACTTGGCGCCAATTTAATACTTTTTTCACGGTAATAATAATAATAATACTATTGATAATGTATTTGTGGAAAGCTTTATGTAACAAACTTGATCACGAGCCTTCTCTTCCTTGTACAGCTAATTTTTCTATACTTTTATTTAAGTTTAATCAAGCAAAAGAATATCGATTCAATAATGGAATCAAGTTGAAAGGATTGGAGTTTAAATAGATGAAATATCTAAAATAATAGATTTTATTTTATTCCTTTTATAAATAAATAAATGTTAATAGCAGATGTTGTACAGGATGAGAAAGGAGCATATTGTAGGCATAACCTTTGTATTTCTGTAAAAGATTGTAACAAATAAAAAAGAATCACATGTTGCCATGAAAAAAAAAATTGTATTACAAATAGTTTTTCGTCAAAAATTACATTCATTCATATCCACTCTCACACATCTCGCATCTTTTTAACTCACAGATAATAAACAATACAGAAAAGTTCTTAAGTAAAATTCTACTTAACTTAGAATAATAATAATAATCATAATAATAATTAGAGTTAAACTAATAATTTGTCTAGGCTCACTATAAAAAATTATTTTATACAATAAAATGCCCATTGGTTGAACTGGACAAATGATATTTACATATACTAAATTGTTTTTATGAATATTAAATAAAAAAATTCCAACTTGAAAATCTATAATGCCAAAACTAAACAAATGAGAACTCGACAGTTCAGTCTTCGAAGATGTACGAAAGCTGGAAAAATCTTGTACACATTTATTTGAAAAAAACTACCAGTTTTTTCCAAATGACTTATACATAAAAAATGATCGTCGGAATGTATTGAGCAGGAGAAGAGGACTGAGGAGTTGAATTTCCTGAGCGATTTATCAGGTGCACGAGGGAGGCTGTTGCTGTTGAGAGGAAAGGGGTGAGGAGGCGACGGCGGCGACCGCAGCAGCGGCTGCTGCATAAGACGAAGGATCTGTAGGGTCGAGGATCGGGGGTGGCGGTGGCAATCCGCCACCGGCACCACGACCTCTTCCTCGGCCTCTACCGCGACCCCGTCCCCGCCCCCTCCCCCTTCCGCGTCAACTCCGCCTCTCGGGCATGCCTATGTTGCTCGTCGTCTTCTCCAAAAAGGCCAAAGGCCCTTGTAATGCACTGCTTCCCACACCACCAACTGGAAAACCACCAGCACGACCTGCGCCTACCCCTTGGCTCATGAACATTCCTTGTTGGCCAACATTTACACCCTGAAGACCTGGTGGACCTGGTGTTGCACCACTACCCGGCTGCACCTGTAACGTCAAGTTGGAGGAACTCAGATTTTATGGACTTAAAGAAATTCACTTATTTTTCACAAAAAAATTATATTGAAAATAATTAAATAGTCAGTATATAAAAATTGAGTGTGGCAGAAAAAAATAAATTAAACCTATTGATATTAACTATCTATATTTAGAATACTTTCTAATTATTTAGCCTAGCCAGCAGTAAACATGAAAATGAAAACACACTATAATCTGTGAAAGTCGTGTTACATGACAACAACTAAACCTGATAATAAACAGGAAATATTTAATTGAAAAAAGTACTTTTATATTTTTTATATGTATAATAAAATGTTTTCATTTCACAACAGTAAGTTGTGGTTCCCAAGAGATATTTTAAACATGCATTTATTTGATAATTTCCCATGAGCAAATGAATAGAAGAGTTTCCCAAGGGAATTTATGAAGCAAATAATAATAATAATAATAAAACAATAAGATAAAATAAAATAATAAAGAGTACAATCAATCATAAAATTAATGATAAAAGATGGGAGTAATTGGAGGAAAGGCGAGGCAGGTGAATGAAAGAAAGCACAATGATTTACCATGAAGAGCTTTTATTCTACAGATAATCTACTATCAACACTTTCAGTCTGTGACAACATAAGTAATGATGAAGAACAATTTTTAACTGTTTCTGATTAACGACTTTGTAAATTTCTTTACTACAATTTGGCTTTTTTCTCTTTCTTTCTTTAGTATATCATAATCATAATTTCTATTTAATTATTTATTTATTTATTTCTGGAGTAATATAATGTCTGCTTGCTAAACAAGACTCACCAATATAAGCCAGTATTTACCCAAAAGATATACTTTCCTGCATGCGAAGATAATTTTCATGCAAATGAATAATAAAGTATAAATATATCTAACTTTTTTTACATAAACAATTATAGTAAATATAGTAATAAATTCAAGAAAATATTAATCTCAATCGAATTTTCAAAAAAAATATTCATCAAGCACTTTAAAGTTGATAAAATGAGTACGATCATAATAATAATTATAATAATAATCAGAATAAGTAATAATAATAATAAAATTTGTAATAAACAGTAATGAGAGAGCGTAATTGTGAAACAATGCAAGGGAACTATAAAAATATATACTTAAAAAAACAATTAACGAAATTAAATAATATATTTACCCACACCGAGGATAGAACAAGTGAAAGAGAAATGTTGATAAACAAAACAAATCAATAAGTTGCTTTTATCGATGAAAATTCAAAAATAATCTGGCTTATTTTTCTCTACATTATTGTCTCAATCAAATTAATAATTTTCTCTTCATTCTTCATATCTTTTCATTTGGCTAATTATTTGTACACATTTCTATTTCACTGTGAAGTTTTGGCACCATTCGTTTCTAATTTCAATGTTTTCTGAGATCATAAATGTCTACTTTTGTTGACAAGATCGATTTTTCATCATGATTATTGTTATGAATAATTAATTTATAAGTCATTATTAATTACTAAATAATATTCATCAATTCAGTTTATCTTTATATGAGTCTCTAGTTGAAGTCTTATACATTTATAATTAAAAGCTTTTGAGAGAGAGAGAAAGTAATTTTTTTTTATAATCATCAATAAAAACTTCGATGAAATAATTTACTTTTTATATTTTCTTCTCGTTGAAAATAATAACCTATTTTGGATGACCTTCTAATTAGCTTGCGCGACTTTGGCGAATGTGGACTTGTCTCATAAGGCACTGAATTTACATAAATAACATTAAATATCTCTTGCCCATTGATTAACATTACTAATAATTATGCCTATGAGCTGCTTACTGACTTTCATTTAATGGAAGATGAATTCATTCTTGCTACATGGTTCTGACAAGTTATCAATCACAGTGATTCGCTTTTATCGCTACTTATTAATTCTTGCTTGCGATTGTCATACATCCTTCATTGAAACTCATTCATTCATACACACATAAATAACTAAATATTCATATTCACCCTTGCAAGCAAAAGGAAAACGTAGATTATGCGGAAGTTTAACAATGAACACACCATTAACTGAGGTATAAGAGAATAATTATAAAAATACGATAATTTTATCCTTATTTTATATGGACGAACGCGATAAATTATTTAACAATTTCTTCAACGGATTAAGTTTCGAGGGAAGTTATATGAGTATTTTCTTCCCTTGGTGGCATTGAGAAGTAGCACAATGGTAGATATAGATTTTTCAAGTCGTAAAATAGGGAGACTGGGTGCCAGGTATATTGAACCTGTTCGATTGTTTCTTTTAACGGCGTTACTTAAATACCTGTTGTTGATGAAGTTGTTGCTGTTGCAATTGATGCTGTTGAAGTTGTTGTAATTGCTGTTGCTGTTGAAGCTGTTGTTGATGCTGTAATATTTGTTGCTGTTGTTGCATTGGTCCTCCTCCAGTGCCATTTGTACCTGGTGGTCCTTGTGGACCTTGACCACCATTTGGTAATCCTAAAAAATGATTGAATCAATAAACAAATGTCAACAAAAAATTATACATTTAGTGTTTTTCTTAAAAATATATTATTTTTCGTACCATTAGGAGCTGGTCCTTGTGCTGGAGACTTTGCCCAACCTTGCAAATCAGCTAGGAGATTTTGCCATACAGCGATTTTATCATAATGTCTTTTTATAAGGTCATCCTTTCGTGATAATTCGAATTTGAGATCATTAATATCTTCTTTGATGACTAGCTCAGGCTTCAGAGCAGATAAAAGAAATCTTTTTTGAAGAAAAAAAGCTTCCATTTGTCGTGCTAGATCAATGAATCTCAGCGTTACTTGCTCTACTTCTACTTTTGTTTCATCTTTATCTATCGCTAAACCACTTCCTATGCTATTATTCCCTAACCCTTCTTCTTTGGTTAAAATATTTAGACATTGCTAGAAATGAAAACAATAATTTTTATAAACATTGTTATCGTCGAACCACCGAAAGAGTGCTGGAATTAGCTTAGGTTCAAGCACAACAGCATAACAACTCTTTCGGTAGTTTGACTTTAGTGATGCATGGTTAATAATGAGTACAAACGAATCAATAAATTACCTGAAATGCTTCTTCAAACTCGTCTACCAAGTTTCCATTACCATTAGTAGGCGTAGCCATTTTATTTGAAAATTTATTGTTACGAAATGTAAATATAAATGAATAAATGCAATAAATTTAAGAAAAACTCATTTTGTAAAATTTCATCAACTTTTGAGGTTATGATAAGCTTCAGATTACCATAAATACTCAGACATGAATAATATGTGGTTAAATTAAGTTTACTTGTAAACTAAAATTTGCTAACATTTATTAGTCATTGTTTTTGTATAAACATAAACTATTGATAAAAAAATAAACGTACTTAAAATACAGCGTATTTTTTAACTTTACCAAGGACGGTGCCACAGAGTGGTCTGAATATACACAGTCGAGCTGAGAAGAGAATTTCTCATGTGTTTTTGTACACTCGACCTTTCCTATACCATAAGACTAATTACCAACCGCGGTAATGATTTTTTTTTATTGCGTTTCCAATCTACAATTTCTTATAAGCATAGGCTGATTTGAAGAACTTTTAAATTTGAGATGACTAATTAATGATAATATTTAATAGCTTCTTTTGTAAAAATTAAAATGTACTATGTATATTAATTTAATAATTTATTTTTGTTAAATGTCATTTTTTTAATTTAAATTAAATTTTTTTACGTAGAGTTTTTAAAGACTGGAATGCATGTGTGATATTGCAATAATAGTAATTATATTGTTATATGTAAAAATGTACTGTATACATATATCTATTTTTTTGAATTGAATAAAATTTGTTATATCGATTTTTCCTATAAAAATAGCATTTCTTCATTTAATTACCTTTCATAGACATAAGTACATAGTAATTAGTTATTAAGAATGATTAATTTAAAAAAAAACTAAATTCAAAAATATATACTTCAAAATACTTAAAATTACTCATGTCTCGTTATTTACTCCACAATTAGCATCTATATTAATAACATTTATCAATAATGTTAATAAAATTTTAACACTCAACTCTGATTTAATAATATTTCTAGACATGAGTTATTAGTTATTAAGAATAAAAAAAATTAAGAAAAAAGAATTTTTAAGACATAAGTTTATATTAATTAGCTATTAGTTATTAAAAATTATTAATTAAAAACAAAATTTAAAAATCTATATCCTTATATATTAAAAATCAATACGGGCAATTGGGAATTTCCCATGCTTTGTTATTCTGTACCTGGGTATTTTTCATTCCAGGTAGGCAAATATTTACCCTTAATAGCTATAACCACCTGTCGAATCTTTAAGAGTGCAATAAAATTAATAATAAAATAGAATTAGAAAGTTAGGATAGTAATGTACTTGCGCTCTCTTAAATAGGGATTAAAAAGGGATTTTAAATTGTCATGCGGGTACTACAAAATAATCAAAGTTCTCCATTAGATTTAGGATGATTTATACTTGTATGATAGGTACTGTTGCACAGAAAATTAAAACTGACTATTTTAGTCGTTTTAATCCTTATTCAAACGATTTTAAGTATATTATTTCTTCGAATGTTTTAATTCTACTTTATTTTATCATCTCAGTGTTGATGATTATAAAAAATTGATGCTTTTCAATCAATAATACTCTAAATCTGTACACAATTAACACAAATTAACAATAGATTAGAATCAAAAATGTAGAATAATATTCGACTTTAACGCTTTTGAAGAAGAATTAAAACGACAAAATCGTTTAAAAATTTTTGAATTCATATAACGGTATTATAAAATAGTCAAACTCATGGTTTAGATTTGTAATTGGCTTTATACTTTTATAAAAAGTATTTCAATAAAAAAAAAATTAAAACTGACTATTTTGTAGTGCCCGCATGAAAGATCCTTATTTTTAATTTTATTGCACTTTCAAAAGTTCTAGAGGTAATGGTAGTTGTAAAGGGTAAAGGGCAAAAGCTTCCCTACCTGGGCTGAAAAATATAATTTTAAATTCCACTTCAGAAACTTAGAGAAGTGAAAAATTAATTACTTTTAATTTTCTTTTGTAGATCGCACTGTTCATTTGTGGTGTACGAAGGATCTTTTGCTTTGCTTTTCCTTATATTTTTAACATTTACTGAAGATGAACTCCAAATGTTTATTAATTCAACTAATTTACCATTTTTACCAACTCCAATGGGAAAAGGTGTTATTTCTGATTTGGATCCACATTGTGTTTCAAGTGCAAGAACAACTGCTTTACTTCATGCGGATGTTATACTTTTATTGGGAGCTAGATTAAACTGGATGCTCCATTTTGGTCGACCTCCACGATATCAAAGTGACGTTAAAATCATACAGATTCAACTATTTCATGATCTGTTGATAAGTATAATTAAAAAGTTTATTAATATATAATGGAAATTTTATTCAAATTGAATGCAGGTAGAGATATGTGCAGAAGAATTACATAATTCAGTTACATCAGAAGTTGCTATTCAAGCGGATACACGTAAAATTTCTACGATGCCCTTCAAAGCAAGAATTTTTATTTTGGTCAAGAAGAAGACTGGTGGACTCAATTAGAAAAAGCTGGAAGTGAAAATAAAATGAAATTACAGCAATTATCATCAGATATATCAGTTCCACTGAATTATTACACCGTTTTTAAACATATTCAAGATGTTTTACCTACTGGTATTTTATTGCCATTTACCAATATCGTTATTGAAATTAATTATATTTTAAAAGTCAATAATAACTATTTCTTAATTATATTTACATTTTTAGACTGTATTATTTGTTCGGAGGGTGCTAATACAATGGACATTGGTCGATCTATACTTTTAAATTTACATCCTCGCCATAGGCTTGATGCAGGAACATTTGGAACCATGGGTGTGGGTTTAGGATTTGCAATAGCTGCAGCATTACATTGTAAAGATTTTTCTCCAAAAAAACGAGTTATTTGTGTTGAAGGAGACAGTGCATTTGGATTCTCAGCGATGGAAATTGAAACAATGTTCAGGTAAGCTTAATGTACTAATTTGATAATTCAATCTATTTTGAATTCTGCTTAAAAAATTATATTACAATTAAAGGTATAAACTTCCGATAATAATAATCATAGTTAATAATAATGGAATCTACGGAGGTTTTGACAAAGAAACCTTTAATCAAATTCAGAATCAAGGGCCAACAATATTGTAAGTTTATTAAAATTACGAATTGAAAATACTTTAATTAAATTAATCATTGAGCGAATATTTTTATTAACAGTACTCCACCATATTCACTGTGTGCTGACGTTCATTATGAACGAATGATGGAGCTTTTCGATAGAAAAGGATATTTTTGTACTACTGTAGACGATATTCAAAATGCAGTAAAGAGCTCTTTAAAGGTAAAAAAAAATTACTTACTAATGGAATCTGTTGTATTTTACCTCATAGGTAACAGATGCACCAAGTCTTATAAATATACTAATCAATCCAACTGCTGAACGCAAAGAACAAAAATTCGGGTGGCTGACAGAATCAAAGCTTTAATATTATATTTTTATGATAGATGATTGTTGAATAATGGATAAAAGTTTGTACTAAATTTAAGAAAATATTTTTATTAAAAAAAAATATAATATGAAATCTATTATATATGAAAATAGAATTTTTTAGATTATTTATTTATAAATGCCATTAGTTTTTGAGTAATAGTGTCCACTGTTAAAGGCACTGATTGAATTATATCTGTATTATTATCTTCATCAAGTAGCTCTAGTAACTCATCCACTTTTACTCCTCTTTTTTTAAGAATGTGACAGAAAGTCAGGTTGCAATTATTTATTGAATTGTTCAAAGGCCCATCCTCCTTTATTATTTCTTTTATTATTCTGAATTCTTGTTTGCTATAAAAAACAATAAATGAAAGAAGTATTAGTTGAAACAATGAATTGTAATTTTACTTGTATCATTAGTAAATGTTACAATACATTTTTTCGGACATGATTGCAATATTTTCTAAAGTTTCAGCAGTTTCTATTTGTACTTCTGTTATTGATTTGGTGGACATTCTTGATAATTAACAAAACAAGTTTAAATGATTAAAAATCAACATTTATAATCGGTAAATGTAATACTCAGTTGCTATTTTTACGCGCAGTCTAAGTCGAATGGAAAATACATTGCCACGATATAATGCTAGATGGCGCAATCGTTAAATTCTTAAGCACTCAGCGATTATTCTCTTTCTCTGCTGATGCTCATACTATACATTGGTACAACTGTTTAGTTCGACATAAGTTTGCGTGAGTTATGTTCATTTTTTCGAGTATAAGAGAGTATTTTTGGAGTATATTTATTAATTTATTGTGATGTTGACATAATTGTTGATGAAAATTGATAAATAGTTGAATAATAGATATAGTAGATATTGATTAGTAAATAAACTTTTATAATAGGTAGACAAAATCGTATTTTGTGTACTTTATTTGGTAAGCATTTTCTAACCTCTAAATTTGTTAAATAATTGGATAATTTTCTTAATTATAAAATAATTGTAAATTTTCAGTAAAAAATGGATCGTGAATCAAATTCAAAACTTCGACGGAGTCCATTCCATGAACGTTCGAGGAGGGAGATTGATCGGTATCATCAAGACAAGAAAAATAAACGCAATAGATATGAATCAAGGCATAGAAGCTTGTCTGATAGTGAACATAACGACTATGAAAGACGTAGAAAAGATGATCGAGAAAATAGGAAAAGACGGAGATCAAGAAGCCCTCGTAAAAATAAAGAACAAAAAAATTCTCCAAAGATACAAGAGGAGGAGGATAAAGAGTTGGCCAATATTACACCAGCACAGAAAAAAACGGTAGATTTACTTACTTCAAAAACTGGAGGAGCATATATTCCTCCAGCTAAATTGAGAATAATGCAAGCAGAGATAACGGATAAATCATCTGCTGCATATCAACGTATTGCATGGGAGGCTCTCAAGAAATCTATTCACGGTTACATCAATAAAGTTAATACGAGTAATATTGGATTGATTACAAGAGAATTATTACGCGAGAATATTGTAAGAGGACGTGGTTTATTAGCACGATCAATTATTCAAGCTCAAGCTGCTTCGCCAACTTTTACACCAGTTTATGCAGCTTTGACTGCTGTTATTAATTCCAAATTTCCCAATATCGGAGAATTATTATTAAAACGATTAGTTATTCAATTTAAACGAGGCTTTAGGAGAAATGACAAGCCTTTATGTATTTCTTCTGGACTATTCATAGCACATTTAGTTAATCAAAGTGTCGCTCATGAAATTTTAGCTTTAGAATTACTTACTTTACTAATCGAAACTCCAACAGATGATTCAGTAGAAGTAGCTATAGCATTTTTAAAAGAATGTGGTATGAAACTTACCCAAGTTTCAAAAAAAGGAATTGAATCAATTTTTGAAATTTTAAGGAATATCCTTCATGAAGGTCAGTTGGATAAAAGAGTCCAGTATATGATTGAGGTAGTATTTCAAATTCGAAAAGATGGATTCAAGGATCATGTGGCTGTTAGTGAAGAATTAGATTTAGTTGAAGAAGAAGATCAATTTACGCATACAATAGAATTGGCCCAATCTATTGATGGCGAAGATATTTTGAATGTATTTAAATTTGATACAGATTATGTGAAAAATGAGGAAAAATATAAAGAATTGATGAAAGAAATTTTAGATACCGATGAAAGTTCAGGTGATGAAGGAGACGAAGAAAATGAGGATTCTGATGAAAGTGAAGCATCAGAAGAAGAAGAAGACGAAATTAAAAAAGATATAATATTAGACAATACAGAAACTAATTTAACTGCTCTTAGGAGAACAATTTATTTAACGATCCATTCTTCATTAGATTTTGAAGAATGTGCGCATAAACTAATGAAAATGAAATTAAAACCAGGCCAAGAGATCGAACTATGTCATATGTTTTTAGATTGTTGTGCAGAAATGCGGACATATGAAAAATTTTTTGGACTTTTAGCTGGCCGATTTTGTGCGATTAATAAAATTTATGTAACTCCATTCGAAAAAATATTCAAAGATTCTTATGAAACAATTCATCGTTTAGATATGAATAAATTAAGAAATGTTTCTAAATTTTTCGCTCATTTGTTATTCACGGATTCAATATCATGGGATGTATTAAATTGTATCAAATTAAATGAAGACGATACTACTAGTTCTAGTAGAATTTTTATAAAAATTCTTTTTCAAGAATTGTCAGAATACATGGGTTTATCTAAACTTAATGCCCGTGTAAAAGATGTAACACTTCAAGAAACATTTGAAGGATTATTTCCGAGAGATGATCCCAAGAAAAGTCGATTTGCAATCAATTTTTTTACTTCAATTGGACTTGGTGGTCTAACTGATGACCTTCGAGAACATCTTAAAACACGACCAAAACCAGTACCTGTTCCACCAGTCATTGCCAAGCCTACTACAGATTCATCAAGTTCTTTATCATCATCATCATCATCATCGTCGTCATCATCAAGTTCCAGCTCTGAATCAAGTTCCAGTTCGTCTGAGAGTTCAGATCAGAAAAAAAAAAAAAGAAAAAAGTATCAAAAAAACGTCATAGAACAAAGAAAAAAGCAAAAAAGCGTTGTAAATAATACTAGCTATAAGAAATACTTTGATGTATATATATGTATATATTAGGTAAACAGTTGTATGTAAATAAATTTCTCTAAATAAAACTTGATAAAAATAAAATTCGAGATTCTCCTTTGTTTCTTTACAATATAATGCTGCAGCTATTGCAAATCCTAAACCCACACCCATGGTTCCAAATGTTCCTGCATCAAGCCTATGGCGAGGATGTAAATTTAAAAGTATAGATCGACCAATGTCCATTGTATTAGCACCCTCCGAACAAATAATACAGTCTAAAAATGTAAATAGAATTAAGAAATAGTTATTATTGACTTTTAAAATATAATGGTTATTGAAATTAATTTCAATAACGATATTGGTAAATGGCAATAAAATACCAGTAGGTAAAACATCTTGAATATGTTTAAAAACGGTGTAATAATTCAGTGGAACTGATATATCTGATGATAATTGCTGTAATTTCATTTTATTTTCACTTCCAGCTTTTTCTAATTGAGTCCACCAGTCTTCTTCTTGACCAAAATAAAAATTCTTGCTTTGAAGGGCATCTGTTAGAAATTTTACTGTTGGTTTTATGTCCGCTTGAATAGCAACTTCTGATGTAACTGAATTATGTAATTCTTCTGCACATATCTCTACCTGCATTCAATTTAAATAAAATTTCCATTATATATTAATAAACTTTTTAATTATACTTATCAACAGATCATGAAATAGTTGAATCTGTATGATTTTAACGTCACTTTGATATCGTGGAGGTCGACCAAAATGGAGCATCCAGTTTAATCTAGCTCCCAATAAAAGTATAACATCCGCATGAAGTAAAGCAGTTGTTCTTGCACTTGAAACACAATGTGGATCCAAATCAGAAATAACACCTTTTCCCATTGGAGTTGGTAAAAATGGTAAATTAGTTGAATTAATAAACATTTGGAGTTCATCTTCAGTAAATGTTAAAAATATAAGGAAAAGCAAAGCAAAAGATCCTTCGTACACCACAAATGAACAGTGCGATCTACAAAAGAAAATTAAAAGTAATTAATTTTTCACTTCTCTAAGTTTCTGAAGTGGAATTTAAAATTATATTTTTCAGCCCAGGTAGGGCAAACTTTTGCCCTTTACCCTTTACAACTACCATTACCTCTAGAACTTTTGAAAGTGCAATAAAATTAAAAATAAGGATCTTTCATGCGGGCACTACAAAATAGTCAGTTTTAATTTTTTTTTTATTGAAATACTTTTTATAAAAGTATAAAGCCAATTACAAATCTAAACCATGAGTTTGACTATTTTATAATACCGTTATATGAATTCAAAAATTTTTAAACGATTTTGTCGTTTTAATTCTTCTTCAAAAGCGTTAAAGTCGAATATTATTCTACATTTTTGATTCTAATCTATTGTTAATTTGTGTTAATTGTGTACAGATTTAGAGTATTATTGATTGAAAAGCATCAATTTTTTATAATCATCAACACTGAGATGATAAAATAAAGTAGAATTAAAACATTCGAAGAAATAATATACTTAAAATCGTTTGAATAAGGATTAAAACGACTAAAATAGTCAGTTTTAATTTTCTGTGCAACAGTACCTATCATACAAGTATAAATCATCCTAAATCTAATGGAGAACTTTGATTATTTTGTAGTACCCGCATGACAATTTAAAATCCCTTTTTAATCCCTATTTAAAAGAGCGCAAGTACATTACTATCCTAACTTTCTAATTCTATTTTATTATTAATTTTATTGCACTCTTAAAGATTCGACAGGTGGTTATAGCTATTAAGGGTAAATATTTGCCTACCTGGAATGAAAAATACCCAGGTACAGAATAACAAAGCATGGGAAATTCCCAATTGCCCGTATTGATTTTTAATATATAAGGATATAGATTTTTAAATTTTGTTTTTAATTAATAATTTTTAATAACTAATAGCTAATTAATATAAACTTATGTCTTAAAAATTCTTTTTTCTTAATTTTTTTTATTCTTAATAACTAATAACTCATGTCTAGAAATATTATTAAATCAGAGTTGAGTGTTAAAATTTTATTAACATTATTGATAAATGTTATTAATATAGATGCTAATTGTGGAGTAAATAACGAGACATGAGTAATTTTAAGTATTTTGAAGTATATATTTTTGAATTTAGTTTTTTTTTAAATTAATCATTCTTAATAACTAATTACTATGTACTTATGTCTATGAAAGGTAATTAAATGAAGAAATGCTATTTTTATAGGAAAAATCGATATAACAAATTTTATTCAATTCAAAAAAATAGATATATGTATACAGTACATTTTTACATATAACAATATAATTACTATTATTGCAATATCACACATGCATTCCAGTCTTTAAAAACTCTACGTAAAAAAATTTAATTTAAATTAAAAAAATGACATTTAACAAAAATAAATTATTAAATTAATATACATAGTACATTTTAATTTTTACAAAAGAAGCTATTAAATATTATAGTACAATTACTATCATTTTCATATCACACATGCATTCCAGTCTTTAATATAATTTCCAATAAATCTAATTTACAATCTATCTTGAAAAAATAGATTATTCAAGAAAATACAATTTCTGTACAAATATTAAATTAATTTAATAATAAGTAACATTTACAAATTATGAAGCTAACAGTTAACATTAAAAAAAATACAATTTTAACATGATTAATTTTCTAATTTTTCTATCAATTGTTATCTACGTCGTTTATATGGTGGAGGCAAACAATCAGAATCATCTTTAAATTTATATTTCTCAATATAATCACATAAATCTTCCGAAGTAACAGGTGCTCTAATACTTTGGCAAACAGACTGAGCAGTGGTGAAAGAATTGGGAAATGATTTATCCGTTCTTTGACGCATAAACACCCAATGCCCATTTTCAAATTTACATTCAATTATTTTATTATTTAAATCTTTAATTTCTGTAGTAATTTTTATGTAATCAAATGGTTTTTTTTAAGCCTCCAACATATAAATGACCTATTTTTCTGGGTACAATACCCATACCTGATTCAACGACTATTTTTAATTTAAAATCTACAGAATTCAATGACAATGGCTTCCATTTTAAGACTTCTGCTGCAGTTCCAGAGATGTAAGGCTCCTTTGAAGGCTGGAAGATTAATCCGTCTGGTTCATGACCCAATTGTTTGGTGAATTTTTCACTCAACAAACTGTTGACTTGTGTGATATCCCAAAATTGCTTTTGTCGGACAGAAAAAGGTTCTTGTTCTCGGTATATTCTACTTTCTTTTAGTGCTCTATATCGGCCTCCCATTACTTCTCTCTCGATGATGGTATATCGATCAGGAAAAAATGATTTTTTAGATACATCGTTCCCGTCATACATAATTACATCATAAACTAAGTACCTAGGATATTCGGTACCATTTGCTTTATCAATGACCATTTCGCCATCCAATAATGTATCTTTCAGATTTCTTGAAAGATCTCGAGGGTGTGGAAATACCAATCCAGACACTTGGAAGACACTATTATCTCGATCAATGAAGAATACCTCATTATCTGCTTGGATTAGCATCATGTATCTAGTACCATCAGCTTTCCATGATACTCTATATGGTTTGATATTAAGTAAAACAATATTCTCCCAATCCATGGAGACTGGTTGAGAACCAGGGAAGCCATTTCTATTCCATTGGCACATTTCTTGAACTCTTTTTTGAATTCCTGCAACTTTAACTAAATCTTGTACAGGTACCACACCAGGAACTCCAGCCATAAAAACTGGATTTTTAACAATATGTTCCTTACGTCTTCGGGTATGTTTCCTACTTCCGAATTGTTCATGTTCTTTCTCGTCCCCTCTGGAGTCGTCGTATTCCAAACACCAAGCTGGACTTGGTGGTGCAGGCGGTGCATAACTCTCATCATCATATCGTCTGTATAACTCTTTGATGTAGTCTTCCTTGTAAATTCCAGGAGGTCTAATAGATGAGAATTCATTAACAGCAGCGTCCAAATTAAATGTCCCACTTTCAATTAAGTAGCTTATCAGAAGAAACCCAGTTCTATTGAAACCATGGGTGCAATGGACTCCAATAATCTCCGATGGATTTTGTGCAATAAAATTGTTGCAAATTTCAATAAAAACTTTTGTTTGTTTTATGGTGGGAGTTTCTCCATGACCTCGACATTGAAGTTTGTAGTAATGACAACTGTGGGCTTCGACATCAGCTTTATTATAAAATCTGTTAGTATTTGTCAAATCTATTAGTAATCCCATTTTCAGTCTTTGACTCTTTAATGATGCAAACAACATGTTTACAGAAAAACGACATTCTTCAGAAACTTGACTATTAAATGCTTCTGATAGTGGTGTTTTAAATGCAAGAAATTTATTATTTATTAATCCTATACTTTTTCGAGGACAGTGTAACCATCGTGGAGGGATTATCCCTTTACTATTTTCGGCACTCCAACTTGACATTGTTCGTTCACTTGACCTCAACTGTACAAATTAAACTTTTTCTCTTACAAACACTCACTTATCAATGTTCGCTTTTGCGTTTTGATTATGCAAATGTTGCATAAAATTGAAACTTCACTTGTATTTTCAAAAAAAAAACAGAGCAAAAAATACACGGTGTGCACTGGTTGACATCCAAGTCTCAAGTGATGTCAAACAGTTTTCGTTGCCTAGACTACCAGTCTTGTGCGCCGTCTGGTGGTGAAACTAAATGTCGTGTCACCATGCGCCATCTGGTAGCGTGTTAAATGCCTCTAGTGGCATAACTACGAAACATCAAACTTCCGGCGGCAATGGCACGGCGTAGTTATTATTTGAATCCGCTTCTTACAATCTCGTATTTAAATTCGTATATAATCAAGAGTACAAAACTTTTTGTACTTTGAATACGAATAAGTAGCAGAATAATATAGTCTTCCATAAGATTTTTATATTCTAACTTGATGGTAATTTCGCTTGTCATTGTGATTATATAGATTTTATACAAAACTTCATTATTTTTGAGCGTGATTTGAGTCCGAAGTTATTTTTCTATTATTACGTACATACTCCAGCATATTTTTTACTAATTAATATTTGTATAATAAATTAGTCACTTGTTTCCCTTAATCTACCGGCTTCGTTTTTATTTATAAATTTCAGTAGATTTAAAAAATGACCACTCCGTGCCATTGCCGCCGGAAGTTTGATGTTTTATCGCTATTTTGGAGCTTCTGTGCCACTCAGTAAACAGTAGCGTTTTTATTTATGAGTTACCTTACTTAGTAACGTTTATTCAATGATTTTTGAGCTAGCTGTTCAAGAATTTTGTAAAAAAATGAATGCTGTAAACAATTAAACGGCGATTTTCTTGATTTTTAAAATTGTTTATGATCATAATTATAAATGTATTAATAATCTAAAAAATTATACAATTGTTTGTGACAATATTCCAACACCACAATCGAGCCTATACTTTAGTAATTATACTATAGCAAAATATATCCCCCACTATTTGAGGAACGCTCTTACGCCATGTTTTCTTTTTTGTCCCTGGATTATAGCCTCTGCTGGGGAACGATGGTGACGAAGCCAAAGCATGCGTGCTAGAAGCCATAAGAGACGCTACTGTCAAAATTGTGTAACTTTCTATACTTTACTATACCTGATCTTAAGTACGTTTTGTCTATCGACACACCTCAGTGCTGTATACATGTATATTTATAAAACTTGTATCATCAATTAATTTATACTGTAACTAAACCTTTTACGCAATTTTTTCACGGTTTATTTATCCTAAGTAATAAATAAAATATTAAATTTTGATGGTTTTCTCAGTGAAAGATTTTTTGGAGTTACTTGAAAAGTTAGTGATATCTGAGCAATGTTTGTTGCAATGTTAAAATTGTTAAAAATATTCTTCTGGATAACTAACATTTTATAGTTAGTCTCATTATTCATTACTAGTAAAAAAATTACTTTTTTCTTAATTTTTTTGAAGTTCTTCCAATTTTGTGTATAATATATTTTATTTCTTGTATTGATTTTTATAGATGCACACCTAAAAAGTGTCATCAGATTCATATCTTGTTGGCTACTGTTCCAATATTTCGGTTATTTTGTCAAATGTTCATGAATATAAAAGGCTAAATTTGAATGTGGTGTAAAAAAACGATAGATAAAATTTTTCATATAAAGAGAAATACATTATAAAAATTGTAGAAAATGTCAGACGACGATATAGCTATGGATTCAGTCGACTCTGACGAAGACATTTTTAGTACTCATAATCGTTCTCATAATGATGCACGAAGGTCTAAACCTCTTCGTACACTGCGATCACATTCAAATAATAAATCTCATATTACAAGAAATAATTTGAGTGTACGAAGAAGCACACGGAATAGAATGCAGACTTATGATAATCTCAATACATCATGGATACTAGGTAAGAATTAAAATTAATTCATAATGTGTATCATTTCTTTACAATGGTATAAATTTTATAGGTACACAGACTTTGAAAGGATATCCTATGTTCCAACAACATCCATCGTCTTCTGATAAAGAAATGGTCGATGAATCATCTGATAGACCAAAGGACCTTCGTGAGCGTATGCCTTTGCGGTCAAGAGAAAATCATCAATTAACAAAGAATAATAAACCTCTCAAAAATAAAGAAGACATTAGTGATAGAATTGGGGATAGAACGGAAACAGATACGGAAGACTCCCCTCAGGTTAACCAAGAAGCTAATGATGTTGAAAGTAAAGATCAAAATGATCGCAAAGGAGATAGAGAATTAAAATATAGAAACGGAAATAAGAATAAAACAGAAAATACTTCTATAAGTACAGAAAAAGAAATGGAGTCAAAAAAACTGCACAGCCCTTCAAGAGCGCGAGAGGGTCCAGTAACAAGATTATGTGGGATGTTAGAAAAGGATGAGAAAAAAGTTTTACCCATAGATATGAATGATGATGATGATAGTTCTCATGAAAGTGAAAAACAGGGTGAAAACGAAAATTCTGAAAATGATGATGGTTACGAAGATATGTATACCCGAATCAAAAGAACCAGAAGAGCATCTCAACGGCAAATGGAAAGAAATAAGAAATTATCAGAAGAAAGTGATTTAAGTGAGTCTTCTGATTCTCCTGGACCACGGAAATACAGTCTTCGTAAAAAAAAACCCACCGTAGATAGATTTCAAGTTAGTTCTGAACCAGTTCGACGTTCTATACGAGCATTACGCAGTGTGTTGAGTCAATCAATTCGACGACGAAAACATAGAAGTAAAAGTTCTTGCTCCACTGACTCGAGTGATATTGAAACTCAACGCTATGATAAAAAGAAGTCAAAAAAAGTTAGACAAAATGCACTTCCTCAAGGTGGTCCACCTGATAAAAAAGCCGATATAAATCCCATTATAGTAGACACTAATATCAGATTCAGTGATGTTGGTGGCCTAGAATCGCATATTCACTGTCTTAAAGAAATGGTGATGTTTCCTATGTTGTATCCAGATGTATTTGATAGATTTCAAATTACCCCACCTAAAGGAGTTCTTTTTTATGGTCCACCAGGTACAGGAAAAACATTGATTGCACGAGCTCTTGCAAATGAATGTAGCCAACAAGGAAGTAGAAAAGTTACGTTTTTTATGAGAAAAGGTGCTGATTGTTTATCAAAATGGGTTGGTGAATCAGAGCGACAGTTAAGACTTCTTTTCGAACAAGCTCAACAAATGAAACCATCGATTATTTTTTTTGATGAAATCGACGGTTTAGCTCCAGTCCGAAGTACAAAACAAGATCAAATTCATGCAAGTATAGTGTCTACATTGCTTGCATTGATGGATGGTCTAAATGATCGAGGGGAAGTAATAGTTATTGGAGCAACGAATCGTATTGATGCGATTGATCCTGCATTAAGAAGACCAGGAAGATTTGATCGTGAATTATTCTTTCCATTACCAGCAATTAAAGAACGATTAGAAATATTACGAATTCATGTAAGCAAATGGAAGAATCCACCATCTGATTTACTTTTAGATATATTGGCTGAAAAAACAACTGGTTATTGTGGCTCAGATATACGTGCACTTTGTACTGAAGCCGTATTGCAAGGTCTTAGAAGAACGTATCCTCAGATTTATTTGACCAGTAATCGTTTATTATTGGATCCACAAAGAGTTGAAGTGAAAAAGCAAGATTTCATGGAAGCTACATCTGTGCTTGTACCATCAACCCATAGAGTTGCTCCTAGTGTTAGTAGAAAGCTTCAGGCATTTATGGTGCCATTACTTGGGAATGCTTTAGATGAGTTATTTAATTCTGTAAAAACAATGTTTCCTCAAGGTGTTAATCCAGCATTAGCCAAAATTAAAATTGCAAAAGGACTTCATCGTCCAAGAATGTTAATTACTGGAAATAAATTATCACACGGACAAGGATCTAAACTGGCACAAGCTTTACTCTACCGTATGGAGCATGTTTCTGTACAAACATTAGATATAAGTACGTTATTCAGCGAAAGTGCTCGTTCACCAGAAGAAACTTGTGTTCAAGTATTCCATGAAGCATTGAGAAATATACCATCAATCATATATGTTCGTTCAATTGATCAATGGTGGCCAATAGTACAGGAAACGGTCAAGGCTGTTTTTATGTGCAGAATTACTAGTCTTGATCCTTGTCTTCCAATTTTAGTCATTGCTACGAGTGACACTCCATATAATGAACTGCCTTTCCAAATAAAAAGTCTTTTTAGTGAAATACGTGAAGAAGTTTATGAATTGGATATTCCAACAGCAGAGCAAAGGTCTGCATTTTTCAAGCCTATTTTTATGGTTCAAAGTTTAAAACCTCCTCTCATTATTGATGATAAAGTGGAAATTCTTGAAGAATTGCCTCTAGCACCAGACCCAATACCAAAGAAATTGACTGAAGATGAAAGAAGAGTATTATATGAAAAAGAAGAAGTTTCATTACGAGAATTAAGAATATTTCTTCGAGAAATATGCGCTAAGTTAGCTCGGAATAGACAGTGAGTATAAATATAATTACATAGACAATTTGTTACGTAATTATTGTTAATATTTATAAAAAATTCTTTTCTTGTTTTAGATTTTTCATGTTTACAAAACCAGTTGATACAGAAGAAGTTCCAGATTATAATACAATAATAAAGCAACCGATGGATCTTGAAACAATGATGACCAAAATTGATAAACATTCTTATTTGTGTGCACGTGATTTTCTTGATGATATCGATTTAATTTGTAAAAATGCTCTAGAATACAATCCTGACAGGTAAAATTTTTTATGCATATTCATTAATTATTAAGGAATAGCTATTCATTGAGTTGAAAGTTTTTAGTCGCTATTATTTAATTATGTAATTATGTAGAGCATGTCACGTTAAAAACAATGATAATTTTTAACAATCATTTTAAATAGCTTTTTAAATAATTGATTTTTTAATTAATTTTATATTATATGTTTTTTGTTAAACTAAAAATAATTTTTTGAATTTTATAATTGAAATCATCTTTGTTTCTTTTATACTAGACGTAAAGAATATGACAGTCAAAGAACGCTTAAAATTTTCAAGTAGTTTGAGTATTCGATTTAAATGTTTTTTATTTTTTTTTTACAGTTAAGACAATAGTATAAATTAATTATATATAAGATATGTGTGTGGAAATAATTATAAAAAATACTGACAATGTCATGTTTTTTCCTGTATAGCTTGCGTGATAGATCTTCTTTTGGAATATTGAAGAGGTAGATTTCTCTATTATATCCATTTTGAATATTTTTTATTCTCAGTGATATGTTCTGAAAATCAATTCTATTTCAATCTTTCCAGACCTTAAAGTATTTTTTTAAATACTGTTATGACATTTTTCCCAATATAAGATTCCAATACAAATTATTCTTGAATATGTCTCGAACTATCGTTTATTTTAATAATTTATTCCATTAAATCATTGTAGATAATTATACTAATACTTTCCCATTTTTTGGTATTATTTTTTCTGATTATTAAAATTCTCAAAAGTTATAATTTTAACTATATTTATTGCTTTTCAGAGATCCAGCTGATAAACTTATTCGTCACCGTGCTTGCTCGCTGCGCGATCATGCTTATGCTCTAATTAAAGCAGAACTGGATTCAGATTTTGAAGATAAATGTCGAGAAATATCCAAAAACCGCAAACTAATAGAGAATGCAAAAAATAATAATCACAATAATAATAGTATTAAATCAATGAAAAATGACCATTATATTAATAATGATAAAAATGATAGAAAAGATAGTATGATAAACTCTAATTGTTCATTGGAAATGAATAATCGAAAGGTAAACACTTCAAGAAAACGAAAAATTCCTGCATGGGCACGTGGTTATGTAAAGAAAGTAACCAAAAAGAAAAAAATAATATATGATGAAAATACCATTGAATCGAATGACAAATTAGCAACATGTTCAAATAATGGAGCTAGAGGAGTTGATCTCGACAAGTTCCAGGAATTTGAAACTAATAGTATGCTAAACAATGACAGGATATCATGTGATAATAGTGAATCTGAAAATGATTCAACGAATGATAATGTAAAGATAGTTAAAATGAATAGTTCAAGTGAAATAACAACAGAGCGAATAATGATTGAAGAAATAGTTGATAAAGTTGTCACTAATGATGTACAAAAATCAGCAGATAATAGTGGAAATACTTCATCAATACAACCCGATATCTTAGAAGATTTAACTTTTACAATTAACTGTGATCACCGAAAAACTAAATTAGGAAGAAGTGATAAGGTAATGGTTAGTAAAGCAGACTTAGAAGTAATATGGAAATATACTGTTGACGTGACTGAAGACTTCTCTATCGAAGAACTGTGCGATATTTATGTGCAATTAAGTAGGTGTGTCAGCAAATACGATTATACATATGACCGAAAAACACTGCCAAAGGTAAGATAAACATAATATATTTTATGCTTCATTTATATATTTATTATTAATTACTTATATAAAAATTTCTCCATTTTAGGATTTGCTCAAAGAATTAAAAAAATATAAGAAAACCGTGTACAACGTAGCCGAACCACAATTGGATAATTGAGATTAATATTTCCAATTATACGTCTTATTTATGATAAGCATTTTTCGATAATATTTAAAATTATTAATTTTTTTAGTAAAATATTTCATTTTTTTTATTTAAAAATACTTAACTGCCATTAATTTTTATTATAATAAATCATTGATTAATTAGTATTAATTAATTTATTTATGTTTTTTTTTTAATTTTTTTAATAATAATTTTTTTTCGATATGACATCTGTCATTGAATTGTATGAATGCGAAAGAATTTTAAATGAAAACCATTTTTCAAATAAAATTATTTTACTTATGATGTAATTATGTATGTCTCAATTTTTTCAAAATTCCTCAAATTATTTATTAGTTATGATCCTTCGAAAAATGAACAACGAAATAGAACTTTATCTTACATATATCACCTACCAACTGTAATCATTTGATTTTCATATGTTTAATTTTATGTCGAAGTAATTTGTCCATAAATGAATGGCATGTCTAAATTTTACGTAAATTACTCCAAGTGTATCGTGTATCATATGAATGAAATTTAAAAAAATATAAGAAATTAAAACTTTATCAAAATATCAAATAAATTACAAGTATAGAATATTGAAATGTCGAATGCACGAGATTTTTCATGTATTGGTGGTTTGGAGAAACACATAAAACTAGTAAAAGAAATGGTATTATTTCCTCTCATATACGGTGATATATATGCGAAATTTAATATAAAACCTCCACGAGGATTATTATTTTATGGTCCTCCAGGTAAGTAATTCTGATCACTTTGATGAGCATATGAATTTCATGAATAAATATTTTAGGCACAGGAAAAACCTTGGTAGCAAGTGCATTAGCAACCGAGTGTAGTAATTCTGAAAAAAAGGTATCATTTATATCTCGAAAAGGCTCTGATTGTTTGAGTAAATATGTTGGGGAAAGTGAGAAGAAGTTACAAAAAATATTTCAATTAGCCCAACAAATGAAACCTTGCATAATATTCTTTGATGAAGTTGATGGTCTCGCACCTGTACGTACTAGCCGACAAGACTATGTCCATGCTAGTGTTGTATCCATTTTATTAGCTCTTATGGATGGATTAGATAACAATTCAGAGATTGTTATTATTGGTGCAACTAATCGACTAGATGCAATTGATCCAGCTTTAAGAAGGCCTGGCCGCTTTGACAGAGAATTATATTTTCCTCTACCGTGTTTTAGTGCAAGAAAAGATATATTATCGGTATTGTAGTTATTTTGTCTAAGTGTTTTCTATGATTGAAAAAAAAATTTATCTTTCTAGATTTACGTTAAAAATTGGAAACACAAACCATCAATAAAATTCCTATCCTACATAGCATCTAATACAGTCGGATACTGTGGTAGTGATCTTCAAGCTCTATGTGCTGAAGCTGTCATGTGTTGTGTGAGAAGACAGTATCCTCAAATATATACAACAAAGCCTAAACTTCAAATTAATGATAGACATTTAAAGGTCAGTATTTTTGTTTTAAAAAATTTCTAAACTTGGATACTTGAATAGTATTCTAATAATACTACTGAACTGATAGGTGGAAAAAAGAGATTTTATAGAAGCTCAATCCAATATTACTCCAGCATATTTCAGAGCTGTTATGGCTCCTATTAAAAAATTATCATCTTCAATTTATCCACTTCTTCAAAACAATATCTCTAATATTCTTGATAGGTTGCAGAGTATTTGTACTTCTGACATGTTTCCGTTTGAAAGCAAGTAAGTCTTGAAAATTAAAATACTGAAGTTTATATTATCATTTATTTTATGATAATTTATTTAGTATGAAAATTATTACCTCAAAATCGAAAAATTCTCCTCGCATTTTATTGTATGGAAAAGATGATTGTCATACTCGTCATTTAGCACCAGCATTATTGCATACCTTTGAACATTTACCTTGTCATGTATTGGATGTTATGACACTTTTTGAAGAAACTGGTCGTTCTGTTGAAGAAACTATAATTCAGGTATTGAATACTTTTAAACTATTTACTTTAGTTACTTGATTATTGATCAATTAATTATTATAATTTTAAAATAGAAAATAAAACTTGCTCGGCATACACTCCCTTCATTACTATACGTGCCTAGCATTAATGCTTGGTGGCATTTAGTCAATCAAACTGCTCGTACTATTTTTTTATCTCTTTTGAATGGGTTAGATCAGTCTACTCATATGCTGATTCTGATGACTATTAATACTAATTTAGTAAAAATACCTAAAAAGGTTTGAATAAATTTTTTTAAATCTTTACAAGTAGGAAAAGAATTATCTTTAAGTTAAAATTAAAATGACTATATATTTAAATAGATTGCACAATTATTCGATGGTAGTTATGGCGAATTCTATGAAATTCAGCCTCCTAACAACTCTGAAAAGATAGCCTTTTTCAAACAATTATTCACTAAATATTACTTATCAACCAGCAGTGTATCAAACAAGTCATCTTATGGTAAGTTTGGCTGGAAGTAATTACAAAATATAATTATTAATAAAATTTTCAATTCAATGGATGTAGTGGATTTTAATCAAATAATGCAATCAACCAGAACAAAGATGGAAGATCAGCTACAAAATAATTCTCAAACTGACTGGAATCATAGAATTAATACCAGTCATTCTCAATCCAATATTAACAATTCAGTTCCTGATTCTATTCCAAGTATTACTAGTTTTTGTTAAGTACAAAACTTTTAATTTAATAAATTATTTGTTGAGTAAAATTTTTTGATAACAGGAGTTGGAACTAAAAGAAATCGAATACCTTCTGATGATGTTGTCATAAGAAAAAAATCTAAACTTGAATTAAGTTTATCTTCAAATCACCGAGTTACAAGATCTGGAGGATTAAAAGAAATAGAAATAGAAGAGCTAATTAATCGAATTATTAAATGTACTCACAACTGGGTTACTGGAAAACTTGAAAGATTATATATTGAATTTGAGATTATTCTTAAGCAAAATGATGGTGAAAATATATCTAAAAAAATTCATGATTGTCTTGATATTTATACTAAAATAAACTATGATTGAACTAAACAATTATGATATCATAATTAATTAACGATTTACATGAGTAGAATTATAAATAGGTTATAAATTGAATTTGAAAAAAACACGATATTTGGCGCTTTTACACAATTCGATGCATCGATATATCATCTCTGTATTCCGAGTATCGATGTTTTCTCAGTTCGACTTAAAAACAGTCAGATCTACATAAACAAAAGTTTTAAAAATGATAAAATCACATATATTGTCAATAAACAATATTTTAAAAATAAGACAGCATATTAAAGTGAAATGTTGTGTATCTAGGTATTGTACAAAGGTGATTAATCATTTTTAGTAAGTCAATAATTCTCATAATCACAATTATAATAAAAAAGTATTAACAACAGGTAAGCAGATATCCAAAACGAATATTTTCGGGAATACAACCTTCTGGGACAATTCATTTGGGTAATTACTTAGGAGCAATAAAACAATGGGTCAATTTTCAAGATAGTATGAATCCTGGAGAAGATATATTATGCTGCATAGTAGACATGCATGCAATCACCTTACCACAGGTATACTATTTATTAAGAGAACTAATTCTTTAAGTAATAATTCATTTGAATTTTTTAGGACCCAAAAATATTGAGAGAAAATATATTAACTATGATAGCAACCATGTTAGCTTGTGGTATAAATACTGATAAAACTATAGTCTTTCAACAGTCTAGCATATCTATGCATGCTGAGCTAGCGTGGGTTCTTGGATGTTGTACGACTTTACCTAAATTAAGTCAGTTACCCCAATATAAAGACAAAAGCGAAAAATTAAAAACTGTACCTTTAGGTTTATTAACGTATCCTATTTTACAAGCGGCTGATATATTACTTTATAAGTAAATCATGCTCATATATTAGAAATACATTGTTTGATTTATAATTCATACTTGATATGCAATTTTTTGTAGAGCTACTCATGTACCTATTGGAGAAGACCAGCTACAACATTTACATTTAACTCAACATATTGTAAATTATTTTAATGGAAAATATGGAAAGACATTTCCCATTCCTCAGCCACTTGTAGATAGTAAGTTAAGACTTTTTTTCGTTGTAGTTATTATGTTTTATTTGAGGAAACTTAATAATCATCATTTAAGGTTCAAGTGGTCGCATAAAGTCTTTAAGAGAGCCTTTGAAAAAAATGTCTAAATCAAGTGAGTATAAGAAAAGCTGCATCAATTTGACAGATCCACCAGACGTAATTAGACAATATATAAAAAAGGCGGTTACGGATATGACATCTAACATTACTTATGATCCCCAAAATCGACCCGGCGTATCCAATTTAATTAATATACATTCTTTATTAACTGACAAATCTCATGAAGTTATATGTGAAGAAGCCATTGGGTTGGATACTGGCAAATATAAGTTGATTGTAGCAGATGTTGTTATTGAGAAGTTAACACCAATTCGTCAAGAATATTTCAAATTGATCAATGATCCTGCTTATTTATTGAATGTCTTAAATAATGGAACATTAAAGGCATTACCATTGGCAAATCAGTGTTGGACAGAAGTTAAGCGGAAACTTGGATTTAGTGGTGGAATATTATCACTCAAAAATTGGGAAAAAGATATGAAGAAAAGTGTTTTATAAATTAATTGAAAATTTTATTAATGTTTAGGAATAAATAATTTACAAAAATAAGTGCTATTTATTTATTAATGTTTTAGTGATGTTAATCTGAATCGCATTAGTTATTCATTTCAATGACTAGTTTGCCTCTCAAATGTCCATCAACAACTCGTTGATAAGCTTGAGGTAATTCTTCCAAGCTGTAGATCTTTTCAACGACTGGAATGAGCTTTATAAAAATATAAAAAATGATTTATTTGTAAAATGTATTGTTTATGAACGATATGTCACATTTTCTTACCTGCTTATTTTCTACTAGTGTTTGCAACATATTTATACCAGTTGATGATGGAACAAAAAATCCCCATTTAATGCATCCTTTATTACTTTTTTTCAATTGCATTACATTCGATTTTAGAAAACTACTGATGTTTTTTGCAAATCCGGCAACAATACCATAATCATCAACATGTCTTAAAAGGGGTGAATTAAGAGTTATGTAATTATCATACGAATATTTTTTATGCGGTATATCATCAAGTTTCTGATTAGAGCAATCTAGGACAATATGATACCTTAAAAATAGGAAAGAAATTTTTTTAATTAATCCTCATTAATATATACTATCTTAATGGATACAAGGGATAAATTCTGCAGCTAATGAATTGAATATAAGATACTTACGGTCCTTCATTTTCTAGTTTCAAATCCGCATCATTTTGTTTATAATCAATAACAATATTAGCTCCAAGTGTTTTCAACAATTCAGTGGCATCTGCACTGCATGTTGTTACAACCTTAGGATTAAACGATTAACCGTAATTAGAATCATAAAATAATAAATGGATGAGATCATTTTTTTTACTCACAAATAGCTTCCATGATTTTGCGATTTGTATTGCTAATGTTCCAACTCCTCCAGATCCTCCTAAAATAAGTATCTTCTTATTGGATATACTAGGTAGAATACTTTTATAACTCAATCCTCCAGTAATCCACAAACTTGACCATGCAGTTAAACCCGCATATAAAATACTTGCTGCTTCCGCATGAGATAAATTCAAAGGTTTCTTGTTAACCTTTGAATAAAAGAATCATACAAATATGTTGACAAAAATACTAATGGTCGCAATCGTAAAATTTTTTCATACAAAGCAATTGTCTACAACAACATATTGAGCATGACATCCTTGTTGTTCTACAGGAACAACTCCCCAAACATCATCACCTAATTCTAGCCGATCAGGAACTTGATGACCTTTTTCAACAATAACTCCGGAAAAATCTCTACCAAGAGTAAGAGGAAATTCAAGATCTGTCTTCATCTGTTTTGCTATTCTAAGAATATTGATAACTTTCGCGCCATACCCTCCTGAAAAATACAAATATGTACTTTAAATTGAATAATTGGTCTTGTTTTGGAAACATGTAAACGTAGTGAAAAATAGAACTACTAATCATAGCGATGTCAATAGGGTTTACACTTGCAGCTTTTACTTTTATTAATACTTCTGTAGGTTTCTTAAGAACTGGTATTCGAACACTTGATTGTTTCAATTGACTTAAGTTTCCATAATCGTGGATTTGCCATGCTAGCATTCGACCTTCAACATTGCTTTTTTTACTACATGTCGCATGCAATAATTGCCGAAATTGTGAAAGCCGCATCTTTTCAATTTATTCTGGTGTTTATGATAAAATATTTATTTTTAAAAATTTTTTTAATCCATAAATTTCAATGACTACGTAAATACTACAGAAAGTCAACAAACAAAGGCTGTTTTTCAGCGAACGTATTGCGTGAGGAGATCGTTTAATACAAGATCGATATTTTAACTATCGATATTTTGTATCGATACTACACACTCAATTATGTGTATGCACACTGTATAGTGTGTACATTGCTCGGGTGCCATATAGATTCAGGAAAGACATTAACGACAGCTACATTCTAATGACCAAAACTAAAAGTTCCTATGAGAAGTTATGTCTAATGTAAATTTAGTACAACTATAAAGAACACCATTATCAATGACAACATTCACATAAATGATTATGCATAATTCGATCATGTAACGATATAAATCAAGAACTTATAGATACAATGATAAACTATCCCACAGTTTGATTATAAAAATGCTTAAAATATTTAATGACAATTGTATCCAAAGAAAAAAATCTCTAATAGTCATTTTATCCACAAACTATATCGATAACATTGAAACGAGATATTACCAACGGTAGGTAATCAAATTTCGCGGTAGGTAAAGTAAATTTCTTAAAGTAACTGATAAAAGATAACAGCCATAAACTGATATATTTTCGAACAATTGTTATAATATTAGATCATTATTACAGAAAATAAATGAAAATTATCTATAATTCTGTTAATTGTGTACACAGAGACCTATTTTCATATATAATAAAAAGATTTTTTGGGTTGACTACATCGAGCTTTGACTGTATATTGTCAATAGAAAATGAGTTTCAGCATTTACACAAACAGAATAAATGAATTAATAATAATTGAAATAAATCAATATTAAACTAAAAAAATTAAACTACATTTTATAATTAATTACAAAACTCATAAAGAACTCTTTCTTTGTATATATCAAACAAATTTATTGAAATAGAAATAACATACATTGTAAGAGAATAAAAGTAATTTCAATTAACAGTTTACTGTTCACTTATAAAAATGAATACATTTCAGATAATATTCTTTATATCAAACTGTATTAAAAAGTATTTAACTTTATTATGAATAAAAATATTTTTTGACGATATCTTATATTTTTTTTTCATCCAATTTTTTTTTAAAAAAAAACACCATTATTATGCATGTAAACATAAAAAAATAATCTATTATTAATTACTGTCATGTAAATTGTAATAATGAATATTTCGAAATTAGAAATTCTTTTATATAAATCTGAGTTGTTGATCTCTATTCATTTTAAAATTCAATAATTTTGAAAATTCATTATTACTTATATTATGTCTCAACTTATAAACCTATTTGATCAATAATAGTCTATCTTAAAAAATCTGATTACAACTAACAATTTCGACTATGTTAAAATTATCTGTTGTAACTTACAATGTTATCGTCAATACCTTCTCAAGTACAAACATAATACAAAAAAATAAGTAATTAAAAAAACTTGAATAATGTTAGTCATTACTTTATATTACTTTTGTTGCTCCACAACAAAGAAAAAATGAAAAATTAGAAGAACGACTTTTCAACAATAGTTCTATAGAGCGATGCCTAAAGAAAACTGGCTTGTCGTATCTTCTCTTACCTTGTTATATTTAACAAAATATAAAGATAATATAAAAAACTTATTTTAATGTTAGATTTACTTATAACCCGTCAAATTAAAAACCAAATAGTATACTACTTTATTATTATTCACTCTGAAAAGACGATGCTGCTAATTATTATGATGCAGCTTGAAATAATTATTCAATTCGCCTCACTTCAACCGGATCAGCTCGACAAATAGGGCATCTCAGTGGAAGTCCGTCTCTAGTTGCTGTTTCTCTTAACTCTTCAGTACACCTTTCACACAATACGCAATGTCTACATGGTAGAAATTCAGTTTGTACTAAATTCCCAACACACCCTATGCATCTTCCATCGTCTGTAACGAATCTACCTTCTGAAATATTTATTATAAATTGGATAATTTTACATTGATGAAATTGTATTATAAAAAATTGTTGGTCATTACTCCCTTACCTTCAACTAGTCGGTTTCGCCATAATATGTTATTCAAGACTTCTTGGCGTCGAGGTAATCCGTTGACGTGCAGTTCTGCTAAAATAGCTATCGGCTCAACTTCGATGCTGCTAATTATTATTATAATTACCTCAACATGTCAACAGTAATATTAGTGGAATCTATTTCATCAAATATCTCCTCATTTTCAAGGTTATTCAAATTAATAACTGTAAGGCACAAATTTCAATTTTCTAACATTTTAAATTGATAGTATAACAAAAATTTTTTTATTGATCATAATATATTTACCTCCGTAATTGTTGTCCTCAGTGACTTCTAACTCTACGTAATCTATTTCTTCAGTGTATTGTTGAAATGCTGTTGAAATATACGAAGCGCATGCTAGAAATTGTGGCATATTTATCTCTTCTAATTCATATAGTCTCCATATTACTTTTATTCTCTCATTTTGTAAAACATAAGCAGGACGTGGATTGCGCCTCACTTGGTGTCCTGCCAGTAGTGTCCGATACTCCAATTGTGCATTTTCAGCTACACATTTTAAATTATCTGCAATAAACAATAATTACTATAAAATCTTGTTAGTCTTAATGAGAAACATTATTCATTAATTGATTATATCTATATCATACCCGTCAATTTCCATATAGATGGATGACAACCACATCTTGTAGTTAATATTCGATTATATGATTCCGAGAAGTTATTTGTTCGATCAATTTCATTGTAAACGCTGAAACGTTCTGGGCGAATTCGTTGGATCCATTGCCGTCTATAATAAATTATGAATGGATGCAGTAATGGCTTTATCAGATCCGGGATATGATAAACAAGCCAATTAAAAGCTTCTTCAATATTTTCAGCTGGCAGTAGAGGTAGTGATAAAAATTTTTTTATTAATATCTTACTCAACCTCCATTGTCTAAAGAACTTGAGTAGCTTTAATTTGGCTAATTTCTTGATTACAGCCTATTTTAATAAAATAATGTATTAGTTACTCTTTAATTCATAGTTTGTATTATTTAATTGTTATTTACAACCTGACAGTAATGGAAGTAACAATGACGATGTAATACAGCTGGATAAGTAACATTTACAGCCAGAGAGAGAGCCGCTTCAAAGTCTGACATGATTACTGAAGGATTGATTTGTGGTGCTATAACAGTTGAAAAATATGTCAAAGCACAAATATAAGCTGAAATTGTTTTCCTCTCCATAAGGCACCAGAAAATTGGAATTATCTACAAAAAAAAAGTATTTTTTTTACAGTAAATATTACAATTAATTCTATATATATATAGCTGCTTTAAAAAATTATATAAAATTTTCAAATTACAATATCTGACAGTTGATCATTGGAATATAATTTTTAATTTTGTTAAACTTTTATGCATTAAGAACCAATTAAACAATGATATATTTAGTGCTCTTCGAGTATTAGCAGCTGGAATTTATTTTGATTTACTTAACAATCAATCTGCAAAAGAAGAACTTCTTCTGTATACAGAACTTAATCTATTAAAGTGCTCATCTAGGCCTAACTGGAATATTATTCAAGAACCTCCTAGTTATGGAAGATAATGCCTGGATGATTTTGTCAAAGTCATTCCCGAGATATGCTCAAAAATTAAGAACGAAAAATTATACTCTTGGTCAAGAATTGTCAAAGACTTTACAAAAGCTATTTATAATTTCAACGAGAAAAATAAAAAAACTACAGATAAACTAAACAATATTTTTATAAAACATTACTCGTGGCTTCACAATAATATTGAAAAGTTAATTAATGATAAATCAAAAGAATAAAGATATTATTCAAATAATCTTCGGGTTCTCTTAAAAACCCATGAACAAGAGCTTTACGTTATTTGGATTTGTAATTATGAAAAGCCATTCGAGGTTTCATTTAATGAAGCTTGAACTTTCTTGAAAAATGATCCTAAAAAAATTCTTCATTATTATCAAATTTATTACCAGCGATTTTGCAGTCAAGTTTATGCAAGAAGTGGTCAATGATTTTTAAAAATTAGTTGTTGGTGTCAAGATATTGCAATAAAGTTTATCAAGATGAGTGTCAACAATATTAAAGAAAATGGAGATCACGAAACAGTGCTAATTATCTCTGTACTTCTAGAAGGACCGGCGTTTGAGAAAATTATTGCTTCATATACACCAAAAAATTTCGTAGTCAATATTAAAGGTGATAATCCCAGAAAAGACTTTATGTTCGAGTTTTCTATTCCAAAATCTCTCAACCTGGTCAATCCACCTGTATCATTAAACTTTATTTTACCATTTTGTGAAAGAGATTATATGCATATCATTTTAAATTGTTTGGTGAATGTAGAACGACGAGTAGCAGTTGATAAACTTGTACTCTTTCGTCGCCAAGAATTGATGAATCAAAAAGTGTCTGTTAAAAAAGACGGCATCAGATTGTTTCGACTGGTCTAAAGTACTAATCAACTACTAAAAACACTTATGAATTTGTGAAAAAAAGAAGAGCATAGATCAATTCGTCTGTTAATAGTGGAAACAATAGTTCATACTGTTAATAAAGAGCCATGCTCAGAAACTATATTAATGATCAACGAGTGCCTTGATAGCTTGACAGTTAATGATGCAGGTGTTGCAAAATTATCGAGGAAACTTTTTACAAACTACATAATAATAAATTACTATAAAACTTGCAATTCTTCACTTGAAGTGAAATGCATTGTTAATGAATAAATATGTACTTACTGTGTCTTCAACTAATGCCAAGATAGAGAATAACTGAAGAACTTTGGGTTTCTGTGGGACTATTTTAAAAGTAGCGTCCATGAATACTTGTGTTATGTTAAACATCGATTCCAATATATTTAAGTTGGCATAGACAGTTAGATATGATGTGTCATTAGCTCTTAACGTTACTACATGAAGTCTATCTTCTCCATTCTGAAATTCTGTATAAAATGACCATCTTGGCTCTTGTAATATATTAGCATATTGAGATAGAGAATGTGGTTCTCTTGGCCGTGTTTGTCTTCTCCAATTTCGCATCCGCGATTCCATTGATCTCCAAG